TTCATGAGCGTGAATTATAGTCTTTTGTGTGAAAATTTGTGATATGCGTGAACTATAGTCTTTTGTGTGAAAATTCGTTAAATGTGTGAATTATGTCTTTTATGTGAAAATTTGTTATGATCGTGAATTATAGTCTTTTGTGTGAAAATTCGTTAAATGCGTGAATTATAGTCTTTTGTGTGAATATTCGTTAAATGTGTGAATTATAGTCTTTTGTGTGAAAATTAGTGATGAGCGTGAATTATAGTCTTTTGTGTGAAAATTAGTGATATGTGTGAAATATAGTCTTTTGTGTGAAAATTCGTTAAATGGGTGAATTATAGTCTTTTGTGTGAAAATTTGTGATGATCGTGAATTATAGCCTTTTGTGAGAAAATTTGTGATATGAGTGAGTTATAGTCTTTTGAGTTAAAATTACTGAAATGCGTGAATTATAGTCTTTTGTGTGAAAATTGGTGAAATGCGTGAATTATTGTCTTTTGTGTGAAATATGGTAAAATGCGTGAATTATAGTCTTTGGTGTGAAATTTGGTGAAATGCGTGAATTATAGTATTTTGTGTGAAAATTGGTGAAATGCGTGAATTATAGTCTTTTGTGTGAAAATTGTTGAAATGCTTGAATTATAGTTTTTTTTGTGAAAATTGGTGAAATTCGTGAATTATAGTCTTTTGTGTAAAAATTCGTGAAATGCATGAATTATAGTCTTTTGTGTGAAAATTCGTTAAATGTGTGAATTATAGTCTTTTGTGTGAAAATTTTTCATGAGCGTGAATTATAGTCTTTTGTGTGAAAATTTGTGATATGCGTGAACTATAGTCTTTTGTGTGAAAATTCGTTAAATGTGTGAATTATAGTCTTTTATGTGAAAATTTGTTATGATCGTGAATTATAGTCTTTTGTGTGAAAATTTGTGATATGAGTGAATTATAGTCTTTTGAGTTAAAATTACTGAAATGCGTGAATTATAGTCTTTTGTGTGAAAACTGGTGAAATGCGTAAGTTATAGTCTTTTGTGTGAAAATTGGTGAAATGCGTAAATTATAGTCTTTGGTGTGAATATTAGATAAATGCGTGAATTATAGTCTTTTGTTAAATGAGATATGATCTTCGCACTTAGCTGGACAATTTAAGCAATCGTCTCAGGACCTGAAAAAATCAGGTGACTCAACGGGATTGAGTCACCGTTGAGTCACCTGATTTTTTCAGGTCCTGAGACGATTGCTTAATTTGTCCAGCTAAGTGCGAAGATCATATCTCATTTAATTTCAAACACCGCACTGCATAAAAACATTCATATAGTCTTTTGTGTGAAAATTGGTGAAATTCGTGAATTATAGTCTTTTTTGTGAAAATTGGTGAAATGCGTAAATTATAGTCTTTGGTGCGAAAATTGGTGAAATGCGTGAATTATAGTCTTTTGTGTGAAAATTGTTGAAATGCTTGAATTATAGTTTTTTTTGTGAAAATTGGTGAAATTCGTGAATTATAGTCTTTGGTGTGAAAATTGGTAAATTGCGTAAATTATTGTCTTTGGTGTGAGAATTGTTAAAATGCGGGAATATAGTCTTGTGGTGTGACTAATGGTGTGAAAATTTGTGATATGTGTGAATTATAGTCTTTGGTGTGAAAATTAGTGAAATGCGTAAACTGTAGTTCATTCATTTTCACACATATTCATGCCAAAGAATATAGTTTATGCGTTTTCACCCGTTTTCATATCAAAGACTATAGTTCGTTCATTTTCACACATTTTCATGCTAATGACTATAGTTTATGCATTTTCACCCATTTTCATGCCAAAGACTATAGTTCGTTCATTTTACACATTTTCATGCTAATGACTATATTTCTTGCATTTTCGTGCCAAAGACTGTAGTTCATTCATTTTCACACATTTTCATGCCAAAGACTATATTTCTTGCATTTTCATGCCAAAGACGCATAGTTCATTCATTTTCACATATTTTCATGCCAAAGACTATATTTCTTGCATTTTCATGCCAAAGACTGTAGTTCATTCATTTTCACACATTTTCATGCCAAAGAGTATATTTCTTGCATTTTCATGCCAAAGACTATAGTTCATTCATTTTCACACATTTTCATGCCAAAGACTATATTTCTTGCATTTTCATGCCAAAGACTATATAGTTCATTCATTTTCACACATTTTCCTCCCAAAGACTATATTTCACGCATTTTCATGCCAAAGACTATAGTTCTTGAATTTTCAGATATATTCAAGACAAAGACTATAGTTCACGCATTTTCATGCCAAAGACTATAGTTAACGCATTTTCATACATTTTCATGCCAAAGAATATAGTTCTTGAATTTTCAGATATATTCAAGACAAAGACTATAGTTCACGCATTTTCATGCCAAAGACTATAGTTAACGCATTTTCATACCAAAGACTATAGTTCATGGATTTCACCCATTTTCATGCCAAAGACTATATTTCACACATTTTCATGCTAAAGACTATAGTTGATGCATTTTCACCCATTTTCATGCCAAAGACTATTGTTCATGCATTTTCACGCATTTTCATGCAAAAGAGTATACTCTTAGTTTATGCTTTTTAACGCTAAAGACTATACTCTTAGTATAGAAACTATACTCTTAGACTATACTCTTAGAGTATACTCTTAGTTTATGCTTTTTAACGCTAAAGACTATATTTCACGCATTTTCATGCAAAAAACTATCTTCAACTCATTTTCACACAGTTCATTAACCTAACTCCCAAGTACTAAATAGAAATTGACTAATCAAAACACATAGATCTAAACACTTGGAAACAAGAACAAAAATACGAAGAATATATCGATAAATGTAGTTAATGTACTGGACAACACAAATGGCTGTTCTCACGACTATAAAATCTAAATGAATATAAATATGAACAAAATTATCGGACCGTTTGCACAATTAACGAAAAGTTGGAACCGAAACAATCGGATCCCACAAATTGGAACGTGTGAACTGGCCTTTACATATGAGAGTCCATCTTGAAAATTTCATTGGTACAATGGAAATCCCTCTTGAAATGTGTCAGGCATTACTAGAATTGCCAAGATAGATAACAATATCTTCATATTGGAGGATGAAGAATATGGATTTACTAACATTATACCTACCTGAATAAAGACACAGCATAAACTTCATTCAACACAGAGTGTTAGTAGTATAGGAAGAGGGGTTCTGACACCGGTAGTTTTTTCTTTAGGGGGGGGATGGTTGTGTTCATATATGGATGTTTCTCCTTTGAACTCCCCCACCCCCCAAAAAAAATCTAGATAAGCTTCTAATGTTAGATAGTGAACAAAACAGCTTCATGAGAACAACAATTTGGTATAATTTGTTTAAAATAGATTGGACCATCATTGGTTTTACGAGCAGATGAGCACATACATGCTCATAGCTGTTCATAATTACTCACGAGCATTTGCTCAAATGCTCATAACTGCTTCAACACAGCTGAAAATCAAGCTTATTCTAACATTCTGCCAAAACTCCAAAAAGAACTGGAAAGTATATTTATATGCAGCGTCTTATGTGGATAAGACAACTGAAAACATTCCATCCATAGAAAAATAATGCATACAAAGAAAGCGTTTTTCGAAAATGACGACTTTGATCCGCGGGAAACCATATGGAAGCAGCCATTGATAAGAGAAAGTTTCTCATTAACAGACCTTTAAAAGAGTGCTGCTTTAGTGAAAATACAAGCGATGAAGAAGATTAACTTTGATACATGAATTTTTTCATAATAACTTGTATCTTATTTTGAAGTGACGCTGTTTATCAAAATCTTTTGATTTTCAGTTTAGTGTGAAAATTTTTTCCCTAGCTATACAAATCCTCTGTGATCGTTTCTTTTTTTTTATCTATTTAATGAGAACATGGCAAGAAAGTATCTTAGAGCTATACTTCCATATACATACTGTGCGAAGCGCAATGTTTTTAATGCACTGTTCAGATTAAAGTCTTGAAAAAATCAATGTATTCAACTATGAATAAGTAAATGACAGATCTTTTATGCATTTGGAAATTTTAACTCAAATGAAATATATTTTAAAAAGTTGAAACTGGTGGTTGTCTGTGGACAATGTTGCGTAAGAAACGGTTGCACGTTTATACATAAACAGAAGTTATTGAATAGTAAAACTGTTAATGTAAAATTAAAACAACTAAAATTGCCGTATTTATAACGTAAGAAATTGAAAATGTCTCCGTTAAAAAGTTTACTAACTTAGATGAAGCGATTGCGCTTTGATCTTTTAAAAATACACAACAATAACCACAATTATAGAGAACAAATACAGCCGCTTTTAAACCGGTTCAAAGCATCTCATGCTCTTATTAACCGTCTGATTACGTGTAGCGCGCATTATGCTTTTGTGAGATATTCAAATATTTATTTCCAAGCAACATTTAAATGTTTTGAGCAGCAAGCAAGCGAAATTTGTATAAATGCAATGATAACGCAGTGATATGAATAAATTCACTAAAGGCACTGGAAAACCTGTAATTTTAATCGGAGTCATTTAACATGTGACGTCATCCGGTGCACCATCGGTCTCAGAAACCCTCTTCCGTATACTACAGGTGTTGTCGACGTATACAGTCTATGCACCTACTGGGTGGAATTTTTTTTGTTAAAAATTTGATATATTTTGTTAATTTTTAGCTGATATAATAATAAATCAGCAGCTATATTTCCAATTCTAAGTTCATTTCATTTCAACAGTTACAGTAAGACGCAAAATGCTTTTTTGAAGTAATTTCAGATAATGTCAAGACGCTTTAAAAGGAGCTCGTTGTGGAATGATATACACAGTTAAACGTAGATTCAAACAATTACAGCATCTGCGATTTATTTTACCTAAGTAGAAAGACTTTGAAAACACTGAGAGTTGACGATGAAAATATTTTGAAATTTGCTACTGGATGTATCAACTCCTTTGCTTTTTTTTTAATAAATTTCCCAAACTAAAAGAAGCACATCTTTAATTGAGATTGAGTAGCTAATTTTCAACACGCGTTGCAGTCAATCAGATTTCTACACAGCTATCTTTGAAAATTTTCAAAATGAATAACCATTCTTGAAAAACGACTAAAAGTAAATTTTTCAGGAAACTCCTTATAATACCAGATGATTTAACGGCAGGGCTAAACTCGAATCCGATAAAATCCCTTCAAAAGGTCGCCATATACTCTCAAAAAACTTTGTCAAAGACGCTATTCAAGACAGCATCCTGACATTATCTAGAGACTTAACATATTTTTATACGAATTGTTAGATAATTTAATCTTTTTGCACAAGGAAACAGGAAAATATAGCGCACATTGTCACTTCCTTGCTTTGTATAATTTCACAGTGCTCACGTTGCGTTCCTGCCATCACTTTCTACGTAAAGCTAGCCATCTCACAACATATCAGGATGAGTTCGGTGACCATGCACTAACGGCATTCCCAAATGCGTATCGATTGATCCACACTTCCAGTGACAACGAATGGTGCACTTTTGTGAAAGTCTGTAAAAATGAAATATGTTTTATTAGTTCGCACGTACCAAGAACTAGCAACGTAAATTGGTGTATTTGTCGACAAAGAAATCCAACTACTCAAAATTATATTATAAAAGAAAATTCAACAAGATAGGATTACAGGATTTTCAGCGAAGTTTGTTATATAAATAGGCAATCGATTGGCCAACGTAATAATTAATTTTCCAGTTACGTAGAAGTCTACTATAATGCTGATATAGAGGGGGTCAAAAGTAAATAATCAAAATTTAATACATGTTAGGACCTACCTAGACAAGTTGCAAAATGCTCGTGTGCCACAAGAGTTTTCGCACATCGTCTGTTTTTAAAGTCCCACATTCTCAATGTTTTATCATCAGAACAGCTAACTATATATTTACCACCAGGATGAAATAAAACTCCACGAACCCAGTTATCATGTCCACTCTAAAATGTCGAAAGAGACATTAAAAATAAAAGAGCAATAATAGCTAATCGGAAACTACTCATTTACGTAATTCTCCAATACGACGATGTTCTTGGCTGGATATCGTGCATGGTTGTCGGTCGGATGAACAACACAAGTGGAGGTGTTCCAGAAATTACGAAAACTGATCTCGTGATTATGTTATGTTTTATAGTCAAAATAGTTTTATAGTAAATATTCTCTGTCGTGGCCATTATGGTATTCTAATCCAAAGTAAGGGGGCACTCTCACTCTTTCAAGAAAAGTGATAGGGCTTACCCCCGATGCAGATGCCCCAGGTATCGTAAGTCATTCATACGAAAGTTTACTTGAAGTAGGAACTTTGGAAAGAATGTATGACGTCAAAAAATAACCGCAAAATATAGATCACATTGACTGTCTTACCAATGTTAGAATGCAAACTGCAATGCTTGTATCCCAAAGTTTTATAGTTTTATCTCTTGATGCAGTGACCAAAAATGGGCCTGGACTTGACGTCTTTTTGCCACCCTGAAAGATGAAAAATCTTTGCTAAATAATACTCTCGAAAATAAAGTCAACTTTTTCGGCAAAATACATAACTTTGCTTGGAAAACACAATTCAAGTAAGACTAAGGACTAAATAAATTTGATAAAAAAGTGTTTTCTAAACACAAACGAGACTATTTAGTTGGAGAAGAGAAAAGCCTAGAGCCAAAACAAAATGTAAGATAGCATTGAGACAGGTAAAGGTCTCCATATAGTTCTAAAATGCCAAAGACGTAATATTCACGTACGTCTGCAACTGTAGCTTCGTTTACGTGTACATTAGCAGAGTCCGGTGCCCAAGCGAGGTCTTCAACCACGTGATCATGTTCACGTAATTCACATTTACATTCTTTACTGGCAAAAAGCCATATGCGAACTGTCTGTGTAAGATACAGAGATAATTATAAATTACACAGTATTTACAAATATGTTTTTCAACACGGAGTAAAATAGAAATAAGAATTATTTTTTCAATGTACCTGATCATTTGAGCAACTTGCTAACAAAGATCCTAAATAAGAAACACTCAAATTGAGCAAGTTCAACTCTAGAGAGGTAGACAAGTTTAGAAAAGATATAAAAATTTACCATCGCCATTTACTCTGACTCTTCTCACCCATTCTCGATGACCTTGTAACGTTTTAACACAATATCTACAGGGAGCAAAGCATTTGAAAGTATAACACTATACGTAAAGTAAGGCTGGAAACACATGAAGTTTTAACACAATATCTAACACAAGTTTCGAAGTGGCAGCCTAATATTGGTGATAGCTAATAGTTAAATAAGCCAAAAGTTTTCATTCGCGAGGCCAGTTGTTCAATAAAAGGTGTCGTTAGTCAGTGGTTGTAAAAAGACACCTTCAACAGCAATTTGTACGCAAATGAGACACGCATTCTTAACATATACTTGCATGCTTAAAATCTTTCTCTTCAAATAAAGCCAGGTTAGAAAAGACGGCCCGGAATATAAAAATAAACTTACCCAGTTGTTACTTCCCATATTTTAACAGTTTTATCTCTCGATGAAGATACAAGAAAATCACCAGACGGCAAAAAACAGACGGACGAAACGTTGTGATCATGACCTACAACACAAATGAAATTTTAATACTTCTATTCTTAAGAGAGTTTATATCCTTTTATGATACAACTGCACATACTGATTTTAAAATATCTGAAATATAATCATGTGTAGTTTGCACCATAGGGAGTTGACGAAGCACGACTTTGCGTGACTATTAAAAAAAATTTCGAGTTTCGACACTAAAGGTTGCGGCTTCACTAACTTTGGATTTTTTTTCAATCTGTACTATTGAACAAGTTACAAATTTTGTCCAATACTGTTACGAGCCTGATACAAATATTAAACTACATCATCTGAAAGAATGATATATGCAGTGCGGTGTTTGAAATTAAATGAAGATATGATCTTCGCACTTTGCAGGACAAGTGCGAAGATCATATCTTCATTTAAAGTACATCATCGTTACCAGTTGTCATGTTTACTCACCATGTAGTGTTTTGATACATTCAAAACCTTGAAAGTCCCATAACCTAATTGTCAAGTCAGCCGAACAAGAAGCGAGAATTTTTCCTGTATGATCGAACGCTAAGTCTTGAACGGCATCAGTATGTCCTTTGAGTGTTCTTTCAAAGTCACCTGTTTCATAATCCCATATTTTTATTGTAGCATCTTCAGATGAAGACACCATTACACTGCAAAAAGTTGTAAAAGAGAAGGCACAATAAACAACTCACTCAACAAATATTTCCATTGTTATTAATTAAAGTTTTGTCCTTCCTATAATAATAAGTCATACTAGGAATTTTTTTAGAATGAGATGTTCTTTTCCAAGCATCAAACATTCATCAATCTTCAACAACATTTATATATCAAAATATTACAAAATTGAGAAAGAGATGATATAATTCGAAATAGTACCATCTGTCTAATGTGTGAGAAAAACGTATATGATGTTGATAAAAAAGTAAAACTTTTTCCTCAAAAATTGTTAATTATTAAGGATTGGTTTGCAACAGGAAAATTGTTAACTAACAGTCAAACACTGCTATATCATACATATAATTGATTTAGTTTCTGCAAATTTTGACGTCGGCAAGAAAAAAACTTCAGATTCATTGATTTTTTAGTAACAATGGAAAGTGTCCATATCAAAAAATCAAAGAAATGTCTCAGTAACTTTTGGCAAAATGTTCCTCACAAAAAAAAACACGTACAGAAGCCACTGATAACAGAGGAGACAAAAAAACACAAATAGGATTTATTCTTGTGTCAGTGGCCATGCAAGTTTATATTTTCATCGACCAATAATAATTTGTCATTTTTCCAGTATATTGTGCAGGAGTTTACATATTTGATCAGATCTTTAGTAAAATCTCACAATTATGCAATTTATCATAACCAGTGGACCAGTCTGTGGTTAAATACATTGAAATTGCAGTACACAGCACAACACACCAGTACACAGCACAACACACCAGTACACAGCACAACACACCAACAAACAGTACACACTACACAGCTTATCACAACACTACACACAGTAGCTTACCTAAATGCCGGATGAAATAAAACTTTAGTAACAGGACTCCTGTGGCCCGTTAATGTATATCTAAAAAATTTAAGTACTTGCAATGAATATGTAACCTTTTATGCATTCCGTAAAAATGAATTGAAAAGAAATTTCACCTCTCCGGTGGTTTAGGTATCCAATCAGCAGCAGATCGACTTTTTTTATTACCACCTAGATGAACAAATCATTTAATTAATTTTTAGCAAGTTTTAATTGCAAGAACCAGATTTACAAATCCAATTGCATGATTCCAACTTTTTTAGCTTGGACCAATTACAAATCACAAAATGAAAAATGAAATTAAAACTGAAAATGACTACATGTGAAAATGATGCATTTTCCAGCTTCTAAAGTTACAGATAAGACAAAAATTTGCGGCTGGGCTTCCTTTTAATTGATGGAGAAACAATGGAGACCCCCCCTTGGTGGCTGGGCTTCCTTTTTATTGATGGAGAAACAATGGAAAACCCCTATGGTAGCTGGGCTTCCTTTTTATTGATGGAGAAACAATGGAGAGCCCCCATGGAAGTATTGACAATAACACTGCAATGTAATCCACCTCCAAAATGAACTTCTTTTTCAGCTTCAGCTAGCTTTGCTTCCAGTTCCATAACCTGAACAAAAAAATAGTCCAATTTATTGTCCACATCATAAGTTCTACAACTTATTTTTTCACCAACTAATCATCAAAATAAACGGTATAAAGCCTATATTACCAATTTAATCTACATAACAAGATTTTATTGTGAAATACAAAAAGTGCTCATTATCAATAAAGACAGAAGAAAATAACATAAGAATACAATATATTGCCATAAATTTGTAACATTGGCTTTCAAATATAAATGATCATTACATTAAATAACTATTGCTAATCAGGTTGGACTATGTTGCCCATGCTGTACAGACAAATTATGATTATTTCCAATTATTTTGAAATCATGTACACCATATTTGTTTGCATGACAGAATTTGGACAACAGCTCTGATCTTCAACTACAGTATCGACCTCGAGTAACATGACATGACTCACGAGTATCAGGTGGCGAGTGACGAGTTGCAATTGAGTGAGTGACTCGCTGTTTGCGAGTGAATAAAATAACTTGCTGTTTGCGAGTGAATCAAAATAACTCGCAAAAATTTCTTTCTTCAGTATTTGAAATTGACAAACATAATCTTAAGTGCAGTGACCAGTAAAATTCGTTCAACATTTTGAAGGCAACGGTTTTATATCTTTTTATGAGACATGGGAGCACATGGTTTTATTTCATTGATTGCTATTAAATGTCTAAGGCCTTTATCGTCTGTGTAACACATCGAAAACGTGAAGTCAATGAAGTTCTTTCAGAACCAAATTTAAAAGATTATATGCACACTCATCGCATAGCTACATTCCTTAAATATTTGACCTCAAACAATATTCGTTTTTGAATGTATCCTCCCTAAGATAATATATGTCAAAAATCTAAGATTGTTAGAAAAAAATCTTTGAGAGTTACTTTGATTTTCTCACTAATTTCTCTATGGTCTCTACCGCTTTACGAATAACGTTTGTGCCATGAGAAATGTGAAGTTATTAAAATGCTTTTGTAAAAAAATTCAAAAGATTTTAACGTCATTAGGTCCCGAGATATTGCTTCAAATGAATAGTCATTTTGCTCCCATGTTTCATAAAAAGATATAAAACCGTTGCCTTCAAAATGTTGAACGAATTTTACTTGTCGCTAAACTTAAGATTATGTTTGTCAATTTCAAATACTGGAGAAAGAAATTTTTGCAAGTTATTTCGATTCACTCGCAAACAGCGAGTCACTTATTCACTTGCAAACTTCTCGTACTCGAGAGTGACTCGCAACTGCATCGCGAGTCACTCCCTCAATCGCAACTCATCACTCTCGAGTCACTCGCCCACTCGCCACTCAATACTCGCGAGTCATGTCATGTTACTCAAGGTCGGTACTGTAAGTGTTCAACATGATATCCTGATGATATAAAACATCAACATATCATAATGTTAGGACATCAACATACCCTGACATTATGACATCAACAGATCCTGATATCATGACATCAACATATCCTGATGTTATGACATCAACATATCCTGATATCATGACATCAACATATCCTGATATCATGACATCAACATATCCTGATGTTATGACATCAACATACCCGATGTTATGACATCAACATATCCTGATGTTATGACATCAACATATCCTGATGTTATGACATCAACATATCCCGATGTTATGACATCAACATACCCGATGTTATGACATCAACATATCCTGATGTTATGACATCAACATATCCTGATGTTATGACATCAACATATCCTGATGTTATGACATCAACATGTCCTAATGCTACGATATCAACATATGCTGATGTTATGACATCAACATATTCTAACGCTACGATATCAACATGTCCCAATGTTATGACATCAACATATCCTATTGTTATGACATCAACATGTCCCAATGTTATGACATCAACATATCCTAATGTTATGACATCAACATGTCCCAATGTTATGACATCAACATATCCTGATATCAATACATCAATATATCCTGATGTTATGACATCAACATATCCTGATATCAATACATCAATATATCCTGATGTTATGACATCAACATATCCTGATATCAATACATCAACATATCCTGATGTTACCAAATCACTTGTTGCACAAGGATATGAAATACTACAAAAAAATATGTAAACAATGATAACCTTTTTTTGAAGACGTATAACAGATATCCATTTCTTTTCAAGAAGTCCGGAGTATTTCTTGTCAATTTCTTCAGGCTAAGAATAGTGATAAAATTGTAAATTTTGTTTAGCTTTCTTCATACATTCACCGACAGAATAAAAATGGTTAAATAAAGATACAAAGACACACCAAGTCTGCATCATTTTTGAAAGCTTCTAATGTAGAGGAAAATCCCGAGGATTGAAGATAATCTGCAATTGCTTTATGCCTGAAAACAAAATATACTCATCAATGTTAGCCACTGAACTATAATGTATGATGCTAGTAGCTGGAATGCACAACATGTTAGCTTTACACAAGCTAAAAGCTTGACTTAAAGAGTATGTCATGCATCAAATGGTAGTTAATAAATGCTTCTTCAGTATTATTAATCATGAAAACGAACTCTTCAAATTGTACTTCATGAACACCTTACAATGGCCTGATCTGTTTAATAAAGCATAATGGGATAATCGTTGATTAATAAGGGGCCTGCACCCAACTGTTATTGTTGTTTGTCATTCGTAAACGAATGACCTCTGTATTTTGTCTCTCAATATATATTTTACAAGATCCTCATTTCGTGAAATAGACTAAGTCTTATCTATTTAACACACACACAAAACCATATTTGCCGCAAATTTGAAGCCTTTTTATTACTTTTAACTCCCATAAGTGGTTGTTTAATAGAAGTGACATAATGAAAATGCAAAATGGCAGATGCAGTTCTTTGAATCAAAAGTACAAATAAAAACTCATTGACTATTTCTGGGAAGAAACTTGCAAAACATAAACATCAAACTTTTCAATTCATAGTAATCTATGATGCCATTAATATGCAGCCTGCATTTATCATAAACATGTTGTATCATAAATTCAGATTATAAACAGATAAATTTCTAGTAAAAACACAGTATTACTTGCATATTTTATGACACATTTTAGCAACACTAATAAGAAATCTTGAGCTAGAATTACGGAGTCTTTAGAGATAAATAGTAAAATGAACAAACGATCTTACAATTCCTCCTTTTGTCGCGGGGTCAAAACCATAATTAAAGATTGAAGCAATCAATAAATTCCAACAAACAAAAGCTCAAGAGGAAGATTACTTTCATCGCACACTACAAAGAAGAAACATGAGACATTGAATCTTTAGAATGTTAATGAAAATCAATGGGGAATACGACGCCTGTGCAAATAGTTCACCATTTTATAACATGTACATTTTAAACTTGTTTACAATTTTAATGATATACTTTCTTGATGCAATGGTTTCAACATAATAAATCTAAGATTTACACACTGATAAACCCGTGCATACACTAAGCTCACAGCTATTGAATTACCCTAGCATTCAGCTTCATAGGGCGGTTTTAAAAAAAAATTTGGTCGGATGGTTTGTTGACAAGCACCATGCATAATGCAATTTTGAATTTTGCAATTCGCACATTGTTCAAAAGAACCAGAATGTGTAAATGAAAAAAATATTTTATGAATCGACCATATCTTTAACCAAACATAATTACCGGAAACCATAGAAAAACATAACAGAGAATGAAATCGTTATTATAGGGACATCATTTGTTCGGGCAATTCCTATTCAGTATCTGGACGATTTCACATGTTTTTTGTCAAAGAGCGCATTTCTCTCAAAACGTTTTCAAAAATAATGATAAACTATACTGTTACCTTGACGTATACGCCGTATCCATGTCTTGAGCGAAATATAGTAAACGAAATAATGAAAAAATCCACACAATATTGGATATAAAATGCTTCTTGCCCGGTGTCAACGATTTCCTTCCCAGAAAGCCTCACGATTGCGCATGTGCAAATGTTAAACTGTAGACAGCCCATTCACGACTCCCGCGATGTAGTAGATATTTGAAATATTTGTAGAAATATCATATGACAAGAGCATGTGCTTACATTTTGGCATGCTCTTTGTCTTCTTAAGCTTGTTTTGACAAATGCATAGGAATGTTAGAGATGTTTTTATTTTTCTCTATAACTTTGTATCTGCATATTTTTGTGCTTAAACCATGCTCTACCATACATAACAGATATCATAATTTGTGGATTGAGGTAGAAAAAATACTTGAAAATGAAACTTCCAACAGTGAAATAAAATCAAACATGGTAGAGAAGAAACAAAGACGCCAGGTTGAAGACAGCTTTATGAAATTGAGCGTAGTTGAAGCACCTAGCGTACGCTCAAGAGTTTTGGATGAGGACTCGTGGACCAATGAAAACCCAAATGATTGCAAGCATGTTGACGACGATAAAAGCTCTAGCGAGGACGAGATTGCAATGCAGAATAGTAACACAAAGTCTTCTGAAGATATGTTCAAAAGAAATATCGATGAATCACATATACAGTTTGGAAGCTAGTTGGCTCACGTGCTATATAGTAGAGGGACCTGCTGAAAAAATTTAAAAATAATTACCAGCTTCTTTCCTTTAGTACGACGAATCTGATTTCGAAAGTGAAGAGGAAGGAATCACAAAAAGAGATTTGCAAGAAGATTCAAACCTTACTCCGCAAAGTTTGTATGTACAGATGGATTATTGTGAGAGGAGTACTCTAAGGAATGTTATTGACGAGGGATAGTAAAAGGACCAATACAGAATATGGCGGCTTATCCGTGAGATAAATTGTAGAAAGATTAGTTCACGTTCATTTACAGGTAGAAAATTTCCATTATTGTATGTGCTAATTGTACGTATGTGTAACTAAACAGGAAAAAAGTGTGAACAATTTTAATATATATATGTATAAAAACTTACTATTTGCTAATTTTCCTTAATTTTTGCCAATAAGGTATGGTTCAAGTAAATGCTTTTCGACATTTTTTGTTTTCTATTGTTACATTTTTTAGGTGTTTTCTTTAAAAAGTCAACTAATGTCAAGGAAAAAGAGTTTGGTCTTTGGATGATTTGGAAAGCTCGTTTTAATGTTCTAAGTTCCTTTTTATTAAATGGCAGTATCATAAAGAAAGTCATCCTTCTTCTTAAAAATTTCCAACCAAAGCTTTAACTTGAATAAATGAAGATCATGAAGAAAAACAAGCATTAACGTTACGAAGAATTTATAGCTACTGTCTTTTAATGTCATATACTTTGTATACGTGTCTATATCCGTAGAACAGTAACCAATGCTCGGCACAGCAGCTTCTTGGACATCCTTTTATCTCTCCAAATCCCATTTCGCACAGTTTAAGCAATAACATCACTTCAGATAAGCTTGATGCTGAAAAAGATCAAGGGAGAAATCAAAATAGCTGTGATGATGGAGACGAGTCTCCTGATTTGATGCCTATTCCTTTCAGCTACGCTGCGAGAAATTCAAGAGTTTGCAATGAATTTGAGTGTAGCAAATGCTTGGAAAAAAGAGGGTTAGCTTTAGTTGTCAAGGTAACTTTTTATTACATACATCGTTTAAATAGAGGGTAATTTTGTCTTGTGAAGTAAATTTTGTACGTGATTTGAAAATGCTTTATATACGCTTAGGTACGTAATAAATTGGACGACTGTCTCTATGCGATCAAAAGAATTCGTTTGAATCCGAAAAGTGCACAGTTTAATCGCAAAATTTCTCAAGAAGAGAAGTTACTTTCTATATTAAATCATAAAAATATTGCAAGGTAAAAAGAAGTTTACTATCCAAAATGAATCAAAATTCTATAACCTAAGTGTTGAAAGCGAGGTTCAACTTAGACGATGCAAATTGCTTGGTTTATTAATCAATGTTAACTTAAGAAAAACTGTTATAAAAAAGTAGATGATCCCTTTTTTCCACAAAGCCCATGGATGCTTTTGTTCCTCACGAGAGAATTATGAGAAAGTTACATTGTAAAAGGTAGCAAGTAAAAAACGCATAAAAATGTTTACAGTTGGTTTAAATTATAAGTCAAAAATGCAGAAGTTGTTTTAACCTTAGCAGTATACTTGGATGTTCTAGTTTCTTTTATGTGAAGATAAAAAAATAAATAAAAAATAAAATTCGAAAGCAAAAAACCCCGTTTTCGGGCCATGCTTCCCGATACCTTCTTAAGCGTAAGGCACTAGAACGACGCATGTTAACGTTTCGGTAGGAGATTTCGTCCCCTCCACGCTATCCTTCTTGGGAGATGCAATAGCAAGCTTCCGCCCATCAGACCCCGAGATCACCTGCGATAGGCTTTGCTCGGGGCACGCAGGGAGAGGGCGGTCGTCACCGAAGTGTGGGCCCCTAAGCCACTGCATACTATATCGCACCCAGCTTCCACTGCTAGTTGACATCTACTATACCTAGAATTGGCTTTATATATATATACGCAAATTCAAAGGCTTACGAAAGTTATGGTATTATTGTTACTACTGCGCATGTCCAGATTATTTCTTTGATAACAACTAGTCGAGTGGACTGCGCATGCTCGAGCGCATGCGCAGATGATTTCTCTCTTAAATTGTTACTAAGCCTGATATTTACTTCAAAACCGGTGCTAGTAGATGCAGTTGATCGTTGCCATAAGTATCAGCTTGGGCAGCTGATCAACTCAACTGCGCATGCTCAAGCAGACTGCTCATGCGCAGATGGTTTCTCTCTTAAATTGTTACTAAGCCTGCTATTTACTTACAAATCGGTGCTAGTAGATGCAGTTGATCGTTGCCATGAGTATAAGCTTGGGTACTGGTCAAGTCGACTGCGCTTGCTCAAGCAGATTGCGCATGCGCAGATGATTTATCTAAAAATTTGTGACTGAGCGATCTAATTACCCCTTCTAGTCTGGACTAGTGCATACAGCTGGTTGTTGCCATAACCTTGGAGAGTTGGTGGAGTTGAATACACGTGCTCAAATTACTCTCGATTAATTTGTGAGAGTTTTGGAAGAGAACTCATGGACCAATGAAAACAGTAACAAGACTACAAATATCATATCACATCTATACAAGACTTTTTAAATACTTCACATATTTTTCAGTGATACTTCTAACAATTGTTATTGTATTTACACACGTTTTCCTCAGATGAAAATCAATGATTTCAGATGACAACTTTTGGACTAGCAAAAACGATAACTAGTCTCTTCTCTAATTGCTGTGACATTTGAGCTTGCTTTTCGAAACTGAAATCTTTAATGGATCGACTATTCTTGTAAACGCTGCTCTTTAAAATCCAACTTGAAGCTTTAAATTGTTGACTTGTTTCACAAGAGCTTGGATATTATCGCTCCTGAAAAAAGTGACAGCAAAAGAGGAATAAAACTAAAATTGACAAAACATCATTTGACTATTCAAAATGGAGCGGTAACGCCCACATATGGATAAATTAAGAAACCTTCTGATGGTCCTGACACTAATAATCGCATATAAAAAATATCCATGATCACTTACTCTTGTTTTAATAACAAAGAGAGTTGCTTTTTATGGTTTTCAGATAACGTCTGTGTTCTAAAAGTTTGCGTAGATTTCTCTCTCTGACCTAAATACTTTTGTTTTCTCCGTAACTGCAAAATGAAAATTAAATGAACCACATGGTTAGCAACAGCACTAATTTGAAAGAAAGAGGAGAGGGTTGAGTTTCGTTTTAAAACGTACAAACTTGTAACGATAGTCTATGGTCTTCATAGGTACAGCTAGAAAATGTAGAGATTTGTAACGATAGATTAAACAACAAAACCTGATCGAAAGATTGTTGAAAGACTTTTGTATGTCGAGTTATTTCTTCTAGCTCTTGTTTCATCCGCGTTTCAGCATTTGAGAGCACTGGTTGCCTTAACTGAATATTCTCTAATATGTTTTCAATTCTAAAATAAGAAAAGATTGAAGGAAAATGATTGTTTTCGTTTTATTGCGACACTGATACACATCAACTTATGTCTAATGGATAGCAGTTAGTGCAAAGATTGTTCATTTTTCACTAACTATAGCGACACATGTTATCTCATTTCTTATATATTTTAAATAGCGTAAAGACTGTTCTTGTTCTCTGTTGTTCATTCATCAAACGCCTTAGCTATCACCTTTCCTTAGCCATCACCCTTTTCATTATTCAACATTATTTGTTGATAATCGTCATCATGTAAAGCAGTTTAAAGATTGTAAAGATTATCGCATCAAAACAAGACAATAACATTGGGCATTTAGAGGCTGAATGGGATTTTTTCATGTAGCAATAATAATAATTTAACTAGGGAGGAATGTATTTTTGTGTTGCACTTATTTTGTACATAAAACATACAAAAGGACCAACCTATTCACTATTAGTTCTTGCCGGTCTTTGGTATCTTCATATTTTTCAGCCAAAATTTCCATACGTTCTTGTAATTTTCTCTTCTCAACATTTAAAATATTTAAATCTTCCGTCTGTTTTTCATACTGCTTATCAAGAATATCAATCCTATAGTCATAATAAACGAGATGATTACTCGCACCAGTTCCTTTTAAAGAACACTGCGATCAAGCCCCAAGTAAAAAATAATTAAAGCAGTATATTACAGCAGTAATAGCAGGATTGCTATGTAGAAAAAAAATCAAAAGTGAAAAAATCATTTCTAGACAAAGTAAGTTGTTCTTTTGTCTACCTTCGTTCAACTTCCTCGAGTGCCAAAGTCTGACGATTAATGTATTCTGTACGATATGTTTGTGTGGCGGATGTCAAGAATTGAAAACAATCTTTGGGAGGGAGTTTTCTGTCATTTAATGAGCTTCTACAACAGTACAGTAGAAAAACATTCAATCCAAATTTGCATAATTCTGTCGCTCAAACAAAAGTGAGATAACCTTAACAAAGGATTCGACGCGTCTCGTTTAAGAATCAGTTTGATATGATTGTCGAATTCGCTTTTTGCATTGATTTCATCAGTGGATACTTCGGATCTAGAAGTAAATGAATAGGGTAATTTTAATGTCACATTAAAACGTTTGTTCAGGAGAAAATATTTCATACACAAGAAGACAGAGTGGAAGAGAAATATTTTATATAAAACATGAGGGAATGGAAAAAAATATTTTATACACAACGACACAGAGTGCATCAAGTTCACTAGCAGAATTGTTGTATTTTTTGTTTAATGTATCCAACCTTGTTTTATCGTCAGACTCTTCCATAGACGAACGACGCAATAAATCACGGTTCAAATACCTGTTACAAAGATTATTTTGAAAGTGCTTAGTTTCGTAGAAAAGTATGTTCTTTCCCAATATACAAGAATAGAAACGTGCTCCTCCTTTACGTTTGCCAAAACGAAAAATATTTTCATGTAGTTTTGATATCTTTCAGCTTACTTGAAGTTATATTTTAATGCGTAACAACAAAAAAAATGTGAATAATTCTTCGTCTATAATATACTGAGACATGTTATACTGAAATTATATGAGTGATAAACTCAAACATTTGCATTTTATTCCTATACGTTTATTTATTTACGTTCATACTTCACAAGGCGGGAAAATGTCCCGTCATTCCTTTTCCATAACAAGGCAATAAAGATGAGCAACTTTTACTTATTTTTTTCTACCTGAGTGATTTTGTGATACATTCCATGGCATCAGTTAATGCAACTATGGTTCCTCCAAGTTCCCAATCACTAACTACTGTGAAGCCAATAAGATTGATTGAGCTAAAAAAAAACACGAATAGATCTGTTTGCTTAAAAAAATCGACTATGCAAGGATTAAAGGAAAAGCCTTTAAAATTTTTAGCCATGCTTCCTTGGGAGCATTGTACTATCATTGATAATATCAGATAACTATGTTTAACTGTATTCGTTTTATCTTTTACAAAATATCTTAAGTAAAATATTTTATCACTTTAAATTTCAATATAAACACTCTAATCTTTTTAATTTATCAGAAGTGATGTGGTGTTTAAATTTGAAGCATTGTATAATCCAACAACATAACTTATCTCATGTTACTTAATTTACTCCCAATTTACCAGAGACTTTATGCAGAAACAGTTTACAACAAGCTAAACACCTTGATGGCACCGGATTCGTACAGATAACATGCTGAACAATTCCGTTTTCGTTTGGATCAAAACTAACAGCTTGTTCAGTTTCTACATAAGACAAATGATACGATTATTCATTCACAAACTTCTTCATAAAAATTAATGCAAATAATCTTGAAATCAAATACACAAATATACAAAATATACGTACCATTGCAAAAGCGTTGTAAATTTCTAAGCCACGGTAAAGTAATCGTGTGGATTCCAGTAGGATGAAAACAATGATAGCGATTTCCCGTCGAGTAATCTACAAGGAAATACATTTCACGATACAGACAATGTTTATTGAAAGCGTATGTCTTTCTATACAAGCAGTGAAAAGGAAAAGCTCAGATTTTATGTAGTAATACTAAACAGTCATGATCATCATCTAAACTTAACCTTTACTAACCTAAAGACAACATGTTTAAATGATGCAAAGCTTTAACTAATGCAAGAGGAAGATCCACTAGTTATTAAATATACGATTATTTTTTCTTGTGTAAGATTTGTACCAATGTTACACCATTAAACTATTTTCATGCTGGTCAGCAGTTCATTTTAACAAACCTACGGTCATTGCCGGTAAAGTAAGACCTTATCAACACTTATTTTCTAAAACTTCAGAAACTTCAAATTTCAAAACACTTCGATCCGTAAAAATCTTGTGACTCATCGCCAAAATTCATTTCACCTTTGAACAGTTGGACAGAATAACTATCATTTCTGCTTTCTAAAGTGTCTGTGGAAGATGCCTTTAAGTCAACAAAACTCTTCTCCCGTTCAGAACTTGTTGAAAGAGATAAATCGATGCATTCATATACGTAGAGCGAGGTCTTCGTGGATGGTTGTGAATAAACGCTATCACCATCAAAGCTTCTAACTCCCTCAATTTCGTCCTAAAAAACAACGCAAAGTGTTACAAGTTAAGGCAAACAGCGACAACATTAAACATTAAAAAACTTTAATTAGTTGATTAAATCTATTTATAAAAACATTTGCTAATATTTTGCTAAGTTTTCAATGGAAAATTTTTGGCAAAGCTTAGACACTTTGGGAATTTGTTGAACTTTGAAGACCGATACAAGTCTTACGATTCTTACGAATAATTTATAACCTGCTTCAACGCTCTCAAATGTCCTCAGTCATACGTGATTATCTGGTCAAATAATTATCGCAGACATTTGGTCGAAGTTATCAATACTGCCCTTACAAATGGTTTGCTGAACACATCATCCTCTTCACTTTCAAGTACCACACAATGATAGATGAGACCACCACAAGTCGCTATGGCAACAACGATAGGATTTGTGGGAAAGCAAATGATTGTACACGAATCCACGCCGTAGTTATCTTCAGCAGGAGGGAACACAGGTAAACAACCTTGGAAATCGTAGAAAAATCTAATAGAAGAATGAAATCGACAAATGATACCATTAGAATTTGAATATAATTGATAGTAAAAGCAATTCACTGCCTTCTTATATATATATGTTACATGACAGGTGAATTGTATTGCCTCTCAAATAAGTTTCTCAATAAACAGTTAGGTAAAATTCATAAACAATGTTACTTTACCTGTTGGACAACAACATTAGCATCATAAATAGAACATCGCCATTTTCTCTCAGGAGAAACACTGAATAAGCAACGTCGTTCACCCCAGCTCGTATTTTTGTAAAAGAATCAGCACTCAATGCTCCGGAAAAGTCAAATGAAACAGCAATTTCCCCAAACGCTTCGGCAAATGTGGACTTTCCTGGACAACTGAAACTTCGGTCCTGTGGTACAGCACCAACACTGATGATGTCAAGAGGATTGAGTGGTTTCGTTACGTCATATATCCTATTGCAAACACAACATCGATAAAGGATGAGAGTATTTACTATTTACGTCATTTATAGTTATAGTTCACTAACTTGAGATTATTGTTGATTGTAAAATATAGTAAACTGAGCTCTCTCAAATGAACACTTCCAAATCCGTAATTTATCCTCTTTATTACCGTAATTGGTTGTCTGACGTCAATACAATCAAATGGATATCCATATAGGAGCCTGGAAACCACTTTGCCTCAAATATTGTGATGGATTGATGACATACAAAAAAGTGTTCATCAATATTGATGGACCTGTAGCAAATTAAAAAAAGGTTGTCATAAGAATAAATTGTCAACATTCAATGCTTTACCAAGTAGTGCTTGCCTTTCATTAGGGAAAAGTGTAAGTACATACATGCACACAGAATCATTTGGGTGAGCTACATTTCATCATACAATGAATAATAGTGCAAATTTTTGAGCTTGTATGCCTTGCATTGTGAAAATAAACATGCATTCTAAACACTAAACCAAACTTTTATCACAACTCAGTCCCTAACCATCTAAAGTCATTGAATATTTTCTTAACCAATATAGCACTGTATTAAAATCGGCATCCAATTACATGCGCAGCAATTCCAGTTTATTTGGTATGTGGTATGTGAATGAAAATTGATGGCTATTTTTGACAGTCACGGCCAATTTCTACGTGTAAAATAGTTACACTATTGTCTGAATTTTTAGGAAAGTTTTATTCATTTAGGGTCTTGCATTTAGGGCCTGGCGGTGATTAATACTGGCCGGTATACAAATGTTGTTTGTTGTTGTTGTTGTGAGGGTCTTGCAGTTCTCAAAATTTGACCAAAATATTAACATTAGATTAACATATGAAAGAACAAAAATATATGAGCACATGAAAGTAATGAAAACATGTTCCATCTTTCATGCAATAGAAGTAAAGATAGACTTATGGCAGGTCCAAACATCTAATTTTAACATGTTTCGACCAGTTATAAGTGTGTTTGCATAAATTATATATGCACTACTTATGTTCCCAAATTCATAAACTTGCAAACCTGCAATTGATCTGTTCTTTGCCATGCTCAAACTGTGTAAATTTTCCACGTTTCTGTGGCATCTCAATTACGCAAATACCATGTTGACCAATCAGAGCAAGATAAGCACCAGTCTCACTGAACACTATTTTCTCAACTTTAAATAATGGTGGACTGGTGCAAAGAAGAGTCTGCAATGCATAAATGGGACATTTAAATTATGGCAATTCACATGAACAATAAATGGATAATTTCTACTTTACATTAATTTTAAAACAACAAAAGTTTTGAAAACAAGAAAAACCATCCCTAATTTTTTAGATTTTGAGATATTTCTACATGGAAACAGAGACATGGAAAGTCTGCAACTGGTTGGATTGTATTGTGAGGACACGTCTACAAAACATTTATAAAAACTTTGACTTCAACTTCCATATTTTCAAATATTTCCTAGTTTATTAACACTCAATTTTTGACTATTACTGCATCAATCATACACGCATTTCTAGTACGTAATCATTGGTTACAAAACTGAGTCAGTTTAACCGACAGTTGACAAACAGTGGAACTGGTAGGATTTTTTCTTCGTCGTAAGAACACGAAGAAAGTTTGAGAGAGTAACAATAAATGTAAGAAGAATTGGTTGACAAATAACCTGATATTTAGAAGACTGCTCATTCTTGGCTTTAAGATTCTTTAAGTTAGCAACATAAATAAGTTTCTGTTCGTCATCCCAAAGAAATAGGTCGCCATGTGTTTCACATAAGATATTTTTATCCAAAGGTTCATCTAGGCCCAATTTTGCTTTTTTCTTTATGGCTTTGAATATAGCATGACTTGGTAATAACGACTCCCAAGCTAAAGGACTTTTTTCAACATTTGTTGGCGAATAATTTTGACTGTTTCTAAACGAAAGTGAATTTTTTGCGGCCATATTGAATTTGAGATAGTGCGATACTTCATGTAAATAAGTGCTGAGTAAGATCTCTAACTTATTTGGTTCTATTCAAGAGTTTATTGTTTATTCAGCAAGTAGTAAGTAAATTTCTAGGCAAAAAAGTGTATGTTGAAGTACGTACGATGATTTAGACTGAAAACTTAAATTATAGTTTGCAACTAAGTACAGTACAGAAGCACAGACAATCCACAAACTTTTAGAAACATGATCGAAAAACATAAAAAATAAAAGAAAGCATAAAAAACTCACACTAATTCTGAATTGTTTGCTAATCTACTGAAACTCCAATTTGGGAATTTAATAATTGAGGCGATTATCATTTTTCAAAAGTATTTTGAAAATGTTTTTGCCCTATTTCAACAACGTCAAACCCAAGTCACAACAATACTGTTCCAAATTTCGTTTCATTTTAAATTAGATATAGATTTTTCAATAAATAATCATTCATTATAGATAACACAAAGTTTGGTTTGACTAAAGTGATCTTTTTTTTTGCTCTCAAGTTTAGATAAACTATACATTCCAGTCGAATTGATTTTCTTTCATTGGTTGAGCTCGTATTTTCGGCCACCTTTTCTTCAGTTGGCTATCGGCTTGTTTCACTTTCTCTCTCAAATCTTCACAATGTGTAGTTACAACTTGACAATTTTGTAGACGCTGAAAAATTGTAAGCAATAGATTATAGTTTTTACTAAATAATAAAATCGTCTTGTATTTTAAAAACGTTTTGTTTTAATAAGTATCTTTAACGTTTCATTAACTTTTTGAATAGAAATAACTATATACAAGGTTTCCTGAATCTCATGTTTTAGTGTTAATGAAAATTTGGAAAAGATCGACAAATTCATTCCAGTAACGATAGGAAGAAAACATCTCCAATTCTATAATACCAATCATTTCCTTCTTCAAACTGATTATATGTTGATATGCCCTAAACTTTGTTCTTTCTCAAAATGAAGGCAACTTATTTCTTCAAGTTCGCACAATAACATTACCTTTTCCAAGCTCCTTCGAGCATTTAGAGATGTACCAGCCCAAGCAGAGATGCCTTCTGAATCGCGAACTACACAGACCAAGATGGTCAATACAAACAAAGAGGTTATTGATGTTTTCATCTTAATTAAAGTTGATTTTATGAAAGTATGAACTACACTAGTTTTTCAATAAATCTACAAAGACTTCACCATAGTATGTGCATGATATTACAGCAAGCAAACCACTTGTTTTTATATGTACGTGTGTGCTAATTGCCAAGCTCATTAACGAGTGACATTTTACATATAAATACTGTCGGTGCTTTGAGCCTACTAACTCCATTGTTACACTAATAGGAGCATATAATACAGTTGTAGAATGAAACATAATTAAAGAAGTCCGCCAAAAAGTTATAATTGCACGTTGTTTATATGAAGCAACGTGACAGCTGCACCTTTCATGTACAACATACAAAACACCTGCTGTGAATTTTCGTCCTGTCTTCAGTCTTCTAATGTAGCGTGTAATATTGTTTTCTGAACATGAACGAACGACACCTTGCTGGCAAACTTTTTATCATCAATTTAAATTTTGTGATCTCAATGGAATGAAGGATTTCGTATGAAACTACTAAAAATATTCAAACGAAGTTCATTTAAATTGTAACGACAATATGATTTTGATATTCAATACAAAGTACCCAATTGAAATATTTCAGAATTCTCATTAAAGTTACGATGTTCAGACACGTAACAAATGCAAAGTATAATAACATTTTTGTAATGCGTCATGATTATTAACGTTTTTTTCACATAAATTGTTAACTATTATTGTATTTAGGTAAGATTTCTTCATTATGAGCACAAGGAAAGTTGGGGAGAGTAAAAACAAAAGCTAAGATGTGTTGGTTAAGAAATCGTGGATAAGTTTTTTTCGTCATTTCGCCAAAAATTTAGTCCCATATATTTCATATAAGATGTATCTATCTATCCAAAGAGCATTTATCCAGAAGCAATTTTGATAATTTCTTAATAATTTAAATATATAGCATTCTTATTACAAACCACTCCCACACTAAAATACTTTTTTTCAACAAATTTGGATTGTTTTTGAGTAAATGTTATTTTTTCGCAGCTATATAAAAATGCAAAGACTATAGTCTTTTGCGTAAAAGTGTGTAAATGTTCGCAGATTTGGAAATGAAAAGATAACATTATATATATAATTTATTTTTTACTAGATGTTACATCTATAAATAATTATCAAACAAAGATGGGTTAAAACCAATAGGACATCAGCTTTCCACTGTTATTCTTAATTTTACATAAAGTATACATTCCATTCCACCAAAAGTTAAGCTGGTATTTTCGGCTGTTATTTTTCTTCGTTTTCTTCGTTTTTCTTCATTTTTTTTTCGGCTAGTTTCACTCTCTGTCTTCTCAATTTTTTCAAATTCTGCTGTTAGTACTGAACACTTTTTACACTCGACAAAAAATTATAGTATATAAAAATCTATATATAAATACATAAAAATCTAAAATCAAACTTTGAAACAATAGTCAATATCATGGGTGTTTAATTGTACTGTACGAGTTTTTATCCAATACCGGAACATCAACCTGGTTCGGTCATGCATAAATTTTATAATTAAATCTTCAATATCATTAACGAGGCTTACATAGTTTGATTTTGGAATAAAATCCTAACTTTAAACGCCATTCAAAATATCGAAAAGGTGAGACAGATATTCATTTACATAATATACAAGAAAAACAACCAATAACATATCCTTCACAATATTTTTATAATTGCAGTAATTTTGTGACCTTGTAATAAAAAGCGAATGCATAAAAAACGATTAAATGTAAGAAAAGACTACATTGTGAGTCTTTAATGTAGAAAATTAACTTAAAAAACGATTTAAAAATGAAGACTATACACCCGATGTTCTTTTAGTAATACGGGTTGTTTCAGGTGACAGGTACACAAGTTTAATCCGTAGCAAAGTTAATGTATGCCTGTGTTTTTCTCAAATGAATTTGCCTTTTTGTAACGAAACTTCAGAGAAAAAATATTCAAGATTAAAGCTGGACAGAGGGTCAGAATACGACAGTAATATTTTTAGGAAAATACTAAAACATACATAATAAGGAGAAAATTTAAAAACTTAGTACATAGTTTGTAATATTTACTACGAGACTGGTAAGAATAAATATTTTGTATTGTGTAAATGCTACTTTTCACAATTTAACATCAATTTATATCTAGAAATGCAAAGGCTTTCACTGTATTGCTTCACCCTTGCAGTAATCTTTAACAATCAAGGTAACTGATATTTTACTTTGAACCAACGATATTCAAGACCGCCGGATAAAAATCGACAACTTTTCTTTGTGTTGTTGTAGAATTTCCAGTTTTTTGCGCAGGATTGGCGGGTCCAAGTCAAATTGATTTGGAATCAGGTTTGTGTTAGGGTATTTGCAACACGTTTAAAAAGCGTAAAAGAAGTAGTACAATTTTGAATAAAGTATTTAGCACAGTTACTTGTAAAGGCAAAGTCAATATGGAAGTTACGAAGTGAAAAGAGAAAATGCGAGCAAAACAAATGAAACAATTTCATTTTCAAGTAGTTACAAAATCAAGAAGGCTTTATATCAAATTTCGATTCTGCCCATGTAGAAAAAACATTGACAATATGCACATCTCAAAAACGATCTCTAACTTGCGGATCACCGGGATCAACTATCGCCATAACAGATGTATTCTGGGGAAGGCAATCACGTGATGTTTGTCCCTCGGATGACGGTGATGAGCACGTGGACTGTGGAGCGGCTAAGGAGACACCAGGGATAGTTAGGAATATTTGTGAAAGCAAAGCCGCATGTCAATTGGAGGCAAAACACAAAGTACTACAAAATCCTGAAACACGACATTGTCCAGGTTAGAAAATTCTGGAAAGTGACGTGAGTGAGACGTGAGTGTGCTGCAAAGCTGCCATTAAAAAAGAAAATTTCACCATACGACACTTCTATATAATAGGTGTAAACAAATACCTGCAAGTAAGTTACACCTGCGTTCCTGATGCCAAAGAAGTAACGGTTTGTGATGGTGAGCAAACAACGTTGAAATGCCCAGCATCTTTCAAAACCTTTATTAACTCGGTGTTTTGGGGTCGGCAGTCAGTTAATGTATGTCCAGCCGATAACGGTTTATCTATGTGCACTGGGGCAAGTGAAAGTCTGGACATGTTGAAAAAGAAATGTGATGGAGGGGATAAATGTGACATAACAGCATCGTATAATGAGGTATGAAGTGATAAGCAGTGGGGGGATACTGTGAAGCAATAGGGTGAGGAGAGGTAAAGCAGTGGGGGATGATGTGAAGAAATAGGGGTAAGTAAAGGTAAAGCAGTGGAGGGATGATTCGACCACCTTTATCAACTTAAATCAGGTAAATATCAATGAACACCTTCTTTTCTAGGTGCAAAATGGAGGCGAAAATTGTCCAGGAATTCAAAAATATCTGATCATAAACTACAGCTGTAAGCCTGCCGGAGCTAAAGGTAGGTATGCATAACCTCTAAAACAAATACTTTACTAACAATTTGCTCTGTAGCATAAGAGAAGCAAAATGTTTTCGGAAAACGATTTCAAAAACAGAGATCAATTACTTCATCTAAGTCCATACCCAAAAGGACCAAACACTGCAATCAAAAATAACTACGCTTCTTTGCAAATTAAAAGTGACTTAAATTTTCCTACATTGAGTTAAGCTAAATCTGATGTTTGACAATAACAACTGTTTGAACTTTAACAAAATAATACGAAGATCTCAGCAGTAGCTTCTTTGTTTCCATGTTATTTTTAGATGAAGTAGAATGACAAAATCTTCTTCGCAATCATCACTTTGATTAAATTATTCATGTTAGATAAAATTCTTACTCTTCTTGTACAAGAAAATATGGACGAATAGTGGATACTACCTTACTACAGGAGATAACTTTGTGCCATCTTGTTGTTTTGAAATTTTGAAATGATAACTAAACAAAAACGTGGCTTTATCTTTTTCATTAGCAGACGAGGATTCAGAACAAGATGATGGAGATAATGATAGCGACGATGTGATGTCAAAGTCTCTTCCTTCAGGAAATAACGTTCACCTCACAACTACAGAAAACAACCGTTTGGGAACAGGAGGTTTAAAAGCTTTAGAAAAAGTTAACACTTTGATTAAGAAGTCAGATGGTAAGAGTGCCATTACATGACAAGTTAAGAACGTTGTGAAATGTTTGTGTCATGCCTTAGGAAGTAGTTTGGCAATGCTGAGAACATGAATTTTCAATTGGTGCAAATCCAATTTCACATTAATTTAATTTTACCGGAAAAATGACGGCTCTTAACATGAAGTCAAATGCGGGAAGATGAAGACTTGTCTCAGAGAAAAACAAAACCTTAGTGTTCTGTGATGCGAATTACTTTGACAATTTTTGTTTGAAATTATTCATATTATTTTGCCATCTAAACACCGTTTCTATGATAAGGTGAAATAACTGACGATCAAGAAAAGGCGATCGAGAGAATGATAATCGGAGGATTAGAGGATACACAAAAGCAAAAAACAGTAGACGTAATGGGAACACCAAAAACATCTATTCCTAAATTACACTCTAAATCTGGTTCGGATATGAACAAACAGATAATGGAATTAGCGAAACTTGTCGATGAAGCAACATCAAAAATAAATTATAAGAAAGCGACAGTGGCAAAACCACAAACAATCAACGGAAATGGTAAGGGATCTAAGATTTTTTATGGTTTTAAATCTTGGACTAATTTTTAATATTTCACAAAGTCAGGACTATCGGCAATAATTTACTTACAAATAAAAACTAAAATGTGGGTTAAACTCCGTAGCTACAAGTCGTGACGTCGTAGGTGATAAAGAAATGTTTAACTATGTCATTTAATTTTGAACTTTTTATTAATCGGTATGCAGTATATAATTTTTATGAACAAACCTTTCTTTCATTTTCAGTCAAAAAAGCAGTTAAAAGATTGAATGTTCCACATCCTATGGGATTCACACAGCATTCAACAACTTTAAACAAAGTGAATACTACATCTACAGTGCGGAGAAATTGGTTGAAGAAAACAAACAAACGAAATTCTATTTATGGAAAGATAACGCCACATTTGTGATGTTGAAAAAAGTTTTTGAACAGAACTCAACGTTTCAAATCTTCAAAATTTATACAAGTTTTCAAGACAAAATGGCAAATGAACTATTTCGCAAATAAGAACACTTTAAATTGTAACATAGCTGAAGAGTACTTTGTGAAGTATTTAGAGAAGCAAATAAATTTTTAGTCAAATAAAGACAACTGGTCTCTCTCTCACTTTATATGTAGAATTTTCTATAACTCTGGTAAACAAGTCCCGTATTTATCTTCACATGCATACTTCTTGAGGAAAACAATATGAATAAAACTTATGTCTCTTGTTGTATATTTACATTATTATAACAAGTCGAATTAAACGGTATATTTGAATGTGAAAGATTTTTATTTTTCAGAAACAACGTTTGTTATTGTAACATGCAGGTGGCTGTAAATACCTAAATCAAACTACTTCAAGCGGAAAAACGTGTAAATATGGCTTAATATGGAGTACATAGAACTTCAAATCAAAAATGTTGTCTTGAATTGGAAAATTAATCCCTGAAAATGCATTTTACCTCTTGGTATTTTCTTCTAAGTGTTGCATTCTATTTTGGCATGTTCGTTTCGAGAGGTAAAAGTCATAATTTGTGTGATTTTCTTTTGATTCAATCCGTTTATTTCAAAACAATGAACGCAAACGAAGATAAGTGAATAGAAGTCATACCAATGCCATAATACTTTAACAACTGAAAATTAATATTTTCTTTAAACGCTACTCTATGAGGACGAAGAAAACGTATAGCTTTGTGATTATCACTGTTGACTAGTTCATTTAAAATGACTACATATTTTAACTGTCTAATGACTTTTTTTGCTAAACAGTTTTGAAGCAAAATAAACTGGCTTTGAAGAAAAGGAGTATTTAAATCAAGTCCTGATTCCAAGGGCCTTGTCACTAATGACAACTACAGTCAACAGTAGCACCAGAGATGGCTATTTTTACAACTGTACATACTTTTTAGGAAATATCTCAGTAGCCTAGCTATAGCATGCTTTCACCACTTTGACACCTTCTTTTCACTGAATCTATAATCTAAGTTCCTATTTTTTCATGCTATCAAGCATGTTATGCTGCTTTCCTGATATTATATTATCGTATCATATTATTTTTAGGTCATAAACACTCAAACACAGTGAAAACGCAAGATCTACGAGAAGAAGATTTGAACTATATCGATGAATTGGAAAATGGAACATTAAAGAAAATAAACCTTAAAGAAATCGAAGGCCTACTTTCTACAACATTTGCTTCCAATTCTAAAATCAAAAATACGCGAAGAATCAAGTCAAAATATGTGCAAGAAAAGCCTCAAAAAGTAAAACAAACGCGTATAATTGCAAAAAATTCTGCACAGAAAGGAAAAAAATCGCATGCAAAAACATCAAGCAATGTCATTTCGAGTATAGAAGACTCAAGAAAAAAAATCATAGACTTCATCAAAGGTCGGTTGATGTCAAATAAACGATATGCTATGGCTAATCAAAGTCGTGCTGGGGAAAGAACAGAAGATAAGATGAAAATGGAAAGAAATGAAAGCGGAAAATTAGCATTTTCTAACACGGTGAAGGCTGTACCCGAGAAAATGAATAAAACATCAAAGAAATCACCAAATGTGAGCAAAAACTTGTCAACCAGTTCACAAAAACTAAAAAATGACAGAGATTCGTCAGTGTTTAGAAGGCTCGAAAACATAGCTCATTACGTGTTAAAAGCTTTAAAACAAAACAAAGGACCGTCAAATGGATCAAAAATACATTATCAAATACATCGCGAGGATCTGTTGACAATAGGAAATTTCATAAAAACGACAAGAAATTCTAGCATTGCAAGAGATATAAAAGTGCAAAGTGCCCGAAAAGCTTTGTTTGCAATTAAAAATTTGTTGCAAATTGTTAAGAAAAAATCAAAGAACAGTCGAATTGTCTTTGGAAAATGGTCAATGAATTATAGAGAGACTGGAATTAAAAATAATCAATTACAATTGATTAAAAAAATATCGAGTAATAATGGATACAACTCAAAGCAAGAGCAAGATTCACTGAGCAAACTTGTTAAACATCGCATAAAACGTTTAAAACAAAAGTTGTTGAAAGCTTTAACAGCGCGGCATGGTAAGAAATTACATTTAGACATAAAAAAATTAAAATCAAAGCTTAAAGTGAAAACAAAACAATGGAAAAGAGACAAACGAGAAGTCGGAACAATTAAGAAAAATGAAATATTAATTGATAAAACGCAGCAAAAGAAATCAAAAAATGTTTTGAAACATGAGAAGATGATTGGAAAGGTTAATATGTTCCACAACATCAAAAAACAACTAAGACACATTATTCAACAAGAATTTGACAAAATACAGCAAACGATAAGAAAGACTGAAAGAAAGGCTCGCATTGGTACAAAAAGATTTTTTCTCGCACATGGAGCAAAAAGTTTTCGGAAGAACCTGATCTCACTTGCAAATATTGACGCCACTAAAATGAGCGATAAAGATTTAAAGAAACTTCATGATCAGTTAAACGAGTGGATAGCGGTCGAGGAAAAACTGGAACGCAAAACGAAGAGTGATAAAGTGAAAGAAAATCAAACGAATGATTCAGTGCCTTCATCAATAAAACGTGCTAATTCATGGTATGATAGAGCAAACTCACCAAAAGATTCAAAGGGACAAAAGGAAAATGGCAATCTAGAAATAATAATTGACATAAAAAGAAATAAAAGTAAAGAAATGGATAATGACCAATCTGAAGAAACGAAAAACATAAAAATCGAGCCGTCAAAAGATGAAGACAATGTTGAAGAACAATCTCTTCAAGAAATGACAAAATCCTACACGGATGAAAAGGCGTTTGATGATCTTAACTTTAAAGAAACCGCAAATGGCTTGGAGAATGACGATTACAGTCCGTTAAACAACGAAAGTCCCAGAAATGAAGATATGATTACGAACAAACCTTACAACCAAAATACTGGAAAGGATGAAAATTTCGAAGAAAAAAACATTGCCATTGGAATCCAAAATGTGAAAGGAAAATCAAACGATCGTATTCTAAGCTACGAAAACAATGTTTCTAACACTGGGAAACCTAGTAAGGGCGGTCAGCTTAATCATGACGGTCAAGTTATAAATGAAGGTCACGCTACTAATGAAGCTCATGTTATAAATAAAGTTCATGTTAAAAATGACAACAAAATTGCACATGAAACTCAAGTCAACAATGAAAATCAAGATACATATGATTATGGTCCAGTTTTCAATGAAGGTCAAATTGCTGATGAACGTCATAATCTAGAAAATAGTGAAAAAAGCAATGAAAATAGTAGAGTGAAGCCAATTCTTTCCATTCCAAACACGAAAATAGCAGAACTTCAAATGAACAATAATCAGTCGAACGGGGAAAATGAAAAAACGCTTACACCATCACACCATGGAAGCTGCCTCAACATATAAATAAGCCATTGCAATACCAATATGGCAACGAACAAATTTTTGAACCAACGAGTCGGGACTTTCATTTTCAAGATGCTCAAAAAATGAGATACAGAAAACAAAACCAGATAAGTTATGTCCGCAAACCATTTAACATAAGACCGTTTGGAGTCAAAACATCATTCAACACATCATCAGATGAACGACTCGTTGGAGATGGGATAAAAAACAAAACAGAACATGAACAATACATAAAACAACGAGGACCAACTTTCTTTGCTCATTACAGAGATAGTAAAGAACAGAAAAATGCAATGAATGCAAAAGTTGAAAAATCTAATGAAAACATGCTCGATGGTGAAAACATGAAAGAACAAACAAACAAACACAGAAAGAACAATAAAATAGTGAATGACAATGGTAAAAATATGGATGAAACAATAACTGGTCGTAAAACAGAGAAACCTAGCATAAGAGTAGAGAAAGGTTCTCCTTTAGCCCTATTTGACTCTTCTGAGCTTAAAGATAAAGAATTACAATCGAATGGGATTGAAAACGAGAATTTAAAAGAGTCAGAGTATTTGGCAAGACATGTCAACGATGAAAACTCTGACATTAAACCACATATTAATAATAACATCATATCTTCTCCTGTGCAACATGAGGCGAACGTGAACGCTGAGAGCTCCGACATCAAAGCAGGTATTATTAACATCTCTCTTCCTTTGCAACGCGTGGCAAATGTGAACACTGAAATCTCTGACATCAAAACAGGTATTAATAACATCTCTCTTCCTTTGAAACGCGAGGCAAATGTGAACGCTGAAAGCTATGACACCAAACCAAGTATTAATCGCATCTCTCTTCCTTTGCAACGCGTGACAAATGTGAACACTGAAAGCTCTGATATCAAACCAGGTTTTATTAACATGTCTCTTCCTTTGCAACGCGTGGAAAACTTCAAAGAAAGCCAACACGATGCACGAGAATATCATAATTTAACACAAAAATATCATGGAAACGAGCCTGGAGAATCAACCAGTTTGAACTCAAAACAACTAGACAAATATGAACATCAAAATCTTTATCAATTACAGCAGGCTGTTAAAGAAAAGTTTACGAAGCAAAACCCCAATAGTTTTTCAGAAAATTCAAGAAACAAAATGAGAAAATATTCAAGCAAGTTAACTGAAACATATGCGTATATTCGAGGTGCGATAAAAACAATTCCATCACAAACAATTCACATCTTTCATTCCAGAAGCAAACCTTTACAGTTAATTCCAATCCAAGAAAAGAGCTTGACTACGACAATACCGAAGTTTAAAAAAGTCGAGGCGAGTTTAAATCACAAGAGCTTCGTAAAAATCCTGGAAAAGAGCCCAGTGACAAAAATGCGCGAATTCACAGATAAAGAATCATCAGATCCAGCGGTTTCTTCCGAAAGTGGTAAGGAAGATATGGATACAAGCAGTTTGAATCTTCCATCATCACGACTGGCAACGCAGTTATTGCAGCAGAATTCAAATGATATTAAAATTTTATCAAAACCAGAAGAGATCCAAAGTAATGATAGAGAAACAGCATTATCAAACTTGGAAAATCGTCTAATATCATCGATTGATCCAACTGATCTATCATCTTATAAACACACGATAGATATAGCAGAACGAACAGGCACAGGAGACGTTGTACCAGTCAATATGAATGCAAAAAGTGCGGAGATCAACGCTATTACAAACCCTTCATCAATACCAAACGATGCAGATGAAAGGATACCATCCGAGCATGTACTTGTCTCACCTGATAGTACCAAAGAAGTGGATATAATGAAATCTATGTCTGGCGACCAGGACGGTAGATTGGCTGCATTACAAGATCTTCAAGCTTTGACAAAAGTACAAAAAGAACTAGCAACACAGGAGAAAGAGACGTTTTCAAATCCGATGTTTCTGAAAAAAATCTCCAATCGCCCTTCGATCTCAGGCATACCGGTAGATTCGCTGGATATAACTCACACCTCGACAATGCCTCTTCGTGAAAGAGAAAAACTTGATGCAACTCTCCTATTTTCAAGTGCAAAGTTAAAACGAGAAGATAAAGATGAAACAGTTGAAAACAAGTTCGTCCCAGAGAGAGAAAACTTACAACTTGCAATGAAGAACAAACTGACAGCATCTAGTGCAAATTTTTCACGCCCTAAACTCACAAAAAATATTCCTCAAACAGGTCGTTTATATTTTTCGCAACCTAAGAAAGCTGCTGCATTTTCCAAGGAAAATCGTTCAAAATATCGCACCGGTCACAACACATCAAACACGGAAAAGTTAGTTATAGAAATCGTGAAACCTTCATCAAAGTATTTCGAAATTAAACAAAATAAAACAAACAAAAAGCCAATTGACGGCCCAATCAGAGAGGCAGACATCTTTTTGAAGTCAGAGAAATTGAACACAAAACCGTTCAATGCTTCAAGTCATGCACAAAAAGCTTTGGAGAGAGAAAAGTCTCAAACATCTATATTCTTACCAAATTCTCCCTTGAATCCTAAAGGTGACTTCTTGTTTCTGGATGATGATACAAAAACAACGGGTAGGGCAGGCACAATAAAATTGTTATCTAAAAGTAACTTAAGCAATGAAGAAAAAATGAAATTGATTAAAGAATATCAAGACAGTCAGAATACTTCGAACACAGCCAAAATTGACGATTCGAAGATCAGCGATATGCTAAAGACAGGAAAGTTTACCGAACACGATTTGAAAAGTGATTTTGCTGGAAAAGAAGCAGCATTACAAGATGTGATGATGTTGGAAATCGAACGAGATTTAAATGAAAAGATATCACAGGCTCATTTGCGTGCAGCTGAACAGAGGAAGATGAAAGAAAATGAGATAAAAATAAGTCAGCAGGAGAATGCCATGTCTCTACCAGGAAATTTATCCCCGGACATTACACTTCCTAGTAACATATCCCCTGGTGGAGCAATCCCAGGAATTTCACAAGGTACAACATCACGACCACTAAAACACATTCAACCTTCGGAAAATACACTTCAAGAATCGAGGAAGATGAAAGAAAATGAGATAAAAATAAGTCAGCAGGAGAATGACATGTCTTTACCAGGAAATTTATCCCCGGACATTACACTTCCTAGTAACATATCCCCTGGTGGATCGATTCCAGGAATTTCACAAGGTGCAACATCAACATCACTAACACACAATCAATCTCCAGGAAATATATTACCAGATACCACACGTCCAACGCAGATGGATAAGTTTTTGGATGAGGAACAAAAGATATTAAGGGATGACAACAAATCAGAAGATTACGATACTTTTTCAACGACACAAACAACAAAGGTAAGTGTTGTAGAATTGGACGTGTTCCACATTTTGATGAGATTTTACTGTCACTTTGCACAAGATAATTACAGCCTGCTGCAGTTATTAATTTGTAACAAGAGGTAGAACAGATGGTTTATCACAATCTATTTTTTCTGATTGAGTGCCTTCACTGATTTTTCCCCAAGCACAAAGCCAAGAATTAAAATAAGAAATTTTTGACTAAACTAAAATACACAACCTTCAAACTATTGACCAGTGATGTGCAAGATCCTGGCTTTCATTGAAATTAAATTGGTATTATGACATAACCAAACACACGTTCTAAACAGACTTTACCTCTGTATTTTAAGACACCTTACAGCTATGGAGATAATTTACAAACTGACAACGAGCCGAGATACGGAAGGAAACCCATCAGAAATGAAATGAAACCATATGACAGCTTTGACTTTCCTAATATCCAAAATTTGGTGGACTCGGTTCAGGGATTGACGCCGTCAGAGATAAAGGCTTATGGGATTGGTCTTCGCAATGACGTATACATTGATAAACTCGCACCCAGTCATTCCTCCACTCAACAGTCATTACAAAATGAGTACTCGACCATGGGTTTAGAGAATGAAGGCAATATTAAACCGTTATATTACATACGTAGATCAAAGATGAACAAATATTTAAAAAATGATAGAAAATAAAAATCTCAATTCGACATCACAGACCTCGCAAAAGCACATAGACAACCAGGTAGTTTTAAATGAAGATTTATCTGATGACTGAACTACACGTGAGATGAAAAACGCCGTGATTTTTTTACATTGTTCAATATAAATAAGATGGAAGCTTGTTAGAGCATATAAAACGGATTGAAAAGATTCTGAAAGTAGTTTTTGAATCGCCATTAAAGCAACTAATGTTTATAAAAAGCTGAAACTTTAACAAGATGAGGTTCATTTTAGATTTGAATCACTGGTGAGCTTACCAAATTAAAAGAGTAAAAATTGTTAATTCATTATTTTATTAAGATCAAAGTATACATGTAATTCATTAAAATAATTTTATAATTAATTTCTTTCACGTTTTCTTGTGCGAACGCCCCTGGAAAACATACTCTTCATATTCATCGTCATCGCTGTCATCACTATAGTCACTTCTCAACAAAGCCTTGGAGTTGAAAGACTTCATTGCCACATCTCGATCATACTCATCTTTGTAAGCATTTCGCCCATGAAGCTTCATAAAATCTTTTCGCCTTCCGCAACGCCGAAATATCCGCAGGGATGCAAAAACCACGAGTGCAAAAATAATTCCCACCAACACGAAAATTGCAATGACATGCATTTTTTTGATGCCAAAGAAAATAAAAGATTTTCTGTTTTATTTAGCTTGGAAAGCTGAAAGTTAACCACAACTCCTTTAACATCATCACCAACCAGCACCTCTTTTGTAACACTTTTGTAGTGATGCGCCGATGCCGTTATTTTATATGAGCCTGCAATAAGGATTCGCCAGTAGTCGCCATGTTTAGCAGTGTACACAATTTGATGGAAACCGGTCACAGCTATTTCTGCACCAACAATTGGTTTACGATTTTCATCAAAAACAAAGCCTCTAACACCACGATGAACCTAAAACAATAACCTTTTCTGAGTAAAAGTTAAAACAATTCAAAAATGATTCTCACTTAATTGAAAAAAAACAACTCACCAAGATGATTACATAGACTTTCGCACACAAGTCAATGTTAACAATGACGTGTAAACTACACGTGATGTACACGTGACGTACTCGAGTTAGAACAATTAAAAAACCTTTGTTGTTTGAATTTTGATTTTGTGAATGATTAAGCCATAATAGTATGAATAAATATGTTCATACCTCAAATAAATATGAAAACTGTTTTTTTTGAAAAGTTGTGTTTAAAAGCGGACTGAATAATCATCATAAATTATGAATAATCATCATAAATTATGAGTGTTTTTACAAACCGAAACCAGTACAATATTTAAGTAGATATTTTGGTCAATTTATCAAACAGACATAGAACACAAAGAAATTGCTTGATATTATAAAGGAAGGAGCGCCCTGTACGCCTACAGTTAACGGATAAAAAATTCTCACTTACCTCATAAATGTAGCGAATGAGAGATTCCCGGTTGACTTTCCAAAAATTTTGTAAAGTGTTCGGAAACGGAAATCGACAACATCCCAAATACAAAGAAACTTCGAAGCAATTCTTTCTCAAGTAATTGTAGTCCTTCATTGAACTAACTTTATTTTCCCATTTAAAACCAGGTGATATTCCACCAGGGTATTTATCATTCACGGATAAACCTGGACACGAAGGTTGCCCATAATGCATTGTTTGATGAAGTTTTGCATACCCGGATGCAAGATGTCGGAAGATAGCATCATCGGCCATCTTGTGATTGTTCATAAGATGAATGGAGTCAAAAGGATAAGTTGCTAAAATGGTTCCTCCGTTTAAAGTAGCGGAAAGAACGAACGGATGACTGTTCATCCAATTAACAATAGCGACTGTTTCAGGTTCTAGGTTGGATATGTTTGTACCAACTTTATCTAAATAAGAAAACATCATTGACTGAATTATGCCAGAAATAATGTAAAATTTAAGCATTTTTTTCACGAAAATACAAGATCTATTCAAATTTTATACTTTATTAAAACTGAGCTTCACTTCATTAAAGCTTTAAGTGTTCTATATTTATCAACAATTGTCTGCTCACTTATACATTCACAAATATGATTTCAAAGATGATGTCACAATATAAAGTACGGAAAGCAAACGAAATTCTCGAGGTTTCTCCCAAAGATTTAAAAACCTTTAAAAACCTTTCATTTCAACTTAAAAATACGGCTAAAGATTATATTTTTGTTGTTGGACAAACTGGTCTTTTCTGCGATCAAATAATTTCTCCATTTGTAATTGCTTCTGTTACTGTATTGAATGCACAACTACATCGTAAAATGACATTCAGCGTATCTATACTCTTATAGGTCTCGTCCAAAAATAAAACAATGAAATGTTTTAGATTATCTTACTTGGATAAAAATCATCCAAGTCAACATCGTTGGCATTGTTACGTCCAATCTTTGACGTGCAATCTCCCTCTCTGGCGTTCAAACTGCCATCGACATTGAGCATCGGTAAAATATGTATCCGCGTGGAATCCACGAGTTTCGTGACAAGATCATCATTACCATAATTTACACAGAGATGTTTTAACAATAAAAGTAACATTTCCGTACCAACCCGCTCATTACCATGTACACCTGCAATGTACTTGAATTCAGGTTCGCCCGCTTCGTGAATACCTAAAGAAATATAATTGCTGAAGAATGACGCAACATCATATCAGTGTAAATGGTTTGAACCTGGAAGTATCGTTACATGTTTGTAGATGAAGAACGTCTAGGTTAGTATAGTCCTGAGGACTGTTGGGGTTGATCAACATCAACAGCATCCTTCTCAGGACTCTACTAACCTAGACGATCTTCATCAACATCATATCATTAAAATTCGCACTGTGGACTTATGTGTTCTGCTATAACATCAGAAAACCAACACTGTTAACATATGCTATAACATCAGATTACACATAATGAAAACACAATATTAGAGTATACTGGTCATAAGACACAAGCCTCGGTTTATTAAAACTCAAGATTTAACATCTTGATGTATGGACATTCTTAAGTTCATCCATAATGTGGCCACACCAAATGGTCAAATATACGATCATGTGGAAACATTCTCACATAAAACAATTATATAATATACCTGGATTATCTGACAGTTCAACCACTTGAATAGAACGACCTTCAACTGTCTTGCCAATTGTATATTGTCTCATCACATCAGAGCAATGTAAAGATAACCAAGTAAAGTATTCATCAATATCTTTTGTTTCAGTATACTTGTTGATCTTCGCAACTTTATTAAGACGAAACAAAATATTCTTCTTGATTTCTGGTCCAACTGTAACTTCTTTAATAACATTCAAATATCCTGGCGCATGCGCTGTAAGTTTATACACCCCCCGAGACAAGATTCGGTAGAAACTACCGTAGTCTTTGGTAACATTAATCATGATATTGCGACCAAGAATGGTGACGTAAGCATTACGTATTGGCGTCTTTAATTCGTTAGTAATATCTCCCTTCACTGCTTGTCTAACCTTGTCCAATATTGCCATCAATGATGGTTCGTTTTTCACATACATTACCCGTAGTTCTTCGCTGGGTATGTTGTGACAACAATGTACATGTGGGGATATTGTAAGAATGTGCAGATCCAAGTACGAGTAATCCTGTAAGCTATATGGATTTTTCTGCGAAATGGAAGCACCATTTGTGACGCCACCAGGGAAGACAATTCCTGAGCTTTTACAACCTCTCCCGCTATGCATGTCGGGATACTTTTCAGAGTAGGTAAGCGCCAGTTCACGAAGGATGTCGTCGTCGGCTGTCGTAAAATTGTTAGCACGAGTAACGTGATTAACACTTGCATCAAGTGGGTATCTATGAATGCATAAAATAATGATGAAGAAAAGATAAAAAAATCGAAAAATTTGGGTGATTTGGTTTGTGTTGCTTTGTGGAAAAGATTAGAGATTAACACTGAACTTGGATTTTATAAATTGATTTGATCAAGTTGAAATGATGACAAACGCCAAGCTTGGATTTCCTTCAACTTAGAAGTGATTTAATCAAGTTAGTAATACAAGTACACTGGGAATAATTAATATGCTTGTAGAGGAAAAGAGAGAGGAGTCCATGATTATAAGCAGAGAGAAGGAAGTTTTTCTTTTTAATATTTTTAAAAATATGAAGACGGAAAGTACAGGCGTTAAAAAATGAAGACATTATACCTGGTCACTAATTGCCCGCCCTCAACATTCACGAGCAAAGCGAGATTTTGATGACTCAGCCATTTTTTGAGTTGCTTTACCTCAGACGGAGCATCCAGAGCAGTTCTCAGAAACTAAAACACAGAAAGTAGACAATTAAGAATTCGAAACGTTTCGCGATTCTTATCTTGGAATAAATTAAAAAACGGAATTCCAATGTTGATGTACGTGTCAGATGTCGTGTTTTTTTGAAGGAAACATTATTTAAAGACAAGGAACTTATCAATGATAATTTACAATAAATAATTATTTCATGTATTATCAGCAATCTTAATTATTGTCAGCAAGTATTGTCAAAAATCTTAATTATAAACGACAATCACATCAACAAACAACATCATCTAACAAACTCGACATTTGAGATGTCAACAGAGTTAGACATCGGTTATGTTAATCTTTAGACAGCTGTGAAAAATGACCAACCATTTACACACATGTGTTTAGATTTTTCAAGGTAAGGACGTATGTAAAGTGTGATTGTAGCAACGAAAATCTTGGGACAACATAATATTATTTGGAGTTTGCATTGCATTTTAATTCCCTAAATTATCCATTACCCACATTTGAATTGAGATGAAATCACTTAATGCTATGACTGCTAATCAAACATTAACATACAATGTTTATTGTAGTATAATGCATACCTTTGATATGTCATCCGGCAAGTCTCGTTTCTCTCGAACTAAACCAGAATGATGGAACCATTTGGATAGATCTTTGTCTCCTAAATCGCCACTATCACACTGTTTATTCGTCATGTTTTCGTATCTGACACAAAGAATAAGTATATGGATATTTTTAAGTTGGGGTTGGGATAAGGATATGGGTAAGGGTTAGGGTTGGGGTAAGGATATGGGTTAGGGTAAGGGTTGGGGTAGGATATATGTTAGGGTTAGGGTTGGGATAAGGATATGGGTTAGGGTTAAGGTTGGGGTAAGGATATGGGTTAGGGTAAGGGTTGGGGTAAGGATATGGGTGTTAAGGTAAGGGTTCCACTAAAAGTTTTACGAAGTTTTCAGCCGACCAATGACTAAATTGTACAAGATCGTTGCTTATAAAGCGTTTTAAAGTTTAAAACTGAGCAATTGTGTCGGACACTGATGTTATTGAATGAAATGTATGTTTACATCCCCCCAAAAAGATGCATTATATTTGGATTGAACAAACACGACATTTTCTCCGAGATTTCTACACCATGCTTTGTAAAAGACAATAATAACCTACCCGTCCACGTCAACAGCGGGTACAAAAATAACTCGAGTTGTTTGTAAAATTTCAACAATTCTACGCTCGTTTTTTTGATATCCAGAGCATAATCTTTCAATAAACATAAGTAGTAGTTCACGACTGACAGTGTCGTCAGCTCGCACATTACCAATAAAGGCAAGCAATGGTTTACCTAAAACATATAAAAAACTACATTAGACCGTGAAAAATTTAGTTAAAAAATGAAATCCCTTATGACAAACAAATTTCATCGTAGGAGGAAACCATACAGTGAAGTATTAAAAAACTGCCTTTTGACTTTATATTAACCAGAAAATATTTTATACATTTATTTTATCTCTCCATTAATTCCCATTTCATTTTGATTCGTGCATCATAAGGAAAACATCCATTGATTTAAAGGCAATTAAAAACATTTTTATTAAACCTATTAAAAGCTATAGTCTAAATAACCACTTGTTGTTTCTAAATAACCACTTGTTGTTTCTAAATAACCACTTGTTGTTTCTAAATAACCACTTGTTGTTTCTAAATAACCACTTGTTGTTTCTAAATAACCACTTGTTGTTTCTAAATAACCACTTGTTGTTTCTAAATAACCACTTGTTGTTTCTAAATAACCACTTGTTGTTTCTTTGTTCAGGATATAATGTGTATGGTTGTGTATTACCTACTTTGCTTTTACGCATGGTGGTGGCATGCCAAGCTCCGATAACTGTCATTGAGGCAACGAGTTTGAAAATGAATTTGTTGAAACAAACTGAAGAGGACATACAACATGCCAAAAATGTACGACTAAATACATGGAGTATGCACTCTATCATACAAAAAAGATCATATCGATTAATACCTAACCTTCCTTTGCTATGCTGGGATCTTCAGAAACTTCAAAGGAATATATCTTACGACCATCAGCACTTTCTCCAATGGTAGATTGTGAGGTAATATCAGAATATGTTTGAGTGAGTTGTTGAAACATTGATACCATCTCTTGATAATTGTGATGAAACCAAGCTGTTGATCCTATGAAAATAATTCGTGAAATATGTCGTGTCTTTAAATATGCGAAAAGATGAATCTATTTTTCAAATTTTAAAGAAAAGAGTATTGTCCTTTACAAACCTTTTTCGTCTTGTTGACTAGGAGACAGAGTAGCTTTCGCCGTTTGTGAGGTCCCGTTGATCAAAGATAAAAAATCTGATTCATCAATTTGTTCATTGTTCATTTCTGTTGAATTGCCCCCAACATTTAAAGGTTTGAGGGTAAAGTTTACCGTAGTGGCCAGTCCATCATGTACAGTAACCTCTTTTCTTTTTGATTCAAAACCTTCAGCCTTTGCAGTAAGGTAATAGCGTCCAGGCAGAAGAAGTCGCCAATAATCCCCATAGTTAGCGGTTGAAACATTGTGCTTGATACCAGATACTGCAACTACAGCACGCTTAAGTGGATCGCCATCAGCAGTTTTAACATATCCACGCACACCTTTGTGAACTTGAGTCATAAAGAGGATCAAAGGTTTTTTATGAGCGTTCCAAAGTGAAAGCAACTTTCTTGCCTTGGGAAACTTAGTGCAACCCATTTCGATGGTGATTTCATAGCAGTTGCTGTGTAGATAATTGAAGTCTTGCATACCACCTTTAACAACATACCATTGGGCACCATTAGTTATACCATTTGGGAAAGTTTCACTAGGAAAACCAGTACACGGTTTGGCATGATTCATAAAGGGATGGGCTGTCGAGTAAGTCAATGCCAACTGTTTAAATAGCTTGTCGTCTGGGCTTTTGCTGTAATGGACTTGTCCGTCTTTTGTGTCGTCGTAAGGATAATTGGCAACAAGAGCACCACCATGCAAATTAGCAGACAAGACAAAAGGATTTGAAGTAATCCATTTCATAATAGCCAAAGTTTCTGGTTGTCGAACAGTAGATTGCACTACTTCATCTGAATCAAACCTAAAATTACATGAATGACCATGAAGTATTTGATGGTAATGAATGACCATGAAGAAGTTGATGGTAATGAATGACCATGAAGTATTTGATGGTAAGGAATGACCATGAAGAAGTTGATGGTAATGAATGACCATGAAGTATTTGATGGTAATGAATGACCATGAAGAAGTTGATGGTAATGAATGACCATGAAGTATTTGATGGTAAGGAATGACCATGAAGAAGTTGATGGTAATGAATGACCATGAAGTATTTGATGGTAAGGAATGACCATGAAGTAGTTGATGGTAATGAATGACCATGAAGTATTTGATGGTAAGGAATGACCATGAAGTAGTTGATGGTAATGAATGACCATGAAGTATTTGATGGTAATGAATGACCATGAAGTATTTGATGGTAAGGAATGACCATGAAGAAGTTGATGGTAATGAATGACCATGAAGAAGTTGATGGTAATGAATGACCATGAAGTATTTGATGGTAAGGAATGACCATGAAGAAGTTGATGGTAATGAATGACCATGAAGTATTATAATGAATGACCATGAAGAAGTTGATGGTAATGAATGACCATAAATTTGATGGTAATGAATGACCATGAAGAAGATGGTAATGAATGACCATGAAATTTGATGGTAATGAATGACCATGAAGAAGTTGATGGTAATGAATGACCATGAAGAAATGGTGAATGACCATAAGTATTTGATGGTAATGAATGACCATGAAGTATTTGATGGTAATGAATGACCATGAAGTAGTTGATGGTAATGAATGACCATGAAATATTTGATGGTAATGAATGACCATGAAGTATTTGATGGTAATGAATGACCATGAAATATTTGATGGTAATGAAAGACCATGAAGAAGTTGATGGTAATGAATGACCATGAAGTAGTTGATGGTAATGAATGACCATGAAGAAGTTGATGGTAATGAATGACTATGAAATATTTGATGGTAATGAATGACCATGAAGAAGTTGATGGTAATGAATGACCATGAAATATTTGATGGTAATGAATGACCATGAAGTATTTGATGGTAATGAATGACCATGAAATATTTGATGGTAATGAATGACCATGAAGAAGTTGATGGTAATGAATGACCATGAAATATTTGATGGTAATGAATGACCATGAAGAAGTTGATGGTAATGGTAACTTTACTAATAATACTTTTTCGTTCATATGAATTTTCTTTAAATAAATATTATTACCTGTCAGGAAAATCACGATTCAAATCAACACCTCTTGCATTCACACGACCAACTGCTTGGTCGCCAACCATAGCCTGCTCATAACCATCTGGGTTCATTGAAGGCATAATATGTATCCTTGTGTAGGAAACAATGGCCTTAATTTCAGGAATTGTTTTATAATTTTTACACAGCACTTGAATGAGCAAAAGCAGCATCTCACGACCAACAACTTCATTACCATGCATATTTCCTACATACTTAAACTCAGGTTCACCAGGCTCGTGAACACCAGGATTATCAGAGATCTCGAAAACCCAGAGCTCTCGATCTTCAACAGACTTTCCAACAGTGTACAAGTTTGTTATTTCTGGAAAACGTTTTGCATAATTTTGCAAAAATTTTGTCATTTCTTCATAGTTGTGGTGTATAAATGTTTCTGGCTTTGCCCAATATTGGAGGACATTTTTTAGATCGTGGAAAGTGAATGGAATAAAATTATGATTAGTTATAACAGTATCAACAATTGGAGAGTTTTGTAAGCTGTGAGACAAGTCACTAAAGTCACGTCGTACTCTAAGAAGTTCATCTACCACTGGATAAGCATGTTCATCAATCTTTAGCCTAAAATCAAGTCTCACGTGATTATTTTTTGGAATTACGACATTCTTGGTAGAGCACCTATGGCCATTGGCACAAGCATAAATCTGATAATGACCTGGGACTAGTAATCTCCAGTAGTCACCATATTTTGCAGTAGTTACATTATGCTTTATGCCTTTAACATATATCACAGCATCTTCAATGGGTTTTTTATTTTCATTCTGGACAAAACCATGAAGACCAATGTTTGTTTGCTCCATATATGATAACAAAGATTCTTTATTTTTTATCCACTCATCTAAAAGCTCGTTGGCTGTTGGATACTTACAGCAAGACAATTCAATTGTTATTTCAAAACAGTTTCCCAGTAAGTAGTTCACATCTTCCATTCCACCAGGAACATTGTACCATTCAGCCCCATTTGTGACACCTCCGGGAAAATGTTCTTCACAAGAGGGATCACCTTTGCTCATAGTGAGATGATTTGTTGCATAAACCTTAGCAAGGTGTAAAAAAACAGGATCATCTGGTGTTAAACTAGCAACACCCTGATCAATATGTTGCTTATTGCTATCAAAGGGATAACTTGCAACCAATGCACCACCATGCAAATTTGCAGAAAGGACAAATCGATTGCTCCTAATCCAGTTAATTATTGCTTTTGTCTCAGGCTCTGCATCTCGTTCTATGTTGTAAGTTTCCCAATTGTAGAATTGATCGGGAAAGTTACGATTCAAATCTTTACCATTGGCATTTGACCTTCCCTGAACACCATGACAATCACCCTCCGTAGACATTTCAAAGCCATCAGGATTCATACTAGGCATTATAAATATATTTGTTGAATTAACAAGATTTGATATACGAGAGTCTCTTCCATAATTTCTCAACAGATATTCGATTAAATATATTAATATTTGCCTCCCAACGGCTTCGTTGCCATGCATATTACCGACATATTTGAACTTGGGTTCACCCGGCTCTGTTTCATCTATTTTGTCCGTGATTTGAACCGCCCAAAGTTCTCTTCCTTGAACGGATTTCCCGATGGAAAGTAGCTTTGATATGCTCGGGTATTCTCTTGTCAGCTGTTTTAATAAAGTTGTTAACTCGTCGTAATGTGTATAGTGATTAATTTTAACAGCGCTTTTGTCTTCTTCTTGTCCACGTTTATCTCGGCTGTAGGTCTTAGGAAGAAAGAAGGCCAATACTACGCCAAAAACGGCGTAAATCAATCGAAGATTTCTCATAGTCCGTCTTCACTTTTCTCAGCCATGATGACTTGTCCAATGTTTCCACTTCGGTAAAACGAGATTTTTCCATTTATTGCAATATGGTCGACTGAAGATGTCGTGAAATGAAATGAACTGATGAGATCGTTATGATGACGTGACACATGCGCTGCAGAAAAGCACTTCTGACCTGATAAAAACTCCCTTTTTCCTTTTAGTACTATGATAAATGCTGTGTTTTCGCTGAGAAAAATAAGTTATAAGCGAAAAATAAACAAAACTTTTGTTTTGGTAAATTTAACTAATTTGAAAATACAAAGTTAAAAATAAAGCTTTTGTTGATATGTCTTACATTGGTATCAATCCATTTATATTTTACAATTTTAAATTTAAAATACGTTCACATTGACATTTTTGTATTTTTTTTTGACATTCCAGGTACGCCAAGCTAGTTTAGTTTGTCGAATTGAAACGTCTAATAAATTTTCTGACTGCTTTTAGAAAATGTTAAGACATGAACATGACTGTGTGTTGCATATCCAGACATTTTCTTAATGAGAGCAGATTTTTTTTAAGGCTTGATGATGTATATCATCCTGCTTCTATAAAACGAGCCAAATGAATGTACATGTTATCTTGATTGAGAAGTCTCTTTCCTTCTAAATTCCGAAGATATAAGATAAAATACCGTTCAAACAAAGATTTACATTTACCGCTTACAAGTTCCTGTCTTGCAAGCTAAAAGTTTCGCACACTAAATTTCAATATATAATCAAGACTCAAGCTGACCCCTATTGTTATGTATCCATATTTTTTTTTAATTCAACGCAGACAAATTACGTATTCTTTAGAAATGCTAATTGTAATCATTCTCGATTTACGTCCGTTTTTCTATTAAATTGTTGCAAGATATATTGAGCGATAAGCAATACGAATCCAAGCAAACGATTTTGTTTTAATTTCCAATAAAGCCAAACGTAAGTAATGCAAACATTGACAAATGAAACAACAACAGAGGACGAAGGAAATGAGAGTGATGTAGCAAAATCTGGAAAAGGAATTTTTCTTTCGGCAATAACTGTAGCTACGATAATTGGAAATTCTTTATCACTACTGGCACTGATTGTGACCAAGAAATGGAATACACGATATTTGATTGTGAATTTAGCTACAACAGATTTATTATTGGGTTTAATGGTCATGCCATTTTCTACAATTTCGGCCATTAAAAACCGATGGCTTTTCAATCGATATTTGTGTGATGCTCAAGGCAGCCTGGGATTTCTACTGTGTCAAGTGTCTGTTCTGACAATTACCTGTGTGAGTATGGAACGATACATTCTCTTTCAACATGCGAGTACTCATTTTAAGTGGATGAAATCAAACTCCAAACTTATGCTATGGGTCGTGATTGTAACTTGGTTCTATGGAGGAATGTGGACATTTCTTGCGTGGCAAATACCACAATTCTCGTATCAAAGAGAGCTGTTGAATTGCGCAGTTGTTTGGCGAAACAACTTTCACTTTACCATTTCCTGTGGCGTTATAACTATGGTAATACCAATTAGTTTGATTTTGTGCTGCAACTTCAGAGTTACCATAAAAGTGAGAAAAACGCTAAAAAAAATTAATTTGAGTCGAGCACGCTCAGAAAGCGTTGCGATGAAACGGAGCATTGCGGAAGTTAAAATCTCACGCATGTTGTTGGCTGTTACTGTTGCATTTCTCCTTTGCTGGACACCATATTCATTGGCAGGACTTAGCTATCTCATATCTGAATGCAAATGGCCAAAACAATTTTATGTCGCTAGCGTTATTTCTTGCCTTTTAAACAGCGCAATTAACCCAGTTTTATATGGAACATTTGACAGACGTTGTCGACATGCTCTTGCACACATATTTTGTAAAAGAATGTTGAGAAAGCCGACAAACAGAACAGTCATTCGATTGAAAGGGTCATGTTGTGGTCCTACAAAACAACGAGCTCAACAGGTTATCCAAAGGAATAAGGATGAGTCCATATAAATGGACTCAAGAGTCCATTTGCCGGACACAAGAGGATGAAAATGATAAAAAAATCAACAAAAAACAATAGCTCCACATAAATATTTGTATGATACAGTGGACCATATTTTTATGGCAGGCAAATTGATGAGTGAATCAAAGTGATGAGTGCCTTTTATCACAGTTGGGTCACACTGGGAATTTCACGTTTGATTACACGTTGACAAATTTATTTATAAACCATTATATATTTAAAAGGTACCGAATAAAAAATATACACTATAAAAATATACTTATCCTATCTATTTTTCTTTCTTTACTCTGCGTAGTTGCATATACGTCAAAACGCAACAGACGAATGTCATGGCAAACAAAATGAACTGATTCCACCAAAGCATACCTGTATCAATACCCTGAGAATCCAAAAATTCAGAACCGGTATTGAAACTACATAAAAGAAATAGTCAATTCTCAGTTCGCCTTTTCCGGACATAAAAAAACATGAAACAAAAAGTCTACAACACGAAGTATTCCCAGGCGGTCACCCATCCAAGTACTAACTTCGCCCGACCAGGCTTAACTTCGGTGATCAGACGAGAACCGGTGCTTTCCTGGTGGTATGGCCGTAGACAACGATGGGTAAATTTTTAAGAATTTAAGAATACTACTACACAATTTATGTACTTACCAAGTAGTATTCCTATCTTTAGGACATTCGAACTGCATACCATCAAGCTCATTAATTTCTAAAATCTTTAGGAAAGCAAACGAAAAATAATTAGAGCTCTGTAGTATCTACATATGTATAAATTAGATGTGTGGTTATACCTCAAGTCCGTACTTGAATATACTCAAATATCTCATCCACGCAATCCAATCACCAAACGACTGTTGATTGATCAAAAGTCCACCAAACACCTGTAATAAAAACACGTTAATATGACAGAACAAACACTTTACTGCGTCCTGCTAAATTGAAAACTAACTTTAACCAGTGAACACACAGAGGTGGTAAAAAAGTGAGAATTTATCACAAGAATATACTCTGTATAAGTAGACGCTGAATTTTAAACAATAAATTGTTGGTCCATGGAAAAATTGCGTGGGGTTAAGGGGTGGAAGCACTTGCTCCGCGGTCTATGTTATGGACAACGTTAAACAAAAAACAAGTTAACAACAAGTCTCACAGCTATATAAATGTTAATAATCAACCAAAATTCCTTTATCGAAATTTACAGCATTTCAACTATCCCTGCTTACCAACATTATAGTATAAAGAACGGCCGCCATTAAATTGGCAACGGCGAAAATACCAAAAGTTGCACTGAATAGGAACGCAAAGCTACAACCACAGACAGTAACTTGAATAAGAGTGAGAGAAAAGATGAAAAACTTTCCAGCATCATTGTCAAACCCTAAAAAGAAGCAACGATAAATCGTTTGCATTTACCTGAACAAAAAAAAGAAATTATCATTTCAAAAAGAATATTTAAAAATTGTTTGATGGCTTCAGAGCAAATGACGAGAAAACTACAAACCACACGTAAGCTAGCCCACAATTTTTTCAATCAAGGTTGAAAGTCGTCAAAAAAGAAATTTAAAATCAAAGTCATATATACTTTCTCCAAACAAAATCCTTGCCACGTTCGGTTAAACATACATTATGTAACATAAAAAATAAACTCTTTAAAATTCAAAAGAAACAGAATATACATATCACCTGCCATCCAATATGCAATTAAACCAAACAAAAATCCAGATAATGCTCTGTAAGGAAGAAACTCGCCGAATATTTTAGCCAAAAAATAAACGGAAACTCTGTAATAACCGCTAGCGCTCTCATGTCTAAAATAAACACAAAGCAATAGTACAGGAAAATTGCAAACCCTATGAGATGAGCAAGAAAATAAAACTGTTAAGCTGATACATCATCAATAAAAAACATTTTACATTTCTCAAAACGCAAAAACAAACATTTGAAACGTTGAAATAGAGAGTTCAAAATAACAAATGCCATTACATTGGGAAATATTTGTTTTTTAGAAATTTATATTCACATGATTAGTCCAATCATTGAAGGTAATTACGAAAGTAAAAAAAACATTGTATATTTGTGATACTCACACAAATATCGGTTTCTCACGAATAAGCAATTCAATAGAATCCAGATTGGAATAGACCATGTTCATAATGATAAAGAAAAAAGCACCAACTCTACAAAGCGATGAATAAAAACAACGAATCTTGAACAAACATAAATTTTCAAACTTTCTTATGTTGCAAATGACCTGCAGCTGATTTGCACCATTTTCGCGCGTTTCTGGCGACGGTTAGGAGATCAAAACAGCAAAAATTTGCTTGGTACGGCACATAAACTAACCTATTTTGAATTCCTTTATCATCCTTTTCAATTTGAAAATACAGACCTCCAACAATTAAACCCATTGCAGACATCACAAAAAACTAAACAATAATAAATACTGTATTTTCAACTGTATGCAACATTAATTATAATTAAATGGAATCAAAAATGAGCTCACACTCTCTAACGCTGAGTACAGAATAACTCACACTATCTAAAACACTGAGTACAGAATAACTCACACTCTCTAACGCTGAGTACAGAATAACTCACACTCTCTAACACTGAGTACAGAATAACTCACACTCTCTAACGATGAGTACAGAATAACTCACACTCTCTAACGTTGAGTACAGAATAACTCACACTCTCTAACGCTGAGTACAGAATAACTCACACTCTCTAGCGCTGAGTATAGAATAACTCACACTCTTTAACGTTGAGTACAGAATAACTCACACTCTCTAACGCTGAGTACAGAATAACTCACACTCTCTAGCGCTGAGTATAGAATAACTCACACTCTCTAACGTTCAGTACAGAATAACTCACACTCTCTAACGCTGAGTACAGAATAACTCACACTCTCTAACGCTGAGTATAGAATAACTCACACTCTCTAACGTTGAGTACAGAATAACTCACACTCTCTAACGCTGAGTACAGAATAACTCACACTCTCTAACGCTGAGTATAGAATAACTCACACTCTCTAACGCTGAGTACAGAATAACTCACACTCTCTAGCGCTGAGTATAGAATAACTCACACTCTCTAACGTTCAGTACAGAATAACTCACACTCTCTAACGCTGAGTACAGAATAACTCACACTCTCTAACGCTGAGTATAGAATAACTCACACTCTCTAACGTTGACTACAGAATAACTCACACTCTCTAACGCTGAGTATAGAATAACTCACACTCTCTAACGCTGAGTACAGAATAACTCACACTCTCTAACGCTGAGTACAGAATAACTCACACTCTCTAGCGCTGAGTATAGAATAACTCACACTCTCTAACGTTGAGTACAGAATAACTCACACTCTCTAACGCTGAGTACAGAATAAGACAAACTCTCTAACGCTGAGTACAGAATAAGACACACTCTCTAACGATGAGTAAAGAATAAGACACACTCTCTAACGCTGAGTACAGAATAACTCACACTCTCTAACACTGAGTACAGAATAAGACACACTCTCTAACGCCGAGTACAGAATAAGACACACTCTCTAACGATGAGTACAGAATAAGACACACTCTCTAACGCTGAGTACAGAATAACTCACACTCTCTAACGCCGAGTACAGAATAAGACACACTCTCTAACTTTCAGTAGGTTCAGTAGGTGAATTAAAGTCAACATTCTATTCATATGAGCAAAATAGCAAAATCTTATCCGAAAATTGCTAGTTGATATAACTGAGAAGATCTAACGGTGTTACCTGGACTATTGTAGTTATTGGATTGCGGGTGAGTGAACGTACAGACCTTTGTCCAACAACACCAAGCTACAAAGAACAAAAGGCCAATTATTGTGAAGAAATGTGTAATTTTAGAAAGTGTTTGATTGTTGATGGATTTAATAATCATCAAAATTAACTACAGTATCTTAGATCAATAATTTACTTCCAGATGGGCTAGTAGTTGAAATGATGAAGGGGGCTAAGATAGTTAAATTTTCCATACTACGTTTCAATAAGCCGTAGGCTACGTAGCCCTACCTGTTTTAGCCATCCTGTAGCGTAGCGGTTCATATCTGAAAAATCCTTGTTAATATCGTCTTCTGAAGACATGTTTGCTTTCATGTTCTTGTAAATTTCTGAGACACGGGTGTTTATATTTTTACCAATTGACGATTCTTGGAACTTTTTGGCCAGATCAAGAACTGTAGTAGTGCCCTTTTCCACATCTTAAGACATATTTTAATGAGAGGTTTGGTAACCAAATAAAACTAATGCAAAGCAAACACAAATAACATGAAACAAGACATGAATAATAACAAGACATGAAACTGTCGACATGAATAATGTCGACAGTTGAAATTTTATAAGGAATCAATAAGGCAAAGCAAAGATTTTTAGAAAACTCGTCATACGTATGTAATGAAGACACAATATGAACTTTGCGTTAATAAGACAATAGTCGATTAAGAATCACTGATACAACAGAGTAATTTTATCTGTACTGTACACTTGTACTTTAAAGTCACTTGTGAATATAAATAATGTTCATAAAAACTATAGAAAACCTTGAAGGTCCATTGTAAACTGATTCAATGTTTTCATCTGTTACCTTTTTCAGCCATTTCTTCGTCTGATAGCGAGCTCTGATCTCTCACCATGTTAATGACATCCAAGAAAAAGTCAGGGGGGTTATTGTGTGGTTCACACTCGTAACCTGTCGCATAATGCAAAGTCAGGGGGGTTATTGTGTGGTTCACAGTCGTAACCTGTCGCATAATGCAAAGTTAGGGGCACATGATGCTAACGGAAAGTGATAATAAGAACGAAGAAAAAGCCGCCTGATTGGTATGTACCTGAAAAGTTTTTTTTCACTATAGATTATTAAAACAATTTGACGACGTATTTACCAATTTCTTCAAAGTGTTGCAAAGCATTATGGGCTGGTCCATTATAGATCATATGACCGTCGCCAAGGAGACAAACGTAATCAAACAACTTGAAAATCGCATATCTTGGTTGATGAATGGAGAAAATTATGGTGTTTCCCTTTCGACTGAGACTTTAAAAAACAATGCCAAAAAAAATTGTTAAAGAAAGTTTTGATCATTCTAAATGAACAGCGTGGGAATGAAGCATCATCAATTCTGTTAACTAACATACTTGTATAACAGTTGCATAACACTCGATGCAGTTGATGCATCAAGACCTGTTGTTGGTTCATCCAGAAATAAAACATTAGGAGATGTAATTAGCTCCATTCCAATACTTGTGCGTCTCTTCTCCCCCCCTGATATTCCTCGAACAATCTCATTACCAACCTGTAGAGTAAACATATAAAATTTAGCTCGTTATAGGGTTGCCTGACAGTCCAGGAGGGGGGAAAAGTACATACTATCTATCACGAAATACGATTGTTAATACCTTTGAGTTAGCAACTTTACTCAGACCCAGTTCTTCAACGAGTTTATCAACTTCATGAGCTTTTTCATCAGATGTCATTGTAGACGGCAGACGTAGAGAAGCAGAAAAGTAGATATTTTCTCTGACAGTGAGCAAAGGCATAAGCACATCATGCTGAAATTCAAAAGATTCTCATGCTTAAAATTCCTAGTATTATAAATTCTCCAGGCATGCTCATATATGGCTTCAAAATATAAAGAAAACGAAGTAAATGTACAAAAAGACAAAATCACCGGGATTTTACAATCTTATCCAACATTTCACAACAACTGCACATTTATTAATTACTTGCACAACATATCCCGTCATTCTTCGGAAGTTGGATGGTTTTTTCGCGCCATTCACCATTATATCACCAGTCACGAGAGTCGTATCTTTACGATCTGCGAGCATGTCTAAGGTTCTAGCAACATTGAAATTAATAAAATATCAAATAATCTCTCAAATAATCTCCGATCAGGTCTAATCATTTTTAAATCACCTGACGTCAAATACATGAATAAGTTTGACAAAAATATTTATTTAGTGAGTGACAAATAATATTGTTGTCGCATTTTTTGCATTGCCAATAGCGTTTGTGAAACAGGGCAGTGAAAGCAAGTTGGGATACTGGTGCTATCGTTTACAGGATATCGATTACAACAAAAAAATCTATGAACTTACGTTGTTTTTCCACATCCAGTCGGACCAAGGATGGCGTTCATACCAGGAAAGAATATTCCACTAAAGATTTTATGTAATTGTTCACGAAATCTGTTTTCAACATTGACATAAATTCATGAATTGTAAGTGTGTTACAATGAACACACAGTGAACTTCAATGTAATATTTTCCAGGACCCGGTTTAGCAAAAGATTGCCGTTCCAATAAGCTTTGCAACGAGAAGAGTTTGGGAAAACGAGGTGCACTTGACTAAGTTTTGAGTACACACGAGTTATCTATGCTTAGCAATAGGATAAGTCACGTTCATAAAGAAGCAAATTGCCTACACAAGAAATATATTTATGCGAAAGATGAAAGTTCTCGTGTTTGCAGGGCTTTAAATATTTTGAAGTTTTACGCAAGGACACAAATCTGGGAACGAGGCGGAAGGGACGCCCCCAGTTTTCAGAAAATGAATGATTTCAAACTGCACAACATTAGGAAATCTACTGTAGCACCGACACCCTGCAACCCTCCCCACCCTCACACTTTTCAAAACAGATTTGCGCATTTGGTTATACATCACATGACTGTAAACAAGCATCAACGCCATTGCACGTGAGATGAAACTTTACATAAATTATTTGATTTGATAAAAACAAGTTACGTAATCAGTTATGAAAATACTTTAAATAAATTTGCCAACATCTGAACTGCCAACTCAAAAGCAATATTAAACAGGGTGATAAAGATCTTTTTGCACAAAAATATCTGCTTCATCATCATATTTGACATTGCTTTTGACGTCAAGCTTTATCGCCTTTAATAAATCGATACATCCATTTCATAGATATTTAAATTGATTCAAATTAATTGAATAACTTGTAAAAATGTTAAAAAGTAAATGAAGTAAATGGTTTGAACCCATTTACAAACATGTAAAATTGTTAAAATTAAACCTTCTCAATTTGATCACTTAACAAGGAAAGTTTCTAGTAAGCTATAAAACCGTTAAAGACATTCCCACGTTACAGACTTACAGCTTCTGCTTGGCTAAACTCAGGATGTATAATTTATTTCATTCACATTTGCTTCATGTAATTTAACAATGTAATTTAATATTTAAAAATTAAACATTTAAAATAAACACTAATTACTTGTTTACCTATAACAACTTTAAACTTACCTAATCCCTTTGACAATTTCTTTTTTAATTTTCTCTCGTTTCACCTTTAATTCAACAGTGTATTTTAAATCATGGAAGGAAATTGTGGTCCCACGAACAAAACCGTCGTTGTAAACTTCGCCGTTTTTTTTCGTCGCCCCATTATTTCTTGTTGCCATCTCTATGTCATTAGTATAAGCTGCATTTTCAATGGAAACATGTATTCCTGTTTCGAAATCATTGTTTCCATTTTTTAGTTTATCTTCTCTTATAGAATGAATGCTGACAAGCTCGGCCATCTTGTACACAGACAATTTAGTTCAAGTCAAAACAAGAATTTACATACTGTTGCTTATGTAATGCTGTGTTAAATGTCAACATTCTACAAAACAATTATGTTAAGTCACGCGGACAAAGCCTGTCTCACATACCTTTTCCTTCAGCGGTTCGTCTTGAATTCAAAACACCATAACAACGATCGACTTCACTTGTTAGAAATATCTTAAAAATTTCTTAGCAATTTTAGGATTTCCATCAAGTATTTCGACTTTCAAAGATATTTATTGTGACGCAACTTATGTTTCTTACGACAGTCTAACCCTAGACCAGCTACAGAGCAGAAATACACAACTTTGAAGTTTGAACGACTAAATAATTTTCATAATGAAATTCTATTCTTGTTTGAAATGTTCTTATTAATTTATGCACAAAACAAGTACATTGTCACAACGGGGGAGGCATGGTCGAAGGCAAACTGGCAAAGTAATGATTCTTGCATGTGAAGAGTGAAGTATCCAGCAAATATGTGAAAAGCAAAAATAGCGATATTGGGTAATTTTTCCCACTCTTACCTTTCACCTTTTATTACAAGCCAGTCTGGCCAAACCGAACACATAAGGAATCTTTTAATCGCAAAATTTTAACTGCATAATAATCTATTGTTTAAATAAGTGTCAAACTTTTAAAAAAATTAACAATTACGTAAATCAACTTAAGCAGAAAAAAGACATTAAAATTATTTACATTATAAAAGCCTAATATAAAAAATTTTATACATCATAGACAAAAGGGGAGTTGTGTACAAAATCACATGTCGACGATGTAGTTTAAGCTATGTCAAGTCCCGTGTGGGTGGAAATCACTATAGTTTATGTAATGACAGTTGCAAATGGAAAATGTATGTATAGTAGCGAGTTCGTCAAGATCTACGACACACCTTTAATGACTCAAGAAGCATTGTAAATTATGCCATTAAATCTCTAAACACTATAGACGAATATTGGAGTCGCCATAGGCGTACGGGACGGGGGCAGCTGCCCCCTTATGAAAGTTTGAAGATTGAAAAGTTGAGCAAACTTTAAAAGTTAGTCGGGCGAAAATGTGGCGCAACCTTCATTATGAGTTGGAGAAAATATTTACTGCCCCCTCCCCAGAAACGATAGCTCCCATACGCCTATGGGACTCGTGGACTTAGTATCAAAATAGAAGATAGTATACTATTGTAGTTTAAATTGATAGTTCAAAACTTTATGCAAATATTTTTTGATAATTAGGCTTTTTTATCATGTATATAATTTCAATATCTTTTTTCTGCTTCCGTTGATTTACGCTATTGTTCATTAGCCAGTATGTTTAAATGATAGTTATTTCCAACCTGAAGATAGTATACAAAATACCGAACTATATTGTTTTTATACTGTTGTTGGCTTTTATATTAAAGACTCAACTATACCTTAGATTATTACAAAACGTACTTTTAAAAAATTGCGTAGCTAGCCCATAACTTCTATATAATGCCTTATAAACTCATCTCGTCCATTTCCGTGGTCTAGTCTAACTTGGTAAACTTTTCTCTTCCTTTTTCTGAAGTCTGGACACCAACCTGATGACGTAATTGGTCTTTTGAACTGATTTTTTAGCAGTTTGTACATTACGCAATCTAACGATCTCATCTTCCTGGAATAAATCGTGTTCATCCTCCGGCGGTCGACAGCAAAGAACACATATTCGATAAACTTGTAACGTGACAAGTAGAGCGTTTTTAGCGGTAAGAAATAGGAATGTGCCACTACCTAAAGATATTTAAAATAAGAAGATTGAAGAAAGAATTGAATGATCAAATAATGCTTTATGTTTTGTTTGTGAGACATGTAAGTGAGCAAGAAAAAACTTTATGGGAATTTTCATGTTTGGATGTTTTTTTTGTTTATTTTTACATCCTTACCTTTAACTTTGTAATACGAAACCAAAAGAAGACGTACAATCAAAAATGGTCCATCTTGTAACAACATTGGCGTCAACAATTGAATCAAGTTCAAATTCCTATGAACAAACTCCTGAAAGCCTGTTAAAGCTTTCGAGAAAGCTTGAATAACACTTTTGTGATTTGACTTCTCGTTCGTTTCGTTCATTTGGCCATTTTCCATTGAAATTTCATCGAGTTTTTGATCACTCTTCAATTTCAACTGAAGATTGTTAAGCCTTTCCTTTTGCCTTTCTATTGCCTTCTTATGCGCTAATTTGTGAGAATACAAAGCAGGAGCAACCTAAGATGAAAGTTGAAGAAACTCAGTCAGCTTGAATAGTAGTTTATCTAGTTTTCTCATTCATAAATTTTTCTCTACTTTATATACCTGATAAGATTTTACTTTAAAAGTGCGTTCTTCCTCTCTTAAATCAGCTTGTTTTATGAGTTGTTCCTTCAATTCTTTGCGATCTTTTGCTCGCGTTTCTACCGCCATGATAGTGAACGAGAACTGAAGAAGGCTCATTGACCAAACAATAAGAATTGCACGAACCAATCTAATATTGACATGAATGCAAATCATTATGGCAGCTATATTTATAATCCATGATGTTTTCTGTTATCAGTAACTTCTTCAGTAAGACATTTGATAGCATCGTCAGATCACACATCAGACTCACATAAAATATTTCACTCCTTCAACGCTCGTGTCTATAGAACTGACTGTCTTTGTCAGTAACGACCTTACAATGAAACTTGAATCCTTACATACTCCAGTTTGGTGTCCTAATTCAAAATGACTTAATATTTATGTTTATATAATCTAGTCCAGTGTCTTCATCAGGAGTGTCTTCAGTGATGTCAATACTAGAAATTTTGCACATTCCAGTCTCGAGTCACCAGTGGAAGTAATCTGATGTTTATCTTTGAGTCCATATGTACTCACGTCTAGTTTCTTCAAAAATGAGTGATTAGATTTTGAAAACTTTTATTTAACTCATTGTACATTCTATTTAAGTTTGATGAGATAAAAACACAAATCTATAATTTAATGAAAACGCACCGAATATTGCTGCCAACAGCAGGATCTTCATAAATTTCAGTCAATTCGACTATATCAGCTGCCGTTGCAATATAAACCAATAGCAAGCTAGATAGCTGGTCACGTGTTATTTCTCCCTTCGGTAACATCCACCTTCCAACAACTAAGAGCAGAACAAATGTTTGGTCGAGAATCGAAAGTTGAGATTCGTCGTTTGTTGATGCTTGAAATATCTGAAACACAAAAATTTCTTTGATTCATCGTTCATACTATTACAACACAGGTATAATGATGAGAGTTTATTGATTTGTTAAGTAGAATCCTCACTATGACATAAGTATATAGAGATCGGGTACATTGATTTCTTATGCACCATCCACATTATGACATTATCATAAGTATAATGAAGTCGTATACATTGATTTCTTATGCACCATCCACAGTATGACATTATCATAAGTATATAGACATCGGGTACATTGATTTCTTATGCACCATCCACAGTATGACATTATCATAAGTATAATGAAGTCGTGTACATTGATTTCTTATGCAACATCCCACTATATAAAGCTCAGTTCTGCTTAAGAAATAAATAAATCACTTAATAGGCTACTGTTTCGCATTGTTGTAGTAAGAAAATTTCCTCAATCCTCCTTTAAATTCGTCATGATATGCGATGAAAAAATTGCTCATTATAACGGAAACTAAATGACAATCTCTAAGTTATACGTTTTAGCTACACGAATCATGGCAGTTCTGTTCGATACCTCCTCAAAAAGATTGGTGCCATTAATATTCGTGGAACAAGTAATTCCTATCCGCGTGTTTTTTTGTACACATTCCACCAACTGTAGACGCAGCAACCAAAAACATGGAACCTCAGTTATAGTGTATATAAAGATACTTGGACAAAACCTAAAAAGATCATGACAGAAGTGACGTTGGGACTTGATTTATTGTGCACTCAAGTTCACTGTCATATACATGCTTATATATTTAGTTCATATACATGCTTAAGTTATAATTACGTTATCTAAATGTTGAGTCCACAGTTCAAGTGAACCTGACTCATATAGCAACTCGAATGAAGATTTCACATCACAAGTTGTGATCTTATTTCGAAATGATCTTTAAGAGCTTATTTATATTGTATGTGGCGACCTGTGATTATAAATTGATTTTTATAGGTCGTTCAACTTACCAATAATATTCGTTGCCTCGACGGTAAAACACAGTGACACTGGTCTCTATAACAAGCATAGAGAGAATAACGAGAAATATCCAGTAGCTTGTGTCTTGCTTCACCTGTGTCAGCCACCATATGAGAAAAAATGCGTGAAGAACAAAAACCAGACGACTCAAAAATGCGGCTAGGTATGTGAAAATTCGTTCCATTTTAAAATAACAAATAAGTACTAGCTTTAGTAGCAATTACGTTCGATGACAGATTTCCAGGAAATATTGCTGAAGACCTTTAATTTTACGTATTGCAACAATACAAGAAAATCTTCAATCTGCAATAGCCCTACAAGAGAAGAAACAAAACTACAATGAATTCTACATAGTCATTTATGAGTATAACATCTTAACTAGTCTCTTACTTCATTAAAACAGTGAAAACGTCATTCTATTGGAAACACTTTCAATATAATTTATCGTCGTGATTTAAATAATGAGAATTCAGAAAGTTTTTTGATTTCATTTCATCATAACTTCCAACAAACTCTGTAAAATGACCAAACAAATCAAATTTCTGTGGTAAATTCTTAAGTTGTCAAGGTAAACAGAACTTTCAATCTTTAAATGCAACAGATTAAAGTATTGACATAGACCTGACATTACAAAGAAATAAGTTGAGTAGGTAAAATTAAGTTAGTTGATTTATAATAACGTAAAACCGGGCGTATAACATTTAACTTTCATATCATTCATTACTATTTTTAAAAAATATTCTGGTTGCTGAAATAATAGCTTGTTATCAGTGAAGAGAACAAAGACCACAGCTAATTTAGCAAAATAAAATAAGATATTAACAGTGAAAGCACAATGCAGCTCTGACTCAGTTTGATTGCATTCGCTGTAATAATAGATCTCATACAACGTTAATAAATGAAAAATTTTATCCAAAATGGGAGGGCTGAGCTATTTTATTGTTTCTAAAACACATTTTCACGTCACTTTCATTGCAGTTTTGGCAAATCCTTTTCTTTAAGAAAGAAAAAATACGACAATAAAAACCATCTGCGTCAAAATATCTTATGAACTATATTTCAATTCAAATTACATGATATAATTACCTTTACGATTATACGGAGCTTTTCTTCAAAGGAAGCCAAATCGTGGAAAACTTTGAAATGTAAAACCCTTTACGCACATAACTGATAATTCTACTTTCCATAAAGAATTGAAGATATTTAAAGTTGAAGGTAACTCGTCAACTTGGCTTATATTTTTCTTATATTTGTAATCTATTGGAATAAAAATGAGAGAATTCACTAAACAAAAGATAAAATTGATTGGAAAGATCAAGAAACAGTCTAAATGCAAATCACAAGAGAGAAAACATAAATTTTACTTATCCTCACTTGCTGTGAATACGCCAGTCCAATACAATAAAAATAGAGTTACTGAACATCCTTTTGCAATGTTGCCGCCACGTAAGATTCAGTAATTTCTCATAGTTATATGAAAATCTTTCATCGTCGAGTCATCATTAGAAGAAGTCAACGGTTCAACACAACCGTCTTTAGAAAGTGAATATCGCGCTATAAAAATGCATTCACTGCATTTTGAGACAGATGCGTTAAATTATAATAAAGATAAAGGTGTCTAGGATTATAACAATCTGTCACACAAGTTAAAACATGGATGAATATAAATTTAAGACTGTTTGAGCAAGCAAACGAAGGATTTTTGTTTGTTTTGAAACAACGTAAACTTTTAAAATTATTGGCACAAACAACACGAGGTGTTCAACGTAAGTTGTTGAACTCTTTTTCTCTACTTTCCTTGTTTTAGGTAATGTTAAAATATATGATTTTGTCCAAGACTTTAAAGTTTTGATGATGATAGTAATTTTATAAGCCAAGCCATTTGTGTAGTATGAATTGATACATATCTTTCAACAGTAATATGTCATGAAATTTCATTTATTTTGACTTAAATGAATTTTCTTAAACTTTTACGGTAAATGGTTTGAACCCGGGAGTATCGTTACATGTTTGTAAATGTAACGTCACTCAACAACAAGAAAAACAGTCCTTCTCAGGTCTATACCAACCTGGACGATCTACATTTACAAACATTAAACTATTACCTTATCAACTGCCCTCATGACAGAGAAAAATGTAATGATTTTCATTAAATAAACTTCTCATACATAACAATTATCTTAAATCTATCACAAAACAATTAGATGCTTGTTTTCTCATGCAAATGCTGCAGTGGCTAGCAAGTTCTATAGTCTTCTTTCATATCCACAGCAATTTATGATGCAAAGTGTACATTGTAAAAAAATTATGATTAAATGTTCATTTACCTTACTAATATTTCACATACAAATACACAGTAGTTGTTCATGGCAGAATTTACTTTAGCTTCTATAATTTTGGTGAAATTATTGTTAGGTGTATCGCTAAGACTTCATTCCTTTACTTTGTTACAAAGTCTTACTTTGCTACTTTTTATCACAATATAAAAAGTTAATCATCTGTCTCTGGTCTCATACAACTGATACAAGTCACCTGTAATAAGAAACTTAATACAAAACTTGTATTATGAACTTTTGTTTTCAAGAAGTTTAGTGACTTTTGATCTTGTCATCAAAACAAGGTTGAGTGCTTCTTTTATGCCATTTTTATTGAGTACATCATTTATCTGATCAAACCATTGCTCTAACCTAAAACCAAAGTCCCATTGAGGACACAATGTAAACGCACTTTTTTGAATTACAATGAACGCATTTTAGTGACTACACTAACAGCTTGAGAGAAAATATATATTTATGAATACATGAGCAATAAATGGTCAAATAAAATAGGTGGTAAAAAAGTCAATATACCTTTTAACTTCATCTAGTATAACCCCTAACTTGTTCTTTTCTTTAAGGAAAAGCTGTCGAAAGCGAACTTCTTCAAGAATATCATGTTTCAGTTGATGGATTTCTTCATCGAGGGACGTTTCATTCTCATCAATTTTATCGTCTTTATATCTTCCATGAACCTCATCCTCGGGTAACAAAATATCCGATGGAATCGAGAGAACATTTCTAATCAAAAACATCTCCATTCGATCAATTCCTTTGTCGACATTTTGATAGCACTTTTAATCAAATCCTTACAACCATCTTGTATTTTAAAACTAGAAACTGGGTCATCTTTAGCGAGTTCCTCTTCCAAAACCTTCCCAACTTCTTTGAAGAATTCTTTAATGTAAACATTAACAGCATTGTAAATACCGTCGATAAGTGAGACCGGTGTGAATCCAAAAAACTGAGTAACGTACTCGTAATCTTCTACTGTGGTGGTCGTGGCCAATTCTTTTTTCGGAATTGGACCTTCGAATTTCGAAATATCCGCCATTTTAGTTAGTAACCTGCCGCACCTTGTTGCAGGTTAAAACAACTGTTGCCGACAGTTGCTGTTACCATTGCTATTACCATAGATATGGCTATTACCATAGATTTCTAGTTGTTACTAGTGCTTGTTACGTTGAAAGTTCATATCAACAAACCATAAGGGGGTGTTATTATTTGTGCATGTTTTACCACAGTTTAGTTAAAGAAAGCCAGAAAGTCAGAGACCATGATTACACAAATTTTCGACGTTATTTGGCAATTGCAAATGACCAATATGAAGGGAATGATTTGAACCAGGGTCACCCATCCAGGTTAGTAGAGTCCTGAGAAGAACTTGTTTTAGCCATCTTGTCAAAATGTCAGTGAAAAACAACACAGCCACCAACAGTTCTCAGAAGTCTGATGTAAAACGTTTAAAAGCCATTATGCATAATTTAGCATGAAATTTTCAGCAGTAATACAAGACAAGATAAAAATATTAACTGCAATAAGTATATATTATATTTAATATTTTATAATTTTGCAATTTATGACATTTCCGACTCAATCTTGTTTAACACGTTTTGATTTTTTCTCATTTTGACAAGAACAGGGAAATTTTTAACGACTTCTGATGAACTCAAATCCTGCTTTTCCTAAAATAGAAACACAGCAAAGAAATGAAAAAGACTACTGACAATGTGCTGAAATGCTGTGTTTGTTTACTCAAGAGAGTGAAACCTACCCTTGCTATCACTTTTATCTACAGATAACAACATCTTTATTGAAAGAAGTCACATACATCCATTATGCACAAAAGCCACAAGGATTTGTGTATTTTAAATGAATTCAATGAACATGTGTACTGTATCTCTTTGTGGATAAGCTATGCCAATGTTTATAATACAAACCTTAGAATAAGAGGACCAAATTAGACTATCAAAGTTCTCCTTCAGTTCCCAAGTAAACAATTTTCTTGCTTTGCTAAGAAAGTGCTCAATAGATAAACCTCGACGAGGTGATAAAATCCAAACCTCACCCTGCAGAAAAAACAAAATTTGCAATTCAGTATAAGGGAATTGTCTTGGCTAAAGAAATTAGTGATTGTTTAAAATTTCAAGGACAAATGACTTTCAATAAAAGCCAAGATGAATATGATGTAAATAACAAAGCATTTGAACTTGCAACATTTAAGAATTTAACAATTTAATATTTGCAAATAATAACAATTTAACAATTTAGTATTTGCAAATAATAACAATTTAACAATTTAATATTTGCAAATAATAACAATTTAACAATTTAATATTTGCAAATAATAACAATTTAACGACTACTATGGGACCAATCTTACTTCTGATTTTAAAACTTTGTCCATAACAGTCAACAGATTTTCATGGAATTCTTCTTTGAACAAACTGAATGTGTATAAATGAACTGCTTCATATGTTATCCATTTTTACTCTCACAGAATAAAACATTAAAAATAAAGTATGTATTAGAAATATTTCTAAAAGTTGCAAATCTCACCAGTCTGCAACCATAATATAATCAAAACAACTCTTTAAATTTTCATAGTCTTCAACAACATGCCATCTTAGCTGCCTAAATATTATTTTAACAAAACTTACATAATGCAATGCAACAAATGAACAAGAAAATATTGGTGAATGAACTTATTGTTAGTTATTACTAAAAAATATTTTTCATACTTAACGTTTATATTTGATGCACCAAACCTTTCTTTGTTCACTTTAACAATAACATTAAGATCTGACAAAATTTGTAGTTAAGAAAATATTAGCTGATTTCTACACTAAACTAGTAAAACAATTAAAGTGCAAAAACCAAATTGACTTTAAGTGTTTTCCATAATTAAATAGATGCAATATTATGTACAAAATTTTATAAAATAGCCTTTTATTGAAAACATGAGCATGGTATGACTGCATGCTTAAAAAACCTATGTTTCTATAACTCTAGAAACACATAAATTGTCTTCTATTTTATTGAAAATTTAATATATCCCTGTTTATGTGTCTAAAGTTTAGACTCTAAACTCTAAACTATGAATTTCATTGAAGATACTCTTCACACATTCCTTATTTCCATCTGTCACAAGAACACTGGATACTTCAGATGACAAGCCAAGCTGGAGTAAATACATCAAATGCTTATTAAAAAATATATAAGCTAAAAATTTTGTCATTTTCAGCTTACCATCATTCCTGTAAGTCCAGTCATTCCAGCACCAATTTCACAAACATGTTTTCCTCTAAACAATAAAACATAACTGTGACGTTCTCGCTTAAAAAACATTTGGACAAAACACAACAATTCCTCAAAATTTACTTGACTAGCAATCAGTAATGAACTTATTAACGCAAACCTCAACACTATCACTTATCTTTGACAAACTCAAAAATTTACTGAAGTCAAAGATCGAGAGAAAAAAGATGAGCATGCTTATAGAAAAATCATTGACATGCTTAAAGTGTCTTAGACTGTAGGATGCTCTATACAATATCAAAATAAACTTTACTCTTACAATACAAAATTTTCAGCAAATATACAACTCATTTCTTTAGAAAATAAAATCGATTCATTATTTTTAAAGTGATTGAACACAAAAATATTTGCGTTGCAGGGTTAAAAAACAATGTAGCTGGCTTCTTTGTTGATTCAAACCTGAAATCATTTGAAGACTTTATACATAAATATGCCAAAATTTCTTCTGATGGCCATACACCTAAATTAACAGTAGCTAAAATTAGATAATAATTTTTACCACAAAACAGACAAAAAATTTTTTGAAGATGTTTTAATACACACGTATATTCCCAGTGTTATCAAATCCTATTGCGTCACTCCAATCGACAGGTCGAGAACGTTGTCTAGTTTTAATGAGAATTACATAAACACACACTGAAATGACACAACTTCTGTACTTTATATTTATCCATACCTGACATGGAGACGACATTCAGGAAAGAGATTACTGTCATATTCAAACCAGTCATAATCGCTTTCAGGATCATCTGAATCTGCAGAGATGTCGTTATGGATAACATTCATATGTTGAAGTATTCTAGAGGTAAATAGCTGAAAAGCATGAACACGCTTATCTTGAACAATTAGTTTTTTGTTGTGAACAAAATGTTGTAAAATTTTCCATTTGTTTTGGAAACGGTTGCGATCTGATTTTAAAATTTCGCTCTCTTCCATAAAGTCAAAATCCCGCATTACAATTACTTCATGTTATACAAGATAAAAGTAATTGGTCAGACACAAATTTTAAACGTATTTATTCCATAAACAAAGCAAAACAAATATACATGAAACAATAATTGCAATAGGCATTTCAGGATATCGAGTGAGCCAAAATGAATGAGGTAGCTTTATTCTGGATAATCTGAACATTATGACAAACACATATAAAAATTTTCTAAACATTAAATTTTATCTAAAAGCATCACTATATAAGATATGGAAGTTTGAGAAGGTAAAAACTCCAACTTGTCTACGATATTCAAAGGTAGGAGAAAGAGATTTCGCTTTTGTATGAAATCAACTGAATGCATCTTCTCTGTCAGTTCCAACAATATCTGACTCTTCTAAAGTACTGAAGTTGAGAAAGTGTGACGGTCTGTGGACTTCATGATAAAACTCTTTGGGATTAGATAACATCAGCTCATATCTCATGCTTGGTGAATGACGTACACCTAGGGGTAAGAAAACATGGTCATACGTCAATAAATCACGTATAAATAAAATAATATATAATTAAAACATCCTCTTACGTTTCAATCAAGCCATATAAAAATGAAACACGTATTAAGTCATGTCAGTTAGATAAAGTCGCCACTGATAAGCATCTCCACAATGTAACTTACCCATGAAGTTGAAATTCCACGATCCCTGCGCAGGCACCATGAAAAATCCAAGAAAGCGATCAGACAGGAGCATTTGAACTTTCTCGTAATGCGAAGGTAAATAACCCCGAGGATTATTTCCCGTATCTTTGTTGTTTCGTCCCCACTCGTAGCCTGACGGTGTTAGTTTGTATGCAGTAAGTGAACAAGAGCCTGGAGTGAAACTGTAACAGAAAATGAGTTAGCATGCTGTCTTTATAAAGCAAGCTGTCCTCTTAAAGCATGTTTTCCAACTGCACAAAAACGGACATTTCTTGCAATCTTTTGCTGAGTACAAATCGACGTTTCGCAAATTAAAGTATTTGACATTAGCCAAAGTTTTAGTAAATTGAATGTTCGGGGTACGCCAAGCTTACCTGCAGGTTATGATAACAGTCTTTTCTCCATCCCACGAAGGATTATCTGCCATGATTTTAGCATGTGTCGTAACATCTTGCGGTGATAATTGAGGTAATTCATTTGGTTGTGTGTGAATCCATCCAAGTGGCTCCATATCCTAAAGAATAAAACATAATTCATCAAATGTTGATGTCGTTAAACTAACTGGTTCGTACAAAAATGCAGTTGAAGTTTAACATGTGTATTTTACACGACGATTGACCAATTGAACACAACGAAACTTGTCTCAAACATGTTTAATATGAAATTTAAAATTATTTTTTTCTATTAGGACATGAGACTTCCATATAAGTACACCCTTACCTTAAGGTAGTCGTGTTGGGGGAGCATGTTTGGAAGATGGACAGTCTAAAAAAGAAAGCCAAATGTTCATTAAAAATACATACGTTTATATAGCAGTAAACCTGTGACACAATTTTTATTAAAAGAATTTTATCTTCGGTAGAAAAATTAAGCACGATACATAGCTTTGTCGTTCTTGCTTCTATACGTAAATATCCTTTCACATATATACCTGATGTGTACCCCATTGTGGAACCATCACAATACACCTGATCTCTTTAACTTGAGGATTGTCTGGAGGACTCACTCCGTACATATATCCAGATATCTATAAAATATTATATAAGATGTATATAGTCATGGAAACAAAAAGCAGCGTATGTAAATATGTAATCGTTTTACGTAGCTTTAGCTTTATCTCTTATAGTACAATAAAAATTTGCTTTGGGTGAGAAAATAGAACCAAAAACTTTAATCTGCATTAACTATGTACTACCAAGATGATTATCAACGCAAAACAAACACAGGTAAAACGATTCTTTAATCAAACATACAATTCGTGCTTTAGAACACTACAAACCTGAGTTCTTAAGTCAGCAATAACAATAAACTTCTTCAAAACATTCTTTGGTAAGATATAAGTGAAGCCTGTTTCTTTGATGTCATCAGAAGATACATAAATATGATTTGTCCTTAGATGCAAGTTAGTTGCAGAGATTGCACGAACCCTCCATTCAGTTTTTGAGGCAAACGTCTGTGTTTCGTAGTTACTTGTTGTTGACACAATAATCTCATCACCATGTATATTAGTGGTACGCGTTGTCGTCGCAGTAAGCTGAGATTGTTCCTTTGTCTGTTTCTCAATTTCCGCAATCTGTTGGCGTTGTTGTGAAGGTGCAGAAATCTCCATTCCAAGAATGATATCACGGATCTCAGATTGCGTCAGGGAAGCTACATTTACGCTAAAAAAACACATCAACTGTAAACTTCATTCCCGTTTGTTTTGAACACAATCAATACAGGGGGAAAATGAAGTTGATCGGAGTTTTTAATTATTCTCAACTTAACTATGGTAAAATTTTTACGATCATTGCGTAACTTACTTATTTTTCTTTCCGTAATCAGCAAGGATCAAATCTTTCAAGGCAACCTACAACAAATTACTCAGATAAGATTAAAATGGACCACACATACGACAAGAAACATATATAATCTTAATAGTATGTAAAAGCATTTATACAAGTCAAGTCAAGTTCATATATTTTTCTTCAAGACCAATATCAGTAAATATTACATCTTCATGACTTAATCACCCATACATGTTTTACCTTTGGTCCTACCATAGGGCTTCCACAAAATACATGGTTCGGTATTCTAAGGTACCCTTCCCATCCCTATAACTCATACTCAACCAGAACATACCTCAACGGAGACCCAATCTTCATCAGTCAATGTTGACCAAATATGATGTGGTTCCGTAATCGTGGTTTTGTCAGGTTTCAATATGACTTTCGTCCTGTCTGGGTTCACATGAAGAGCACGAAGAATGAGAATCAACCGAGAGAATGCTGTATAAGAAGATATCGTCTTAAGCCAATCATCGTAAAGATTGAACAAAACCATTTGAGGCTCGGTTGCCTTAAGAATCATATCACCCAGTTTTTCAACCTAAAAACGACAAACCAAAATGGTTGTTTTTGAAAGCAATAAAACATAACGAATTTTAAATGTCACATACAAACCTTGAGACATGCCTGGAAAGGCAATTGTAATTCACTTCCTTTTATAACAATATTTGGAAAGTCGAGCAGATGAACCTGAAGAATTAAATGACGCTTAATTTTCGATAAACATACATGTAACAAAAAATTAAAAAAACAAGAGTGACAAAATAAGCACTTTTGAAAGTCAATAACATGAAGGTTATGAAAACTTTGTGAAGAAGCGCCAATTAGCGAAAAACCTGATCCAAATACAGAAATAAATTTGGTAATCATGGATTCTCTATGATGTGCAAACAAATGAAGAAACCTCAAGAGGATCCAACATTCCCTTTCTTGTCACAATGATTTGTTTCGGTTGCTCTTCCACAGGTAGTGAACGAATCAACGCAGCAACTTCTTCAGCTGTTTTCCATTTTGCCAACTAAAGATGAAAACCGTATCTTCACAATAATGTACAGGCAACAACTTCATACATCTCAAAAACATAGACAGATTTCATAAATAACAATATTGCTTTGTCAAATATATTTCTTGACATATTTTTTTTGAAAATGCTTCTTGTTTCAAAACACTCAGTTAAATCACTGACTCCAGTATTTCTAACCATTGAGACACAAACTATAGCTAAAATTAAATACTTCAGAGAATAGAAACGCACAGTTAAATTACTGACTCCACTATTTTTAACCGTTGAGAGACACAAACTATAGCTAAAATTAAATACTTCAGAGAATAGCACAATACAAATTGATATTTCTCTGACTATGATCAAACAAGGTCTAGCCGCTTAACGGACCTCTTGACCTTAGCACTTTTCTAAAACAGACTTATAACATTTTTTTCTAGTCTGTGAACAATTATCAGATCGCACAATTCTCCAATATTTTCAGTTTTATAACTTGTAAAAAGTGAGTTATATAGAGAGTTATCGTACCTGACCGAGACGTTTCTGTCCAGCCCATACTGAAGTGTGGATAATTTTTAGGAAAAGCTGCCCAGTACGTGGGTTGAAAATAAATATAGCACCGTTGATAGGTTTTGTAGTTAAGTTACCTTCAAACGTCTGTAAAAAAGAGCATAGACAAATAAATAAAATAGGTAACTAGGCATCAATCATAAAATGTTTCACGCATTTACTTCATTTCTTCTTTAAATTTAATTCATGTATGTATCACGAGACGAACACGCACTAACATCATGGCAAATTAAAAACATTTTCTATAAAACCTATCACAAGTTATAGTCGAAATAACCAGTTGTTTTCTTGTTGTCTACGATTTAAGTGCACTTTTCTTAGTTGCTGTGTATTAGTTAATTTGCTTTTACGCATGTTGGGAGCACGCCCAGCCATTCTCAATTTCTTTTCTTTAATTGTTTGGTATATTGGTATTTCATAGGGAAATTGGCATCTTTCCTGTAACTCCTTTAACCAAGGCGAGAAAAATGCACATCTTTCCGCACTCCTTCAGTATATCCATTCTTGGACAACTTATGTTTGACTTCATTATTGAATCAACTGTTGGGACAATTTTTACAGGAAAGTGATAAATACCTTGTGAATAGTTACTCTGTAAACGTTTGTATCGTCTACAAACCAGATGATCTGATTGGAGAAAAGTTCTCCATAGTTTTGAGAGGATAGATAAGGTTCGGTGGGTTCACTAGAGTATAACTGTAGAGCTTTTCTCACACGCTCCCGGAGAACATACAATGCAGGATTGGCCTTCATGATCTTCGCCATGGCTTGTTGAAGAAGTGGTTTTACGCCAGGAAACCAGTTACCAAATGCACTACAAATAATATTTTACAGTAGTATTATAGTAGGAAAAATTAATTTGTGTAGTAAACAAGCAGGACACAATATGGCAGCAGAAGAATGATAAGAAGTAAATGATACACAGACAGTACACAAAAAGGTGGAAATCACGATGTATTTGATATAATGATGAAAGATGTTTTGTATAGGTGATTACTTCAATACTACCTACCTATGAAGGTTGTAAGCAAGATCAATGCCAATAAGAACTCCTGTAGGAGAAGGATATATACTCATATTGTCTGTTGTGTAGTCAAGATACTTTGCTCGGGTGTATCGCTCTATATCGTGAGAATCGTAATCTCCCCAACGTAACTGAATATCCAACCAATATTTCTGTGTCGTAGTACTGTCCATTATATCTCTGAAATAAAATGTGATGCAAATAACGTTATTTGTAGTTTCAGGATTTAGTATCAAATCAATAACGGCAAAGACACTAATTCAAGTGCCAACATCACATCACTTCTGATGAAGACACTAGGACTTGACTATGTAACGACTAGTGTGCTACATAAATACATAACATCAGATCACTTCAGACAACGATTAGGATGAAAAATCAAACCTGGAGTCAGCCAAAAGAGACGGTTTAGAGACATTCCATTTGTAAGCAGCAAACAAAAGAATATCAGCACATGAGCTGTTCATTTTATAAGATTTCCTTGGATGAATCGTTTCCTTTTGAACCGTTTCGATTTCAAGGGCGTCTAACTCTTGATCAAAAACTTGACATAAATCCATGACAACACTCTCGTGAACTTTTTGCCATAAATGAGCTCGGAATATTTGGATCAAGGAAATTTTCAACGTCGGAATTTTACCATGCATAAATATGCCGGTCAAATCCAGCTGAACTTGAAAACCCACATATACCTAGATAGAAAGCATTGCTTAATTGACCATAAATTTATGTTAAAGATAGTGTAAAGAATGTTCTCGTTTTCTGTTGTTCATTCATCACTACCCATACTCAGTGATGATTTTTTTATGGGAGTGCTTGGCTTTGTGATCAGCTGAAGTCCAGCGGTTGAAAACCATTTATTTATTTATCTACTCATTATCAAAACTGGATACTAGCTCCTGTTTTGGTCGACAAAATAAATATCATCGACGCCGTTTAATCAAAATAAATAAAATTGACAATCAATAAATTTCAATGATAAAGTCAATAAAGAATTTTTCCATTAAAAGTAGGATGGATTTTGATTTGCTTTTTTACTATTTGCACCCCTCTTGACCATTGCCTACATGGGTAGGCCCCTCCCCCCCATATAAAACCACCACTGCCAACACTCACAAACGCTATTAATACCAACTTACATTGGCTCGATTTATAGTAGGTGACCACCACAGCGTGAAACGTCGATTTGGAATCTGATTTAAGCCAGACCTTTGAGCGTTAGTCAATTTTTTGTACTTCATAGATTCTTCAAAGCCACTAGCTTTCTCCCAGAACAAACCTTCCCAGGTGGGAAAATATGTTCCTTTAAATAAAGTATGCTCGAGGATTCCCTCTACACCTCCTAAAGCCTGAATCATGTCTGTACGATAGTTGTTCAAGTTCCATAGTTTACCATCATGACGTTGATGTGTCCACCAAAAAGGATTTTGTTTCAAAACCTGATAAACAAAATAAAATATCAATTACATCACACAATCAGAGGACACCCGTGACCATAAAATGATAATGTGGAATGTGTAAAAAAGTATCGCAAACCTGATATTGTTTGAAGTCTGTGCGGACTCGCCATCCTTTATCATAGGCAAGCGTGTGGCGATCTTTTTGAAATAATGTATTAATGCGTGGAATACCACGATCCCACGAATCCTCGAGATCTTCAAGAGTTAAACGTCTGATGGAAGAAAACAGAAAACAACAAGATATAAACAATAACAAAATTTGTAAATTAAGACATTCCAAGTAACAAACTTTACTATTACGAATAGCAATACTACCACTAGTAGCTACCAAGAGTACCAATACTACCACTATTACCAAGAGTACAAACATTACCACTAGTACCAAGAGTAACAATACTACCACTAGTACCAAGAGTACCACTACTACCTCTAGTACCAAGAGTAACAATACTACCACTAGTACCAAGAGTACCACTACTACCTCTAGTACCAAGAGTGCCAATACTACCACTAGTACCAATACTACCTCTAGTACCAATACTACCACTAGTACCAAGAGTACCAATACTACCAGTAGTACCAAGAGTACCAATACTACCTCTAGTACCAAGGAAACCAATAGTACTGTGAATAGCCAGACTAAGGGAACCAAACGCACCTGTTCTGGGCATTAGCCTCTTGTCGTTTTAAAGCATATTCAGCCCAGACACGCTGCGAGTCGATAAATTCACTTTCCCAAGGCTGCACATATCTGATCAAACAAATTGACATGGAAATTGATGAACATGAATTAATTCGTTTTTATATACAAACGGGAAAAAATTTTAAAGCTTCAGGAATTCTTACCGATATAAATTAGGAATCAATTGATCTTCGTCGTGACTCATACCAGAACGGAAATGAGTGATGCCAGCATCAGTCTGTTGAGACCATCTAAGAAAAAACACGTGCAAATCAAATACGTATTTGTAGCTTATCATAAAATAGAAATTATCTCATTAGATTTCGTGTTACTGCCAAAATTTTCAAATTCAAGCTGATAGACAAGTATCATTTCAGTTAGTTGGGCGTAATTTAAGTCACCTTAAAATGATAAAATACCTCAAATCTGACTGTGGAATAAGAACATGACCCATTGACAGCATTCCCAGACCTCCCAGTTCTTTCGGTGTGTAAAATACGACAGGAGGAAAACGACTTGGCATCTTCGAGTTAAGACCAATCTTTATACGGGTTTGTATCTGAAATAAAACAAATGAAACTAAAATGAAAACTAAACCAGTGACGCAAAGTATTGTTTACTGTTTAGACAATACTTTAATTGCTGTAAAAATATCAATATTACGGAACCCAACCTTATTCTCACATTTCACCAAAAGATCCAACAATTCCTGTGTGTTGACAACGGATTCGCGAAAGTATGTCATTAATCCAATCAATGCTGTATTCCACTTGTTCACAATCTTTGTGAATGTTGTTGAACCAGAGGCCATAAGGATTTGCCGAACACGATTATGGAACTTTTGCAAAGAATCGTTATCAACTCTTAGAAAACACTGCGCTGTTCGTTCTTTCGTTACCTAAGGAAAATTCCATCTTTATTACTTCAAGATTCCTTAATCCACAGGTGTTGTTTTTACTCCATTAATCTTACCACAATTCATCCCCCTCCCCCTTGTTGTAGGTGGATAGATAGTTTCAAAAGACAGTTTCAGCAAAAAATATGCACATCATGTGTGAATTACCTCGTTTTGCAAGTTCCAAACACCATCGCGATGTGTAAATTCTTCAAAACTAGTGCGACATTTTGGTAATATACGACACTCAAAGCCACTCATATCAAACAACAAGTTTGGATTGTCTTTACTATAGACGGAGACGAAACAATCTTCCCACTCCAGTGTGGTCACTGATCGGGGAAGACGATTCTTCATGTCCCAGAATACAGCTCGGCCAAGATTTACATCATGTTTCATTAACCTCATGCGCGCATCACGTGGCCAACATTTTTTGTTATTGTAGCCGACAATGTTCTCGTTATTTGGATCGGGATGTTCCGTGAGATAACGCTGAATAAGATCGCGGGCTTCTTCAGCAGAAAACCTTTCAAATCAAAACAGATTTGAAATCATTACATCCGTAAAGAAAAAAAGGATTATGCTGAGTAAATGTTTACCTGAAAAAGACATGAACTCGATCGACGTAACGTGAATAAAGGCGGATGGGATGGGATATCTCTGTTTGAACATCTTGGAACGTCAGAAAATCGTTGGGGATTTGTGGTGGTCCTGCCATCTCACTGGCTCGCTGTAGACCAAGCATTAGTAGATCTAACACAAGACCATAATATTGCACGATGAATGAAGCAAACTGAAGACCGCGAATTATACCGTAAGAATTGGTGTGATTCATGTCCTATGAAAAAATATAAACTGTTTTTAAAAACGGGAATGAAAAAAAAACACGATCTGCAAGCACATTACGTTGTTTTTAAAAACGGGAATGAAAAAAACACGATCTGCAAGCACATTACGTTGTTTTAAAACGGAAAGAAAACACGTTCTGCAAGCACATTACGTTGTTTTAAAACGGAATGAAAAAACACGATCTGCAAGTACATTACGTTGTTTTTAAAAACGGGAATGAAAAAACACGTTCTGCAAGCACATTACGTTGTTTTTAAAAACGGGAATGAAAAAAAACACGATCTGCAAGCACATTACGTTGTTTCAAACAAGTAAAAAGTAATTAAACTATTCAAACATCCAAGCCTAAAAATCAAGTCACTTTTGATGAAGACACTAGACTGGAGTATACGTATAATTAACCAAGTTCACTGTTGATGTAAACAACTGTCTGTGTATTTGTATTTCAACTTTTAGGAAAGATATCGGACTTAAATATTTCAAAAAACTAAAACTTTGAGATCAGACCCCTCCTCATAAAAACAACAGAAAACTCAAATAATCACATTTTAAACGAGCAGAATAAACCAAAGTGGCAACTTATTGAATAGATAATATTTTTGTTACCTTATAATTAATCACAACATTATTTTTTGCAGTCATGTAATCAGCAATATTGTGATCGACAATCAATCGCAAGAGTCTGTTAAGCAAAGTCAAATCAATCTTCTCATAAAGTTTCTCAAATTGCGCTTCCATCATAACGTTGCACTCTCCTTCCCCAGTCTCCCAAACATCTTGAAGATTGTTGATACCTAAACAGCAAATAAAGTTGAGAGAGTGAGGGGAAATGGTAACTCATTATTCAATGCAAAGTTTATACAAAAACAATGTTTGTAAAGGATGATCGTCCAGGTTAATAAAGTCCTGAGAAGGACTGTTTTTGTTGTTGTTGACTGACGTTTTCGACAACCTTAGCGGTAGTCATCTTCAGAGTCAAAAGATGACTACCGCTAAGGTTGTCGAAACGTCAGTCAACAACAACAAAAACAGTCCTTCTCAGGACTTTATTAACCTGGACGTTCATCATTTACAAACATGTAATGATACTCCCGGGTTCAAATCATTTACTTTATTACAAAAACAATGATTAAACAAGCAGAGGAAGGTAAGTCAACGTAGTTTATACCTTGACACCATTTATAAACAAGTAATGGTGGGGGTTCAGTATCGGCAGGTTTAACCCAAGGTGGAAACAACCTTCGTTTGTCTGCCTCGTACCACAAATACTGGTCCAAATACGCGTCGGTGATCTTTTCCAGAGGTTCAACATCGTACACAGGGATCAAATGACTGTAAAGGTCCATAAACTCGATACCAATCTATATAAAATAATTTCACTTCAAGAAATATACACACCATATCATTTTATCTCTGCGACAAATGCTTTTTTACGCATATATATATATATTAAGGAGCAGTGAGTGTAAAGACTGTTGTTCATTTATCAATTCCTACATTGACACACATCAACTATTTCTCACATATTCTTAGGAACATAAAAGATAATTTTGATTAGATATGTTGCTCTTGACAGGATCCGCAAGAAACATGTCAAAGTTCCAAACGGGTTTTTAAAGAGTAAATTTTATCTTTGGCTATCATTTAAAGATTTGAACGAATAAAATCATTTCAATCTTGCCTCATTTCACAGCCAAAAATTAAATTTTATAAAATATCCTTCCAAAGCTGCTGAATAACTTGAACCAAAAAACACAACACTACTGACCTCTTTAAACGCTCTTTGAGTCAAAAGATGACGCTTAATTCGACTTAATGCTTCGTGAGGATTATCATACGCTTGTTCAATCAACGCTAATTCCTCCCGCTGTGATTGATTCAAGCGACTTTTAACGCTGTGAGAAACAAACAGACAAAATGTTTGACATGAACCCCCTTCACAGAAATGAAACTCTGCTTCAGAGTTGGATTTCGAAAACTTTGAAAAAGATTACTAAATGTTATGCGAACATAAACATTCAAGTTAATCCTGAAATTAAGAGAAAGATACGTACCTGTATGCTTCTTTGAGCCTTTCCAGCGCTAAGATAAGCAACTTTGTGTCGTGTTTATAAGAGAGTGGCGGGAAAGGAATGGGGGAGAATCGTCGACTTTCCAACCAATGAACAGTGGTCGTGTAAATAGCAACAGCTTCTTCAGCAGAAATGTAGGGACCATCCTATAGTTAGAAATACAAAAATATCCATGAAATGATGCAAAAGTCATCATGACACATGTTGCCAAAGAAGACGAACAACAAAATGACGCTATGTATCTTAAATGCCTAAAATCTTTAAAAAATTGGTGAAATAATCTAAAACAAACTTGAGGGAGAATACAAATCTTATCAAAATTCGACAAACTGTACAACTAAATGTCTCTTTGACAATAATTACAACAAAAAAAGATTGATTCACCTTCAGGTAGTTATGTTGTCTTTCTTGTTCAGCTTTGAGATACAGACGTGTTAATCTTCCAAGGTTTTTCTTGCACACAGTTTTATCAACAGTTGCACCACGTCGGATACGCTCCCGATTATAATGAGCTGTATTTGTCCACCAATCAGCTTTCGCCTTGACGTAGCGTAAAATCATGTTTTCGATAGGTGTGGGGAGACCTGGTACCTAATAAAAATAAGAAAACATTTAAAGTATATGTACAAGAAATTATATCCACGTGTTTTAATTCAAAGGAAACTTTGAAAACCTTCCAAGGTATATTAGCTTTCCAACATCTCCAAGCCTCACTAAGATGCTGCAAAATTGTCCTGGCCTTGTTCTGTTTAATTCCTTCGGGCATCATGTCAAGAATATCATGCATAACCGCAGCTCGCAGCTCAAGATCGTAGTGACTCTCAACACGTTGTTTAGTCACTGTCTTTGCAACACCCTTCGAATGACGTCCTTCAAATTGACGGGCAAGAAGATTGCCAAGCCATCGTTCGAGCAATGGGACAATGCCGCGAAGAAAAAATAACCAGACACGCCAACCTGGAGCCCAAAACCCACATCCGGGACCTTTACCTACCGGACCCTACGAAGGACAGCAACGATTTAGTACGAGACAACGTAATTTAATAAGAAAAACTTTCATGATAGTAAGACAACTCGTCAATTGTAGCGTTTTGTAAAACTTTGACTGTAACCACAGTATTTCCGATATGTTTAGTTATCGTAATCGCTCTACCAACACAAAAGAAGCAACAATCTTTTACAAATACTTAGCTTCCTGTCTGTCAGCTTCCCACAAAGAGAACAACCAGCAAGCTTTTTAACGACTGCACTAAAATACTAGATATTATAATCACATACTGTTACTTACTGTGTTGAATCGATAATAGATAAGATGTTTCAAGTCTTTACACATTCTGATTTGTCTCATGAGTTTATATTTATAACGATACATTCCAGTTAGTTGACCAACATGAGCAAAGACGTACTGTAAACCATCAGCAAGCTATAATTTGTTCAAATATTTAAAGCATTAGAAATGAAAACTTTCTTAACTCCGTCTATAAACAAAAAACATTTCATTCGAATACTTGATTACTTGATCTTCGTCAACCATAGATTATAGTATAAATCATTGGTGTTCATGTTGCAATGAACATGGAAAGTCAATTTCATTGGCAGCACGTTTTAAGCCTGAATCTTAAATCTTTTACACAAGTGTGTGAGCCCCAATGCTGGTTTTAAAATATATTTAAAATACTTTAACGTACCTGATAGCAATCAACGTTTCCCAAACGATACTGTACGTGCGAGTCAACAACCAATTTTGTCAATCTTAAGATCTCGCGACATAGGTGAAAGGCATTTCCAAATCGCGATTTCTTTCTTTCCTTTGTCGTGAGTGTTTTGACCGGTTTCAGATTAAAGTTGTAGTCCAAATGAAGATAGTTGAGGTTCTTACGATGAATGAGAAGGTTCAGCATGTTGTAACCTTGACGACAAACCTGCAGGCCCGCCTCAACCCAGTCCAACGTGGTCGTTTGAAAGAATTTCGTCGACTTAAAGGATCGAAATAAATAGCTAAAAGGAAAGAAAATACTGAAGTAAATTTTTTGAAGCTCATAATATGAAATTACTCCATACGCGGGGAAAAGAGGAAGAGTACAATACGCAGACTTCATTGTATAGAAATTTTACCGTTTCTTTTGTGCTTTAGGTGGTCGATGTTTTAACGCATTCAACACGAAACATTTGAGTAATTTTTGATAGGAAACACGAACTTTAACAGGATGATTAGCGGGGCAATGTTCTTGATACCTGGAAAAAGAAAACAGCAATAATCATAAAAAAAGCACAAACGAGTGATATTTTTCTAGAGGAAGTGGTTTGCATGTTACGTCACAGCAACCATGTTACGTCACGACCGCCTTCTTCGTGCTCAAATACAAAATAAACTTTATCAATGCTATTGAACAAGCCACATTGTTTCATAATTGCATGTAGGATGACCAATCCAAGAATACTCCGTTCTTTTACTCCGTCAAAGTTATCAAACTTTGTATAGGCGTCATGAAGACATCAAGAAAATATCCCTACCATGAGTTGACCAGCGGAATATCCAATGCTCTTCGTGTACGTCCTGCGCGCATATTGAAGGGTCTAGGTGCCCACAACAAGGCGATACCTAAGGTAAAAATTATCTTTTGATTTAGCACGTAAGTGTCATCAAAACTGAAATAAAAATGTTGACTGAACGAACCATTGGCAGTATTGTCTGTATACAATGGAGTGTCTTGTAAAAACGGTTGAAAATCTTCTGGTAATTCGAAATTCTCATCTTCCTCAGGTAATGGTTCAGCACTCTACAATGAATAAAACAAAAAGCATTCAATCATCAGAAACATAAGTTAATCCATGGTATTAAAGTTACTTTATAAAGTCAATACTATTTGTCTCATCAATCAAAGATTATTGAAGAGACAAAGACATCTGCTAACAACTTAACATATCACTGTTTAATTGAGAGACTGGACTTATTCAGTATACTTGTAACTAATTGTATCTGCTCAATTTTAGATTTACAAAGACATCTACCAACAATGACACATCGTTTTCTTTGTATAGAGATTTAATCTGGTGACCACCAGTGTATCACAGGATTGTAAACAAATGGCCCTTTGTACAAACCTTGACAGCATGCCTGTGTGATATTGGATTGATCAAAGGATCAAAATAAAATGCAGGAAGATCAGGATCTTCAGTCTTGATGTAAACAACAATTGGATAGTGGTACCTTTGTAACATAAAAAAATATGAAATGTAATGATTATATATTTCAACATATTTCAGAGGAATACTTAATCATTTGATAAATGTGATACCAAACGGATCCATTTTTAAAACTGTTTGTATTAGAGCAGATTATACTGGTGGTGTTAGAATTGTATTTTGGGAGGATGCACCTCCAGGAACTGCCCCACACCACTCTGGTATGTCTGATTGCAAGAGAGCAAAACTTATGACAGACTGCATCATAGTTCTTGCGCATATTCAACCTTATTTCTGTTGCCAGTGCTTCAAACACTGTGACCTAGCTTTGGGTACAATGTCCCCGTAGCCACTGGCTTCATTAAAATATACCTACAGCCTACAGGTGCTAATCTATGCCACACTATTTACTTAAAATGACTATTAACTATTAGTTCCAAACTTACCATAAAAGATGAACTTTGAATGGCAAGCTATTGTACAGGTATGGAAATGCAATGCGATATTCTGTTCTCACTGGTTGTCGAATGATGATCTTGTTAATGTCATTAAACTCGTTCCAGTCCTCATCATTCTTGCTAACATCACGAACTAATGGCTCAAACTTTGGGCCACCTGGTATTGCTACATTCAGTGCTTTGGCTGTAAAGAATGCCTTCATGTCAAACAAGTAAAAAAAGTTTCCATCGGCAAAATCAGAAAGAAGCTGGTTGCCAAGTCGATAGAGAGTTGACTGCATTGGTAAGGACAGATTCCATTTTCTGTAGGTTGAGCCATTCACAAATCTAAAAATGAGCACAGTTTTACTTAGAAAGATTAAATTAAACATGTCATCAATTGCACTGGAATGCATAAGAACCACCAACAACATAACACAAGAGTACATTCAATACAAATGTCTGGATACTCAAGTGTTTCACATTGAAAGTAAAAACTAAACAGCATAATTTGAAACAAAGTTAATAGATAAATATAGCAGCATTAAAAATCTCTATTTATAATATTTATGAACTCAAAACATAATCTTCAACAGTTTAAAGTGATTTAAGAGTATAATTGCAGAAATAATATATATGAAACAACATTGCAACAGGATACAAACTTTGTGTCAACCAACGGCTTGTGATCATAAAACCAATCATAAACAGGAGAGTCTTCTTCTGGATCAAGATCAATTTGTATAGCTTCTAAGGGTTCTACATCTAAAATATTGTCAGCATAATCTAAAGGAGGTTCTTCATCATCGAATGGAGGAAAACGCATCCTCTTAAAATGTCTTCTATCACGCTTTTCTTCTCATCATGATCCACATAGTACTGAAAAGATTTTTAAAATATAAAAACTGGATAACAAAGTCAATTGAAGGATTTATTCAATAAAAATGTCAAAACAAATGATTATATACAAAACTTACCCCCATTGAGCAATGTAAATAGGTTCAACAACATATGGAATTTCATTAACAAATGTGATAGCACCAGTGACATGATACAAGACTTTCACATCACGTATCTGTTCCCAAGGCATTGGCATATTTTCCAAAAGTTTTAGGATGGCATGTGGCATGTATTTGAGTGCTCTACAAACAATGAAAATGTAAAACATCACCATAATATGGAAGAGAATAAGTTTCACTATGAAGCAAAATTATATCATGGAATTGGAGGACTTGTCAATTTAGTAACTAATGGTCATTGCTACCAAAAACAAGCAAAGTAGATACTATCAACTTTAATTTGGGCTATCTATGATATGGTTCCTCATGATAGACTAGTTTCCACGTTGACTACGACAACTAGCTTATCATTTACTAACCCCAAGTACACTCGTTTATCATGGCGGTATTTTCTGCTTGACATGTCACCATGGTCACGAACAATCTTCCGAACATGCTCTGGTGGCATGTCCTCTTTCTGTGCTTCCACAAAACCAAACTTCCTTTTCTCACTGTAACGTTTTGACTGCAATTGCTGCCATTTTCGAGCTAATACATGACAGCAAAAATCATTGGATTAAAAGATGAAAAAAAAAACTCAAAGAGGCAGTGAAGTCAACTGAGAAAAGCACAAATTGGTCAGGTGAAAAATTATCCAGAAAAATTAGTTATTAACGTAAATGCATCCGTGGATACATCAACACAGATGACTTGATAGTTCATAGTCGATTGAATCCTCAGATTTTAAATTGCATTTACTTATGTTTAATAAATTTAATTCAAATAAATCTTAAAGAGCTATTTCTTTGTAATCTGTACTTCCTAATACGTGAAATATTTTAAACTTAAATACCTTTTTCTTGTAGTTTTTCTTCTGTAATCTCAGCAGAAGGCGCCATCATGTAGGTCGCCATTTTGAATAGTTCCACCAAAATAATTCCAGACCGCTGAAATCCTTTCGGAAATAAAGACACAACAAGTCTTGAAGCTTACGAAAGCAGAATTTCTTCGTACAAAAACAGAGATTACGAACTCAATTTAAAGTGTTGAAAGGAAAAACATTTTCGCGTTCATCTGCACAACGTCGGACAAACGTGGTTTACTTCTATACTATTGAGGGAACTCTGTCCCAGTTCCTGCGCACCTTTGAATAAACCGTAATGTTAAGTCACGTGACATTGACGACAAGTCATGGATCATAAGATAAGCATTGATATCTATTAAATAAAGCTTCTTTAAGCGACAAGTAAAGTTTCAGCAGTTTCAGTCTCAGACTTTAAGTGTTCAGTCAGAGCGAAGGGGAGCAAAACTTTAAATTAGGGTCGTTTTGTAAATTGTGCCTTTGGTGCTTTTGGGCGCCACAAAAACTAGTCTTGCTAAATGTTTCGTTCTTACATCAATAAAATATGTTTTTTCGTTTTTCGTGTTTTATTCACCAAGCATTCCCACTCCTCGGCGTCCTCGCCCCTTTTTCTGAGTAGAAATTCAGGATTTTTATTTCCAAAGTTTTTATGTTTTTTCTCAAAATTCCACACTTGCTATTTATTTGCCGCTTTGGGCAAGAGTCTTGCCCTTTCTCGTTGCCGCCCATATTTTCTTCTTCTTCGTCCAATATAAATGACAAACATTAGCCAGAAGATAAGCATAAGAACAGCTAATACAAAAAATAATAAGTTAAATCATAGGGTTCTCCTTTTCGTTTTCTTTTGACCAGGTGAATAAGAACGCTCAACTTCAGGAGACCAGAGCCCAACAATGAGCCAACTGAATCAATCACAAAGTTTGATGACATCACAAGACCTTGCATTGATCGAGGTGCATTTCGATAGGCAAAATCAAGACCTACAAAAAGTTTTCCATTGTTGAATTTGTAGCAGTTATACTTTTTGTTGGAGGGGCATGGAATGGCTGCCAAATTATTTTCTTATGATCATTTAAAATTTTTAAATTAGTCACCAACCCCTAGTTGCAACTTTTGCAGTCGCTAAACACCTCCCCCCCCTCCTCTTCATCCAATCCCAAACTTTGTTTTAAATAAGAATACTGATTTAGTAAACTGGTGAGAATTATGATAACATACCTCCAATGTAGGCAAATATTTCACCTAAACCAACAAACAAATATTGAGGAACTTGTAAAAATATTGTTAGATTGGCAGCCTTTGTGCTATTGTTGTCTGTTTGCTTGACTTCAATTGTGTTATTCTCAGTAAAATCTTGTATCACAAATATTTCCACAAAACCAGCAGCAATAACAGCAAAACAAGACAACACTATACCTAAAAAAGATCCAAAAACACATGTCACTTTGCTGATAAGAATTGTTTACTGGTTACTATCCAGTTCTAACTACTACTTTTTTCTATAAATACAAATTTTAGTTATTTTATAATAACATGCATTCAGCTAAGACATTTTGTGATAGTGTAAAGTCTGAAAAGACAGTTCTCATTCTCCATTGTTAAATTTTAAAGCATAATGCTCAAAAGTTCAAATTGTATACAGCATTGAAAACAATAAATTTTCAGTTTTGATCATGTTATTGTTTCATGTAATTGAAAAAACACATTTCAACAAATTCATAAAACTATATTTAATTTCACTAACCAATGGATATCCTAGTCAAAGGTGCCATATTGTAACCATGTCTTTTCAACCAAGGATACACAAATCTGTTCATGATTGGCAAAAGAATAAGAATTATGAAAATGTTGAAAAAGAGCAACCAGGCAACAGGAAAGCTGCTGTACTCAAATGGCAGTTTCATTTGTAATCCTTGATTTAGAAAGGTTGCATTCATCTATGATAAAAACAAATAGACTTAAAAAAGAAAATAATTACCAGTAATTCAATCAAATTTCTTAATTCAAATGTAATATGTTGTTGGTGATATAAGGCCTTGTTTATTCAAGATTCAAATATTCCATTATTTCTCCAAGTAAGTTTGATACAAAAAAACAAACTGGATGTGGACAGGATAAGGAAAATATTGACCAAAGAAAATTAAAAATAAGTTCCAACTCTTAGATTTCTCGTGTAAGATATCAAAAAATGAAGATAATTATTTTAACCTGACTATAGATAATAGCAAAAGGTAACAATACAACCAAGACAGGAATGACCATTACTAAAAATTGAACTTCATCTACTTCCCAATCAAGATAGCTTCCTCCATATTTTATTCTGGCATAGTCCAACCATGATAGTTTCTGTTGCAATGGTAATGATAAACTGTTCAAAAGAAAATGATGATTGATTAATAAAACAGCTGACATTTTTGTTTCCATTGTTACATCACACAACCTAGACTGGTTGTGTAAAATAACAATTCTCAAGATCATGTACTAACTACTTTATTTCATTATATTCAAATGTTATTTTGAATATTGGAGATCTACCTTCTCTCATTTTGGTGCCGTTTTCTTCTTGCATCCTTGAAAATCTGAAAAACCTTGCCTACCATTTGCTCATGCGGAACAATAGTATATAGATGACTTGAGAACAGAAAAATGAAGAAGGCCAATACAATTGTTGCAGTGGGTGCTATGTACCCAATGAAAAAACCTTGTCTTGTCTGAATGTACGCTGAAATAATGACAGCAAGCATTGCTCCAATGTTTAGATAAAAATAATAAATATCAAAGTATCGTCTTGTACTATCTACATCTTTGCTATTCAATTGCTCTGCACCAAATGCTGAAATGTTTGCCTTGTAAGCTCCCTCTCCAAAAAGTATTAAAATAAATGAGGCCATTACCATAGTCATTCGATAAGAATATTGTTTGCCAATCATTCCCTCCTCAAAAGCGGCAGCACATATTAAGAGAAATCCTATCCCAATTGCATATACAAAGAGTCCCAAAGTGATAGTCCCACGTTTACCAAGTTTTGCATCACTTAATACGCCACCCAATACGCAAAACATCCAAGATAAGCCCACAATACACAACACAGTTACATCAACATTGGTGGTATTAGATGTTGTCTTATCCTTAATCAGATAAACGTCATCACAAAAGAAAAAGAACAGACTTATGACTATACTATAATATGTGAAGCGTTCTAACACCACAACGATAAAAAAAGGTGTCATATTTTTCGTTGGCGCCCTTGATGAATTCTGACCTTGCGTGGGGATAGTGAGGCCATTTTCATGATCGAAATTTATTGGTTCCTGTTGTCTTATCAATGGTGTCTTTACGTTAGCATGGTAAGTCTCTTCCATATTTAGATGATATGCAGTACATAAGATGTTCAGTCGCAGACCTTTGTACAAAGTTACCTCTACATTTTCATTTCTTTCCAAAAACAATATTTGTAGCTTCAGCAATTCCGTATTTCTCTTTTCTTCCTTTAAACCATTTAAACTTGTCGTCTATCACAAGAACAGTCACGAGAAAAACATATTTTTGGCTAAGGGGGGGGATAAGCTGAATTTCTTTTTGAAAATAATTTGTGCATAAATTATTCGACCTCGTGACTATATGACCATTGAATTTCTATGACGTGTAAAGTGGTACACAATGAGCGTGAATGTACGCCACACTGACAGCTAACAAAAATTACCAAGTCTGGTTCATTGTTCGGTACACACTCACAAGAGAGTCTCTATATGAACAGCATAATCCTCACTTCTAGAGGCTAGAGCTAATATAGCAGTGCCTTATTTTTGACGAGTTCCAATGTCATCAACACGACAACGGTAATGTTTGAATATGTGCAAAATCAAAATGAAAATGTTTTTAAAACTTTAATTTAGTCTAAAATTCGTGTTTTGCGTTTTCCAAGAAATAAATATTTATTGTGAATAGATACTAAGATAAAACTTCCATTAATGAACGTATATGACGTTTCTATAGTGCCATATTCTATGCCATATTGCATCAAGTTGCAACGGTTGTGGTAAATTTTAAATTAAAGAGTTTAAAATAACGTTATTGTACTAAATGTTTATGCCTCATATCTCACAACACACAGGCAAATTGTCTCCTTGGCGCTTTTTTAGTGACTGAAGCAGTTTTTCAAATTGTTTTTAAAAGTGAGTCCATGAAAACCAAGCGCATGTATTTCAATTCATTATGGACGTTAATCCCTGACAACGATGGCGGTATTTTTGAGCAAAAACAAAACTTTTTTTGCTACGCCAACAGACAGATATGTGAATCTCTCTTTTTCCCCACTACACATTAACAAACGCGAGACTGTTTGGATCTTGTTTTGAAGCTTTACGCCAAAGATAAATAGGTAAACCAAAGCCAAGCAAGGATAAAACCCACAGAAATATATGAATCTAAAAAATTGATAACAATCGGTGTTTGTTGAAGATGAAAAACAGACAACGATGTTCATATGTTAACGACTGAGTTGTAAAAAACGACATGTCCAAATATGCTCTCTCCAGACAAAGTTGAAGGTTTATCACACTCTCACATCACATAAAAACACAACTACAACACACAAAAAAGAATATTTTTTGACGTTCACTTCCCATATTCTCCCCTTCCGAGGAACAAAAAGTCTTCAGAAAGTCCCAACACCATTTTTATAACAAACTAGAAAAATTCTTTTAAGTTGTTTTGCGTCATTACATTTTAGCTCAGTCTTTCATTCTACCATATTATTTTTGATGCAGAAAGATACCACGAAAATATTGAACAATGATTCTCACCTGGATCGTTCGACCATCGAACCACTCCTCCATTACAAGAAACAAAGGATATTGAAGAAGAGAAAAGATGGCGCCGATAAAAGCAGCAAAACCCATTAATTTCCCAAGATGTTTCTGTGGAAATCTTTGAAAAAATGTGCAAATGGATTTAGTCTCGACACAATTCTTATCATATGCCTGTAACGTTCACTGAATGCGGTGAAAACAGATAAGTAAAAATCAAACACAAAGAAATAAGCCACTTGTAACATCATAATAAAACCAGTAGCATTTTTTTATGTAAACGTCTTTGCTCAAAGATGAAATTTGTGTTTTCGACTGGACAATGGTTAAATAACATGGGTTTGCTATCGTTCCCATACTATCCAGTTACGACTGTGGAAATTTAATTAACCTTCTTTATCAAATAAATGAATATTTTAGTCCTCAAAGATAAGTTATTAATTCGCATACTTACAAGAGAACAAGTATACTCGTAAACACAGTATCGTAGGCAACTTTGACAAACACGTACAACTGAAAGGTGATGATCTATAACGGGAAAAAAGTTGTTGGATGCACAGCTAGAAAGGTACTGAGTTAACAAAAAATGGACAAAGACTATTAATCTATGAGAATTTTATGGAATCTAAAAAGGAAAAAAACTCCGAACATATAGTCCATTTTGTGCACAATGTTTGAAAAAAATTTTTTTAAATGGTTGATTTAGAATTTAGGGCAAATTCATGATCAGAAGAGAAATACAAGTTGCTTGTGGCTCAATTTGTATGTGTGTATATATTTTTACATATCGCTACTGTGGACTTTATGCACGGAAGATATTTCTTCATATGTTGAGAAATGTGAACGGTTTGGACATTCAAGATATCTTGAAACATTCTTACGAGCTATAAATTATTGATACCTTAGACATTTTGAAATAAACTCGTAAGGCCCTGAGACAAGAATAACCATCCTGAAGTGACTATTACCTGTACAGGAAGACTAGGAACTAACGACAACAGACAAAAGACAACATTTGCTGAAACCGTCACCAAGACTGCGTCGTTCAATTTAAATATTCTTCTCCTATAACATCGTATTATAAATTTAAGGACGCGCGGAGTATCTTCTACGTGCATCATAAATATCTGATGTTCTTTTTCCAAGTCTTTTGATGGCTTTACAACAACATCGTCATCTTCAGAACATTGTCTATCGATAATGTAACCAAATAATGGAGCCATAACGAACGCCCCGATATGACTTAATCCAAAAATGGTTACATATTTTGCCACTAGAAAAAATAGAAAACAATTTTTACCGTGTAAAAACTATTCATCTATAAATGTTTACAACTGTGGTAATCTAGAACATCGGGTTTGAACAGTGTTTTACTAATTACAATGAATAATTATGGTCCAATACCTGTTGCGCGATCTCCTTCGCAAAGCTCCGAAATAAAATTATAAAAAATTCCCACAAAGACCCATGCTCGCAATTTGCACACAGTAAGGAATAGTTCCAAAAGGATATGAAGTCTAGACAAGACACAATTCTTGAAAGAAATCCCAGACTTGAGATAGGCCACTGAAATAGAAAAAGCCCATTTATCAAACTAAAATTACATGTTAAGGATGTAATGTTATTCTATGATGAAGTTGAATAACTAGCATTCTTAGTATTTAACACGACTATCATGTATCAACGTTATTTTTTGTGTCACTGTTCAAAATATGAGAGTCGAGGTTTAAATTCACGAGGTAAAACTAGTTGTTGGATACATTGAATTCACGGAAAATGTCACGCGAAGAAGACAGACAAGTGCCTCACATTATATTGTCCAATTTTTTCAATGTCAATGATTTCGTCTCGGGTACAACTTGAGTCAGAGAGCACAATTACAACAACAGAAAAACCAGTCAAACATCACATTCTTCCTCACACCATCACAATAACCAACACACTACAACAATTACCACCACAATGAGCATCAAACCATCCAAATAACCAACATACCACCACAATTACCATCACACTATCATAATTACCATCAAACCATTCCAACAACCATTACATCATGAATATTACCATCACAAAATTGCAACAACCATTACACCATGAAAATTACCATCACACCATAACATTTCCCATACAATCATACGTCCAAGAAAACCAACTCAAAACGATCACAAAAGTACTCATTTCAACATCAATATTCTTCTCATAATTCAATAGTTATACATAAGAGAACAAAAAATTTTTGAATGATGAGTATTATACAATAAACTGGCAACGCTATCAATTTAAAACATAGCCTTCATCAAAAGGGAAAAAAACAAAACATTGTCAAAACCAACCCGCAGATTTTGCAGTCCACACTTGAAGATCTGCGGATCTGTCGAAAGAAAGCACATATACAACATTTCATGGCGCTACAAATGTAACTTTCAATGCATCCCTTTTCAAAAGTTGCGCAGTGCTTCAATGCTGACAAAGCTTGAATAGGATCTATCTTTTTTACAATTGTAAAACAGTGACAAAATCTGGTGACAAAAACACACTTTCAACAGGGTGATTTGACCTATTTGGGCAAGTTCATACTATGAACTGTTTGAATAAAACAGACATAACAATCATCATTATAGAAAAATCAAGGGGAAATGTTGCTCTCTGCTATAGCAGAAGAGAAAGAATAATCCCAGTAAAGGTTATTCAAAAGTCATTCTTTATAACGAGGGTAGCAGAGATTGATAATGTTAACTGGCACAATTTGTATTCCCTACGGTCCTTGCTGTAATCCGTTGATTTGTTGCATGTTTAGTCATTTAAAATCATAGGAAGCGTAAGCATGCTTCATTTTGACATCATTATAGTGGTTCGAAGGAATTAATTAATGATTCGAATGATTCTAAGATTTTAAATCATAAATTACTTACGGGTTGTGTTTTTCCCCTCCTTGTTTCTCTGATATCACATCTTGTGCAAAACTTTGCCTGGTATTGTGTTCGCATTTGTTTTTCAAATGTATCTGTGTTTTTTGTTTATAGTCAGAATCCACCATTTGCTTCACTTCGAGAACATTATCAAAAACAGTGATTGATGATGTAAAAGATTGAGACAACGGATTCAGAGAAAGCGAACTGTTTGTCTTCGTCAATTCCAAATCCTGGCTTTGGTAATCGTGAATGTGTTTTGTTGAATGAAATCCGCAATCTGTATTTTTTTGCACACAATTCAAGTTCGTACTTTGCACCATCAATTGTTCCCGTTCGTCTTTGTTTTGACGAGTGTAATTATTGTTTATTTTATCATTACTTCCCTTGATCATCAGAGCGATGTAATATTTTAATTTTTGTATTCCACGACCAAAACAAGAAAATGCTGTTTTGTTAAATTTTTTCTCCTTTAATGGTGGCTTTTCACCGGAAAATGCAGTAACAGAATCAGGATAAAGCAGAGCAGCATTTATACACAAGAAGACGCAGCCGACAGTCAAGAATCGGAAGAAAGTAGCAATACTTACTCCACTGCTCTCGTGAAGTACCTGAAATGATGACGATCATTGAAATCACTCACTTTACAAGTTTGATAAACATAGTAAGGATGTCATATTGTGGATGATACATAAGAAATCAATATTCTTGATCTCGAACCAAGTACAAATAATGAACTTAAATACAAAATAGTAAATACCTTGAAAACAAGCATGGTAAATGAAGAGCCAGCCCAGCCAGCACAATATAAACCGATCAGTACAGAATGACCTTTTTTGAACCTTCGTATGCACTACAATGAGTTTGAAAGGGGTTCATAACATGTTTGGTAAAAAATGTTTGGAATTCAAAACTACAAAAGAAAACAATTTTAACACCATCTTATGATACAAACAGATGTATAAGCTAACGTATGTTTTATCATCAGATCATTCCTGGTGAAAGCTGGTTCATATGACGAAACTTAAATATTCATATAATCTAAAATCAGATCACTCTTGGTGAAAGCTGGTTCATATGACGAAATTTAAATATTCATATAATCCAAAATCAGATCACTCGTGGTGAAAGCTGATCCATATGACGAAACTTAAATATTCATATAATCTAAAATCAGATCACTCTTGGTGAAAGCTGGTTCATATGACGAAATTTAAATATTCATATAATCCAAAATCAGATCACTCGTGGTGAAAGCTGATCCATATGACGAAACTTAAATATTCATATAATCCAAAATCAGATCACTCGTGGTGAAAGCTGATCCTTATGACGAAACTTAAATATTCAGATAATCCAAAATAAAACGCCAAGAAAGAATTTGCAAACATCGGGTTGCAATAACTGTAATGCATAAGCTTCAAATTTCTGCATCATTTTGGAATAAATGACCTCGCGCTCTTAAACGATTATATCATGTGTTGACATTAGTTTAAAATAATCAAAATAAACTAAAAGTTAAACAATATCTCCCACAAGGAAATTTATATAAATCTGTCATGACGGAAGGAGAGTAAACAACATAAATAATTAATATTCGTAGTATCTTTCATGCATTAATAAAACACAAACGAAAGCATCAACAGTCGACAAATTAACAACGTGTTCACAGTGTTCTTCATTCCTTAGATAATAAGAAGCAGACGTCACAGATGAAAGGTCAAGGTAAAGTTCAACAAACAAAATTGAGCATTGCAAAGACAAACGAGTTCCTGTGAATGATGAAGAAACATGAGAAGGCGTTGATAGTTTGATAGCAATAGTGATATTTTTATAAGAAAAAAGTAAACAGCATCATTCTTATTCTCGTCTACTCGCCTACAAAATCGTAAATAGCACGGAAAAATTTTTGATTTGATGTAACTGAGGTGAAATGTGCGAAAATGGTAAAATTTTCATTTTGATTAATGTTTACCATTCCTTGACACAACATAATAGCATTTTCTGCTTCCTTATCTTTACCAAAACTGATATCTTATTTTTCCAATTATTTAACATGAGTATGAACACTGCTCTCTTGAGACACGTACTGGTTCTACATCACTACCTCATTCTTGACATTTATGAAAACATGTTGCACACACGTGCTCTCGTTTTGGGAAAAACCCTGGCGTTGTCAGCCAAGGTAAAGCCTTCAATTGACCCCTCTAGGTATGTCATTGCCACTCAACACTCGTGTTTTTTAGCTGTTTCCGCTAAGCTAAAAGTGAATTTGGTGAACATTATCCTGTCAGTTTAAGCAAATTTTAAGGTCATCAAGGTCCTGCACCGAAAACCCGCAGAGAAATCTCATTAACATAACGTGCGCAAGGTCATAAAGCTGTTTCAATGCAATTGAGGTTAAAAAGCTTAATTCATGTTTGGAGTTAGTTAAGAAGAAAATTGTCTGGTCATAACTATATCTGTACCGTTTTTTTTGAAGATAGAAAATCTCAACTCACGAGTTCACATTTCATTTCACATTCCCTTTAAAACGGCAATTACGCAATTCTTGAAACAAAAGCAGACGTGACTCACCAACCATTTCTTTGATGTGTGAGGTGAGAAAGAGTTTGGTGCAAACTTTGCATTTAATTTTTTCAAAAAAGTTTCAAAATGCAACTGTCATATCACAAGTCATGTACGCATGTCTGTTGACGTTAGACTTTAGCTTTCATAATAGCCTTACCACACTGAGCCGGATTTTCATGCACTTGGAAAAAATTCTCAAACAATATTTTCTTTAAAAAGCGATTTCATTTTGAAGAGTGTGCTCAACCCAAGAGATTCATTTGAATCAACAAAAAACAAACAAACAACATTTCTTTTCCCTTAAGAATAAATAAGAAAAATCTAGTAAATTGCAGGAAAAAACCACATAGTCTCATCGCCCAACTATAATAAGTACAGAACTTACCGCTTGCGGAGTCATAAATAATACAATTGTAGCGAGACAAGCCACGTTTAAACCAACAAACAAAATAGCAGAGTTTTCTGGAAATCCCAAAAAAAGGTATGTCAAGTTCATGTTATTGATAATTGAATTTTTTCGTGCAAACGTTTATTGACGTATTGCCCGAGTCCAAAAATACTGAATGAAATAAAGATGTTATACAGTTACAGGAACATTATGCATGTATGACATCAATTTTTTTTAACATGAGTACAAAAACTCACCAGAGTTTAAGAAAGACATTAAAAAGCAGGAACAGCCAAGTAATATTCTGAAAACAAGAAAATAAATCGTCAGTTTATGGCACATATCTTCTTCAATAACATTTATCATTATTTGAAAAACAAGTTCCCATTCTTAGCTATCCGTTAACAAGTCAAAGCAACCGTGATAATGGGGAAGAATTTGTGATTGAAGGATATAGAAGCTCACGCGTATTTCCTGTAAGCGCAATTGAAAATAATTAATTTACAGTGCCAGTTCAACGCATGACCAGCGACGTTGTAACCTGCAACTTCACTGCTTATTGCGAAAAAATGCACTTTTGGTTGGAATATTCTCAAAAAAAACAAAGTTCACAAAAATACACTCTAATTTTTTTGCAACATAAAGGCGTGCTGCCACAACAAGTCAAATCCACTTAAACAATAGTATCCGGTTGTAAAGAAAAAATGCACGCCATTTTGAAGTACCATCATGTCAAGCTGTTGTCTTTGCGGCAGACATCATGCGCAGTCTAGGATGACGCAAATCAAATCATGTGACTAGCGTAACGCGAATCTTTTAAATTTTGTAGATGGCTCAAAACTTGATGAAACAAGTTCGATCACATATTTACGGTAGTACGCACATCAAAAAATTTTATAAATATTGAGGGGGAAATACCCGTTTGAAAATTTTTAATGTAATTATAACAATTGGGGTTATCCACGTTATTCGAATAACCAGGACAAGCAGACAATTTTAAGTAAAACAAAATAGAACAAATTCCGAAAACAGACATCATCAGACTATGATGTCTTTGGAATAAAGACGAAATATTACACCATCTTTTTGTTTTAAAACTCTTGTATCATCTTGAATATCAAGAAAACGAGATGTCTGTTTTCGAAATTTGTTTCATTTTGTTTATGTTATTCGATATTATCGAGTTCATGGCACAGACAATTTTCCACTACAAAGACAAGAAAGACGAAAGTGAGAACAACCTTGGCAAATATCAACTTAAAAATTAATTTAAGTGGCATTTCCATGTTCTCTGAAAAAAAAACGTGGAACTTCACCATAAAAAGTTCTCTTCTTCATGTAACATTTTATTCTCGCAATCGTTTAATTAGTAACATATTTTAACTTCTGTGGCACGTTATCAGAAAAGCTGAAAATAGGTTTTACACCATAGAAGAATCAACAAATAATACATATTATATTTCATTTAGTAATCATCACCATATATATTTACCGAATTCTTTCTACCTTCACGAATAAGAAAATTATTGAATTATTTTCAAGTTCTAAAGGCTGCAAAATGCAAAGTCGCAGAGCATCAAAAAATTGAAATGTCCAAAGCAGGTGGCAACGAATCTCTAAACAAACATTTTACATGTAGCTAACTTTACAAATACCGTGCAGGAAACAATAAAAAATCGAGCAAAAATCGTTTTAAGATGTGTTCTGAGAATATTTTTCTGCCATCGGCGTTTTCTGAACAATGGACAAGTTAAAACGGAGGCGTTTTATCACAACAGACATTGTATTTGAAGCACCTGTTGCTAAGAAAGAGTGATGATTTGCAGTTATCCTTATTGTAAATATTCATTTAACTGAAATTAGCGAATATCACCACTTGAAGATAAAGCTTTATAAGTACAGGCAAGCAATATCATCATATCACATGAGAAATAAAAGATTTTCTGATCTCTCAAAAAACCCAGAAAAACTCGAATTTGAACAACGCCTTGTGCACCTAAATATATTGTTAATATGAACGGAGCGATGTCCTCGTGTTTTGGTTAAGATTGATGCACCATTGCTGAAGGCAATGCTAAAGAAAAACGTCAAAACATTTTAATATCACGCTGCATATAGATTGAATTTAATTGCAAGATCGATTTCTCGTTGATGGAATAATTTGAGAAGAAATTCAGCAAATTATGCTTTTAGTGTTGCTGGTGACAGTTTATACATATCGAAAACAAAAAATAACATTTAAATTGGCCATAAAACGTGAAAGATTTGAAGTGTTGATAATAACAAGAGTCCTTTTTGAGGTATAGATTTTAAGAACGGTGTAACATAAGATGCATATGACTAGATTAATGAAAGGATCGAGTTTCCTTAGCAATCACTTTTGCACTGAGGTGACATACAAGAAAGGCCAATGTCACTAGCAGGCTGCAGTGAAAATTAGTTATTCAAAATAGTTGTTTTGAAAAAGCTTTGTCCAAAAGCTTTATTGCCGAATAAACGAACATAAGCAGCTAAAATCCAATAAACGATTGAATTTTGAGGGTTTTCTCTGAGTATGAAGCTAAAAATATCTTTCCGGGCTTTAGTGGTCACTGCGCTTCCAACAAACCGGCCATCTAGCTTCTTATATTCTTCAAATTATTGCAATAATATGGAAAACATTGCGTAGAGATAATATTCCACTAAAGTACATAAGCGATTGTAAATCTTACATAAACAGTTCAATAATAAAGCGTCATGAACAAAGAGAATATATAATTTCACACTAACCCAGATATAATTCTTGAGAAACGCGGCCCAATGCGATCCATTGCCATTCCAATAGGAAAAGCCGCTATAGACGACACTGAATTGGAGATTGTGTAGGCCAAATTGAGCATTTCTTGTTGAGCAATACAATCATTCTTTCGGGTTTCGTTGAAGGCATTGCTTAGCGGTTGCACTAAATTGCTAGAGTTTGTGAGTAAATATTCTGAAGCATTCATTTGAAGATCTACATTTCCACAGAGATGAGCATAAATTCCTTCCTCGATAAAGACGTACACCAAAGAAGACCATCCTGTTTGAAAGCCACAAAACATAATCGTCTCAAATACGCTCGTGAGTAGAAATACCCAATCGCCAAATTCAAGATGTCGAACTGACGACATATCCAATGGCCTGCAGCAGCAGTGTCTTTGGATGCTTTATTGGCGACGTCCTTCTCTCTCGAGGTTGGATGACGAATGCTGTGAAACTGAACAGGATACATTTTGCGGCTTCGTCGTGTGAAATTCGAAACTGGTTTTCGGTTATCTTGACAAACCAGATTATTAACAGGACTATATAATACCAGCTTGTCCGTCGCGTGTTTAAATTTACAGAACCGGGGGGGGGGGAGCAGTTTGATATGTAAATTGTGCTGCTGTGCCCACTCCACTTCTGAGCTAAAACAAACTTATTTGGAGAGTGTTCTTTAAGAAATTTTTGCTGTATGAACTCTATTATAATAGGAAAATCCAATGACTCTTCGTTATTGATAATACATGGCAAATTCATTCATCTCCCGTCAAATGGTTTATCTCCTGTTTGCGAATTTGCTAAGTTCCTTTGGAAATCTATTTAGCATTTGTTCTCATTATCCCTTGTTTTGTGTTTGACTTTATTTTAACACTAAGAACTAAGAAAATAAAATTTCCTTTGGCATGCCAACATTGCATAGTTTTGAAATGATTTTCTTTGCAACAAATCGATATTAGACAATATCAATTATCAGTTGCTGTTTTTCGATTATAGATCATGTTGTTATTGGCAAAATTAACATATATTTTCGTGTTTATTCAAGTTTAAGTGAATGCGTCACTGTGAAACTTGTATATCGAATATTTTTGTACAGCTATTAACATAATTTAAAACACTCAAATCGTATACAAACGAAATATTTCTGAAACAACTTTAAACGGTGAAAAAACAATACTGTTTACCATCACTAAAGATAGCGTTCTAAATTTACGACCGAAAACTCAAACCAAGTATAATCTAAAGTACAACTTGGCACATTAAGTTAATGTTGAACAAAACACACGTAATTGACGTAAACTCAAATTCTTATAGTTAAATCGCTTGCAAAATACAGCAAAGTCGTCCACGAAGTGTAATGTAAGCTTCCTTTTAGAAGTTAAAACTTTTGAAAAATTATATTTCATGAAAAAGAGTTCTTGCTAAAGAATGAAAGAATCTTTTACGTCCTCCAAGTTCAAATACTTTTGTAATAATTTACGTAAATGGACGATAAGTGCGTGCTTTATTAAACCAAACAATAGAAATTTTTCTCTTTCATCTTCGAAAATACGTGTTGATATGTGGTATTTTAATTACTTTTACTGCGTTGCCCGTTCGACGATAATTGTAGCAAAATCCAAAATGTCCTCTTCTGGTATTTGAGTGATGTTTGAAAGATGTGCGACTATCTATAAATACAGATTGTCAGTACCAGACATTAAATTGGAAATGTAAATTAAAAATGTGTCTTTGTGAATGAAATTATGCGTATTTATAGATAGAATTAAACATATTCTATTCTTATAATTATATATAGTGGCAGTCATGCTTTTGTTGTTTGATTTTGGCATTTGTTCAATTTGCAATAAAAATGGATATATTCTTGGATGAGAAATATTAAAAATCATCGTATAGTTGTCATAATTTACATGAAATGCTTGAAAGCAGAAAAATTAGGAAGAGTGACATCTGCTGCAACTTGTGGAACAATAAGAACACTACCTGAAACTAAACGGGGAAAACAATAGGGGGTTAAGTTGTTGGATTTCTATTGATTGAAATGTATTCCACTCAATTCTTTTTATTTGAACGCCTGGTTTGCACGTTTTCGCTTCATCATTTCTATGTTTGTTCTATCGCCGCTTAGTGATAACAATCATTCTACTAGATCGAGGAATCCTGTTAGGAGTACAAATTAGATTTGATCGTTGACCGAAGCATAAGAAGTTAAGATATTTTCTCACGGAACAATCTTGGATTTCTCTTCCTCAGCGTACATCAATCAAGTGCACGTTTTTTTATACCTGCTTTTGTTGTACAACCTACAATTACACTCACCTTATCACTCACTTGTTCATCAATGATAAACGAAGCAGCAGCGATAACTGCACTTGCCATTAACATAAAGTCAGACGAAAGTACGGCGAGTTTGTGTCTGTAATTTACTGATTTTGAAGTCTCTCCAGCAGCCACGAACAGAAGCTTTGAGTAAATTTCCTTGTGAAGAATAAAGACAAGATCCAAAAGTTTTACGCTAATATTGTGTACATATTTCACTTTCGTTCCTGCATTGAAACCTGAAAAAGGAAAAATGGATTGTTTGTTTTTTTTTCTACGTTGGTCAATCAGTTTTTCAGGATCCGATAATGTGTGTATGGAAATCAGTAGATGGCAAAAAGTTTCACATAATTACTATTCAGTACATAGTACCGAATGTAAGATTATATAGTTATTTTACCACTTGACACAACTAAAATTTATGGCATCATAAAAATTAAACATTAATTTCGACTTAAGAGTTTTCTGCTTGACAAAACAACAGCATAAAATATAAGCAAAAAATGAGCTCATCATTAAATCAGTTTTTCTACTCTTGCCAAACACACACAACTCAGAAGAGTCCATTAAAACTGATCATACGGTACAACAACTGTCAGCCCGTTTTTAATTTTGAAAAAAACAAATATTATTGTGTTGTGTATCGAAACATCACATTTCAAAAGAAATGAAGAATGATGATGTACTGAATGCAATTTGCATGGCCCTTACAATGACACTAACAAAATACAAAAGGAGTGGGGAGCGTTCATCTTTGGATTTTAAGATTTAGAGATGAGCCTAATTTGGTTAGTTTGTTTGGCATGAACAACATCGTAAACAAACCTAAGATCTCGAGAATGGTTTCCAGGAATGACAACGGTGAATAAATTGGCAAGCTGTGACCGAGAGTTTTTAAAACTCTTAATTCTGATTTCATGATGCTGTTGTTACTAAAATGACGATTTAGAGAGTCGAGATATCGACGTATTTTGCTCGTTGTCACAACCTGTATGCATAAAGAAAATAGAGTAGTATTGCTTGGGATATTTCAATGACGATATTTCACAGTAATATTGAAACAAACATGCTACCTTATGGTGTGAGGAAATTTTACTCGCCAACTGTACGCATGACAATAATCTGAGTGGCATTTGGGCCTTGATCCTCTCTTCCACCTCATCCCAATCTTGCTGTTTGTCAACTGCTGTCGAATTTTGAATGAACTCATACAAACTGACAATGTGTTGTACCATGAACCTAAATAGGAAACGAATACTAACAACTTTTGTCATCCCCTTTTGTCCTACAATGACAGCAGTGTTGTAAACTGGAAGCAAAAATGTTTCCTCTCAAACACAAAAACAATTTATGTTTTTCATTGATGAGAAACTTCTTTTTTCCAACTCAAATAAGTATGCCATGACTCTTCCTAAAATTTGTGTGCTCCCATCGCTGTTTTTAGGATTATTTCAGCGGTCAACAAACATAAAATAAAACAACTGCTGAAAAAAACGGAAAAATGATTTAAGAATTTTATTTTTTTAAGTATGCGTCTGGTAGGTATATTCCACTTGATTTGGATGAAACATTATTCAATTCCAATGTGAATACATTCTTCCCAACTGTACATGCTTTAAAATATCCACGCGGCAACAAAAACTGACCTATCATATATCTCTACAGCTAAATATCTTGCTTCATTCGGCAAGCTGAAGACGTCGCATAGATTAAAAATATACTCTAGGAAAAGCAAACGAAGAGTATTTCAGTAGCTTGTAAGCAAATAAGGTCTGAGTCTAAACCACTCTTGTGTTTTAATATACCTATACATTTTGCATTTTTAAAATAACCCATGTCTTCGTTGGCTTCGTCCATGTTTCTTTCGTTATTTTCAGCGAGCGTTTGTAAAGAATCTTCAAGTAATGGGGATGATAAACCAAGTGAGTCGTTGAAAAAAGGCTCCGTATGTGTCTCAAATGTATTGCTTGTTTTCGCCAGCTTGGAGAGACGTTCAAAACCATTCAAGTAAGGTCATTCATTTGCAATACAATCTTTGTATGTTTTCACTCTACAAATAATCACTCCTCAATTCAAGTATTTGAAGACCAAAACATTCTTTTTTACTTTTTATTATCGACTCAAGCAAACTAGTAGTAATATGTGCGGGAAAATATCAACAAGGATAACAGTTGATAACAGTTGACAGATGGATTTCAGGTGACCCCGAAATCACACTCCATGTACAATTCAGATCAGTGTGACGTTGGAGAACGCAAGTGCTTATGGGTTACATCGTGAAATACTCTGACTTAAATTTCCGGTTAACCAATAACTTTCACAAATTCAAGAACTGTCAGAGACGCACCCGGAAATTTGTACTTTTTTGACAAATTATGCCAGTAAGTTTTTGCTTTGTCGAGTTTTAAAGATTCTATGTAGACGTCAATGCTAAAACACATTATTTAGGCGTATCATTCGTCGCTTTCCTCTCCCAAATCTCTGGGAAATATGGCTTTATTGCCTTTGAATACCAAATTTAAAGGACCCGCTCCCCCTGGAGGTAAGAGAATTTCTCAATTGCTTGTCGAATTACACACGGTAACAAAGCAAAAAGTTTATTTTTCCTTTTTGCTTAATTTGTATTATTTCTTATTACAAATATTTGCTGAAAAGCTTTGAGGTTGATGAATATATCTTGAACTTAAGTATTTTAAGAAGAGGGTGGAGATGACATTATTGGTTCAACTATCATTTGACTTCTGGAAACACAATTTATACATGCTTAGAAAACATTGTTTCCTTTTGATACGAATGTAATTTTTTTTTGAGTTTATCCTTAAAAATAACCTTATTTTCTTATTTCTACAATTTCCCACCACAGATGGTAACGCTGACATAATCGAAGAAGCAATTTATTACTTTAAGGCGAATATATTCTTCAAAAATTATGAAATTAAGGTTTGGGTAACAACTAATTTTATCATGTAATACAACTTGAAGTAAGTTGTTTTAATATCTATTGTTGTCTATAGAGTGATGCAGATCGTGTCTTGATCTATCTGACTTTGTATATTTCAGAATGTTTGAAGAAAATTCAAAGGGTATATAAGCCGTAATTCAACTATGTCTTTTATATTTTTTTAATTTAGCTTCACAACTTTTTAACGTTCTTCATAATTTTAGTGCCAATCTAAAGAGCAAGGGAAGAAAGAATTACAAACATTAGCAGTCACTGCTTTTGATATTCCAGGGGATCAAAGATTTCCACTAAATGCCATGTACCAAAAACCAAATTCACGCCAAGATTCAGGTAAATTATTGCAGTAAACTTTGTGTCAGCCAATGAATTATTTTTTACTGATTTTTTGTGATTTCTACCTTTAAATATGCACTTTAGGTATTGTTATGCCTTTCGGAGAGCAAAAGATATTTCTGTTATGTACATTTCACTACTGTTGTGTGATATTTCAACATTTCAACTTTTTATTTCAGATCAAATGCGTCAATACATGGTCCAATTAAGACAAGAACTTGGTTTAAGATTGGTTGATAAAGTATTTGACCCTAAAACAGATAAACCATCAAAGGTATTTGGAAACAACATCAAAAATTAAATGTTTTTATTGTTCATTAATTTGTATTATATTTTATTTAGTGGTGGATGTGTTTTGTGAAGAGAAAATTCATGGAAAAAAGTCTTTCTGGACCTGGCCAATAAATTGGCACTTTTGTTGGCTGTATTTTAAGAAATGTACCTTTAAGTTCCTACAATTTAATTTTCTATATCTCTTTGGAATAAATTTTACGAATTTCTATATTCGTTCACATATATTTAGAATTCGGAGAAATGGTTATTATGCATTGATAAACAAATTTATTCATTATTCTACCGATAAATCATTTATTAATACTTTTTTTTGCATAGAATTCAATTTTTATTCTGTTTGTAATTCTACTTCACAAGAAAAATTATTGTAGAGCTCTTTGAAATATCACCTTAAACATTTCAACATTTATCTCTTTAATAATGGAGACATTCTTTCTTTTCTTCAACACATTCCTCCAATCTATAACCATTTGTCCACGAGTGTGTTTTCCTTGTAACTCAACAGTTGCAAACACATGTTCTGATGAAATGACAATACTAGGACTAACTACAACAGCTGCTGCTAACTCATCAAAGAAAATGACATCAGTAGGCAATCCGTATTCTCCATCAACATGCAATTGACGTGACCTTTCTGTAATTTTATTGAGGAAATTACTTCTAGCTGTACCATAAGTATAGCAACCTTCTAAAAACTGGTGACTAAACAAATTATTTTCACCAAACTCTAAGGTGATCATTATTATTGGACATGTTAACTCACTTAACACAACAAGTGCTGCCTCAGGGTCAAAATGAAAGTTGAACTCTGCACATAATGCAGTATTTCCAATACCTTGATAGTTGCCCCCCATTATTACCAACTTTTTAAAACATTTACCAAAGTTGGGTTGTAGCCTACATGCTAATGCAATGTTGGTCAATGGTCCAATACCAAGTAAAGTGATCTTTCCAGGTTTTTCTTGGCTAATTCTTGTTAAGAAGTTGACTGCTGATTCACTCTGCACCATGCTTGGGTCTGGTTCAGGAATATCACTGGCATCACCTAAACCATCTTCTCCATGAAAATGAGAGGCATCAAGATCCACAGCTAAAAATGGAAGAGATCATTTAATGGATGAGATCATGAGCCAAGACTGGCTAAGAATTTGCAAATTTTAAACTTTTTAAGTTTCATGGTAACATGTAGCTGCAATGAATAAAAATTTAGATTGGTTCATAAATTGCACATCACTACAAGCGGAATTTAACTAGTTTAGTCACAAGTACTGTGCTGTACGTGATTCCTGATATTCGTCACAACTAGTGTGCTCATTAATTGGTTTCAATTTGTCTTCACATACCATAGCAGTTCGTCACACTTACGTATCAATGGTTTCTCACAACCTTTGTACACCGGAATGTCAAGTCTTCCAAGGACAGTAAGAACTTTCAAAACATTTATGGTGACTTGATTAACAGACACATTTCCTGAGCAGCAAGTTATTCCTATCACGTCAATCGTATCAGAAAATTGTTTACTCAAAGCTATCACTATTGCTTGCGCATCGTCCACTCCACAATCTGTATCGATTATCACTTTCTCTTTAAGGTCTGCCATCTTTAAATACAACAGTCGAACTTTTCAATGATGATTTGGTCAATGCAATACTTGCTTAATTGCAGGTAGCTAATTCAAATTTATAGAGCAAAGAAGCGGAGATGGAATAGTAACACGTTTATTAAAATTTCTAACAATTTCCACTTTGATCCTGAATTAATAATAAGCTCTGCCGATTCTCAAAAGCTCAAAGCTAAATTTCTTTAGAGACAAACAACCTCCCCCCCTTCCTTTGTTTCAATCATCTGCAATCGGCATACTGCACTGTCAAAGCCAGTTCTTCCAGATTTACTATCTCTACATCTTTTTAACTGATTCTACAATCTTGCTACTCTCAAATGAGCAATTGCTTTTAAAATAGTACATTGTCAGCAAGGCTGCATGATTTTTCAGCAAAGCAAATGTTTAACTTTGAATGTATGTAAAATCACAAAAGAAATCAATTTACAGAAGCGCTTTTCGAAAAATTGACTTATATGATTCAAAGTCAATTTCTTTAATGATGCAGACATTCTTTCTTTTCTTCAACACATTCCTCCAATCTATAACCATTTGTCCACGAGTGTATTTTCCTTGTAATTCAACAGTTGCAAACACATGTTCTGATGAAATGATAATGCTAGGATTGACTAAAACAGCAGCTGCTAACTCATCATGCACATTCACATCTGTGGGTAATCCATATTTTCCATCAGTATGAAGTTGACGTGAATTTGTTGTAATTTTCTTCAATAAATTACTGCAAGCAGTATCTTGACCATAACATTCATTTAGAAATATTTGAGGCATCAAATAATTTCTGCTGAACTCCAAGGTGATCATTATTATTGGACATGTAAACTCACTTAACACAACAAGTGCTGCCTCAGGGTCAAAATGAAAGTTGAACTCTGCACATAATGCAGTATTTCCAATACCTTGATAGTTGCCCCCCATTATTACCAACTTTTTAAAACATTTACCAAAGTTGGGTTGTAGCTTACATGCTAATGCAATGTTCGTCAATGGTCCAATAGCAAGTAAAGTGATATTTCCAGGTTTTTCTTGGCTAATTCTTGTTAAGAAGTTGACTGCAGATTCACTCTGCATCATGCTTGGGTCTGGTTCAGGAATGTCTTTAACATTACCGAGTCCATCTTCTCCATGAATATGAGTGGCATCAAAATCCACAGCTACAGAAGCATATTAGAAAGGTACTTAATACTTAGACACCTAACTTAATGCTAGAAGTTTGAATCTGTTACACTTACGTATCAATGGTTTCTCAGTTCCCTTGTACACAGGAATGTCAAGTCTTCCAAGGACAGTAAGAACTTTCAAAACATTTATGGTGACTTGATCAACAAACACATTTCCTGAGCAGCATGTTATTCCTATCACGTCGATCGTATCAGAAAATTGTTTACTCAAAGCTATCACTATTGCTTGCGCATCGTCCACTCCACAATCTGTATCGATTATCACTTTCTCTTTATCGCCTGACATCGTTTAATGCCCAAACACAAAACTTCTCGTTTGAATTTCGCAATGGTATTTCTTGTTTCAATAGAGTAAACCTCACGTGTTAAATTACTTCAAGATGTACACTGGGTAAGAGTGGGGACCACCAGAGCAGTGGTTGGGACGCAAGCAGTTCAGTGAGTACAATCGCCCTCTGCAGATTACTTTAATATATAACCAATACTACAGATTTATTTAATACCTACTTTACAACAATGCTCACACAAGTATTTTATCTTATTGACAGGTTAATAAATCAATGGCTATATTTGCAAATATGATATCTATGTTAATTGTCACAAAGTTTTCCAATGAATGTAATGATATCACCCATGTAGAAATCTAAATAATAACTGTGCAATTAATCAAGCAAGTTTTGATTTTTTCTTATGATTAAGGAACTTACACAATCACTAATCATTTTAAAGGCAGTTCACCAATGGTGTATAGGTCATGGATTTTATATATTTTTGACACATTCTATGATAAATATTAGCATATCTTTACAATAAAGGCTACTTTGACAAAAAAAAACCCACAAAAGGAATACTTTACTGCAAGGTTTTGTGAAAAATGAACTTGTAAAATTCAACATTTATCTCTTTAATAATGGAGACATTTTTTCTTTTCTTCAACACATCCCTCCAATCTATAACCATTTGTCCACGAGTGTATTTTCCTTCTAACTCAACTGTTGCAAACACATGTTCTGATGAAATGACGATGCTAGGACTAACTACAACAGCAGCTGCTAACTCATCATATATTGTTATCTTATCAATGGGTAATCCATATTTTCCATCAGTATGAAGCTGTCGTGACCTTGCTGTTATTTTCTGCAGAAAATGACTACAAGCAGTACCTTGGTTTAAACAATTTTCCAAAAACTTTTGACTCATGAAATATTTTCTACAAAACTCCAAGGTGATCATTATTATTGGAGATGTAAACTCACTTAACACAACAAGTGCTGCCTCAGGGTCAAAATGAAAGTTGAACTCTGCACATAATGCAGTACAGTACCGCTCGCGTATTTGTTAACATAAATTTGCGGATGATACGCGTATCATTCTCGTATCATACGCGTATCGTTCTCGTATCATACGCGTATCGTTCTCGTATCATGCGCGTATCGTTCTCGTATCATGCGCGTATCATTCTCGTATCATACGCGTATCGTTCTCGTATCATACGCGTATCGTTCTCGTATCATGCGCGTATCGTTCTCGTATCATGCGCGTATCATTCTCGTATCATACGCGTATCATTCTCGTATCATACGCGTATCGTTCTCGTATCATGCGCGTATCGTTCTCGTATCATACGCGTATCGTTCTCGTATCATACGCGTATCGTTCTCGTATCATACGCGTATCATTCTCGTATCATACGCGTATCGTTCTCGTATCATACGCGTATCGTTTCATTTTATACGCATGTCGTTCTCGTGTCATACCCTGTATTACTTTCTTAATATTCAGCTATGTCATTGATGAGTCATATGTATACTTAGATACGACGTGAGACAATCGCATCTCATTGCAAAAGCAACCATAATTTATTAATGCATAACATATACATGTATATATAAGATCATCCATTAAAAAATTCTTTTGCTATATCGTGCCTTTAAACTATTTTGTGAATAAAATATCTTAAGAGTATACTGACACTTTTTTATGTCATCATTGTGTTACAAAGCAATTGTTAGTGTGTCGTTTCTTATGTTTATAGCACACGCAACTTTGAATGAATCTCAAAACATTACACACTTGCATGTAGCTAATTCATATTCAATGAGCAAAGAAGCGGAGATGGAATAGTGACACGTGTACAAAACTCAATGGGTTGCCCAGTGGGGATCCCGAAATAAACGCTTATTTATTATTGATGTGAAATGGAGCTACGTTTGTGCAGATGCTCTAATTTTTGTATTCTACTTATAATATCATTGCAAATTATTTTTGGCGTTATAGTTTTATTACATTGCTCATCATGTGTGGATACTTCAAACAAGGTTGAAGACAATTTCAAGGTTGAAGACAATTTCAAGGTTGAAGACTACCAAGAAGCAACCGATAGCAAACTCTTCATATCAAACACACCTACACCTGTCGTACATGAAATTGATATGATAAATGCTTATGAACCTTATGTAGATTTTAAACTAGTTTATCCCGATGTACAACCAAAAACGACAAGTACAAAATTTATTTTTAGTCGTTCTTGTCAATTCCGCTGCAGTGAAGAAGTCAACAGAAATCGCAGGTCAAAATCCGCGAAACTTGGGCGAGGAAATCGTTATGTGAGACATCAAAAAATGAGTTGAAATGGATCGTGGTGTTCGTGTTGGGATTAGCTGGAAACTTGGAAGATAAACGAAATATCGACGAAGCCAACACTTACAACGATGTCATCATTGGTAATATAAGCGATAATTATAATAACAATATTTTAAAATTTTACATGGGCCAAATGTGGGCTTCCCTCAATGGTGCCAAATACACGTTGAAGACAGATGATGACGTTTATATCCGCATCCCCAAAGTAATTGAATACATCATTTCAGAAGGTTATCCGTCGAAATTTTATGGTGGTACCACATATTATGGGGCAGTTGTTAACAGGTTTCCTGGTGCAAAGTGGAGTATAAGCAAGAAGTACTTTCCCGAAGATGTATTTCCACCATTCAATTTAGGTGCTTTCATACTTTGTTCTACAGATCTAATTGGCCATCTTATTAACTATGTTCACATAAGAAAACCATTTCATACCGATGATGCTTATATTGGTGTTGCTATGAGGGATTTGAATGTGAAAGTCATCCATATATTGTCATTTGCACTTGATGGCAGTATGGCTGCTTTGATACACACTAAGGAAGATTGCTATATGCTAAAAAAAATTGCATATGGTCATAGTCTTGGAGTTGAAACTATGGATTATATTCACAATAGACTTGAAAGTTTATGCAAAGCAAATTTTACTATCAACTCCATGAAATGTACAAAATAAGCATTTAAGTTGACGGTGACTTCAAATTTCAGGTGTTTGGGAAAAATTTTGTGAGTTAAAGTGCTTAAATTTTATCCTCCCTTTTTTATGAGCTTAATCGAAAATTTGGATTATTTAAAGAACTATGACATGTCGCTGGACTTAAACAGATAAATATAAGTTTCTTAATTTTGCCTCCAAAGTCGGGTACCATTTGCGAATTTTTTACGACGCCATATTGATATATATTTATATATTTAATGGGATTTTGTGATAGAAACTATCGCAAACAAAATCGCACGGCAGAGCGGTATAATTGAAAATAAAATAAACCACGAATTACTTCATCGAAATTTATTCCCTACAGAACTGTTTCGTATGGCAGTTGTTTAACTTGCCACACTCGTCAGGAGAATAAAAAAGGCACGACAGCACAACGGAACTTATACACAAAGATGAATAATTAAAGCGTATTCGTGTCATCTAATTATGTAGATGATTATCTACAACTTATTCTTTCGTGCACTCTCCAGATTTTCGATATATTTTAGACAATATAATTATCTATATTCTGGCCAAGTTTAAAAAAAGTCTACCGTGTAGCTTTTAAATTATACGCTAATTAAGAGAAATGTAACCTAAAGCTTAGTGTTTTCTTCAATTTCTTGACTTTTATGCTTTCTTTGTGATGTTTAAGGACAGTAAAATATTAATAAGTACTTAAGAATTGTTTTTTACTGATGTATTTGATAGAAAAAGTGTTTTAAAGACGATTTTTCAATTTATCATTTTGAATGATAAGTTTTAGTTGAATGTGGTGATGAATGTTGTGATGAATGTTGTGTTGATTGTGGTGCCCAATGTGGTGCCAATTTCACGGTAGTCTATTACTTGCGCATCGTCCACTCCACAATCTGTATCGATTATCACTTTCTCTTTAAGGTCTGCCATCATTAAATACAACAGTCGAACTTTTCAATGATGATTTGGTCAATGCAATACTTGCTTAATTGCATGTAGCTAATTCAAATTTATAGAGCAAAGAAGCGGAGATGGAATAGTAACACGTTTATTAAAATTTCTAACAATTTCCACTTTGATCCTGAATTAATAATAAGCTCAGCCGATTCTCAAAAGCTCAAAGCTAAATTTCTTTTGAGACAAACAACCTCCCCCCCTTCCTTTGTTTCTATCATCTGCAATCGGCATACTGCACTGTCAAAGCCAGTTCTTCCAGATTTACTATCTCTACATCTTTTTAACTGATTCTACAATCTTGCTACTCTCAAATGAGCAATTGCTTTTAAAATAGTACATTGTCAGCAAGGCTGCATGATTTTTCAGCAAAGCAAATGTTTAACTTTGAATGTATGTAAAATCACAAAAGAAATCAATTTACAGAAGCGCTTTTCGAAAAATTGACTTATATGATTCAAAGTCAATTTCTTTAATGATGCAGACATTCTTTCTTTTCTTCAACACATTCCTCCAATCTATAACCATTTGTCCACGAGTGTATTTTCCTTGTAATTCAACAGTTGCAAACACATGTTCTGATGAAATGATAATGCTAGGATTGACTAAAACAGCAGCTGCTAACTCATCATGCACATTCACATCTGCGGGTAATCCATATTTTCCATCAGTATGAAGTTGACGTGAATTTGTTGTTATTTTCTTCAATAAATTACTGCAAGCAGTATCTTGACCATAACATTCATTTAGAAATATTTGAGGCATCAAATAATTTCTGCTGAACTCCAAGGTGATCATTATTATTGGACATGTAAACTCACTTAACACAACAAGTGCTGCCTCAGGGTCAAAATGAAAGTTGAACTCTGCACATAATGCAGTATTTCCAATACCTTGATAGTTGCCCCCCATTATTACCAACTTTTTAAAACATTTACCAAAGTTGGGTTGTAGCCTACATGCTAATGCAATGTTGGTCAATGGTCCAATAGCAAGTAAAGTGATATTTCCAGGTTTTTCTTGGCTAATTCTTGTTAAGAAGTTGACTGCAGATTCACTCTGCACCATGCTTGGGTCTGGTTCAGGAATGTCTTTAGCATTACCAAGTCCATCTTCTCCATGAATATGAGTGGCATCAAAATCCACAGCTACAGAAGCATATTAGAAAGGTACTTAATACTTAGACACCTAGCTTAATGCTAGAAGTTTGAATCTGTTACACTTACGTATCAATGGTTTCTCAGTTCCCTTGTACACAGGAATGTCAAGTCTTCCAAGGACAGTAAGAACTTTCAAAACATTTATGGTGACTTGATCAACAAACACATTTCCTGAGCAGCATGTTATTCCTATCACGTCGATCGTATCAGAAAATTGTTTACTCAAAGCTATCACTATTGCTTGCGCATCGTCCACTCCACAATCTGTATCGATTATCACTTTCTCTTTATCGCCTGACATCGTTTAATGCCCAAACGTAAAACTTCTCGTTTGAATTTCCCAATGGTATTTCTTGTTTCAAAAAAGTAAACCTCACGTGTTAAATTACTTCAAGATGTACACTGGGTAAGAGTGGGGACCACCAGAGCAGTGGTTGGGACGCAAGCAGTTCAGTGAGTACAATTGCCCTCTGCAGATTACTTTAATATATAATCAATACTACAGATTTATTTAATACCTACTTTACAACATTGCTCACACAAGTATTTTATCTTATTGACAGGTTAATAAATCAATGGCTATATTTGCAAATATGATATCTATGTTGTCACAAAGTTTTCCAATGAATATAATGATATCACCCATGTAGAAATCTAAATAATAACTGTGCAATTAATCAAGCAAGTTTTGATTTTTTCTTATGATTAAGGAACTTATACAATCACTAATCATTTTAAAGGCAGTTCACCAATGGTGTATAGGTCATGGATTTTATATATTTTTGACACATTCTATGATAAATATTAGCATATCTTTACAAAAAACCCACAAAAGGAATACTTTACTGCAAGGTTTTGTGAAAAATGAACTTGTAAAATTCAACATTTATCTCTTTAATAATGGAGACATTCTTTCTTTTCTTCAACACATCCCTCCAATCTATAACCATTTGTCCACGAGTGTGTTTTCCTTGTAACTCAACAGTTGCAAACACATGTTCTGATGAAATGACAATGCCAGGACTAACTACAACAGCTACTACAAGTGCTGCCTCAGGGTCAAAATGAAAGTTGAACTCTGCACATAATGCAGTACAGTCCGCTCGCGTATTTGTTAACATAATTTTGCGGATGATACGCGTATCGTTCTCGTATCATACGCGTATCGTTCTCGTATCATACGCGTATCGTTCTCGTATCATACGCGTATCGTTCTCGTATCATGCGCGTATCGTTCTCGTATCATACGCGTATCGTTCTCGTATCATACGCGTATCGTTTCATTTTATACGCATGTCGTTCTCGTGTCATAACCCCGTATTACTTTCTTAATATTCTCGTGTATGGTTTCAATATAATTTGGTTTCGATTTGTGATTGTGTTGTTGCTTCCATGTCCTAAACTTAACCCTTTAGATGCTGAAGTTTTTCTTCAATATAGTTTTTCAAAAAACCATGACTTATGTTATCACAATTAGTTTCCGTTTTTATATAAGAATGCGTCACAAACTATTCAGCTATGTCATTGATGAGTCATATGTATACTTAGATACGACGTGAGACAATCGCATCTCATTGCAAAAGCAACCCATAATTTATTAATGCATAACATATACATGTACATATAAGATCATCTATTAAAAAATTCTTTTGCTATATCGTGCCTTTAAACTATTTTGTGAATAAAATATCTTAAGAGTATACTGACACTTTTTTATGTCATCATTGTGTTACAAAGCAATTGTTAGTGTGTCGTTTCTTATGTTTATAGCACACGCAACTTTGAATGAATCTCAAAACATTGCACTCAATGCAATACTTGCTTATTGTCGATTTCAGTTAACTTTTCAAATGGCGGTTGCCAAGTTACTTTCTAATGTTGCCAACTACATTTCCAACTTTGGAATATTCGTTATGAACTTGTCAACTTGAGTTGACAAGTTGTGTACTTGAGTACTGAAGTTGTGAACTTGAGTACTGAAGTTGGGAACTTGAGTACTGAAGTTGTGAACCAAAGTTGCGAAGTACTGGCAAACGCGAAAGGTCTTTCTACCCTGTAGACATTTGGCAATGAATCCGTTCAGTAAGCAAGGAAAAGCTTTACCAAAAGAAGTAAGAAATGAAATACTTGAAAGGTGGTTAAATAACGAGCGTTTGACAAACATTTCGAAACAAGTAAACCTACCGTATAAGACTATATCAAATATAATAGATCTATGGGTAGACACTGGTTCTATTGCACCTCGCCAGAGCGAACGTGATGTTCGAACCGCGCGTACAGATGACGTTATTGCATACACTGAATATCTAAAAACTAATAAACCATCTATTTACGCAAAAGAGATTCAGCAACACCTAGAAAATAACAAAGTTTGCCTTCCAGCAAACATACCTAGCAGGTCATCCATTAGTAGAATTTTGAATAAAGATCTTGGTTACTCTTATAAGATTATAAGTCAAATTCCTCGAGAGACAGAACGGCCGGACGTTATGGAGAAGTTAGAAGCTTACGTAGCAAATATTTCATTGATTGATTGCAACCGTATGCATTTCTTTGATGAGTCGTCTGTAGTTGTTACGAGTGGCAACAGACGTCGAGGGCACAGTATTCAGGGTACTCCTGCATTTGAAATCCAACGATACGCTTCTAGTGCCACATTTACTGTAAATTTATTACATAATGTAAACGGCGTATCGCATTATAACATTCTTAGAGGGCCGTCAAACGGATTAGAATTGCTAAATTTCTTCGAAGAAGCTTTTGAGATAGACGACATTTTTGGAAACCCTGTCATTAAAGATGATGATGTTATTGTGATAGATAACTGCGGCTTTCATCATGGAAATAATGTAGAACCACAATTACGAGGTATGCTACAAGACAGAAATGTGGAATTAATTTATCAACCACCTTATCATCCGTGTTACAACACATGTGAACAGTATTTTCATCATATGAAAACAATACTGCGTCGATACACAAAATACACCGAGAAATACACTGAACTGTGCATTTCCGATGCTATAGAAATGATAGACGAGGGTCTCTCAAGACAGTTTTTTAAGTTTTGTGGATATACATAAACTTTGAACATTTTATTACCTTGTGCCAATATTTTTATTTTTTGATTGTATAACTATTTTTATTCGCTGTTGTGCTAATATGTACATAACAAAACTTCAAACAAACAAAAAACGTTTTACCCACGATGAATAGCTTTGAACAAGTTTTGCAATGCAACTGCAATGTCAGTGCTCTAAACTCATGAATAATTTTTGTTCACAAAATCTGCTGAAGGAGAAAGCAATTGAAGACCGGCACCACGCTCACCAGTATTATTGTTGTCATTGTCAGGCAGAGTAGTGGAGGCGTTTGTTGAATAAGCCTGTCCCTGTTTTGGTGCATATAAACCATTGTTTGCTAACGTAACCATACATTGTGGGGAAAACGACTGTGTTTCATGATGATTGTAGGCTGGTGATATTTGCATAGCTATGAGATACGTTCCCATTTCCGGCATTTCATAACTCTCGTAGACAGACTGTCGATGGGGATTATATGCATGGGCAAGTTGAGGTTGTAAACAGCCGGTCATACCTTGAAAAAACCTTTTTTCATGAGTGAAATTGAAGTCACTGAAATTATTGTAGAGTTTTCTTGCGCGACGAGGTTTTTTAGCGCGACAACGTTCGCTACTTGAAGCTCTGCTGCTTGATGCAGACGAACTCAGTTGAGAATCACTTGTTAAGCTAGCGACAGTGTAACGTGGTTTTTGCTGTCGTTTACTTTTTTTCGTATGTTTTCTCCTTGAAGAATGCTTTCATTTGAAGATCTTGTCTTGTGCAGTGTAGTTGGTATTCGTACTATGTTTTTGTGTGATTTTACTGTCTTTGTTTTTCGTTGGCGTTAGGTTCATGTTAACGTTGAAATTTACTGCAAGGCCACCCGCTTGCATTTCTCATATTCTTTAATTCCTACAACACCTACATCACCAATCTCGTCTTGCAAAGTTTTCTTGCATTTCGCTAGAGTTATTCGAAGTTGTTCAGCGTCGTTTGTAGTTTCTGCGGGAATTTTATTGTTGAAGAACTGGCGCAAAATTCTAATATCGCGAAGAAGTTTTGGTCTGTTCATTTTATATTCAGCATTAATTTTCATCATTCTGGGGGTCAAATGCTTTTATAAATTGGTGCTCACTCTGGCTTTGAAAATTATTAACACCATCTAATTCTTGGAGTTGCTTAATAGTCTCGTGTTTTTGTTTTATCTTAAACTTCAATCGATTCATGTCCGTAGAATATTCGGGATGTTTGTCTTTAAGTCCACAATAAGTAAACGCGGAACATTTTTCAAGAATACACGGTTTAGTTTGTGTGTTTCTGTGACCTCGGTGGTGGCAGTTGCTGCAGATGACTTTGTAATTACCAATCATTGGTAATTCAGGAACATTTAAATTCATTGATTCTAATTGCACGTTCATCTCTTCCAACTCTTGTTTGTTGTGATGAATTGAGTCTTCGATTGTCCTTCGCCGATTTTCCAATGAACGTTTAGCGGGTATACTTGTATCCTATTTCAGATAGTTAAACGCAACATTATAACTTTATACATTTATTTTTATTGTGACTACAAAAACAATGACGCACGAAAGTATTCAGTTTTAAGAAATATGTCACTTTACGACCTACCTCGTACGAAGCAGATGGATTTTCATCCACGTCAAGACAACTTTTTGATTGAGATTTTGAAAGTTTTAATAACGGTGACTGCTCCCGCAGCAAATCGAGATGAAATTCTAAAACTTTCCTTGCCCCAAGCGGCAAGTTCGTATTCTTTAAAAGATGATCAAGATTTTCATTACTTAACAATTTCAGCGACAGTCGTGAAGAAAATTCATTTTCTTTCAAAGCTTTTTCTATTACTTCATGACTTTGTTTCCCAATTCTATCCTTAAAACTATTAAGAAACTCCTCCAATTCATCTGCCATTATCAGTGAACTATTTATTAAGCTTTTACTTGCATACAACACAGACCTTTCGCGTTTGCCAGTACTTCGCAACTTTGGTTCACAACTTCAGTACTCAAGTTCCCAACTTCAGTACTCAAGTTCACAACTTCAGTACTCAAGTCACAACTTGTCAACTCAAGTTGACAAGTTCATAACGAATATTCCATATTTGGAAATGTAGTTGGCAACATTAGAAAGTAACTTGGCAACCGCCAAAAGTTAACTGAAATCGACAATAATTGCAAGATTTAATGAGCAAAGAAGCGGAGATGGAATAGTGACACGTGTACAGAACTCAATGGGTTGCCCAGTGGGGATCCCGAAATAAACGCATATTTATTATTGATGTGAAATGGAGCTACGTTTGTGCAGATGCTCTAATTTTTGTATTCTACTTATGATATCATTGCAAATTATTTTTGGCGTTATAGTTTTATTACATTGCTCATCATGTGTGGATACTTCAAACAAGGTTGAAGACAATTTCAAGGTTGAAGACAATTTCAAGGTTGAAGACAATTTCAAGGTTGAAGACAATTTCAAGGTTGAAGACAATTTCAAGGTTGAAGACTACCAAGAAGCAACCGATAGCAAACTCCTCATATCAAACACACCTACACCTGTCGTACATGAAATTGATATGATAAATGCTTATGAACCTTATGTAGATTTTAAATTAGTTTATCCCGATGTACAACCAAAAACGACAAGTACACAAAATTTATTTTTAGTCGTTCTTGTCAATTCCGCTGCGAGTGAAGAAGTCAACAGAAATCGCAGGTCAAAAATCCGCGAAACTTGGGCGAGGAAATCGTTATGTGAGACATCAAAAAATGAGTTGAAATGGATCGTGGTGTTCGTGTTGGGATTAGCTGGAAACTTGGAAGATAAACGAAATATCGACGAAGCCAACACTTACAACGATGTCATCATTGGTAATATAAGCGATAATTATAATAACAATATTTTAAAATTTTACATGGGCCAAATGTGGGCTTCCCTCAATGGTGCCAAATACACGTTGAAGACAGATGATGACGTTTATATCCGCATCCCCAAAGTAATTGAATACATCATTTCAGAAGGTTATCCGTCGAAATTTTATGGTGGTGAAACATATCATGGGTCGGTTGTTGCCAGGTTGCCTGGTGGAAAGTGGAGTATAAGCAAGAAGTACTTTCCCGAAGATGTATTTCCACCATTCAATGCTGGTGCTTTCATACTTTGTTCTACAGATCTAATTGGCCATCTTATTAACTATGTTCACATAAGAAAACCATTTCATACCGATGATGCTTATATTGGTGTTGCTATGAGGTATTTCAATGTGAAAGTCATCAATATATTGTCATTTACAATAAAAAACAATATGGCTGCTTTGATACACACTAAGGAAGATTGCTATATGCTAAAAATAATTGCATATGGTCATAGTGTTGGAGTTGAAACTATGGATTATATTCACAATAGACTTGAAAGTTTATGCAAAGCAAATTTTACTATCAACTCCATGAAATGTACTAAATAAGCATTTAAGTTGACGGTGACTTCAAGTTTCAGGTGTTTAGGAAAGATTTTGTGAGTTAAAGTGCTTATATTACGAATTTTATCCCCCCTTTTTTATGAGCTTAATTGAAAATTTGGATTATTTAAAGAACTATGACATGTCGCTGGACTTAAACAGATAAATATAAGTTTCTTAATTTAGCCTCCAAAGTCGGGTACTATTTGCGAATTTTTTACGACGCCATATTGATACAGTACCGTGAAATTGGCACCACATTGGGCACCACAATCAACACAACATTCATCACAACACTCATCACTACATTCAACTAAAATTTATCATTCAAAATACTTATCTTTAAAACACGTTTTCCATCAAATACAACAGTAAAAAACAATTTTTAACTGTTTATTACTATTTTACTGTCCTTAGCCATCACAAAGAAAGTATAAAAGTCAAAAAATTGAAGAAAACACTAAACTTTAGGTTACAGTGTTTTTTTCATTTCCCTTAATTAGCGTATAATTTAAAAACTACACGGTAGAATTTTTTTAAACTTGGCCAGAACATAGATAAATATATTGTCTAAAATATATCGAAAATCTGAACAGTGCACAAAAAAATAAGTTGCAGAAAATCATCTACAAAGTCGGATGACACGAATACGCGTAATATTATCTTATATAATAAACTTCCTATATCCAAGTAACTTTGCAAACAAAGGCCTATAAATAAAAGACTACACGGTAGAATTTTTTTAAACTTGGCCATATTTTAGATATTCTTATTGTCTATAATACATCCAAAATCTGGAGAGTGCACAAAAAAATAAGTTATAGAAAATCATCGACATACTTAGATGACACGAATGCGCGTAGTATGATCTTGAATTATTAAGTTGAGAATTTCAAGTCATTGCTAAACAAAGGCCTGTAAATAAAAAATACACGGTAGAATTTTTTTAAACTTGGCACTATAGTAGATATTCGTATTGTCTATAACATATCCAAAATCTGGAGAGTGCACAAAAATATGAAAGGAATAATATTCCTTGAGAATGTACTCTGGTATAAACTGTGAAGTTGGCACGACATTCGACAAACAGCTCTATAGCTAAAAAACTACAAGGTAGAATTTTTTTAAACTCAAGGATATTATAGAATTTTATATTGTCTAAAATATATCAAAAATTTGGAAAGTGCACAAAAATATAAATGATAGAAAAACATCGGCAAAGTTGGGTGACTCAAATGCGCGTAGTATAACATAATTCTCGACTTAATTATATAAGATCATATTACGCGCATTCGTGTCACCAAACTATGTCGATGATTTTCTACAACTTATTTTTTTGTGCACTCTCCAGATTTTGGATGTGTTATAGACAATAAGATTATTTACAATATGGCCAAATTTAAAAAAATTCTACAGTGTAGTTTTTTATTTACAGGCCTTTGTTTAGCAATGACTTGAAATTCTCAACTTAATTATATAAGATCATATTACGCGCATTCGTGTCACCTAACTATGTCGTTATTTTCTACAACTTATTTTTTTATCCACTCTCCAGATTTTGGATATGTTATAGACAATAAGAATATCTACAATATGGCCAAGTTTAAAAAAATTCTACTTCGTAGTTTTTTATTTACAGGCCTTTGTTTAGCAATGACTTGAAATTCTTAACTTAATAATTCAAGATCATATTACGCGCATTCGTGTCATCTAATTATGTAGATGATTTTCTACAACTTATTTTTTCGTGCACTCTCCAGATTTTCGATATATTTTAGACAATATAATTATCTATATTCTGGCCAAGTTTAAAAAAATTCTACCGTGTAGTTTTTAAATTATACGCTAATTAAGAGAAATGAAAAGTACACTGTAACCTAAAGCTTAGTGTTTTCTTCAATTTCTTGACTTTTATGCTTTCTTTGTGATGTTTAAGGACAGTAAAATATTAATAAGTACTTAAGAATTGTTTTTTACTGATGTATTTGATAGAAAAAGTGTTTTAAAGACGATTTTTCAATTTATCATTTTGAATGATAAGTTTTAGTTGAATGTGGTGATGATTGTTGTGATGAATGTTGTGTTGATTGTGGTGCCCAATGTGGTCTATTGCTTGCGCATCGTCCACTCCACCATCTGTATCGATTATCACTTTCTCTTTAAGGTCTGCCATCTTTAAATACAACAGTCGAACTTTTCAATGATGATTTGGTCAATGCAATACTTGCTTAATTGCAGGTAGCTAATCCAAATTTATAGAGCAAAGAAGCGGAGATGGAATAGTAACACGTTTATTAAAATTTCTAACAATTTCCACTTTGATCCTGAATTAATAATAAGCTCAGCCGATTCTCAAAAGCTCAAAGCTAAATTTCTTTTGAGACAAACAACCTCCCCCCCTTCCTTTGTTTCAATCATCTGCAATCGGCATACTGCACTGTCAAAGCCAGTTCTTCCAGATTTACTATCTCTACATCTTTTTAACTGATTCTACAATCTTGCTACTCTCAAATGAGCAATTGCTTTTAAAATAGTACATTGTCAGCAAGGCTGCATGATTTTTCAGCAAAGCAAATGTTTAACTTTGAATGTATGTAAAATCACAAAAGAAATTAATTTACAGAAGCGCTTTTCGAAAAATTGACTTATATGATTCAAAGTCAATTTCTTTAATGATGCAGACATTCTTTCTTTTCTTCAATACATTCCTCCAATCTATAACCATTTGTCCACGAGTGTATTTTCCTTGTAATTCAACAGTTGCAAACACATGTTCTGATGAAATGATAATGCTAGGATTGACTAAAACGGCGGCTGCTAACTCATCATGCACATTCACATCTGCGGGTAATCCATATTTTCCATCAGTATGAAGTTGACGTGAATTTGTTGTAATTTTCTTCAATAAATTACTGCAAGCAGTATCTTGACCATAACATTCATTTAGAAATATTTGAGGCATCAAATAATTTCTGCTGAACTCCAAGGTGATCATTATTATTGGACATGTAAACTCACTTAACACAACAAGTGCTGCCTCAGGGTCAAAATGAAAGTTGAACTCTGCACATAATGCAGTATTTCCAATACCTTGATAGTTGCCCCCCATTATTACCAACTTTTTAAAACATTTACCAAAGTTGGGTTGTAGCCTACATGCTAATGCAATGTTCGTCAATGGTCCAATAGCAAGTAAAGTGATCTTTCCAGGTTTTTCTTGGCTAATTCTTGTTAAGAAGTTGACTGCAGATTCACTCTGCACCATGCTTGGGTCTGGTTCAGGAATGTCTTTAACATTACCAAGTCCATCTTCTCCATGAAAATGAGTGGCATCAAAATCCACAGCTACAGAAGCATATTAGAAAGGTACTTAATACTTAGACACCTAACTTAATGCTAGAAGTTTGAATCTGTTACACTTACGTATCAATGGTTTCTCAGTTCCCTTGTACACAGGAATGTCAAGTCTTCCAAGGACAGTAAGAACTTTCAAAACATTTATGGTGACTTGATTAACAGACACATTTCCTGAGCAGCAAGTTATTCCTATCACGTCGATCGTATCAGAAAATTGTTTACTCAAAGCTATCACTATTGCTTGCGCATCGTCCACTCCACAATCTGTATCGATTATCACTTTCTCTTTATCGCCTGACATCGTTTAATGCCCAAACGTAAAACTTCTCGTTTGAATTTCCCAATGGTATTTCCTGTTTCAAAAGAGTAAACCTCACGTGTTAAATTATTTCAAGATGTACACTGGGTAAGAGTGGGGACCACCAGAGCAGTGGTTGGGACGCAAGCAGTTCAGTGAGTACAATTGCCCTCTGCTGATTACTTTAATATATAATCAATACTACAGATTTATTTATTACCTACTTTACAACATTGCTCACACAAGTATTTTATCTTATTGACAGGTTAATAAATCAATGGCTATATTTGCAAATATGATATCTATGTTAATTGTCACAAAGTTTTCCAATGAATATAATGATATCACCCATGTAGAAATCTAAATAATAACTGTGCAATTAATCAAGCAAGTTTTGATTTTTTCTTATGATTAAGGAACTTATACAGTCACTAATCATTTTAAAGGCAGTTCACCAATGGTGTATAGGTCATGGATTTTATATATTTTTGACACATTCTATGATAAATATTAGCATATCTTTACAATAAAGGCAACTTTGACAAAAAAAAAACACAAAAGGAATACTTTACTGCAAGGCTTTGTGAAAAATGGACTTGTACAATTCAAAATTGATCTCTTTAATAATGGAGACATTCTTTCTTTTCTTCAACACATCCCTCCAATCTATAACCATTTGTCCACGAGTGTATTTTCCTTCTAATTCAACTGTTGCAAACACATGTTCTGATGAAATGACGATGCTAGGACTAACTACAACAGCAGCTGCTAACTCATCATATATTGTTATCTTATCAATGGGTAATCCATATTTTCCATCAGTATGAAGCTGTCGTGACCTTGCTGTTATTTTTTGCAGAAAATGACTACAAGCAGTACCTTGGTTTAAACAATTTTCCAAAAACTTTTGACTCATGAAATATTTTCTACAAAACTCTAAGGTGATCATTATTATTGGAGATGTAAACTCACTTAACACAACAAGTGCTGCCTCAGGGTCAAAATGAAAGTTAAACTCTGCACATAATGCAGTATTTCCAATACCTTGATAGTTGCCCCCCATTATTACCAACTTTTTAAAACATTTACCAAAGTTGGGTTGTAGCCTACATGCTAATGCAATGTTCGTCAATGGTCCAATAGCAAGTAAAGTGATCTTTCCAGGTTTTTCTTGGCTAATTCTTGTTAAGAAGTTGACTGCAGATTCACTCTGCACCATGCTTGGGTCTGGTTCAGGAATGTCTTTAACATTACCAAGTCCATCTTCTCCAAATATATGAGTAGTGTCAAGATCCGAAGCTAAGGAATTTAAGATATTTCATTAATTGTTGGCCTGTTTATGTTATGTAATAGTATAGGATGTATCCAATGAGAATAAGTTACTGGTTAAAGTTACAATGCTATTTAGCTAAGACAAACGTGAAGGAAAACATGAGTTTATGCATAACATGTATAGCTCATATGACTGCAAGAGTAAAATAAAAATTTCAATCTGTTACACTTACGTATCAATGGTTTTTCACATCCTTTGTACACAGGAATGTCAAGTCTTCCAAGGACAGTAAGAACTTTCAAAACATTTATGGTGACTTGATCAACAAACACATTTCCTGAGCAACAAGTTATTCCTATCACGTAAATCGTATCAGAAAATTGTTTACTCAAAGCTATCACTATTGCTTGCGCATCGTCCACTCCACAATCTGTATCGATTATCACTTTCTCTTTAAGGTCTGCCATCTTTAAATACAACAGTCGAACTGTTCAATGATGATTTGGTCAATGCAATACTTGCTTAATTGCATGTAGCTAATTCAAATTTATTGAGCAAAGAAGCGGAGATGGAATAGTAACACGTTTATTAAAATTTCTAAAAATTTCCACTTTGATCCTGAATTAATAATAAGCTCAGCCGATTCTCAAAAGCTCAAAGCTAAATTTCTTTTGAGACAAACAACCTCCCCCCTTCCTTTGTTTCTATCATCTGCAATCGGCATACTGCACTGTCAAAGCCAGTTCTTCCAGATTTACTATCTCCACATCTTTTTAACTGATTCTACAATCTTGCTACTCTCAAATGAGAAATTGCTTTTAAAATAGTACATTGTCAGCAAGGCTGCATGATTTTTCAGCAAGCAAATGTTTAACTTTGAATGTATGTAAAATCACAAAAGAAATCAATTTACATAGCAACAAATACATTTCCTGAGCAACAAGTTATTCCTATCACGTCGATCGTATCAGAAAATTGTTTACTCAAAGCTATCACTATTGCTTGCGCATCGTCCACTCCACAATCTGTATCGATTATCACTTTCTCTTTAGCCATTTTCAAACAGGGTATGACTGTTTAACAAAGAAATTAAACAAAAATATACCATATTAAATGTATAAAATTAAGATTTCTTCACATGCATAACAAGTCAATTGTGTGTATAAGATTTTCGTTGTACTCACAAATCGCCAATCTTGCAACAGCAGCAGAAAAATACCATTACCGGTGAAGACGTGTAAACAGTCTGGTCTGGCCGGTCTTAAAAAAAAATGGCGGCTGGGGTTGCCCAGTGGGGATCCCGAAATTAACGCTTATTTATCATTGATGTGAAATGGAGTTTGTGCAGATGCTACGTTTGTGCAGATGCTCTAATTTTTGTATTCTACTTATGATATCATTGCAAATTATTTTTGGCGTTATAGTTTTATTACATTGCTCATCATGTGTGGATACTTCAAACAAGGTTGAAGACAATTTCAAGGTTGAAGACAATTTCAAGGTTGAAGACTACCAAGAAGCAACCGATAGCAAACTCCTCATATCAAACACACCTACACCTGTCGTACATGAAATTGATATGATAAATGCTTATGAACCTTATGTAGATTTTAAACTAGTTTATCCCGATGTACAACCAAAAACGACAAGTACAAAAAATTTATTTTTAGTCGTTCTTGTCAATTCCGCTGCGAGTGAAGAAGTCAACAGAAATCGCAGGTCAAAAATCCGCGAAACTTGGGCGAGCAAATCGTTATGTGAGACATCAAAAAATGAGTTGAAATGGATCGTGGTGTTCGTGTTGGGATTAGTTGGAAACTTGGAAGATAAACGAAATATCGACGAAGCCAACACTTACAACGATGTCATCGTTGGTAATATAAGCGATAATTATTTTAACAATATTTTAAAATTTTACATGGGCCAAATGTGGGCTTCCCTCAATGGTGCCAAATACACGTTGAAGACAGATGATGACGTTTATATCCGCATCCCCAAAGTAATTGAATACATCATTTCAGAAGGTTATCCGTCGAAATTTTATGGTGGTGAAACATATCATGGGTCGGTTGTTGCCAGGTGGCCTGGTGGAAAGTGGAGTATAAGCAAGAAGTACTTTCCCGAAGATGTATTTCCACCATTCAATGCTGGTGCTTTCATACTTTGTTCTACAGATCTAATTGGCCATCTTATTAACTATGTTCACATAAGAAAACCATTTCATACCGATGATGCTTATATTGGTGTTGCTATGAGGGATTTGAATGTGAAAGTCATCAATATATTGTCATTTGCACTTGATAACAGTATGGCTGCTTTGATACACACTAAGGAAGATTGCTATATGTTAAAAATAATTGCATATGGTCATAGTCTTGGAGTTGGAGCTATGGATCATATTCACAATAGACTTGAAAGTTTATGCAAAGCAAATTTTACTATCAACTCCATGAAATGTACTTAATTAGCATTTAAGTTGACGGTGACTTCAAGGTTCAGGTGTTTGGGAAAGATTTTGTGAGTTAAAGATGTAAAAAGCAAGTTGATGGATTGACAGAAGTCATCATTGGAGTTGGGTGAAGAAATAGAAAAAAAAGTTGTCTGTTATTTTGCAGATATGAGGGAATACTGGGAGTTGCTGAACTGAAGTTATGTGGTGACAAAAGTAATGGAATTTAATGAGACAAGCAAGAAATAACAAAGCGATTGAAGAAGGAAAGCAAAAGCTTTAGTTTTGAAAGAAAGTCATGATGAATAAACTGATACAGAGCGTGGTGAGAGTAAAAAAAGACTGCTGACAAAGTGAGGTGAACTGTGCTCAATCATGTCAAGTGAACTGCGAATCATGAAAGTGAATTTGGTATTTTCAAGCTTAGTCAAACATTATTGTGCACGTTTTTGGGTGCAACATCTTTAAAACGAGCTTTTGGACAGTGTTTTGAAACGTTAACTGAAAATATTTATGAAGTCGGAAGACGTGTGTTTCAATTGTTCATTATACTGAGTTCTTCCTGATCGCGTTTATCTGTCCAGTTCCTCATCAAAATAGCCAGCAAATCATTGAACTTTTCTTTTACGAAGTCTGAGTCACTCTCCAGGTTCGTTTGAACACATGGGATGTTTGAAAGGTACGAAGCTAAATGGTTTTGAACGTGAAAAACGTAGAATTACTATAATATGTCTGCTAGTTTTCTGTAAAGAAGGTTCAACAATAGGTGTGTCGACGCGGAGAAATAATTTTTTTGGTGTTCGGTGATTTTTAGTTAGACATGATTGAGACAATCATAAACCATGCAAGGACTAAAGACGATATCGTCCGAACAATCACGAGCGCAAATCACATATGGATATGTTCTAACTCTAGAACTTACGTATATGTGATCTTGTCTTGTCATTAGCGCCTGGTTTGTGGTGGGCAAACACCATACATTGTGTGTCTTTCAACCCTTGCTCTTGGACGAAATGAACGTATCTAAAAATGTTAGGATAATTTATACAGGACGGTTCCCACACAAAATATACGTGATTTATAAGAAGATTACGCATTACAATGTTTCCAATTGCTTTCCGTGTCCCATTTGGTCAGGATTGTAAACAAAAAGTATACCAATCGCATCTTTTTGAATAGCGGGCCAACAATTTTCAAATCTGTTGATAGAAGAAACGACACACAAATTTTACTTCAGACTCCACCAATATGGACAGATTTAGTTAAAAAGACCGGAATACACTGTTTCTAAGAATTCTTCTTTCAAATAACTCATAAATTTTATCATACATATAAAGTCCACATTGTCAGCAAAATCAAGTAAACCATGCAGATCTTTAGTTCGCAATCAAATAAACTAGATACTTTGGTTTGTTTGCAAATCACTCATGCTAGTGTCCGTGCCGTCAATTGATAGAAAAATCTACGTACTATTGATTGGTATAGCACAAAAGTCTTTTCGAACCAAAATGAGACACACAATGAGATTGTTTTCAACGTATTTTGAAATTTACATGTATTAATGATTAATGACTACCCTTGATCCGACATAAAAGGATTGAGAAAATGAAAAAACAAATAAAACAGACATAAGAGAAAGGAAAATAGCAAAAGCTAAAACGAAAATTATCGCAGGCTCGAACTGCTTGCATGTGACATTTACCTATTTAAGGAAAAACATAATAGAAAAGACAGAAAGAAAAAATCATTCTTACTTCGGATCACCGCTACAATCCCATAGTTCAACCTCACAAGTTGCGTCTTTTTTACCAAGAGATATACCAGAACACTCAAATTCGAGGATCCTGAAACAAGAAAGATAAAACCTGGAAAGTGTCATGATTGTAAAAAATCATAGCAATTAATCACCGGGATTAATGCTTTGTGCAATAGTGACCATTTAACCATCCACATAGTCATGTTTTGTCGGTCTTCAGGGTATATTCCTCGTTGCAAAGAAAAAATATACGCTTTTTTCCCTCTGGAATATCCCCATTAAATTGGATTAAACACCAGGAGGGATATATTTTCCTTGACAACCACTAATTGAAACACTTATCATAGCAAAGTCACAAAGCGTGGCAAATTAAAGAAAACAATTCGAAAATATTAATAAGCATAAGCACATACACAATGATGAGAGACGCTGAAGAAACTGGCGAATGGACATTTAAACTTACTCTTGTTCGACAGTAAGAATACAAGTGTAGCTTTTACTTTTCAGTAGAAACTATAAAACTAAATTCTATTCATATATATCCATTTCTAATGAAAGAATGTGCAGCCTGTGAATATAGAACAATCTTCATGACGACATATCTGTTTATTGCAAAAAACTTGTTGTATGGAAAGTAACTCTCGGTCAACGTGTTAAGATTTAACTATTTTTTACACATATAGCGGAGAAACGAGGGGAAATCGACTCAAAATCACACAAGGTAATCTACATACACGATTAGATGTAGAATTTGAAGTATTAGGTTAGGATGTTTTTGACTTTAAACTTGAAAAGGTAAACGTTGTACGACACAAAACTCAAGCAACATTTTATTAATTTCACATAATTTAGATTTTGCGACGTATTATCGATTCTTTATTATTGGCATTCAGGAAAAGTTTTGTTTGGTCCCACGTATTTAGCCGAATATGTTTAGAGCGTTCTAATGGGTTCTAGAATGTGTTTCTTTGCTAAATTAAAGCAAGGAAAGAAATATTCGGAAATAAATCTCCAACATAATAACAACAGAGAGAATGTAATAATCTTAAATTTTTCAACAAACTTCTTTAGTAAAACTATAAAAGAAAGTATGCGCATGACAAAAGTATTTCCAAACAAATGTTCTTTCTCCACTTCAGGTAGTTAAAAAAAAGCATTCCTAACTTTCAAAGAAGATATTAATGAATAAAGAATGACGTTTTCGTCTTTTTCTGTTTAGGTCAAACTGACAGCGTTCTGAGTGAAAGAGGAAAACAACAAGTGGAAATGGTTGCAAAAAGATTGAAATACGAACGATTGACAAGACTATACAGCAGCGACTTGCTAAGGGCGTTGAAAGTTAGCATAACACTAAAGTGTATATATTTAGTTGTAGCTAGAAATGAAAAGTCTTCTCTAAATGTCATTTTTCTTAGCATGTGCTAGTTATAATGTTGAAAATGGTGAAAACGCTATTGGTCTCATTTCTTGATCAATAAAACATGTTTATTATTTTTCTTCAATTTCAGACCGCGGAAGCAATTTGCTCGCAAAACGTTTTTTTGAAAAATTCTAAGGTCCACACGGATGCCTTGTTAAGAGAACGGGTGAAGACTAGACATTTCATTTTTGTTTATATCAGTGAATAACAGTTGACAAGACATCATTTTAAATTCTAGAACTATGGAGAAGCCGAAGGCAAGTCGAACATCGATGTTCGGGAAATGCTAGCTAGAGGTACACTGCCCAGAGGAGCAGAAACTGATTATGAAGTCAAGACTCGCGCAGTTGATTTTTTTAACAATCTACTAGAGGATATAAACCACATAAAAAATGCACATTTTCGGGAAAAGATCAGTGCAAAAATTTCGCAATCAATTTCAAATGAAAATGTAAACTGTGAACACGTGTCGGGTTCTTCATGTACACGGTGTAAATCACAACATTGCGAGAAAGACAATACTACATCACAGCAACAATTGACAGACATAAAGAGCACCAAGAATACAGAGTTGAATGACATTAAACATGGCAGTTATAAAAATAAACATTGTTCGGGCTACCAACTGATGACATCGTCTTCCACGCCTTTAGTAAAGAAAAAACTTTCTGAGAAAAGTGTTTTTCCTGTTTTGTTAAAAGATCTTTGCTTTCACAAATGTGAAAAATTAGAAGATGAACAACAAGAAAATACCGTTCAATTTCATATCGTCGTTGTATCACACAGCGGTATACTGCGTCATTTGATAACACATTTTGCACAAAACTTCCAAAGCATTTTTCCAATAGAAAAAAGAAAACTTCTAAGACAAATCTGCCCCAACACAGGCTTGTGTGAGCTTGAAGTCAATATGAAAGCAAACACTGTTGTAGATATTGACTGTACAAAGCTGTATGACAGATCTCATCTTTTCTAAAAGAAACTACCATACAGTGGGAGTAAATGAGGATAAATAAGGGTTAACTTGCTACCATGATTACCTAGTACAGTTAACACCAGCACATGGTATATTTAACACCAGCATGGCATGGTATAACTAACATTGGTACAGCATGGTATGGTTGACACTAGTATAGCATGGTATATTTAACAGGCATAGCATGGTGTGGTTAACAATGGTACAGCATGGTAGCTTTGTGATAAAATATAACTTGCAAGTCTTGCATTATGGAAAATGATGTGGGTAAGAACATATACATATTTACCTTATTTGGATATTAGTTATTGTCATAAACCACAGTGTAAATAGTTATAAGCCATTCATAATGTAATACCAACTTTATACTCAAAATAAGTCATATGTTATTGTGCACATGAGAATTTGAAGTATTCTAATGAGCCTTTTTCATAAAACATTAAGATTTGCTATTTGCACGTCAGTGTCTAAATTTAATCTATGACATGTAATTCCCTCCTTGCAACTACACTACATTCAAAACTGCTTGCAACAACTGATTAGAGGTAATATTTTATTGAAAAGGACCTAAACAGAGTTTTTGCTTCTTGGAGCAGTGTGCTTCAGAGTGACAGCTTTAAGTTATTCAACTAAACAACATACTCATGCAAACAAAATTGATCACATTTAACATAAAATTATAGTAAGAAATATTATTAACATTGTCTGTTTGCTGATTAAATACAAATAAACTTTGTTGATGAACAAGAAAAAATTGAAAAACAGAGATGTTTGTTTTAATACAAACAATAAAGTGAAAGATTACAATTTACAAATATTTCTATTTTTGAAAAAATTTACATAGGGCACTCAATACCTTACTCCTTGTGTTGGATTGTATTCTCCACCAGATATCTCAGTGGCATCAGCCAAATAATTTGATATCACAGTTTTACCACTCTAGAAATATAACAGCGATTTATTAACAGGCAACTAAACAGGAATCAAAAAATTTTAGTTTATAATACATTGTAAATTTTATAAATACTTATACTCTTGCCATTATCTCAACTGTATTGAAGTCTAGTATAATTAATGTACCTCCGTAGGTCCAATAACTAAAATCTTTGCTTTAAACATGCCAACATTAGGAAGAATTTCTCGTTTACCTGTTCAAAGAAACATTGAAATTTTAATGTTTCTTGGTTACCGAGGAGTAACTTCATGTAAGCGAAACTAAAACGACTATACTTGCACAAATGTACAGCTCATTTTGTGCTTTTGTTGAAAGAAACAGTTTTTTGTGTAATTGATGTACGTGAAGAAATATTCTTGCACAAAGATTGCTTCAACATTAATAAGGCTTCTTCACATCATCGCCAAAATAAACTGCGAACTAACCTCTTTGACGAGTGGCCTTGTTTTCTTTGGCGTAACTATTGCCATTGTGCCGAACTCCTAAAATATTGCATAAATCATGAGTTATGTATGAGTCATACTCATGGCGGTGGTGCTTAAGCTCAGAAAGTATGTCACTGTATGTATGTAGGATGTTTAAAACACATGTTACAAATTTTAAAATTTGGTCAGTGTTACAAATTTGATGTTAACTCATAAGGATAACAGGCTAACAGCCGTAGCATTTTACCTGTGTTAGACGTAATTTTTGCTGCCTTTTCTGTGTTTTGTTGCCCTGTAATAGTACTTCGGTTAGTACAGAGACTTGAACGATACATCCTAGGAGATGTAAATGTCATTCTAGTTTTTTAAAAGAGGTTTTCTATTATTCTATATCCTTTTTGTTGCTTTATTTTCAAATCACAATTTGGACATGCAGGATTCAAAGCATGCACAAAGTACTTCACTAACTTTTCTTATTTTCATTTTTCTTTGTCAAAGGCTCGTTTGATTTCTTGCTGAGCACAACGCGCTCAGAACGTGGAAGTTGACGTAATTTACGAGCTTGCGCGACATCGTTAAGGCTGCCTTCTGCTGTTCTCAAATAAAATAGTGTCATGGTTAAAGAATGATGCTAAACTTTAGGTGGAACAGAAATAACCAGCTTAGTATTGACAAATAATGTTTCAAACTAAATGTTAAACACAGCTACACACGTTTCACAATCGAGGATATGTTCTCATTCAGTGGTTAGTTTTTTTCTACACTCAATTTCTTCATCCGACATACGCTATAAGATATTGTTGACAAAAGTCAAGTACTTTAAGTATTAATAACATCAAAAAAACGTTTCAAAATCTTAAAAAGCTGCTCGCGTTAAAAGAATAGGACAGGTTAGGGCGAGAAAGTTTTTTCTATAATTTAAACAACTGAATCATCCTTTTATTTGTTTTTGTTTCAAATCCATGCAGTGGCTGGAATTCATTAATATTGTCGCGTTGGGAAGGATGAATGACAATATTACCATAATCAATATTCATACTAACTACAACAGTGAGAAAGTTTTTATCTTGCAATTTATCTAAATTTTCGATTATTAGTCGATGCAGCTTTTCATCACATATTGCCTTCAAAACATGAACTTGTAAGAATAGTTATGAATGTTTCATGATTTAACACAAATGAAAAGTAAAATTGAATTGTCTTACAGAATTGCCATTCCAAGTTCCTAAAGCGTTCAAATTAATTGTGCCAATCCAAATTATCACGACAAATTGAATATTTAAAAAACATACTACACATATGTTTTCATTTGAATGATTTTGATGGCTTACCTTTCATCTTAATGCTCCCTTCCATAAATATATTCCTTTCGTTGATTTTGTTGAATTAAATTGAAGTCGTAAAGGCTCTTCTACAAAATTTCTATATAGGACAATTTTAAAAAGAATTGGAGACGAACAAACTGTTTTATTGGATGTGTAAAACCACGATGTACAATGTATCCAGTTTGTGGTTGTTTCCTTTTAAAATAAATGATAAAATAAACATTGCAATCGTTACCTGCAAAGGACATCTGCTCTTTTTAACATAATCAAATGCAATTATACGTTTGCTGCCTGGAAGTCTATACATAAACCTTTTTCCACATCTCTCTGGTAAATACCAGCTATCTTTATTATGACTAAAAGCATATTTTCTTTGCAATAACTTTTACGTGTAAGTGATATGTGCTAAGCCATGGCACAAATAAAGGAGAAAGTTATTGTTGAAAAATGTTTGATACACGAAGATATTCATTTGATGTTAAAGCGAACTTAACGTATAATAATCAAATGTTTAGTTTACAGACATACTATTCCCCACATAGATTTATATACATACGTATCAATCTGTAAGACTGAAAGAGAATGTTTGGGTCTGTTGAGCGCCTGTTTTTTGAAAAGCTGCACTCGCACACAAACTGAATGACGTGAGTGTATTTATGTTGTGACAGCCATTTGAGAACTGCGATGATCATTTTGAAAATGTTATGGAAAATTTGCAAGGGCAACGTGCAGAAACGTGATTTCGAAATTGAACTAAAGTACAACAAAGGTATCGACACTTGCCTTGTTACAAGCATGCTCAAGTTTCAAATTATGAAATTTTTATGTATTTACTGTACATTCTCAGACTGCACTAGTTGTGAAAACAAGACGTGAGCTACTCCCGACAAAAGACTTTCGTTTGCTAGCTCTAAAATCAATTGAATGACGGGAAAAAGTTTCGTCCTATGATCTGGAAACTCCAATTCTTCAGGTGCTTTTAAACAAAGCGGTATTTGTAACCAAGAACATAGGAAAATTAGCATTGATGCTGGGAACACTTCGCGCACTAGATCTTTGGCCGGAGAAAGTTCTCTAATGCGATAAAGATTCTTCTCTTTAAAAGAAATTACATTTTTCAAAATAGTGCCCTTATAACGACAGAACTCGTCACCAAGCCACTTTGAAATTTCCACAATTAGCGATTCTTCTATACAATCCTCAGCTTCTTTTGTTGAAGCAAAACTATTCAACTCATGATTATCGTGGCTCGAACTTGATGACCTAATTGATAAGTCATACGCTTTTGTTAATTCCGTTCTTTTTTCAATTTGAGAGAGAAGAGTCAAACAACGCTTTATCAGTTTCAGAGTTCTTGCAACAAAAGAGTTTTCAACTCCAGCATTTGTACTGTAAGCGTAAGACTTTAATACTTTAATGTCATCTTTAACCTCCTGCCAACGGTTTATACTAACGAATTTGTCAGTGGTCTCACTTGCCTGATGCAAAACAATACCTCCTTTTTCTGCAAATGATTCAATCTCCGATTTTCTAGAGGATTCTGTAACTGTCTCTGTCATTTCTGAAAGAATACCTCTACTTTCTGCAATGGCGTTGCCTACAACAACTTGAACTTCGTATTTCAAAAGCGGATCACCAATTTGCTTACGCCAAACATGTGAAAGTTTTAGAAGACAATCATTCTGTTCTTCTCTGCTAAAACAATTGAACGCAGTTTTGAACAAACCTTGAATGCTATAAAACCACACACCACGCGAGGATCCATGAATTCCCACAATTCTAACACCAGACCTGAACATGAGTTTGGTTGCAAAGCCTTGTTTAGCGTTCTTTGCATGAAAACGGGGCATATTTGCGGAACTAATGCCAATTCCATGACACTCATCCAAAAGATCACAACCTAAAAATAAAGGTGTGCATTCGCAGTTTCCATGCAAAGCTGTATCAATAATATTCGGTTTGTATTTATAAATGTATCTCAAGCGACGCTTTCCTATAACAATTTCATTTAGGTGAATTTCAAAGCTGGTTGCTGAAGATTTTTGTCCATTTTCGACTGCCATTTTGAATTGGTCATGTACGTTCAGCCCGCAATCAGGCTGTTACCAATGAAGGATTGCTTATCTATTAATATATATTATAGAAAAATTGGTCTTTTTTTTCATTGTTTTTTACTGCGTTCATCTGAAACTCATGGCAAAAGAATTAAGCTATATGCAGCTCAAGACGGCAAACGAAGCAAGACAATCGGATGAGCAAAGAAGTGAGTTTAGAAAAAAAGAAATTCTTGTGCTTGTGTTGGGATATCTTACTGACCAAGGTTACTTGGACACGGTTAAGACTTTGCAAAATGAGTCAGGTCTTAGTTTGGAGAACTATTCAGTTTGTGATAACATTGATTTACCTGCAATACTGCAAGAGTACGAATCATATTATAATGTGAAGTTTAAAAAGTTTCCCAAATTCATAAAGAAAATACAACGTGCAATAAATTCAAAATCTGCTCAAGGATTGCAAAGCAAAGTTAAATTAAAAAATCGTGGCAGCTCCTGCTCATTGCCCAATATAAATGCACACAAACTTGAAAACGAGACATTCACTCCTCATTCGCCAAGTAATAGTACTCAAAAAGCTTCTTTAAAAGCTTCTGTGGTTAAGACCAAATCATTGACAACTATAGATCAAGATAAGCTTACTCTGGTGGGAAATTCATTATCTAATGAACACATTGCCAAGGACACATTACAGACAGTTCAAAATATACATGGAAAGAATGTGATTATTGACATGAAAGCATTGTTAACCAATGCAGTTAAATGTAATGACCTTAGAAATGCCAGTGACTCAACAGACAAATTACTAAAGCCACTGGCAGGATTTGCTGGCCTGACAGGTGAATGGCGTGAACTTGCTGCTGTCATCAGTAGAGACATTTACTTGGATAATCCTGATGTATATTGGAATGATATTGTTGGTCTTGAAAGTGCAAAACGACTTGTTAAAGAAGCTATTGTTTATCCCATTAAATACCCTCAACTTTTTAGTGGGATTTTGTCACCTTGGAAAGGACTTCTTTTATATGGTCCACCTGGTACTGGTAAAACATTACTAGCAAAAGCAGTGGCAACAGAATGCAACACAACTTTTTTTAACATATCTGCATCTACAATTGTCAGCAAGTGGAGAGGGGATTCGGAGAAGTTAGTCAGGGTACTATTTGAGCTTGCTCGTTTTCATGCACCTTCAACAATTTTTCTTGATGAACTTGAGTCGTTAATGAGCCAGCGAGGTGCAGGGTCAACTGGTGATCATGAAGGCAGTCGAAGAATGAAAACTGAGCTCTTAATTCAAATGGATGGTTTAGCAAAGTCTAGTGATCTTGTCTTTCTATTGGCTGCATCAAATTTACCTTGGGAACTTGATCATGCTATGCTACGACGTCTAGAAAAAAGAATTTTGGTAAACTTGCCTTCTGAAGAAGCTCGTAAACAAATGCTTAAAAATCTTATGCCACCTCTCATCAATTCAAGAACAAATGGACTTGATTTAAAAACAGAAATAGATTATGATTTTTTTGCCAAAGAACTTGAGGGCTATTCAGGTTCAGACATCAACTTATTATGCAAAGAAGCTGCAATGCGGCCATTAAGAAAAGTCTTTGACATTCTAGAGAATGATGATGGAGAAAAACCAAACACCTTTCAACAGTTGCTTTTAAATCCAGTGACTAATGAAGATATGCAATCTGCTCTATCTACTACAAAACCATCTGCCCGACGATTGCATGAAAAATACGCAAAATGGCAGATGGAATATGAATCTGTGTAAGTTACATCTTTTTAAGAAAATGACATGATTAAAAGTGGCGAAGTTTTTACTCAAAGTAAGACCCTGTTTTCTTTGAGCAAAGTTTTTATGAAAATAAACAAACTTTACACGATATCTCGGTGCGAATTATTTTGATGATCATGTTTGAATTAGGCTTGCTATAAAATGGAAACACAATGTTAGATGTTGCTAGGCGACTGTAAACAACATTTCAAATCAGTTTGTCATTGAGAATAACAGAAAATTGAAACTTTCAATTTAAATTTGCAAGTTTGAAGAATTTTCTCTGAAGAATTCCATAAGAATTCCTTCAAGTAAAATCAAATAGACGCTAAAAATGGCACGTTTAGTCGAAAGGCCTCCAAAATACTTACCCGAGGAATGGCGACATTCAAACAAGATTCAATACTCCAGTGCTGAAAAAGAACGCACGATTGCCGAACGTATTCGCGACGAAACCAATCGTCTGGTACAAGAAACGGATCAAAGTACAGCAAAAACGCAAGCGGACGTAGACAAAAAACTAAGTCAACGTCTTATCGATGTTAGTTACTGGAAAAGCGAACTGGATCGCCAGCATGCAGAGACTTGTAGTGAGATTGACTCTCTGCTGAACTTCAAAGCTCGTTTAGACCAAGCAATAACAAATACTCAGATCCCCTTAAAAGTTGTCATGGACTGTTTGACTGCGAGGGAAGGGCGAGTGAAAATTGACAATGTTCACGACGATGTGGAGGTTCAAATGCTTAAGGTTAGTGGTGCGGGGTAGGTTTGGGAGGGGGGTTAGTCTTGAGTTATTGATGATGGCCCTTAGGGACAACTTATCAACAACTAAAACTACTCTATAACTTAGTCATACAGTTAAGAGAAGGACACCCATATCGGGAGCACTCTTTTTTAAATTACATAATGGAGCGTCTGTTGTTTTGTAGGAAGTTGAAATGTTACAAGGTATTCAAGCTTTATTGACAAAAACGTTGGAGCAAATCGTTGAACAAATAAGGTATTGATATTTGTGCATTTGTCTTGTGAAAATTGAATTCTGGCTAGGCATTGTAATTTTTTTCAGATTGATGAGATCTGCCAAGTATTACCTTGAAAAGGATATGAAGGATAAATTTGCTGCTCAATCAATCGACAAAAACTGTGAAGGATTGAATAACAAATCACCTAACATCTATTTTACAGACCAAAGTGCAAAAATTGAAAATAAGTGAGTTACTGTCAATTGATCGTTTCCTAAAAAAGAAATAGACTAATTTAGAGATTGTTTAAATGGCACTGAGTTTTAACAACATTTTCTTATGTATTAGATCCGTAACACCAGATGAGTGGCAGGATTTTTCAAATAAAAATGTCTTAAAAGCAGAAAGAGAAAAAAACGCTTCTATAAACTTAAGAAGCATTGTTGATGGCGTTCTCATACAAACATATAACGATCTGAAGAAACAATTTGACATCGTTAATCTTGCGTTTGCTGAAAGGATTGAGGAGACTGAAAAGACAAAAACTAAACTAGAGACACACTTGACAAAGGTAAGCAACAAAGCAGGCTTATACAATATCAGATAACTTTTCTTTGTTAGCCATTTAAATGCACAACAAAACTAACGACCTGGAGACTTAGTTCGTTCTTAGATTCATATCGCCATAAATTATTTTGTGATATTCTTTTGGTAAATAACTCAGCCTAGAAGCAATCTGTCCTTGACTAACATTAGAAAATTTATAATTTATGGACGCCGAAGTTATTTGATGTCACTTCATCAACGCCCACTACCACCAACCTAGCAGATAAGAGTGATGAATGATGATTATTGATTTATTTTATTACAGGTCAAAGAAGAAATTAATGAAATGGAAATAAATATTGAGAAAATAAAGCAAGCAATACTTGAAAAACAAGCGCCAATGAAAGTGTCCCAAACGCGAACAGAGAACCGAGCCCAAAGGCCAAACATAGAGTTATGTCGTGATCCAGTGCAATATCGTCTTCTCAAAGAAATGGGAGAAATTAGCACGAATGTTGTAAGGCTTTACGAGTTGCTTGAAGAAGCTGAAAGATCTCTTAAAGGTCTGACACGAAATAAATTGTCACTTGAAGAGGAGATAACTATCAAGACATCATCGTTGCATATAGATCGTGATTTATGCGTGGAGCATCGAAAACAAATTAAACATACGCAATATTGAATCCAATCTGAATGAAAAAATTAATCGAGACCAAAGTAATCTAAAGATATGCTTGCTTTTGCTAATTGTTATATAAACTAATGATGAAATTATTGTGTGATTATATATTATCAGATCATTTTATAAAACATCGTGACACCTGAGATTAAATTGAAAAACACAATTTTTATCTTCTATAGTCTCAGTTCTTTTGGATAAAGTCCAAAATGCCAAATAACATTTTTCACATTGTTTAAAAAGTTTACATCTAATGTCCCTCAATTGCATATCCTTTGAAATGTTTTTCTTAGGTCAATAACAAACCTATTGAGGTGGTTTGTATGAATCTTGTCAGAAATAATGTTTATGATAAACACAGTGAACACATTTCATTAACAATGAACATACTTCTACATTTGTCTTGAAATTTTATAGAAATGAGACTCCAGAATTCCGTCATCTTTTTTCCACTTGTCTTAGCTGTTTCTTTTTCATTCGTTTTAACTTGCTTGAGTTGGTTATCTACAAAATACGATTTCCAATTAATCTTTATTCTTTAAGATTCAATCTTATCAAAACACTATGCTGTTGATTTACCAAATCACAAATCTTTAAGTAACCACAATAGTATGACAATGCAAAACTAAAAATATATCTGTGTGCAATGTTGATAAAATTTTCAAAACAACAAACAACATATTTTGCAGGTGGCAACAATTTAACTATCATTCATATGCTACAATCACAGGCAGGTCCAAAACAAAATCTATCCTTGCATTCTAAATGTTTTTTAAGGTTTCCAAAGCACATAAACATTAGGTGAGCATTGCCAAATTCCAACCAAAGTTTCAAGGGGTAAATATATATTATGACCATTATAATCAAAGTGTTATTTTAACAGATATTGCTGCCAGTGGAAACGTCAGCTAAATAATGGAAAGAGGGTGAGCCATATACACATTTATGCCACCTGGCTAATGAACTAACCACTTGAACAACTTGAGATTTCTTTTCATTTTCCTGTCGTCTTTGTCTTCTTTCTTCCAATAACTTCTTTCTTGCCTGAACAAGTGAAGACAAAACAGAAAAGAAATACAAGGAAAATAAAAAATTAAGTTCTTGACTATCCAAAAACACCCAAGACTGGAACAGTTTATCAAACACAACACCTCTCTCTGTAGTTTGGCAGCCTCTTTTAATTTATTTTCCAGATTTTTGACGTTTTTCTCCTCCAACTTTTTGTTCACCTTTCTCATCCATGTTGAGTGAAGCGATGGAACGTTTATCATATTTGATTTTCTTAACAGAAGTTTAAATTAAACAATTTTTGGTGTCTACTAGGAGGAGACGTAACAGCAGAAAAATTATGCCAAAATACTCACTTAGTTCCTTCACATTTCCAAAATCGACCAGACTTTGGTTTTCCGCGTGGACTCTTCTTCGACGCCATATTGCCAAATCGAACAGATACATATGGACGGGGGAACCGGGGAGGGAGGGAAAGAGTTTTCATTTCTTTATTCTCCTTGGCCAATATGGCGAACGAAACTTTCCGATTTGGACAGCATATAATTATCAAAGCTTCAGTTGTATTTTTTCGCTCTAAATTATCAATAGGCTTCGTAAATATAAAGCCAATCGTTCAGGGTCATGTTTTATTGGCGCCATCACGAATCGTTGAAAGATTTCGAGATTTAACTCCAGATGAAGTAAGCGACCTATTTTTGTCGACGCAGCAAATTTCAAGCGTTATCGAACGAGAGTTTGGTGCTACCTCGTTAACAGTTGCTTTGCAAGACGGACCAGAAGCGGGTCAAACCGTACCACACGTTCACGTTCATGTAATACCCCGTAAGAAAGGAGATTTCCAGAAAAATGATGACATCTACAATGTACTTCAAAACCACGATAAAGATAGCAACTTACTGGATGACATGGATGGGACAAGAAAATTACGAAGTGAAGAAGAAATGACTGTAGAAGCTAGATGGTTGGCAAAATTCTTTGAATGATTGTATTTAGTCAAAAATTGCGTGTGTAGTTTTCAAAACACATTTTTTTGCCCAATATACAGATTAAACTTTGACCCCCCCCTAAATTCCAAAACCCAGAATGCATTGGCAGCAATGTCCTTTTCACATTTTCCTACTCTTTAGTGAGTTCAATTTTTTTGGACAGACGTCTGTTCCTGTTTGATGGCTTTTTGCACCCGCTACAAAAACACTGATGTGATTATTCTACTGCTAAAATGTCTCATTACGCGTATATGCATTATGTACAAATACATCGTGGATATTTGTTAAAGAGTTTAAAGGATTTAAAAATCCTTCATGAAAATGTAATTATTGAAGCCATAGAGGGACACTGACTTCTTTCCTTCACGTTTTTCGAAATAGAGAAATTTCACATGATTATGTTTTCGTCAGATTTGCACTTTCCTTTATGACAAGCACAATGAATCCTCGACAGCTTGTTTAAACATTATTTTTGCCGCAGTCTCAGCTATCTTGTTCCACATCTCATCGGGACAGGAATTACAACCGACAAACTCCATGTACCGTCTTTTGGATACAATTTGGTTCTTGTTGGACAGTTTTTCACGCGCATCGTCAAGTACAACATTCAAATGTCCTTTTTCAGAAAATTCCTCTAATCTGTTTTTATAGTCCAACACAAAAGCAGCTCGAAATTGTATCCAAGTCACGTTGGTTTCTTCAGGAAAATTCCGCATCCAGAAATCAGATGTGTAAGCTTCAAGAAAACACTGTCGTTTACTTTTAGAACGGAGCCTAGAGGTTGGGCCGAGTGAGCGAGCACGTGACCTATTTCGCGATCGTGTTTCGTGGCTTTCCTCTAATAACAACAGCAAACAAAACAAACACAAATTATGAAAAATGTAATGTAATCATGGCTAAATTTCACTCACACAGTAATGGAGTTTTACAATTTTTGCAAATTCATTAAATGCATTGACAGCATTGTTTGAATTTCTTTGCACAATTAAATTTCAAACGTTTGACGAAAATTCACATCGACTTTACAAAGATGGTCCTGAATTTCGGTGTTTTTTTTTTCAAAGCGCCATTATTACGATACGATGTTTTATTTCGTCAAATGAATTTTAAAGTTTTAGAAAAATATGACGCGTCCGGTCAATTGTGCAATATGTGAATATATAATGTTTGAATGTTGTGAATAAATAAGAGACAAACGAAAATAATAAGAAAAACCAGTATTCCTTCCACATTTGAAGTCAAACACCACTTTCAATAAGTCAGCTTACCTGATGTATTTGGAGTGTCATTCGACTCTGAATCTGAGCGTGTTCGTTTTGAAGACGTGCTTAGCCTGCGTAAAAAGTTCATTTACCTTTCTCCAATTTTTCAAAACAGAGATTTCTTCAAAGTTCAAACCTTTTGCGATTTGTCATTAGTCGCAGTTTTCAAGTTCAATTTATGGCGTAAAAAAAGATATTTTAAATGTTACCAACAACTCAGTGATGAGTGATCTGTAAAAATAGTAACGGTTTTCATTGTAATCTATTTCGTTATTGACAATGTGTTTGTCAGTTTTAGTACACAAATATTATTGCCGGGAAGCGTTCATATGGAATTTAATTACTCCTAAGTGTTGGTATAATTTAAAATTTTAAATAAGCTCTTCTGCATAAATTGCTGCGAGGGCAACACACGTGTGCCTAAGAAATACTTATGTGATATACAGTCTGGTTGATCTAGGAAGTAGATAAAAACCAAATTTGTTTCATGGAACTAATCGTTGGATCGACTAGAAACTTATCTATTGTAGAGACCTAATCTCGCGGTTGTTTGATGAGAATGGGTAAGAACGGTAACCATTGCAAATTCAGATTTGATTTCTTCCATTGATATATTGACATTTTAAAGGAAGTTTTTCAATCTGATAAATCTTTTTCTCGTGTAATCTCGTCAAGTTTTAGTATGAGTCGTTTCGAGAAACAAAGTCCAAGATATGGACAAGAAACATTATTTTTGGTGCGTTGAATGTTTATCAACTTTTTCAACATCAAATGATAACTGAATTTTCAACATTTTTCATTTTCCTAGGAGAAAGTGCAGATTTGTTTAGAAAAGCCTTTACGTGAAAGATTTGTTGACATAACTAAGATGATAAATGAACTTCCTATAAAGGTTGAGTATTGGGTTTTATCATAAATACGAAACTTCTGTTAACATTTCTTCATGTATTTACTTTGGTAGATAGATTGCAGTACATATTTCTGTTAATACATCGTAGAACAAGATTATGTTAAAACCCACTGCTACATGGTAGAACTTACCATTACAGAGCATGCCAAAACCAACATAAGTAATCTAACATTATGCATCATATCGTTCTGTTAATATATAATGTTTCTATCATTCTATCTAAAAATATGAAAAAGCACCATTGATTAAAGAACATGCTTATACATAGTAAAATCGACAGAGCATTAGTGTAACCTATATTCCTACACATTAATTTATTAAAATATTAAAATCCACCATCACTAAAGTAGAATCATTTTTGACATTTTTTATTTAAAGGAACTGCATGTATTCTATCCTCATCTTCTTGCAAATATTTTCAACATACATCCTAACAAAAACTGGAAACTACACTATCCATACTCTCGGTCCCTTGCACCAATAAAGCAATTTCTGAGTCCTCATGGTCCTGTGTGGGAGCTTGTTCAAAAATTGGATTGTGATACTTTCCTGAAGTATGAATTTCCTGTTGCTTGCTTACCAGTGAGTTGTACAATTTTCAGTTTATTGATTATGTTTTGAATGAATTGAAGTGTTATGTTGATATACATCATGCATCAAATATATTTATTCACCCAAATTATGTTATCTCATAGAAAGGGACACAATATCTTCTGCTTGATGGTATCATTCCAGCATTGTATTGTAACAAACTGCAGTTGATCAATGACAGCAGATCTTCCATTGTTTTAAGTTTAGGTACAAAAAATAGGTCTTCATACAATAAATCATCAGTTGCCTTTTATATTTTGTCTATTGAACTTTTTCTTATCTTTTTGAGATCTATATTGAATTTTCACAGCAGATCTTTTTTTTAATTATTTTAATGTGTAAAAAACCTACGTCTTGTGCAATAAATATATTATAATTTCCATTTGGTATGTTCCTCAAATGCTGAGATAGTATTTTTTTATATTATAAGCTTGTTTTATTTGTTTCTTATGAGTCAATGCCATATTTTATTGAATGATTTGATGAAATTTAGTTGAATAAAAGCTGACATGAAAAAGATGATAAGCAGCTTGACTTCATACTTCAGTACCATTGTGTGTTTCATTTTCAATCTACATTATCTATTTCAAACTAGCCTGCAATTGTTTACATTAACAAAACCACTATATAATTGAATAATTTAGAGAATCCACCAGAAATGTTTCATTAACTAAAATCAAATTAATCCATTATTCCTATAGGTGCTATGGAGTATTTCCTCTTCCAATTTGCCTACTTTATTACCCAAACTATTACGTTGTGGGTGAGTTTTTACTTGTGAGAACATTTTTAATATATCTAAGCAAATTTGTTGAAACTTATTGTAGTATAAAGAATAAACTATTGAAGTATTTATTATTTAAAACTGATATCTTGAACTGTAATGTAGTGAAATGAACCATATGTGTTGTCAATCAACTATTTCAATTTTTAATCATATTTCTTTAAAAAAGGACGATGGACGACCAATGGAAAGCAGTCATGACACAATATATACAAAATTGTTCTCAGAATACTTAGAATGTTTCTTGCCAACAGAGACAGTCACAGTTAATTATTCATCGCAAGGAACAATTCCTCGTCACAAAATCATCCCAAAACGACATATGTAAGTGTTTGAAGCTAATTAAACCTGGCTTGTATAATTCCATTACAAAACTCTACCTCAGGCCTTTTGTGGTTATTTGTTCTTAGTACTGTAAAAATTCATATTCCAGTACGGCAAACACCATCAGGTGCATGGAAACCTTACTATGATTGGGGAACCAAACTTCTGAAATGACCAATGCCGTTTTTAAACCTCACCAATATGGGAATTTGAGTATTTTATGAAATTGCTATTATTTCACGCATTTATACACTACCTAAGTAGGGATAAAAAACCAAACACATTCTCCATGAAGGCAGGAGGCTCATATATTAAAGTTCTGTGCTTGTTACTTAGTACGTCATAACTACGTCGTTTCTACCGTCATAAGTCATTACTGACATCATTTCTACGTCATTACTTCATCTTCTACTTTATGTTTTCATGTCTTAGCTTGATCTTCACGAGTTGGAAATCCATATATTTAGCATATTGTAAATAATGTATTTATCACAGTTACAATGCTCTTGTATTTTTTTTTGTCAATGCTTTTACGATCATTGTTATTTTAGTGGTCGTCAACCTTCACCTCAACAGATATTTTCGACTCTCATCAAATCATTTGAAAGAAAGCAATTGTTACCATCCTCTGGTGTCCTTGTTGACCAGAATGTATTACAGTCTGCTCGTTCGGAATTGTTTTTGCAGGTATACTGAAATTTTTGTTGTTACAGCTAGTGCATCTGTTATTCACTTCGTTAAAAGAGGTTTTTGACCTTTATATGTGTCATGAAGTCAATCTCAGCTGGATAGATATTTTGAACATTTTTATTTCGTTTTATAAGATATTGATAGAGATGTGGATGAATCATGAAACTGGGAATGATCAATTGCTTTCTTCACCTGGCCAGGTAAAATATGTGCATAATAACGATTATGACGTTTTGCGACAATTACGTAACTTATAATCAACTTTGACCAGTTCGTGTATTGTATCTGATTAAGATTTTCTTTGGTGGAGTTTCGCCGTTTTTCTCTGTAGGCGGTTTTGATTCCAATCTAGTTTGAACGTGATTGGAAAATTATAAGTTGTTCGTGGTCATAACATGGTATTCTCTGAAATACCTTGTGACCTTTCTAAACATTTTGTCTACTTGTTTATACAAGATTTGCACTTGTTAACTTGAGTAAGATTTGATTATTTCGAAAGGTAACATAAGTTGTAGTTGAAGTAAGTTTTGTAAGAAAATAATGTGCGTTCTTATTGTATTGTTGAACCAAATGAAGCATAAAATTCGTATATTAAATTTTTTGTCTTTAGCAATATTTCTTACCAAATATTCATCTTGTTCGTGTGGTAAGGATGTTGGTGAAACATTTGCATATGTTCATGAATTTCTGTTTGAAAAATCACGTGACAATCTCAATGAATGACGCATTAGATGAAGCTGCATACAGGTAAATGAAACATGGATTTTATTGTGATTTTACATGAGTCATTTGCAACGGATTTTTGTTTAGTGTATAGTTTTTTTTTGACAAAAATTACATTGTTTATTCATATTGCTTTTGTAGAACTTTTTTTATGAAATTTAGATATATATCTTTGCAGAGTTTTATTGCCTGATACAATGAAGTTGTTCAAGAGAAGACTGTTTTGGTTCATCCGCCATTGCTTCGCTCATTGGCCTCTTGATCCAACTTTTAGATTTGTAAGTATAAAAATCTTCTTTTCAGACAATTCATTGGTAATGAGTATATTTGGTCTCGAAGATTTTTTATTTCTATATTATTATAGATCCTCGAAACATGGCTGAGTTATATTCAACCATGGAGGTATTTGACTTTAGAGCAAACAAATCTACCGTTTAGCGCTTCAAGAATGCTATTTTGGTATGTTTAAGGAATAACGATTATTTGTACTAAAGATAGTGTTTGATGTTTTAAACCAAGTGTTTTATTTTTGCATTTGTGTTATTTCTGTTTAAAATGAAGAAACGCTGTTGCATCTTCTCCTGGCAAACTCGAGAGAGTCGAAAGAGGGATTCACCGAAATATTAGCTATTTGTCGTTTTTTTTTAGGAAGCCGTTTATTCAACATAATCTTCTCTTCTATACTGTCATTTTGCAAGAATTTTTAAGTAGAGCGGAAAAGTTAAATTTGAGATCTTCAAAAGACACATATCTTTTTTTTCGTGTCACTAAAGTAAGTATTAGTTATTAATTTTGATGTCTTAATTTTACAGCTATGCTCCAACGACAGTTCTTTAAGGTACTATTTAGAGACATTTGATCAACTAAAGATCTGTTGATCAAATGTGAGAAAGAGAGACAGAGGTTATGTGTGACATAGAGGAGACATAGAGGTTATGTGTGACATAGAGGAGACATAGAGGTCATGTGGGACATAGAGGAGACATAGAGGTCATGTCGGACATAGAGGATCTTGTTTGCAGCGAATCTACCCCCATCTCGTGATTCTCTTTTAATTTTTTCATCTTTTTCAATGCAGGTTTTTTCTCAAGATCAGTTGATGTATGTCATTGATGACGGTAATTTTTGTTAATTTTGTACGTGCTTGAAGAAAATTCCCTTTTCGAAAACGGAAAATTGTTAGAACTATGAAAAACGTTGAAACTGTTTGTAATTCCACCAATTATTTGCATTTAGAAAAACATTTAATGATGTGCAGTTTTCAATATCATATGAAATTTTCATGTTGTTTTATAGCGGAAAATTTGTTCATGTCATCACAAACAATTAATGCGGAAAATTTTCGACAAACGAGAACTGACATGCATTCACATCTAGTGGAATTACAAGTACCTGCTAGTTCTTATTCACCACTGACTGGTGAAAAAAGTATAAATAATGTAAGTATTTTCGTGCGCAAACCTATTTTTGCCATTTCTATATGAACAACATATTTTAAAACATAGCAGACTTGACACCAACCTGATTCAACAGCAACTGACATTCTTGTTGCAACCTGAAAATGACATACTTTCAAAGAAAAAATGTAATATAAGGATTTTTAATTGAGAATATGCTGACAATTCTCAAGAGACCTGCTCTACCTAACATATACCCTCCTGCATGATGGAAAACAGCGCTAATCGCTGTTATAATAATAACCGAAGTCATAGTTTATTTTTTCATTTTGTTTGTTTTTTAGGTACGTCGTTTGTTATACCATGTTGATGACGTAATACGCTCATTACGTGAGCCACGATGTAACGAAGCAACGTCTGATGACGAAATTGGATTTCTTAGCAGTACATTTCGCTCCGCGCTGATTTGGCTAAAAAGTGTTTTTACTTTTGATGACGATGATTGGTTGGTAGAAGGTGAAAACAGTAAAACTGAGGAATATCTGCTTCAAATATCAAAACAACTTCGAGATTTGTTTCGGGTAATGAAAACATGCATTTTCTTTGTTATTTCTCGTGTTATTTAATGTTCTCCAGTTTAAAGATTTCAGTAATATTCATACATTGATGCTTCACTTGAGTCGTCTTCTGTTCCAGTTAAGTGTAATCATCTCATGTGCTGTTTTTGTACATTTCAGATTGAGATAAGCTCTCAGAATTCAGCCGTATCTTATCCTGAAGGTATTGCTAGTGCATTCAGTCCTCGTTATAGCACCGGTTCACAAAATGGAAAAGGAGATGAATTACCTGACTGCATGAAAACCGATCGAGGCTTTGAACTGACTGCATTAGGAAAATACCAAGTAAGAAAATATTTGATTAGTTTGATGAAACTTCATTAAATGTTTAGGACGATTAAATACAAAGCATTCTTGTCTCATGTGTCTTGCATGAATCTTTGAATGGAAATTTAAATCCTAGGGCAGTTAGTTTAGTGAAAGAATAATAGGGCAACGTTGGTTTTTGATTTCCGAAATAGTTGTAGTTGTACAAACTATTGGTGTTTTATTGAATATATGTCTGTGTAGATGGCAAATGGTCTTCGACGTTTTGACATTAAATACAGCGGTGAACCTGATTTGCAGCCTGTTCGCAGTTATGAGATTGCCATGATTGTCCGTAAGCTTTACTCGTTGTCTACTTTTCTTAATGAAAAGGTTTGTGTTGTGTTATGAACATTAAATATGTAAATTCTGATGTAATGGTACAGTTGAATCATGTGTACGTACAATCCTAAACTTAGAAATTTATTTGCTTATTAGTAGAATGGATCAAAAGTTTATTGATTTGTCCGCTTTATTTTCTTTCTTTGTCTATAACAATATGTATATAATTTTAGTATGGAACTTTTTTGGCGACATTGTACGAACAAAACAATTGGCGTGGCTCCTTAGCTCGTTACCTGTCTCCTGGTGTAGTGCAACCGCGCACATTATCTCCAATAGAACATGATCAACAATCTGTTGGAAGTTTCGTTCATGGGCAACCAAAGATAAGTCTTCGTTTTCTTGCTTCATATAGATTATGGGCTCAACTATTGTTTTTGTATTGTTTTTTATCGTTTGTTTTCAACATGACATGGTCAGCGGTATTTCTCATAGTGCTTGCCTTATTATATATGTTCATCACAAGCATTCATGTAATCAGCTCAGATAAAGTGCGCCCGCGTTCTTTCAGTAATTCTTGAGATCGTTATAACATTGTATGATATAAAACATGTATGTAAGAATATTAGCCCCCAAGTAACGAGCTTTTTAATTCGAACTATAAATGTAATTTTTCGTCCAATTTCGCCGTCTACTCGTTTTTATTGACAAATTGCTGAACTTTATTGAAATCTCTTCAAAATGGTCTGGCATATTTTAATCTTATCGTGCAAATAGTTATTCTAAACAATGGAAAATGATCTTAAATCAATCGTATTTAGACTCGCTATTCTTTTAATATGGTTGACAAGTAACAAAGCCAGGAAAAGATTCTCATGAAAGATGATTGGAAAAAACAATAGTTCATTTTATTTTGATACTAGAAAGTATATTTTCCACAAAACATGCAATGGTTTCACAACATTACAAACCAATAATTTGTGGTGTTACACGTCACCAAAATTATTAATTAACTATTCTTGATGTACGTTCATCTGTAGAATCAAAATATAACAAAAGGTTGTTTACTTATTTAAAAGATAGTATAAATCCTTTCCCATTTAAATTAACAACACGAACACGACTTTTCCTCCATCTTTTGTAAAAACATTTGGTCGGAGATAATGCAACAATTATAAATTATTTCTATCACTGTTCTATCTGTGTCCGCACGGGGGCTGCTGTCGCTTATGCTGTAATTCTTGATCGAAAAAATCCGCGAGCAGTGAAGGGTTTGAAACTGTGACCATCGTCGTTTTAATAAGTCTTCGTCGACTTCTTCTGCGCATGTCAAAACAACAATCGGAAAACGACCTAGAAATGATAAATCAACATTTTAATATTACGTTTTGCACTTTTTTACGCAGATCTTCATCAAATTATTTTATGAAGATCGTTGAAAATTCGCAATAACAAATGAGCTGTGCAGAATAAAATTGTCAATAAAAAGTAGAGGCTCTTTCTTTCTATGTAGCGCTTTACAATTGTAGTTGACGAATATATTAGTTTGCACTGCACGTACATGTTTCGTTGTCTTGAATTTTTCAACGATTGACGAAGATCATAAAAAATTGGTTGCGAAATATAAAATTCAAAGTAATTTTGACGGATGATATTCAACAGCTACAAGTCATCTGTTAAATATATATGTTTCACCTTACCGCAAGATTTCCGCAAAGCGTCAACTATCAATTTAAGTTCATCTGGCTCCGAGCTGTCATGTAAACTAGTCAAGAAAAATAAATTATATGTTAAAATAAAATTACTTTTATTTCACGTTAAAATGAAATTATTTGAATGTTATTTTAGAACATAAGCTGAATACGAACTATATTTTATCTTAGAATTACGTGAGCAAAATTACTTGTGGTTTTTATTCAACAATTTGTCATCGAAGAATCCTACATCAACTAGGCATAAAACGACTATTGCTTAACTACAAGTTATACAGCATCGTTGAAAAATTACTAATAGATCAGAGTTGCATAGTGTTATGCATGAATATATAATTCATGTTAAGGGCGAAGACAATTGTGCTTATAAATGAAATGACTCATCGATAGATAAAGAGAATGCTTCTTTGTGGCCACTGTTCTATTGCTTGCTAATTTTTTTCGAGTGATAGACTGACAGAATCATCCATGTTTGCTTGTGTCGTTTTCACATCTTATAATTATTCATTTATTTCACAAGGTGCTCATCAACATCCATGTTTTTATAGATGAAATAACATATATTTTAATCGTATCAATAAAATTACCTGTAAACCAATATGGCGCAATGTACTCGTTGCCTAAGTGATTTCCTTTTAAATGTGCTCAAAACGGAGTCCTTGAATTTTTGCCAGCGATTGTTGTTCCAGTTTGCTGGCACAAAGCGCCCAAATTTTCTCGTTCCCTCTGTGTTCAAGAAATAAATATTTAACTGGCATAATTACAAGCATAGATTAAATATTATTTAAATTTCAGGAGTCACAACAATGTTTTATTATGTAATATATTTTTGAGAAACGTTTGTCTTTTCAATTTGACTCTTGCCTTGGAGCTAAACTGTTGTGAAGGAAAATATATTGATTTTGCTTTCATCTATTGAAATATTGTTTTAACTGTTTGAAAGCAAGGACTAACTTTTATGTGATATACATGTAGAAAAGTGGAGATGTTTACTAAGTTATTTTCATCTATCTAAACTTCGTATATTTTTGCGCCGTATTGACGTATATGTTGAATCCAAAATATCAGTTGAATATTGTAAAGATTTTCATTTAATATTACGTGTTTGTCTTCGTACTACGGCTTTGTGTTATTGGCCATTAAATTCGCCAATCCTATATTAGCGAAGGTATTTGTATTATTTTTTCCATTAGATGTCACCGAACGTTAAGCAATATATCAAGTATCGCGGGTCAAAATTGAATTAATATTAGTGGAACACTTGAAATGTGCTGGGAATATGTCAGCGTCTCTTTGTCAAAGTTAAAACTATTTGCATCACAAAGGTATTACTCTAATAAAATGAGTCAGATGTGAATAAATTACAGTTAAATTATTATACTCCTGCAAACTAAGGTTTTATTCTGCAAAAGGCCATTTGCCTCCTATCTAAAATTGAGCTAGCCCTCCCCGCCCCCCTCCAATCAGCAGAGTTGGTTCTCTCAGGCATGCACCGAATGCCTTAAAATATATAAAGAGTTATAACTCTAAAGTTTTGCTATTGTATATATGCGATTATAATCTGCCTATAACAAAAAATAAAAGATTTAACGAAATATTTAAAATAATACCGTGGGAATCCCCCCCCCCCAAAAAAAAAAAATCCTGTTATTTCCTCTATAAATTTGCTCACCGCATTGTTTAATAACTTCATCAGCAATTCCTTCATCACATTTCGCGGGGAATCCTCTATTATCTACTAAACACATCTTCTGACCTATGCGAACTTTGAGGCGCTCCGCTGTTGTGCCGTCTGTGATGCATTTGTCCCCTTCATTTGCTGTCAACTTATTTTCTCCTGCTCGATCCTTGTACTCTCCACTTAAGACGCTTTCAACCGTGTTGATAAAGCAAGACTTGCCTGCACCCACTCGGCCAAACACCCCTATGTTTAAAACTGGAAGTTTGAGCTTAAGTACATGCGTCCGATCCGTATCATACTGCAAAGTTGAGCCTGGTAAATAGCTGTTAACATCAGAAAAATATCGTGTGTTGGTTTGTTGTGTGGCCATCGTTGTTGCAGGCATCGTTGTTTGCATCGCTGCTTCATGGTCTTGCTTTTCCATTTTCATCAACGCTTTATGTTTTCACAGCTAAGATGTAGCTAATATCACCGTATTGTGTCGGGTTGAGTGGAAAATAACGAAGTTTTGCGTCCGATCTCCGTTGTATTTCCTTTGTTTTTATATTTAAGAAAGAAAATGTATGAATACGTAAATTTTCTCAGTTTGTATTTTGCCAAGCAAAGAAGAATACTTTGCGTTTACGCAATCCAAAAGCTTCGTTTGTTTTCAACGATATTTGTGTTGCTTCAGAGAGAATTAAGAAGGCTCTTATGACCTGTTGCAATTCACAGGTGTTTGTGACGTCTCAAAAGCTTTTTGGCATCGCAACATAAAAAGCGAGCAAATGTGCTACACCTGTTTTCCATAGAGATCCGTTTGTAATTACCTTACCGTTGAGTTCTTTGTAGAATTTTTTCAAAGGTGATTTACATTGATTGCCTTGTTGTTGATTTCCCTATTATACAATCAAAGTCACAATATTGTAATAGCATTGCTCCTATCATTATGTTCTGCCCAAATATTTTGTAAAAAAAATTTGTTGAAAATTTAAATGAACAAAAAAGGTTTGATAATTCATCGTTTAGTTGATACAATTACCAAACGCTGCGATCTTTCGTTGACTGAAAATATCCTGAGCTTTTGGGCGAATGTACGGCACAAATAAATTCGTTAATAATTGCATACGAGCAAACTAATCGTAAGCTTTTTTCATTATGTGGAAGCGATAAGAAAAAGTAGTGAATCAGGATTTATATAAAGCTTTTTATGCTTCTCTTGGGCAATCAAGCGCGGATTTAGATTCAAACAATCCTTGAGTCATTTCAAACCTCATTCTTGTCCTAATCTAAAAAAATTCATTCAATGCACAAACGAATGAGAACTTTGTATCATATGTTTGCTTGTCTTCTTTATCCACAAAACGTAACCTAACCAGTGGTGTACTCGATTATTTCTGCAAGTATTCATAATATTCAGTTGTTGTCACATGCATAAATGAATATTTGCAAAGACCTCACCCCCACCCCACCCCCCTATTATGGAGCTTGTTACGCCATTGTCAACAGACTTCTTGAAGTGCAAAAAAAAACAGCTACATCGACAGGAAAGATTGGAAAATATTGTTCATGCATGGTTGAGGGGAGAGGATGAACATTGAATGTGTATGTTCAATGCCCCACTATCGTTGTTTGAGAGGATTGACTTTAATTATTCAACATCAAAGGACCAAGGAAAATTGATATTTCAAAAATAAAATTTGTAAAAAGACTAAACAGAATGATAAAATGCTGCAATGAAATTTTCTCATTTTAGAAGACAAGTTTCAGATTTGTACATACTTATGATTAATGATGAGTTTTATACAAATTGTCCGATGGGAGAAAGTTACTTATGGTTAACTCCATTGTTGTCAATATTTTCTTGTGTTCCAATATTAATTCCATGAATCTTTTGTCCCTTATGTGAGCATTTTCAGGATAGGCTTTTTCTTTTAACTTCTTGTTGGGAAGTGTACAGTACTTCTATAGTTGTATTTCTCTGTATGGGCTCAATCACTACTACTAGTCTTGCGAACTTTCGTCTAAAGTGTTGTCAAATAAACATATTGAATTTACAAAACTGAACTTCCTGGCTCCTCTGTAAAATCCAACAACTACGTTTACAGTTCTTAATATCGCCCTCTTTCACCCCTTTGTTAAACGTGGCAGATACACCCAAATACATGATCCACTGTAGACAAACAACAACAGGTGTTTGCAATCAATCATAACCTGTTTCAGCCAATAGTGCTCAGAATTTGTCAAGCATCTTTACCATGCAAACACATGTAGCGAAAAGGTATAATTACGTGTTTATGTTCACTGTTTCCTACCTGTCTCTTCACTACTCGATTGTTCAGAATCACTGGAGTTTAATTCAGATTGTTCTGACCCACTGAAATACATACAAGAAATGTCTGAAGTGACTTATAAGATCTTACCTAAGGAATACTTCAACTCACTCGAAAACGTAAATTTTAATATATATCAAAGTAGAAAATAATTGACAAACCTTATGTCTTCATCACGATCTTTCTGCTGTTTTTTCACTTTGTCTCGCCATAACTGACGCTGGCGTTTTCTCCAAGGACTAAAACACAATTACACAAATACTTATTCAATTGTCGTGTAGTTCCTGGTGTTGTAATGGAGTGTATTTTAAATAATTTTTCATCACTCTCTCGCCACAAAAGTACTCATGACAAATTAATCACAGTTTTTCAGGCTATACATAATTTTATTGGATTTTTTTATATTAAGATGCATTTCAGTAAATGATTTTAACTTCAATGCTCTTACCTGGTGTTAGGAATGCGGGCCGTTACTAATAAGGAAACAAAAACGATGAAACCCATGACAGCTACCAAACTTATCGCGCCTGCTACGATTCCCGCTTTGGCCAGAGCAATGTCTGAAAATACAAGACAATATTTATTTAAACTTGTCTTTTTGTTACAATTTGAATGGAACATGGTTTAAGAAATCGCATTCGTAAACAACAGCGTGTGAAACTTGAGGCATGCAGCTTGGTTAAAAAGTAGCTAGTTAAGATTTCTGACAAAAAATGTATAAATTTTGGTCAGAACTCTTTTTTGTAACTAAATTTTATAATGTCCTTTGTTGATCACAGAATGTCTTCAAAAAACACCTGTTATTGTCAATTTATTAATATGCATTAATTTTTCATTCATTCATTTCGAACATGTACTATCATCATAACGAAACACTTACATGCTTTGTTTGACTTTTTTACATACGTCACCAAAGCTAGAAAAAAAGGAACAAAATTAATTTTTTAATGAAGTCTTTTTTATTACTTTTTATTGAACATGTGAACTACGATGATGCACTTCAATCCACCTACCATCTCCCGACGTCTCCTGATGTACTACAGTCGGAGGTCCGAAACCCATTCTTGTCCCTGCTTTCACATACATAATGTATTCGGTGTTTTTTTGTAAGCCGGAAAACGACCATTGTTGAACAGAGTGTTTCACGGTATGGTTGGCGACCATTCCTAGATGTCCATTGATTAGCTCTTTGTAGATTTCCACTTTGTAAGACACAAGAACACCGTTAAGATCTTTTTCCTTTGGACTTTGCCAAGTCATAGTGACGGATGTATCAGTAAACTTCGTTATGGCTACATTTAATGGACTACCTGAAGGAACTTGAAAAAATAGTTTAAGTTATGGTTTGATGATGGACATAAGCAAATGTATTTTATGCAAACTACGGAATAACCTTCCTTTGTCAGTTTTCACAGAGGCCACAATGTGACCTGGGAAGGCCTATAGTTCCCAGTCTTTCGCACGATCTGCGCATTTTCTCATTTTGAAGATCGTGAAAATTTGAAAATGCTACTTCATGTAGTTTTTCGTTTCTGGAGATTTCAAAATTTCTTAGCTAGAAAGCTCATATTTCCATAGTTGAAATTTTTGTCAATTAAGTTTTTGCAATATAAAAATTTAACCTCCTTACCCGACTCCCCTGTTCTGTGATTACGTTGAACTTTTGGACCAAATCCAGCAATGGTTGCTGCTTCTACACTTACTGCATACCAAGTGTAAGGTTTTAGACCGGCAAAAGGCAAATGGTGTTTTTTCCCGTCCACTTTCACTTTATTGTGACACGACTTGTTGTTTATTAATTCTCTGGCACATAGACGATAAGAAACGATGATTCCGTTTCTGCTACTTTCTTCCGGTGGTGTCCAAGTTATATCTAAGGCTGTTGCTCCCAGTTTTCTTATGAACAGAGTCTTTGGACTTTTTGAGGGCGCTAAAGTATAGAAAAAACGCTAAATCTCGAACTATTTTGATATGAAGCTAAAAAAGCCATCTTTATTTTCGTTTTTAATGAAACCTTTTACATACGTGCTGAGAGAGTACGATGACGTAGAGATGTGAATTTGCCCCATCCGACAATTGTCGCTGCTCGATCATGATCAAATATTCCGTAAAAGGTTGAAGTTTGGAAAGTATATATGTCCGATGATTTGGAGTTACTTCATGAGAATTTGAGCACGCATGCTTCAAGCCATATTCTTTGTAGCAGATAGAGTAAGCTGTAATGATACCATTGCGTGAACTTTCGGGGACTTTGGTCCAATATATTCGAATTTCGTTTTTTGTCGTTTTAAGAATGTTTAATTCTTCCGGACCTGATGATGGCACTAAATCATGAATGTAAGAATGTTCTTTTCAGTTGTTTGTGCATTTCTATCTATAACTTGCACATGCTATCTTATATATTTTATGTAGGGTAAAGAGTGTAAAGACTTAAAACCGTTATGGTCTTACCATGTTGTTGAGTTTTTTGTGAAACCGAAACAGCATTTCCTTTTCCAGCAAAATTAAAAGTGGCAACCTCGATTATGTAATTGGTGAATGGCTTTAGATTTTCGATTTTCATTTCCCTCTCGTTTAGTTCAGCAACTGTCTTGTTATTTAGACATGTCACAAACGAAGTTAGTCGACAGCATACGTCGTAACCCAGTATGTCACCGTTCTTGTCAGGAAGAATTGGTGGCTGCCAAATTACTCGTAATGACGTTGCATTGGATGATACGAATACTGAGGAAGGGATTTCAGCTAAGAATGAGAAATATTTATAAAAATGATATAATAGTAAAATCAACAATGGGTAAAACTATCAAAGTCTGTATTGCATGATTTGCATGGCCATCCAAGGAACACGGGGGGAGGCTTAAACCTTCTTACTTGACATGCGATGTACTGTAATAACTAAAATGTGCCCTTGCCTGGAGCACAGCCGTATAACTCGACATTCATACATTGATGAGGACCACTAAAACTTTCCACAATAAACCGAATATAACGTGCTACAATCGGTTTGTCCAATAACGTTTCACGACACCAACTCCTGTGTTTCCTTTGACTTTCTACAAACAAGAGTTTAAATCTTAAAGCATGCAGGAAACGTCGATTACAGTTACTTGCTTATTTTCGCAGCAGACACTTAACAATTTTTGTGGTAGGGGGAAGGAAGAGTGAAAAAGGTCTGGTGAATTTAGGTCAATGAATGTTATTACGCAAAGAGCCTTGTGTTTCCACATTTTTATTGTGAAATGTATATGACCTGCCTAACTCTATGGTATTTGCCCGTTCCCCCTGGTGTTCGTCAGCAGTCTAATTTTAATGCATGCTTATCTCATACTTGTTTTCAATTGTTCTAATTTTATTTTTTTGTTGTCAAAATACGAAATTTCATGTTCACCTCGCTACCCCCGACCGTCCCAGAAGTCCAACTTGCTGTATTGCTGCTGTACAAAATTTTATATGACGTCACCCATGCGTTGAAGTAGATGCTCTCCCCTCTGGTTGCTGTAGCTATTATCCTTATACGTCCCCCGACATCAACTTGTAGGTACGTAGGGTCTGCCTATATGAACAGGGTAATTGATTGACTCAAAGTATATGCTGAGCCAGAACTATCAGACATCATGACAGAATATATGAACATTTAAAGCAGGACATAAATAAAGGTGTACTTACTGCGGTGCCATTTTCACACCAAATTTGGATATTGGATAATTTTGCTTGATATGCCTCGTAACCATCTCTTAAATAACCACTTGCGGAAAATTGTGAGTTTTTTACCCTTGCTTTGCCGTGCAATAAGGGATTGTCACATCTACCTGAAAAAGTGAAACACGCTTCTTTTATCGAGATGTAATGTCAAATGTTGTTTTTTTTTAAGCTCTTGTAGTCACATACGCATTTTTGTTCTCATCTGATGTATGATGTCTCTATTGCAGAGTAATTTCACGAAATTTTTCCTCACCTGCCATTTTTTGTGTGAAGGCTGGTGGGCCAAAGCCAATTGTGGTACCTGCTTTGATTTCTACTAAATACTCTTTGTTGGGTTTTAGATCTGTAAAATGTATCTTGGTATCATAAATGATTTTACTATTATTACAATCGTGTAACACGCCAAACTCTCGAATACAAAGGTAATATTGAATGATGACGCCATTTCGTTCATCTCTCAGAGGCGGTAACCACGATAGATGAAATGCAGTTGAAGTAACGTTGCTCACTATGACAGATGTAGGCGTTCCTGAAGGAGCTTAAATGAAAACAAGGATAGTCAAAGTTATCAATGAGTAGAAACCTTTACACGAAAATATTTTTACCTGCCATAAAAGTTCGAGCATTTAAAATAGCACTAGGTCCAACTCCAGCTATGGTTTTAGCGCGTAAATGAATGACATATCGCATGTAGGGTTGTAAATTTTTTTCTTTGTGAAATTTTGTTTTGCTGGCAACAATATGATGCGTTTGCTGGACGAGCTCCAGGATTCTGGTAGAAACTCGAGTTGATATTTTGTTAAAATACCATTGTGATGTTCACGGGCTGGTGCGCTCCAAGTCAAATGGATTTGGGTCGCGTTCAGAAATTTGATTATACACGATCGAGGAGCACTAGATGGCGCTAAAAGAAAAATATAAATTGAAAGCACAAGATTGAGAACCGGAGGAGAGATTAGAGAAGATACATTTATATCTTCCAATGTTCATAGTGTTTGTTGCGTAATTACATTTGATTCCAATACAAAACTAATACAGTAGAACACACATGTATGAAAATGTTACCAACCCCCCCCCCCAAATACTGATCTTTCACCGCCCACGAAGTTGTTTGTTTTCTATTGTTTTCTGACCTGCCTGTGAAGTTCTTTGAATCAGTAATGTACTTGGCCCATACCCCACGATTGTTCCAGCACTTATGGAAAGGGAATATTTTGTGTAAGGCATCAAACCAACCATCACGTGACTATCTTGTGTTCCATTCACTGTGGCGCACGTAGTTTTGTCAAGCTCTTGGTATTTTTTTACACAAATATAATAGTGTGCGATGATGCCATTTCGTAACTCTGCGTGCGGTGGTGACCACTTTGAGACGATTGACGATGAGTTCACAAAAGTCACTGAAAAATTTGTTGGAGGTCCATTTGGAGCTGAATAAAAATTTATTAGTATTCTGAATTAGTGAACGTTATTCATTAATCATTATGATACCCAGGGTGCTTTTTATTTTGTTTACCTGCCATTGACGTTCTGTGAGTTGCCAATGAACTTGGTCCATACCCTAGAGATGTGCTTGCACTGATAACGATATCATAAACAGTAAATGGCTGAAGGTTGGTGATAAGGAGACTTTTGTTCATGGCAGGAATAATTCTTTGATTACATCGTGAGTTGTTCTTATAACTTCGAATGCAAACATTGTAACTCCTAATGATTCCATTTTGTAGTATGCGAAGGGGTGGGGACCATGTCAGGATCATAGATGTTGAGTTAGTTGAGACGAAACGAATATTGGTTGGTGGACCATTTGGGACTAGGAAGAAGAAAAAGGTTATATTTGATATTTATATATGAGAGTAAGGATGATACATAAGAAATTAATGTACTTGATCTCCTTATACTTATGTCATAGTAAGAATGGTACATAGAAGTCTATGTACTTCATCTCTATGGTAATTTTAACCTCCTGTTAACCAAGTGTAAGGTTAAAGATTATTACATGCCATAAGTCATACTTGAAAAAAAAACAAGACTTGTCTTTTATTTTTCATTAGAAGATTTCCATCTTGGAAGTATACTAACCACGATAAAGCTCACTTCGACAACTCGTGTGCGTGCATAGTTTCATTTTTTGGGGGCATTTTACGAAACTTTTGCTGTTTGGTTTAGAAAACAACTGGTTCATTACAAAAATATTTTTATGCCAGCGAACACGCAATTTTACTGTATGTGTTGAAGCTTGGAATATAACATAATGTTTTAATGACTTATGTAAGAAATTCGACGTACATATGATTTGTCTTCAACTTTTCAGTGGTTTTTTCCTTACCTGCTTCTAACGTTCTTATATATTTTCCTGTGGAGAAGGGACTGTATCCAACGATCCCTGCTGATCTGATTTTTATTTCATACATTATGTATGGTATTAGATTCGTGAAAACGTAACGCGTCACATTCCAATTCGTCTCGTTACATCCTCTTGAAGAAAAATTACTGTTGTAACATACTTCATGTTTTGTTAGTGCTCCTCTGTATTTATCAGTCGGCGGATTGTCCCATTCAATAATTATTGTGCTGGGAGTCGAATGAAGCTTTGTTATATTTGCTGGATGAATGGAAACTGTTAAAAAAAGAGAAAATTTTATAAAAACAAAACGTTTTAATGACTTTACAATCAAGTAAAACGATCTTTTAAGGATATCGAGGTGTATATAAATTTTTTATCAGCGAAAGACTTTTAGTCAAAACCAGCTTTGTGTTAGCGTATACACGAATCAAACGTTGCATTTCAGTTCTTGAAACAATTTAGGATTCTTAAGGTGATGATGTTTATACAACAATTTTTATTGCATGTGCATCCTATTTTACAAACCTTTGAGTAAAGTAATTTCTACATCGAGTACAGCTGGTCCAAGTGACATCGTTGACACTTTCTTCGTTTCCCATGGAGCTCGTCCTAATCCCTTAAAACATATCATCGCAACTGACTGTTTCTCATCTAGGGTGCTGGGTGCATGAGGGCAAATTGTTTTCAATGAGGTAGCCGCGTTAGTATCGTAAAATACGTGAGCGCGATGATAAACGACCATCAAGATGATGACTTTATTTGGCAATGACTTCACAAAATCTCCCATTTTGGATCCACCATTGAAATCTTCAAAAGTATTGAATGAAGCGCGTTGTTTCACATTTCCTGTGGTAAATAAAGTTGTAGTCAAATCATGCTTTTGATGATGAGAAGCATACTGCAAGGTTTTTAATGCGAGATTTAGTATGTGTGATTTTTCCGGTTGAAAATCAAACCTAACCTGTAATTGCATCCAATACAAGGAAATTCAGGCCTTTTTTGGGAAACTTGTGTTCAACACCTTCAGTTGTAATGGTAGAATATGATTTGTTATATACGCGATACATGACGTCTTCTTTGATTCTGGATATCTGTTTTATTTTTATTGATACTGATGATCTATCGTGAGGATTACTCGATGCTGAAAAAAATTGTGTTGTTATAACTGTTATGTTGACGATTTAGTTTTTGTAAAACTTTTTTATGTGTTCCAGTCGGCGTCTTCATTAAAAGTGATCGGATTTTAAAATTTGAGTCCTTATGGGCTCCATTCAAGTGTCTTTGCGTGATGTGCTATTAAAACTGAGTTCCTATCTTTAAGTTGTAGAAAAACTTGGTAAATTATCGCCATAACCTATTTTACCTGCTTCTAAAGTCGCCGTTGAAAGATTGTAGACATCACCCGATTTCTTCCAAGATTGAGCTCTTATGTCAATAGAGTAGTTGGTCATTTCTGTCAATCTGGTAAAAGTGTGTTGAAGTGCTCGTTGAACACTTACGCAGGTTGGTGACGTAGTGACTTTGCTTTGTTTTATGCATAGCGTGTAATCAAAAGGATATTCGTTATCTATGAAAGAATCATCTGGTCTTGACCAAGTTAGTTTAATTGAAGTATCATTTCTATATACCACTTGAACATCACTTGGAGTACCGCTAGGTGCTAAAATAATTGTACGTAAACTGTCACATTTTCTATGTGGAATTAGGAGCGAACAAAACAAGTAAATTTTATCAATTTCAGATAAAGACGTCAATGATAAAGAAATAAAAGGATTTACAAAACTTTATAGAGGAACTTATACTGATTATTGAAAGTTGAGTTCAATTATTGCCGAATCCTTGTTTGAAAACAGGATAAAGTTTATGGGTGCCCAAACATATAACATTCACAAACCTTTTCTTAATATAATTATTCTTTGTAGAACAGCAACTTTGTTGTGTTTTACGAGAAGAGAATCTCGCCAGTGAGGTGGTGGATAATGTGTACCTTTATAACCCAATATCACCCATGTGTCTCCGTATCTGTAGTCTCTTTTTATTGGTTTACCCACCATGTTTGCCCAAGGTCGTAAGTTACTCATCCAATGCCAGGTCATTGTGTTAAACAAAACCATACAAAAAATACTGCCTTCCTTAAGTTCGTTTTCGAAAAAACGGCGCAACGCTTGCGATGAACGGCCGTCCCTGATTCTATGAAATTTCACGTTCACTCCAGTGTTTTTGTAAATAACATCATTGCCTGTAACAGTAGAATCGATTCACTGTAGTAATGCGTTCAACTATAGCTTTTTTTGTGGTGAACTTGTGTTGAAATCATTTTACCACTGTACTTACCTGTATTTATGTCAAAGTATCTGAAATGCATTCCTGGATCTCGAGGAAAATTAATAAGTCTTTGGTTGGCAATTATATGTGATGCTATCCATGGTTTTTTGTGTGCGTGATTTCCGTTATATGAAACCAATTTAATGTTCAGCACTAACGAAGCTATGAAAGTTAGAAAAGAAATCAGTGAAAGTGGTTTGCAGTAAGCTGAAGTAAAGCAACAATACACAATGAGCAATTTGAGAGTCTAGAATGGAAAGCTTACAAAAATAATTCAATTATAGATTTAGTTATACAATTAACTTTTGTCTACATTAAACTTCTGTCTTCTTTGTCTACATAAATGCGCGAAAAAATAGGGAATTGATCCAAATAGTTTTGCTGTTGAAAGGTTCGAAACCTGAAAAATGTGTATACTGGCAAGTATGAGTTGTTTTACGGAATATATCAATGTCATTATTGGTTATTTTGAGGTCTAGAAAGTGGACATGTGAGTCAGAAAAGTCATCAAAAGTAAATTTATTAAAGAAAAGTCATTAAAAGTATATTTTGTTTTACTTAAAATTGTCTGCTTGTCCTGGTTACTGACAAAAATGAAAACGGCGATTTCTTCACCCTTTGTACGTTATCAAAAATTTTTAGTAAATTTACATTTACACTCTAAATTTTCAAACTACTATAAAACTACTATCTTTATCATCTTATCCGCGAGTTAGCGTCATCGGCCATTGATCTTGTTCCGATGTAAAAAGAATGTTCTGTACGTTCAATCTTCATGCTCAATCTACGAAAACTTTTGTCTTCAAAAAATCAGAAAACTGTTTGACTTATAATAATGGCTTTCCCTCTTACTTCTTTGATGATCTTGTTTGGATGTTTTCTCAAAAATCTTTCTTAACATAAGCCATCTCTGTCCGCTTTGTACTAAAGATACTTGTTTATTTATACATATAATTCAATTTTCATGTTTTTCCCGTTATCAGAAAGAAAATCACTAGCTAAATTCCACGATTTAAAAACTCTGTCATTCTTTCGTTTGAATTGCACACATCTCTGAAGATTAACTTCCATTTTAGTGTTAGTGATGCAACAAATCTCAGGAGATCGTAAATCTTGTTTAATCTGTTCATGACGTCTCTCTTCGTGGCTGGCAAGTCATGGAAATATTGCCTTCAACATATCTATTTTCTTAATCTATTTCAGCTCAAGTAACTTTGATTCGTATGACCCAACTGTAAGCAGTGTCTGTCACTAGGGAAGATGGCGACGTTTCCCACTGTTCTGACACTAGATTTATATTGAGATTGAGTTGCCCGATGGCTTCATAAAGCACAGTTAGAGCAAAGTCTTTTCTTCTTCAGAGTTTTTTCTCTTTTAGACAGAAGTAATGATTTTGAATCTTTAGTCTTGTGGTCAGTATTATTGCAGTAAACGCATTCCTTCCTTGATGAACCTTCGTTGAATCGCCAAATTTTTTTTTCTCTGTTTCATCAAATTTGAATCGCTGTTTTTGATGGAGACCGGCCTTTTTTAACTTATAGGCCATAAACGCACTATTTTCTCCAGCTTTTTCTGGTTTCAATGATTCCTATTTACTATCCTACCGCATTATGTCACTTTAGACCACGTAATTTCACTTTATTGCGAGTCATTTCATACACACCGAATCAAAAAGTGTATTTACTAAACAAATTACAGAGGATTGTTCGTTCATTTTACAAAACTTAAATTCCCATTTCAATTTATAAAAGCTTATTACGTACGCTCACTCAACTATACCCTTTTCTTCAGTTGCACATAAATATACTGTGCCTTCAAATTTATTTGGGATGTTATTTGTCAGGCTTCCATGCGGTGATTGATATCCCAACGTTGTGTGGATCTTGAGTGATCATCAATCAAAGTTATTCTTAAAATAGTTTCTGTAATGTTTTTATATATGGCGAAACACATTTACTGGCTTTCCGCTTCATTATTAATCACTTGAGTCATTGCGTGATTTTGCTTGCAACAAAAGAGCATATGTCCTTAAATTATGTGTCTAATCTCACCTTTTTTACCATAAACTTCTACTTCACATAGATTAAGGCTTCCGAGCATTGTCATCTTCCATATTGAGACAAAACGACCTTTAACCGGTTCTATACAGAAGACCTCCATAGTCTTCCCAGGCGGAATTTCAGATGGGCTCGTGTACTTACATATTGGATTGCCCACCCCTCCCCCAATGATTTTATCACCAACCTAAAAATGAAAGACAAATTTATATGACGTTTTCTTTTCGTTTTTTTTACGATTCTGTTTGTACCTTAATTTCAAATTTATTCAAACTCGTGCCATATTTTCGGTTACTCAAGACAACAGACGTGACAATAACGTCATCTTGAAGATCGACCATCCACCAAGGGTTACCTTCTTCAGGTGTCATCATGCATGATCCTTCATAATGATTAAGATTACGATAACCATCTACAGCTTTCCAGCTGCGACCTCCTTGACGTGTACCAGATTGATACGTTGGTTTCCCAAGTGCGAAATTTTTCACTTTACAGAATTTCATGAAATATGTTTTTAGAAAATATAGATGAAGTGTTGCCAGTTGTAGAAATAATGATTGAATAAACGTTCTCTGGTTGTGCACATTTAATTGGTCTTATAATTCGATCATTACGCATAAGTTGCAGGCTATAGTTCGTTAATCGAAAGCTTGTGAGAAAAATCTATCGAATTTAACAAAACAGAAGGCGTTTATTCTATCAAATATGTTTTTTTTCCATTCAATTCTTTTATTAACTTGTCTGCGTGTATTCAGTCATAACGAAAACTCTCCTGTCTACGTTTTTCTATTTTCATGGCTTCCAAAATGGTCACTATTCTCAGTATTACAGTGGATAATGTCAACAGTAATTGTAGAAATAAGTAAAGAATACCTCGATGAGAAGATCCTGAAGTACTGTCAATATTTAATAGAAATTCGAGTATAATAAAAACATAAAATAGTTTGTGTAGCATCCTCCTCAAGAAAAATGTGCATGCTTAATTACATTTCCTAATTATGGTTGAGTTAATTTGTTGTTTTTGGTGACGTCATAAAGGATCCAATCATACGTCATCCTTGCCGTATTCTTAATTACATCGATTGTTATAATCTTAATTATATCGATTGTTATAATCTTAATTATATCGATTGTTCGCATTTGATATCATGTGAAGTTCAAGTTTGACAAAACATCTACCCTGTTATACAAGACAATATATACCGCTGTATAACTCGATTTGTGCTATCTTCTCGAGATATTAGAGAAATTTAGCAAAGACAACTTTTCATTAAAATCTCACCCACATTATATAGATCGTGTGTTAACTTTACATTCGCACAGAGAACGCCATGAAATTTAACCCAACTTGTTACCGGTCTGACGAAAAGTCACAGAATGACGTCGATCTGATAACGCCTTTAGAAATTATCTGTGTCAAAATTAGTCTGCGCACAATTTATTCTCAAATTATTTGAATTAGAAATGAGACCAGTTTTTCTTTTGCTAATGTAATGCTGTTTACAGTGATTTTCTAAGTGAAGTTTTTGTAGTTCAAACACTGCATAAAATTTGATTTACAAAGTCATTGCATGTAAGGTGCTAACTCAATCGCATCCAGTTTGTTGTTATTATTTTAATTACTAATTCTTTTTCTATACTTTGACATTCCTCATTGCTCAATCACATCCGATCTGTTCCTCCAAAAGCGAGGTGCCCTCGAAAATACTACAATCATTGTAAGAATTCCAACTATCCCAGCAGTGTACATACAGAAATTATCGATAATCCTAGACGCTAGAACCCAGTCTTCTCTCAAATCTGATTGCTCTTTGATAATTTTATTTTGTTGTTCTTCATCTTTTGTGCAATGATTGATGTCTGTATTTGCTGTTCGGGCAGCAAAATTTGACTGGTTTTGAGTAGACGTGTTTTCGTCCATCTTTCTGACCTTCAACCATTCAGTTGATAAATCTTTTGAATCAGTTTGTTGAGTTTTGATTTGCAACCTTGAATGACGTAACTCCTCATCAGATTTTGTTTCATCATGGTTTGAAACATTGTGTGAATCTTTTTCACATTGTTTTGACACTCGTCTGCTTTGAATTCCACTAGTCTTTTTTTCTTTGTTAGTGCTTGGTGTTACTCGTGTGACTTTTCCTAGACAGTTTATGATAATCTTTTTCATAATGTCCGGCATTTTTGAGGGTGAATGATAGTGGAAGTTTAGCGTGAGGGACGTCATTACAAGCGTAAAACCAATTTCTACGGTCATGATTGAGAAATATTGTGATATAATAGGGAAATCTTGTAATGGAATAATTTTCATCGTGAGTTGTTGAAAGAATGTCATTGCAAGTAAAATCAACATGCAAAGACTTATTCGTTCGCCTGATGCAGGTGGCAGAAAAAAACCTAAATAACAAAAAAAAGACTGTAAACAATACGAGTCGGCTATGGTAAATTTTTCTTTCACTCTATCTGTCTCCTTTAAAAAGCTACGTAAAAATAAGATTGTCAACTCATGCTTGTACTTTGAAACGTACGTTGAAACATTCTCATTTCGTTGTTTTGAAGTGCATACAAATGCACATATTTCGCTCGGGATTGTGGATCCGGGATATTTTTTGCTTATAAAATAACACAAAATTTTTGCTTGTTTCTTTAGTTTAAAAAACAGGATGATTACCTAAAATTGTCAGGCAGGCTATAAGAAAGCATGGAATAAGCATTTCGGTGATGAAATACAAAGAACCTCGTTCCATGCTCAATGAAATTTCCACGACAGAATAACTGTTTTCTCTTTTTTCGTCCCAAAACTCTCGTGCCTTTATGCTGCTTTCGTATATAGTCCATTCCTCGTTTTTATACGATGGGGTAATGTGTCTCTTACGTGGCTGAGTAATGATAATTTCATGTTTTGTATAGGTCATCGATCCTAACATCAGGAAACATTTTTGAAGATCCAAAGGAAAATACGACACGTCAATGGAACACATAACATGAATAAAGAGTGGATATGACCAGCGGCAAGTGCCATTAGAATACACAATAACTTTAGTGCTAATTCCTGTTTTCTTGTGGTCTTTGTTTTCAACTCTGTTGAAAAAAATTTCTTTTTAACAAATAAACGAATACGTATGAATGAAAAGACGACAAGTTAAATAGCAGTAGCGTACAAAAAAGTAATTTTTGAGTTGGCACAACCCGGCTTCCTAAGTGATAAAGGGCAACAGTTATACATAGTAAATATTATGAAAAAGCCCCAACTTTACAACTTTAATATAAATATACATGGCAAACTGTATCAATCAATGTAATATCACAATATAATACAGCAAGTATTGCACTTAAAAATGCCATAGAGTCGCCCCCCCCTGTTTTGTATTCATTGACATATGAAGGGGAGGTCTGAATGTGTTGTACAATTGTTTAAATGATAGTAGCGATTACATACTCATTATAAAGTTGTAGATCAGGAACCCATATTTTACTCGGTGAAATGTTGATAGATGTAAATCCAGAATATTGAGAAGAATTCCAGCGAAGATACTCGTCTTGCCATTCCTAGAGCAAACATGTACATAAAATATCCAGATTACATAAAGTGTTGAAAGAGGATTCACGTTTTTCCCTGATAAAACAACTTGTATTCAGTTTACCTGATACACTGTTGACAGAACACTCATTCTTTGCAATTTTGCATTCTAAATTACCATTTACAACGAAAAAAGATTGTAAGACCTCAGCACATTCAGGTTCACAAATTAATTAAAGCCCATCAACTGAAAGGTATTTGGAAAATATTGTGCTTACAACATCTAGGATTTTCACCAGTTGAAGATTGAACGTTATTGGAAGCGCGCATTCTTGGTCGTGTACTGGTCTCCAGTTCTTTCGATAGTTTTTTAGTAGATCTTCGAAAAGTCTTTCTTGAACTGCTAAATATCTTCCTTCTATCATATAGTACAGGTCTAAAACATAAAGAAATCAAATCAAGTACGTCATTGGTCACCTTGCGTTGAGAAAATATAGTAATATAAAAGCCATTACATCAACATTTTACAAAGAAAACTTTTTATATAAGGGAAATTCAATGAATATTGTTTGCTTACGGTACTGCAAATTGTAGCGTTTTGGCCTCATGCAGTAGAGATAAAAACCCAATATACGAGCATCTGTCAATTTAAACAACAAATTTTCTACCGGAATGACGAAAAGTTTTCATTGTTTTTATATAAGGATAGGTTTGACGTTAATGTTGATGAATTTTTATTTGATTAATTGAACAAGAATTTGGACAAGAATTTTGATGAATTTTTCTCAATTTTTGCCAGTGTTTTTAATTTATGTATATCTTGATGAGACGTTTATCGTTGATCATATTCAAAGAACATTTAACCACTTCAGAATATTTGATTTACGAAACAACACAGTCTAAAAATCAAAATTTTCTTAAGATTTTATCATCAATGTGTGAAGGTAATCACAACATGGAAAGCAAACTTACCTCCTAAAATGGCTACAACATAGAAATATAAAATGTTGAATTTCATAGTCGCTGTACAAAGCTAAAGTAGCTGTCTCTTAGTTTATTCTTTTATTCAGCAGATTCAGTTCTGATTTCAAACTATTTATGTGATTTTGTTTTGTTAGTTTTCTCATCACCGTCCGAAAGATTTTAGGAAGTGTCACGTCTTTGAAACATCTGTCGTCCATAACATAACTTGTATTGTTTTGGCAGCTAGCTCGATCTTTTAATTTAATTTATAAGTAGTTTCTCCAGAAATAACTAATTAACTCATGAATATTACAGCAAAAATTCAAAATTTGACAATATATAGATATATGTATACTGATTGTTATATAAAGAAGGCCAGCGGCAAAGCACATTGCATGAATTCGTAATTCCTGTTGACGTCTTGCATATAGAATCAAGTCTTAATGAAATCTTTCAATAGCGTTTGTAGGTTTGAATAATTACATTTGCTGTTCCAATTGAATAGCTCTAAAATGAAAAATTTATTGCAGTACGATATTTTTTACTCATGGAAACCGACAAACACATGTTCCAAAGTATAAAAGAGAAGGAAGGAATATTTATTGTCGTTAAAGACTTCTTCATAGTAAGAGACATAACAGATGTTTCATTCAACTTGAAGCGAGTAACAAGCGAGGAAACAAAATAAGTAAGTTGGCCCTATTATTTTCGTTTTGAAAAGAAAAAACAAAAATATTCTTCTACAATGTAGTTTTTTTTGTAGAGGGAAGTTAATTGACGTGGGACAATATTTGTTTTGCAATTAAAGGCTTTATAGTTTGCTGTTTCATTTAGTTGTATGGCCTGTGGCGAAGCTATAGGAGACACCGACATAAGGTCTTCCAAGGGATATATAGAAATGCCTTAGGATATATATATATACGAAAACTGTTACGACCAAGGGATATATAGAAATGCCTTAGGATATATATATGCACGAAAACTGTTACGAAGCAGCGAAAGAATATAAAATACATTCAAAATATACTCAATCGTAAGCCGATGTCGGTAACCTTACAACAGAACAGAGAAATTAACTAGTATAATTACAGCAACAAAATAGCTACTAAATTACCAGGAAGAAAGAAACCATTAACGAAGGAGAGGAGAAACAGAGCAGCCTTAATATTTATTACATTCTAGAAGGGATGAGTTTTTCAGATTTGAGGCATGAAGCAATTAAAGTAAAGTGGTCATGACATTCTTTCAAGGATTTCTTTTGTTAATATTTCCTGTTTGAAATTTATTTTCTATACATGAACGTGTCTCTTGTTAAAATCTTTAGCTTGTATTTTTTATGAAACTTTGGTGAAACCAAGCCTATGTCGATGACATTTTCTACATATTCAATATAATAATAATGCTGAATTGTCTTCGTAAAAACATCAAAGTTACGTTCACAAAATAAATCAACAAAATTAGCTTAATCGATGCACTCATGAACAAATCTCTCGCCACATTTTAGGCATCGACGTATCAAGTTTTCATCACAGTTTTCATCATATTTGTCAATTTTGTGCTAACGAGCATTGTATATGTGTAGGTTTAGACATGTTGCCAGGAAAGAAAGGGGGAACATGGCTCGGTATGTCTAAAAATGAGAAAATTGGAGTCCTCACATTCTATCGAGAAAGCTTGAAATTGAAAAGAGAACGCGAGAGAGGACGAGGCCATTTAGTTGCAGATTTTCTCAAATCCAGCCAACAAACAACACCTTTAGTGTTTTTGGAAAATGTTAGAAAAACCAGCTGTGAATACGGTGGCTTTAATTTAATATTAGGTCACGTACCTGTTGGCTCATCCGATATGGATTTTGCTTATTATTGTAACAGGGAACACAAACCGTTATTTGATTTAAAAGCAGGAACGTACGGGTTAAGTAATCGATATTTAAACTACGGCTGGGAAAAAGTTGTTATTGGAAAACAATCCTTTAACGAGATTGTTCAACGCCAATGCACAAATGATGAAAAGATTACCCAATTACTAACTTTTTTATCTGATGAAACACGGTCAGTACAACTTTTTTTTCTCTAACATTCTTCGGCGCTTGTTTGGAGCGTTTAACAAATTGAAATTGCTTTGGTAAAACTTTTCTACATTGTTTTACTATACATTATTTTACTACAACGCAGTTCGATGTGTTTCTTTTCAAAGGTATGAGCTTAATGATACGTTTCGTAATCCAAAAGATGGTGATACACCTGACGAGTTTCTTAAAGGTTCCTCGACAGGAATATCAGTAAATATGCCCAAATATAAGTTTGGAACAAGGTTGGTAGATTTCCATTGATCGGGGTGTTTTTGAAAGTTGATTTTTTTAGAAATATGTACGCCTCACTTCTCGTAATTCAATCAGTTCGTTCAAATTCAGTTAGCAAACCAAGTTTTTTTTTTACCTCTATTTAATCGTTGTGAGAGTGTGGCTTATCACATCCAATATTTAAAAATTTCAACGCTTCAGCAATCAGCAATGAGAAAATTGTTTGCCACATTACTGGAACGGGTTGTACACAAATTTTAGATTGATAATTTATGCCTAACAATTATATCAAACTTTGTTATTTTCAGAACAAATTCGGTGATTATTGTAGACAGCAACGATAAAGTCTCATTTGTTGAGCGAACAATGGTTGAACCTATAAACGCCGAGAATCCCGTTTGGAAGAGCACCAAGTTTCAGTTTGAACTCAAAGATGATTAATTTTTTTCATAATCTTTGATGAAACAAGTTTTCGCTCATAAAAACATATCAATTTTTCGATATCAATTATTATGTAAAAATAGTCTTAAAAATCCCTAACTTATTTAAAGGAATGTTCATCACTGTGCTATTCAGGTGTATATAAGCTAATGTTGAAGGGAATAGAAATAGATGCACGAAATTTTGCTGTCGATAGTATTTATAGATCAGAACGTAAAGATTACATTGTTTCTTTGAAGTATTTGCGAGTTGTATAGTAGTTGTATTGATCTTTTTGATGCTTTCGTTTCCACTCAATGTTTCTAGGTAACTTCATTTTTATGTTATGTCATGGAAGCAACTACCCTCAGTGTCCGTATCTGTGTTGAAAAGAAGCAGTAATCCAGTAAATCGACAGTAAACATTTAAAGAAAACCGAAAATTGGATTACTTCTCTATATGAAACTGTAATAAATGGGGAGAGGAAGCCAACTTTTATTAACTTGCTGGTTGGTATTGCCCCGCGCCCCCCTCTGACTCCGCCCCTGACCATGTAAGGAGAACAACTGAACCAGACAGGTTTTATCACTAACATTTGAAGGATGTAAATAAGCGAAAAAAAATTGCGCGACAATCAAAGTCGGTTCTTTTTAAAAAGTCCAGTGCACACTTGGGCACTTGGTACAGACAGACGTACTGTCGACGAATAATGATCTTTTTTCATGAAATCACGCAAATCAGTATTGGTTGTTTGTTTAAAATATTTTTTGTGGTGTTTTGAAAGAAATGAGACGCTCTGAAGCACCATCACAGAAGCCAAATGGTTTAAAACGTCCAATTACTACAGAAAGCAAAAGATTTGCTGCTAAGAAAATTTGCCTTAATAATCAATCGAAAAATTCTTTTTCCAAGAATGACGAAGAGGTTAAAAGTTAAATGAATATTTTATATGATTAGTTTTAGATTACTACCAGGATCAAGGCGTCTTTTATTGTTTTATACTTCCTTTCCTGGTGCAATAAAACTTTGTATTAATGATAGTATATATCTCTTCAGGCAAGAGACAAAGAAAATTTATATAAATGTCACTTTCTGAAGTCAAAGGCAAAGTCAAGTTCTTTTCAAACTCCTGTACTGAATCAAAATACATCAACCAGTCATTTAGACCAAGCTAAAACAGAAATGAAAATTGAGGATAATGCCACATGTTTTTATAGTGTAATGTGGTGAGTTTAGTTTAAAACATAAAGGTTGGCTGGCCATTTATATTTAAGAGAAATTGATAAAAATTTGCTTCATTTAATTTAGGGCAAAAATATCAAAGAAAAAGGTGATGATATTTTACATAATAATACCATTCTTTGTTAAAGGGAATATAAAATTTATCTTGTTTTTCAGCACAAAACTTGGGAAGGTGATGGTAAGATTATAAAATTTAAGAGCATTTTAGTGTGTTCCAGCATATCAGCTACATTTTCAGATCTAGCACAACTTCATTAATTAATGTGCTCTGTGTTAAAAAATGATGTTATTGGAGTGACTTAGATTAGAAATGAAAGTCCTATCATATCTCCACAAAATATGGAAAATGTTTGTGTTGCTGTTGATCTAGTTGAAAGATATTTATTATAGGTATACTGCTGATGAAAGGCAAGACAGCGATATTGCAAGATTCTGAGGGAAAAGAGTAGGTTTACTTTGTGGTGTTTTGCAGTAAGAATTTGAGTAAGATATAGCAATTTTTGGTTCATACAAATATGTAATGCTCAATGCTTAGATTATCAGAGAACAATGTATTAGGTGAAGTTAATACGATATAAATGTTAATAGCTTTAATTGCAACACTGAGTTTCACACATCATGCAATCTTCAAGCGATGATCTTAGATACCGTATAAATGTGATGAATTTTTACATAAATGAGGTGATATCAAGGGACGAGATTATGTGGGTGTACAACATGTAATTTTTAACAAATGGAGGGAGTGTTAAATTTTGTGTGAAATGAAATATTTGTACTTTGGACTTTAGCTCTTCTCTAATCTTCATTTTTCCATGACAAAAAGTGTTTCAACAAATAGGATTGGAAAATCAAGTGGATTTAAATGTTCACATTTGAAAAAATTAACTGAAGGAGAAATGTTGATAATTGGTGGTAAAGAAGTTGAGGTATGTAATGAATAATATGGTAACTTAATGGATAATATTGTTAATATGCAATGGTCAACTTCCATGAAATCATTTGCTTGCAGGTTACAGGTGAAATAGCAAAGGATGACTATCTCAGTGGTTGCTGTTTCCAACAAGTATTAGACTCAGAAAAGGCACCATGCAATTTATCTGCTAAAACAGGTGAATTATAATTATGTTTAGTTACAAGGGTAATTGTCATTGTGAAGAAGTTATGCGGGCACTAACATTTTTCTTTTATCAGGGCCAGTGAAACCATTTTCCAACCCACAAAAAAAGGATATTAGCATAACTGGCAGCTGCAAAAGATCTTCAAGTACACAACCAATCACAGCAAGGTTCAATCCACTAGTGCCAGGGGCTCTGGTGATGCCACGACCCAACCCCTTACATCAAGTAAGTTTCATTTCATACAAATGGTAAGCAGATGTCATACTAAATTTGTTGACAAGAGACAATACACAACAGACCACTAAAACAATCTTTACATTACGTACGAAGTCAGTGTCAGTGTAGTTAATTATAAATTAACATGCGTAAGTGTAGATAAATTGAAGTTTTGATATATGCTAATCATCTTTATAATTCTGTGTAGTGCAATCACAACAAGAAACAGTTGACTGTCGTGGATGTTGTAGTTGATCCCTATATCACTAATATATTACGACCTCACCAAAAAGATGGCGTCGTATTTCTTTATGAATGCGTGATGGGCATGAGAAATATTGTTGGAAATGGCGCAATTTTAGCGTAAGTACAGACGGTCACGTAGCCAGCGCGCAAATTTTGATCTTGCTATGTAAATTTCAGATCATTAACATTATTCATTTCTTTAGAAATCTATTCTTTTTACAGTAAGTGAACACAGAAAAATTAACATAGCAGGACCAAATTTGCGGGTTGGCTACGCCATTGATTGTACCAAAGGAGCGCTGTGAGAAAAAGAACTTTAACACGTAAAAAAGCAACAATGTTATACGGCAATGAGAGCAGAATAACCCTAAGCTATTTTGTTTTTTTAAGTTAAAAATCAAAATTAACTCATAAGTGACTCTTCTTTGTAGTGACGACATGGGACTTGGAAAAACACTTCAGTGTATAAGTCTTATTTGGTATTTATGGATAAATTTTACTGGAAAAAATACATTGTTATTTGTCATGCTTTGGTAAACGATTATTACTAATTTGTTAGGACACTTTATAAACAAGGTGCTTATGGTGGTCAACCGGTTGCCAAACGGTTTCTTGTAATATCCCCTGGCAGCTTGGTCAAGGTACGAAATTTTGCTTTTTGTATGATGTCTTCTGTGGTTGATCTATAGGAAATATGATTTATTTAATTTTGTTATATTAGCCTTATTTTGTCCTAGAATTGGGCGGCAGAATTTCGTAAATGGTTGGGTAACGAAAGGATACTCGTGTACACTGTGAGCTCAGAAAGAAAAGTTGAGGTGATAAGAGGATATTACTTAGGAAAAAAAGTGAAAATAACCCAAACTTAATAGCGCTTCATAGCGCTTCATTGGGTCTTGAAACCTCATTATTGTCATTACGTCTTTCTAGGAATTCCTACGTAGCCCAGTGTTTCCAGTAATGGTAATCAGTTACGAAATGTTTGTTCGATACGTGGAAGATATGAGAAAGATTAAATTTGATCTTGTTGTTTGTGACGAAGCTCATAGATTGAAAAATACTGCCATTAAGACAACTATGGTATTAACCCTGAAATGTTTACTGCTCAAATCATCGAGTATTTTTTTCATTTTTTTCTGTTAGATGAAGCCCAAATGATCTCTTATCAAATCCTCAATATTCATTAAAGTTCCATTGGTCATTTTGCAGACACACTTCTATCGTCATGCACCTCTTATTTTCTATGCACTGAATAGTGAAAAATCATGCAATTATATCAACGTATATACAACGGCTATTTTTATTTTTTAGCATATTTCTAGCCTAAATATTCCCATGAAGATTCTTCTTACTGGAACACCTTTACAGGTAAGAACATATACATTTGTGATTGCCCTTATGATTTATCAAATGTTTTTATGTTGTTATTCTTGTGGCAAAGTGATATCTTTTGATTGAATTTTTTATTTGTGCTTAAAATTTTTATACAAATCATAGCTTGTAGAGATAGATAACATGTTTGTTAGTTTGAAGGACTGACTGATAAATGGCATATTTATAACTTTCTCAGAACGACCTTACGGAATTTTACTCCCTTGCTGATCTCTGTAATCCTGGCGTTTTAGGTTTGTTTTAATCTCTGATGATGTCATTGTTTGTGTACAATCCCTAAGATTAAACATTGCTATCGAACAATGTAATTTTTTTGTAGCGGACTAATGGTTCAATAAAAACCTGTCCTCTAGGTACCCCTAGCTCTTTCCGACGTGTGTATGAAGAGCCAATCGTACGTGGACGTCAACCCGGGGCTACCAACGAGGAGAAAGAATTAGGAGAATGTCGTGCTACAGAGGTATTCACTCGTCGTATTCATAGACCTCTCTTAAAACTCGAAATTTGCGATTATTGATTCATGTACTATAGTTTTTCTCACTCCGTTTGGCATATTTTGTTCGAACTACAGTTAGATTTGAGTGTATTACACACAAGCAATGTCCTGTGACGTATAAATTGTACATTTCCTTTCAAAAGTTATTCCTTACTGTATACAGTATGTTTAATCGTTATAGTTAAAAAGGCTTTCAAGTCAATTTCTCTTGCGAAGAACTTCCGAAATCAACAACAAATATTTACCAGGAAAAGGTGTAATTGTAATTTTTGTGGATATGTCTCTCCTACTCTATGATCGTATCTACAGAACATTTGATACTGAATGCAGGTCGCCCTAGTCAATAGTTTTGTTATACATACCAGGAAATTACCTTTTCCTCAGTCATTGTTTAACACAGTCTATAGTTTTCATCTCATTATTGTTTATTTATAGTCGAAGCTGTCGTATTTTGCCATGCAAGTTCTCTACAGCAATGTTTATATGAGCATTTGGTCTCATCTCGTTTCTTCAAGTCCTGTCTTACGTTTTCCTGTTCAAGTTCTCTTCACTTGATGTGTATTGCTGCATTAAAAAAGCTCTGTAATCATCCGTGTTTATTGTACCGTAAAGAGAAGGTTGTGCACCCTGAAATTTCAAACTTATCTCATAATGTAAGGATTTCAAATTTATTTCTCAACAAATGCTCAAATGTTCATTTCATTTCTACCGCATAACATTCGAAAATACACGTCGTTTATTTCTTTTGTATTACATATTTAGTAAAAAACACTTCTCGTTATCCTGCCGTTCATTCATCACTACCTACACTGGCACATGTTTTCATATTTTTGTACAGTCTTTGTATTATTAAGATGAACGTTAATGAAACATGATTTTCTATTCATTGTAAAGCCTTTTCTTTTTTGTTATCTTCACAGGATGCTCTATACGAAGACCTGCAATCATTATATCCCACAAACTATAATCCAGATTGCAGTCAGCATTCCGGAAAGTTAAAAGTTCTTGAGAATCTGTTAAGGATCATCAGAGAAAATTCCTTTCAAGAACGAGTTGTCGTTGTTTCAAACTACACGCAGGTGATTAAGTTGAAGATTTAAATTTTAAAGTATTTTTTTAAAAAAGGTACAATTGCAAAGAACATAGCGACCAACTTGCACATGTTTGTAATGTCTGTGGCTTATTTTTTATTATTTATTATTATTTCTAGTTGCAAATTAATAAGCCAAATCATCTATTTCATTTACTGTTGATGGCTGTTAAATACTATATTAAATACAAAACATTTTTTCTTGAATTTACTTCAAAATGTACATTGCTCGATATACATTTGACACATTCAGCTAAAAAACTGGCTGTGAGAAGCAAGATGATTAAGTTTCAAAAAATTATCGAAAATCTCTTTGAGATTACAAATTTACAATGAAGGAAATAGAGAAGTATCTCATGTCGTTTGACTTTTATGAACTCCTTTAAGACTTTAGACATCATTCAAAGATCATGTGAAAGAAACAAGTATCCTTACTTACGTCTAGATGGTCAGACAGCAACTAATCATCGTCATAGTTTAGTGGAACGTTTTAACATGAAAGGGAATAAAGATTGTAAGCATTTCATGAAAGAATGATAAAGTTGAATTTTCATACAAACCGAATGATTTAGTTCTCATACATGTGGAAAAGAAACATAAACTTTTTTTGTGTCAAATTTTTCGTATTTTGTTTAAGTAGAGTTCTCTCTTTTTCAAGTCGTGTTTCTTCTCAGTTCAAAAGCTGGTGGTGTTGGTCTCAATTTGACTGGAGCATCAACTTTAATACTGTACGATATTGATTGGAATCCAGCCAATGATATTCAAGTACGTATACAATTTTACCACTGTTTTTCATTAGTTTTTCGTGACACAATGACGTTAGAGGTGTTTAAAAATGGCATAGAACATAATTTTTCGCGAGTTTGTTTAGAAGTAGTTTCACTAGTTTATTAGCGCCACTAGCAATTGAATTTGTGTTTTTTTGGCGAAATCGATGATATGATCTTCTTCTAAAGGCAATGGCAAGGGTTTGGCGCGATGGTCAACGAAAGATGGTAAAGATATACCGTCTACTTACTACGGTAATAACTAGTTGTACATAATAACAACAATACAACACAAATAAGCAATTGGGTGTTCTCCATGAACGGAGTATAACAATTTGAAATCCATGTGTATTCCTGTGATGAAACATTAACAGATCGTTAGATGAATGTCATTTATTGAACGTTGTCTGTGTGTCATAGGGAACAATAGAAGAGAAAATTTACCAAAGACAAATCAGTAAACAAGGTTTGAGTGATGCTGTGTCTGATGCCATTTCATCGTCATCTCGAGCTCAAGATTTTTCTCGTGAAGACCTAAAAGATCTCTTTACATTTCACGTGGACACCTCATGCCTCACACATGACCTTCTTAATTGCTCTTGTTCCTCTTATAATGAGACAAAGGTTAAGTTAATTTCATAATTGGCGTTATTTTAAGATATTACGATACACATTGATATCATTATCTTTGTATCACCTCATCAATCCCCAAATAATGCTGTTTTACCTGCTTCGTATCACCTCACCAATCCCCAAACAATGCTATTTTACCTGCTTTTAAAGGGAAAAAATCCTGTTGCTAACGTCGACAAAATTCCTGCTGCAGAAAATTCACCCAGAACATGTCAACTTGGTGTGACAAAAAAAACTGACCAGGTACGGCAATGTTACATATTTTATATTTTGATTGTTCATCTTCGTGGGCTGTACATCTTTGAAATTTTAAACTTATCAACCTGGCTTTCTTTCAATATTTTCTAGGAGAAACACTTATCAATGGCAGAGTTAATGCAATGGAAGCATTTCTCACGACCTATTCAAGATACTGAAATTGAGGTAAGGAAATCGTTTTTTCCTATAACCAAATGGAAGATTGGAAGTCAAAGTGTTTACACCTTTTTTGTGTCACTTATATAGGATATTTGGTTGAGATCTTGTGCAGATGATATTGATTTTGTATTTCAAACTGAGATTAAGAAATATTGTTGAAGTTATCGAAAATATTTCTTGATTCAGAGATTCGTAGAGAAGACATTACATCAATGCGGTAATTTAGTGTAAACTACGAGGATGTTAACATTCTATATTATCAAAGTCTGAAGATTGCATAAGGCAGGAAAGTATGTACGTTATATTTTAATGCTGATGTTCTATTATATTGTTAATTGCTTTGCGCGTGCTAAAAACCTTTCTTTCCATGGTCCTTTAAATGATCTATGGAGGAGATTGACGTAATGTTGCTCTTGCCATCTCCAATGCCCCTTCTTTGGTTTCGTTTCCACCGATAAAACCCGACGCATGTACGAAGATACATTCAGGTATGCCACTCACTCTACATAATTCTTCATCACGGAGACCGCGCCATTCTTCCAGTAAACTTAACCTTAAAAAAATTATCCGAATCACTTCTTTCGAACTTAGTTCCTTAATGTCTTCCAGTCTACGTCAATTTGAACTGGAGTTATTCAATACTCTAGTCTATTGTCCTTCACCCAGTTGAATCTGATATTAAAACTCGAGTCCTAATATTCTCTATGAACAACATATGTGTTATAATTATAGTGATACGTGACTCTCACTGTCAATCTGTCAATTGCCATAGTGTCATACCTGTTCTCAAATGATTTAGTAGCGATGGGAACACACTGTATCAAGAAAAAAATGTTCACTCACTTTAACACATACCTGCTTGCTTTTTCAAATATAATTCATTACAAAAGAATTACCTGAACACGCCATTTTCCATTTTGATCAGTAAATATTGCAAACTTTATGGGTACACAGATGTTATGTTTGTTCTCTAGGTCAAACAAGTGATCTTTCCAAGGACAACCTTCGTCAATATATATAACTTCACCACTCGCATCAAGCTAGTTGAGAAAAAAACATTCGCACAAAAAGTTTCACTGAGTTTACAAAAATAACAAAAACAAATTGAATATTTCAGTGAACTATTACAGAATGTTATTAAGTACCTCGTGTCTTTTTACGATTGCTTTTTCAACTATCGTTCTTGCTGGAAGCCAAACATCTTTGAAGTAAGTCACCGTTTCTATAAACTCGTTTTCCACCATTTTCATCGCTTTGAAAAAACCTGCCTGATTGGTAAATCGAAAAATTGCAGAAACAGTAACTGTTTGATGAAAGCAGTGGATGTCACACCTCTGAGTCTGGATTTTTCTCATTCCATTTGGGGTTAAGGGAACTCACTCTTGCACTGATATTGGTTGAAATGGAGTATCTGGAAAGGAACTGTCAACTAAACGCTTCCGCCCAAATTATTTAAAATACATTTGTATGCAGTAAAAGATGCCCATTTCAATCAAAACTCATCGCAATAATTTCTCTTCCCAAACAAAACAAATTCGAATATCACATAAACAATTGACCATAGATAGATCACTTGAGCATAAAATAATTCATAAGTACCTTGGTTCACCATCATATTGATTAATACCATTATCAATAGCATCAATTTCTTGAATAAAGCTTTCATAGACCTTGGTGTACACAAGTTCAACCATATCATCATCTTCAACAAGTTTCATCACCTGCGCAATTATATCTTTACCATAGTGCAGGTAAATTAAGCCAGCACTACTTAATTTGATGTCATATTTTAATCCACCAAGTGAACTCATTGTACCAGAAAAACTCCTAAATAATTATAATCTAAGATTAAGATGAATTATGGCAGAGTAATTTTCGCAAAAAATTGAGCGCACAATAAGCCACAGGTCAAAAGAATTATATAATAAAAACAATAAAGATACATTTTATGTATGCTTAGTTACATTGATTCTCAAACTATCAAGCAACCTTCCATTTGATGGGAAAGAAATAAAGGTAAAAAGCAAATCTTTTCCTTCCAATCAGTTAAATTATCAATGAGGACAAGTATGAAATACACAACCAAACATTAAACTACCATAGGCCTTTCAAACATGTGACATATAATATACATTTCACCTTTGATGATGATCAAATCTATTTAACGAAGGGTCATATGTACCACCAACATCAACCACAATATCACATGATTTTAAAATGTTCTCATCTCTTGTTCGTACAATCTTAGCATTGCTATAGATGGGTAGCAATTTTAACATTGAACAAGCCAGTACTTCATCACAGTGAAAAGTACCATTATGTGTTCCAATTATCTTATGACAATTTAGCTTTTTGGTGAGGGGCTCAGTTGCCATTTGTACAATGGAAGTTAGTAACTGAATAGAAGAAATTCCTAAAGAGAAATGCAATGACATTTGTTCAAGTCAAACATTTGTTGGAAGAAATGAGATTTTCCTTCACTAACTATAAAATAAAAAATTGTTACTTGAGGACCACAGAGCATATTTTTTAATTTTTTAAGTTGGGGGCAAGTAGAGATATAGGATTTGGAAACAAATTTCAAAAATTCAGAATGGCAGAGGCCAGAATTATTAGGGGGGGGGGAGCTATAACCCCTCAGCACCCACCTGTCCTGCTTCTCACTCCTTGTACTTGTCGTAATTTCATTTACAGTGAAGATATGGCTATCAAAAATACATACAATATACAGTGTTTTCACTTCACCTTTGATGTATCTTTCATATAGGAGTAATAAGACCTTAATTTCGTTTGTTGTGAATGGTTGCGAAACATCCGCTTCCGCGTGATCGAAATTTCGCGCCAAAAGACGTACAAGTACCACCAGAGGACCCACTAATAACCATGAGGATAGTCTGTGGTCTGTTCACATGACATGACTTGAGGTCACCCTGACAACGTATAATGTAAATGTAATCTCGCGAGGAAGGGAAAGTCAAACGGGAGGATATAAACCGTCATAAGTGAATTGAAATTATAACCTATCGTTTATTGACGGTGTTTTGGTGAGTTTTTCAAAACATGCCTAAAACACGTGAAAAAATAAATTTGTAGCGAATGATGTCCGATGATGCATAAAAGTTAAGAATTCTGTAGGTAAATACTTCAAAAAAGTTGACGTTCTTTTATTCCTCAGCTATGTTCAATAACTGATTTAATTACAGAGGTGTCAATTGGTCCTAGGATTTTCCATCACCAGAGGTCGATCGATTGACGAACACCACGCATTTATTGAGCAACATCACGTCGCTGGACGAGTATTATACACAACATTTAAAATTTTACTCGTAAACTCTGGTGAGTGGAAATATATATTCATCAGTGATTCATTTAACATTTCATCCTAGAATATATGTGAATTTATCGTAAAGAAATTTCTTGTTTGAAATATTTTTTTCATTTTCACACTGTGGGCCCGTGCAGAGTCTGCATTTAGTCGATTATGATATCAACGAAAAGATTTTGATAACTCGTCTCATAGGAGAATTTTTTTATGCTTTCATCAATTGAAGTCTTGTTCTCGGCTCTCTTATCTGGAAAATATTGATGTGTTACATGTAGAAAGACTACGTAATATTATTGGAATGCCTTAGTTATTCGCTTTATTGTTCTCTTGCATATTTTTAGCGTGAATCAGCGTGAAGTTTGTTATCACATTACATAAATGCACGAGAACAATATAAATATTTTGTAGAACTAGTTACTAATATTCAGCTGCCATTACTTTTGATACCAAATGATTTTATTTTGCCAAATTGCCAGTAAGCGTTCATGGCTAAAGAGAATGGGATGTCTATAAACGGTGTTGATACCAGATTAGAATTGCACATATTGGAATATACTTTGAGAATGGCAACAATCAGCAAAGATGCTATATCAAAGTATACACATTACTTGATCAAGATTGCTTTGTTACCCAAATCAAGGTAAAAGGATCAAAGAATGAATATTTTTAGTTTGTGAATGCCTTTATAGGCTTGAATTTGTTTTAGGCCTGGATTTTTTAGCTTTACCAAGTCAAACGAGGACTATTCCCTAACACTTGAGGAAACTGCTTTTCAAGGCAAGCACATATTTACTAGTCTAGTATTGATGATTGATCAGTGTGTGTTTTTATAATATATATTCAGAAATAAGAAACATAATGAAAATCATACATACAGAGGAGTGTTGCTGGAATGTTAATTGGGGGTGGGGATGCCAAAACTGAATATATGACAAAACACATTCTTCCTCCAATTAAAATTCTTTCTAGCTATGATCCTGAGTACATAAGAAATCATTGTACTTTATCTGGGTGGTATATTCAGCATGCAAATCTCCTGCTGTGTTACTTTTTCTGTGTTCAATCACTGTAAAAACAATAGATTTGCAAAGAAATGAATAATGTTAATGATCTAAAATTTTCATGTCAGAAACAAAACTTGCAGGCTGGCTATGCTACTACTTGACCTAGATATACTTTCGTAATGGTGAAGATTGTTTATAAGAAATCAATGTACTTGATTATTTTATACTTATGTCATAGTGAAGATGGCACATAACATATCAATGTATTTTGAATGACTTATGCAAACTGTTTCAATAACAAATATTCACTGAAGTTTTCATTTTAGAACTGCCAAAGGGCCCTGGACTTTCCTGCTCAAAATGCTTGTGGAATGTTTTGACAGTTTCACCAGGCGTGATGGATTGTGCAGGAAACACTATGGGTATTAGCAAAATTGTCAATTCCATTATCCTTCCACTGGCAAACAATGGGGTTTCACTATTCTGCATGTCTACTTATCAAGGAGATTTCATATTGGTAAGATATTTTGAATTTGTAAAAGTTTTAATGTCTTGATGTTGATTGCTGAATAGCGTGGTTCATCAATCACAGCAGAAGAGTAAGTTAAGCTTGTGAGTTTTGGCCACATTTGCTTTTATGTGAGAGGATTTATTTATGAAAGACTGACTGTATATGTATAAAGTTCTATAGTATTACTGTGAAAGTTTGGAATAAACAGATTATTAAAAGGAGTTGTTGAATACAGGAGTGTTTTGAGTCTTGTTTTTCACAGTTCTCTAGTTTAGGAATCAACGCAACAGATTAGCACATAGGAGTTAGGGTAGTTGATAAGTGATTAGAGTATTAATTAGAGTGAGAGATTGGGGACTGGGTTGAAAGATTAGGGTTTAGGGCAGAAGGAAATTAAAGGCAAATAAATAAAAGAAAATGTCCAAGTTTGTGCAAGTCCTTTTTTGTGACCTATTTGTACTTTTGTACATCATTTATATTAGTGCTTGTTTATATTTTTTAAGGTAAAGCAACAAGAATTGATGGCAGCAATTTGCTGTTTAAATGGAAAGTTCAGAATATTTGATGAGACAGGATTTGTGGACCTTTCATCTGATTTAGATCACTCGAATGCCATTTTGAACAGATTAAATTCTGGTGAAATTTTAGCTTTTAGTTATCTTTTTTGTTTATATGAGAATTACAAACATGCACTTGAAATTTTTCTGTTAACTGACCACAAAGGACATGGCGGAAGCAATGCGATGACACAAACAAACAAAAATTAGACATTATTTAAATCAAATTGGGGGGAAATCATCCCATTATTTTATATCTTATACAATATTATGTATCTTATAGACTTGGCATTCTTAACATATTTAAAATTTCCTCTTCTGTTATTAGATTCTCGAAGCCATCCATTGGTCCACTCCATTGTCAGTCCTTTAAACAAATTTCATGTGATCAGTTTAAACAGTCAATATTTCACATCGCTCATACCAACGTTGATTGATCTCATGTTCTATTCAAGGTAATGTCACAATTACCAAAGATTTTATGACAAATTGTTCTAAATGTTTTTTTTCTTTTCCTTCATTGTATTTGGAATATTTTTCTCCCTTCATCAGTTCACGTCGACCTCCCTCAGAAGGATATGAAACATTTTTTCATTTTTCATACGTCGATGGTGATTTGTCAGTCGTTCTTGACGACAACGATCTGGCAAGGTCAATATTTTCAGCTTGAAGTTTTTACGAACATTATAAATTGTGTCAACAGGTGTTCTTTCATGTTGTAGATTCCCAAGTCATTATTTTTACACAAGCTCGTTCCGTGAACAGTGGAGGATCATAAAGATCGGCGAATATCCATTGGGATATGGTTAGTTGAGAATAACTCACTACAAGCTCAGATTTTACTTGGAAAAAAACTTTTATGCGCACTTTCTGCACGCGAAATTACGATACAGAACTCTATAATAATGGCAATTTTGGCGAAAATGTTAGTCTTTTTTTATTTCATACTTTGCAGAAAATTTAGAGTTAGTTCTGAATTTAGGGTTAGGTTAGGTTTACGGTTGATTTAGGTTGGGGATTGATTTAGGATGGAGATTGATTTAGGTTTAGGGTTGAAAGAAGGTAAGAGTAGATCAGCGCGACAATGAAAAAAATACTCTGCAATATACAGAAAATTTATAGTTAACGATGAAAACATTCACTTTAGATGAATGTGGTATTGTGGCGCAAATCGCCGAACCTTTGGTTGAAGCAAAAATAACGACATTTTACATCAGTTCATGTCATCTTGGAAATACGCTGGTACGTAATTATATGCTAAAGTCGCTCTTCCTAATTTTTTACCCTATATATAAAGATGGTGGTTTTAATATGTATAGATACCAGAAGAGGATATTGATAAGGCTTTGGATATTTTGAATGAACGAAGAACTCGGCATAATCACATCGAAAGTGCTTAAAATGAACTTTATCCTTAGCTGGGCCTGAGGCGTACAGTTTTAATGACTTGTCAATATCTGTCCTGATGCGCATGCGTGGTTATGTTGAGGAAATGTGTATTGGTGTATTATGGGTATTGAGGTTTCAACGATTGTCGGTTGACGGGAGGGGTTAAATATGTAGGTATGATTAAGTGTGAAGGTTGTCATATATTTATGTTATTTATTAAGGCGATATTAATAAAATATATTTTTAATTATATTTTTCATTTAACTAGTGTATGTGTGTGTGTTTGTGCATTATCATACATATCACGTCTTGCAGTTGATATACATTTCATTTATTGTGTTGAAGATAAGAATTTCATTTCAAATGTCAGTAACCATGGTAATTATGATGAGTCATTTCCCCCATCAGCATGGGAGAATTAAAAATATAGAGTTTTGTTTTGGGTTTTTAACGTTGCATTTAACATTAAAAGCGCCTTTTTTGGTCGGGAGGGGGGGGGGCACACATTTGTTTTACACATTTAAAAAATAAATTTATGTTGTGTAAAAGCATGTTAAACGAAGACTATTCATACAAAAATACACATTGCGCAGTTTAAAAATATTGACCCAATACACAAACAATTTATTGTGCGTCTATTTTCGGAATATTTTTTCGTTTTATTTTTGTTGAAACTCTCAGCTGGCCAACGTAAGTAACATGTGGCAGGCTTGTCACACAACTAATTTATCATGTCTAATAATCAATGCAGATTAATTCATTTTTCTTCTTTCAGCCGCTTTTCATCAAACTGTATGTATTATTTGCTCATGTATAAAGACGTGTTATTGTTTTGGCAAATAAAACATGATGATGAAATCTTGGTTATTCTTCCCGTTTTTCATGGTTTAAAATATTTCTCCATTACGGTCCATACCAAGCTTCTATCATTTTTTATGAAAGAATATTGCACGATACAACAATATGGAATTTGTAATGTTTTAATTGCTATTTGAACGTCTAGCCCAAGTTGTTGTACGACAAACACGAATGCGAAGAGCGAGTTTTGGAGGAGCGAGGTTGACTTTTTTAATGAAAAATTGTTTAATTTGAAAGTAAGCGTGTTGACGAGATTTAATTTAACAACTGCTGTTGTTGACGTACACGAAGAGAATTAATGATTATTTTTTTTATAGGAAAATAAAATATATGTTTTTTGCAGTTGATTTGTATTTCTTCCCGTAATTTTGAAAAATGTTCAAAAATATCCGATCTTTTTTGAATTAGTTTTGTTGTAACTTTTTATTTCAAACGATTCATTCCAATTTTCGCTAGGAGATGAAAATGCATAACTAACATTATTGGAAAAAAAATTTAATTACTCAATGACGTTGAATGTCACTTGATCTTGAAATATAGCTTGATGAATTTGAATGTCACCTGTTTCCAATAGTAGATTAAATCGTTTTTACCGTTTGCATTTCTGAGTGTGCTTAAATTAAAACGTAACACGGAAAGCTTTGACGAACCAGATACTATAGTAGAAAAACTTTCTGCAAAAAAACTTAAGGATTTTTTTAAAGTAGTTTTATAAAAAAAGGACGTTCCACTCACTTTATTACGCATACGAAAACTAATGTAAAACTGTGCATGACATTTGTTTTCATACTTAAAAAGACAGCTAACGGCAACTATATATAACATGACTATAACATTTCATTATTTGAATTTACGTTGTACTTTTACTGACTAAAATCTTCAACAACTTAGTTCACAAATCAAATACACTCTTATCAGTTAAACATATGAAAATTCTTATTTCACGTAGTTCTTCTGGTAGTGACAAACTCTTGATATTATGTTGTGCTGCGTGGATGAGCAACATGCAGAAGTGCTATTAATTATATTTTTTTATTTTGGTGAATATACTGAATTTTCAAAAGTTTTTCGTGGTTTTGCCCCCAGTCCCAAAAATAATCAAAATGTTCCTACGGCCACGAGTAAATAAATTCGTGCGTTCAAATGCGATTAAAGAATATGTGCGTAGGATTGTATGTATATGTGATGTTTTTTTTATGTGCAGTATTTTGGCTATTTTAAAATTTATTTGAAATTTGATTTTTAAATTTTTAATTTATGAGAAATAGTTTCTGTGCAGTCATTCTGAATAGTATCGTGTTACTAATTTAAGAGTACCGAAGACGCACGAACATCGATTTTTCTGTAACTCTCGACAACGACGTGTGATGTAACACCTACATAATGATTTCTAAGCACTATAATGTTTAGAAAGCTCTATTGGCTTACTTGTTCCATTCAGCTCAGAATGTAAACATTTTGGGGCCTATTGCACGAAAGGCAAAAATATCTACTGGATAGAAATTTTCTTTGAAGGATGCATTTATCCCTCACTGGCAAATGGACAAGTTATCGTGCTTACAATGAAATCACAAAAGATGAGTTTTTTTTATTTTAGTATTCTGTGCTTTTGGCATCAATAACTTCGAGTCCTCATTCAAACAGGCTCTTTATTTAATTAACTAAAGTGAGTTAAAATCAAGATACGCCTGCAGCCCTGCACCCTTATGAATTCATTACGTATATAAGTCATATATCTTAAGTGTTGAAATTCTCTCTGTAATTAACAGCTGTCTTCGAGTTCGCGCTGTACAAATTGCTTAGCATGGCTTTCACACTGTCTGTTTTCCTTATATTGTTCTCTCTACATCTCGGTAAGTTTTAATTTACTTGTGTTTTAAGTTTTGTATTTATGTTTTTGTTTCTCTAAATCTTGGTTGCTTTACGAAAAAATTTCGGTTGACTCTTTTGTATGACAAACTTCAAAATGCTGTCAGAATTTTATCGTAGAAGAGAGCATTTTAACACTGGCAAAACCATTTGCCGTTGGTAAAAAGTCTTGCTACATCCACACAACAAGTTTTACTTTTTACACTAAACGATGCCATCTTTTAACGTGAAAACATGCTATGTACACGTAAATTTTGAAGTACCTATAAACAAACGTGAAGTATTTTCATTTGAACGAGGTTTGTGAAGTATCAAACAGCTTTTGGCTACATTCGGTCCATGGATATATATATACTTATATTAGGTTTTTGTGTTGAAAAGAGGTTTGAGCGTAGCCTTGAGAGATAAGATCGAATTTACCTAGCGGGTTTATCATTACACATTTGATATTTAACAATCCCTTCGTTATTGACTTGTAAACAAAATAAAAATTGTTTCAACTGCCGCAAAATCATTTGTGCTTTTCGAATAAAAATACAACACAAGTTTCTTTAATTTTTCAAAGCACATCAGGGTTTTGACGCCAATTTTAGTAAGCTGTTCAACTGTATTGACCTCTTATGAATATAATTCCCTCGGAAATTAAATTTTCAAGCAGTTTCTAGAATAGTTTGTCAGTTCGTAAGTTTGTTCATTTTTAGCATTTCTAAACATATTTTTAAAAGCAATTGTGAATTTGTTATCTTTAACGTATAATACTGCTTTACTTCATGAAAATTGGAAATGTTAGCTACTAAGCTACTTTGTATGAAGTTCATGCATGAAACAGTATGCAGCTGCATGCTTATTTTTTGAATTTTCTTTTATCTTAGTTATAAAATCAGTAAAATTGCTTTTGCTCGCACAATATGGGTGTGAGTTTCTTTGTTGAAATGTTTCAGGTCTATCTTACTCGCCAAATCATGCGAAGAATAATCCACAAAGAAAGCTGTTGTCTTACTTGTTCGGCAAATACTCGAACAAAGGGGAAAAGTTTTTGCCTGTGAAAAACTATAGTGACGCGGTTACTGTTCATTTCGATATCACTTTAATTAAAATAAAAGAAGTGGTATGTATACTGTTAAGAAATTGACATTTTTAGTGTTAGGAGTTGACATCTTTCTGGTTTGCGTGCATACATGATGCAGCTGTTAACCAAATTTACTTTACCGAAAATGATTTTTCCCGTAAAAATTTCATGTTTCCTAATAGAGGGCTTGTGTTTTTTTATATATATTCATTTGTTGTGTTGCTGCGTTAGCCCTATATTTGGCTAACATGGCTCAATATTTACACGAGAAAATATTTCCCAAACAACGTCTCGCAAACTGAATTTCAAATAAAATTCATGAAATTACTCCGAAATGTTCGCATTATTCTGTAACACATGTCACAACTCTTGCATATGGTGTTCATCGTAAAATTAATTTCCTGTTTTCGTTTGCTCATAAAGAACGCCAAAGAACAGACGATACAAGTTCATGTGTGGATCCGTCAGGTAAGTCTTTGATTTGTATGAGCTCTTTTGGATAAAACTCTCCCCAAAAATAAAAAACTTTTAGCGCAGATATTTTTGAATTTGCTCTACCAAGCGAATATAGAGTTTTCCTCATTTCATCAGCAGGACAATTGTGAAGTTTTTTAGATATATTAAACACTTGAGTAAAAGTGGAGTTTTTGCATGTGAAATGAAAGCATCGCTTTTAGAAGAACACGTCAAACGTCCGATATTCTATAAATCATCATGATAAGTGTTGACCAACATATATGGTCCCCAGTTCGGTGCCGGCAATTTACGATAAATATGGCTGTTCTCTCGATACAAGATTTTGCTTTTTTTTTATTTAAAAGAAGTGGACAAATCCTTTTTTGAATTGGGAGAACCAGACGGAGTTCAAGGAAATATCTTCTATCAATGTTAAGCCGAGCAGCGTTTGGACTCCGGACATCATCTTGTATTACAAGTATGAATGAACTGTTTAAATTATAAATATTGAAAAAAGTAAAATAAACGATATTGTGAATCCCATACACTGTGTTTTGCTCTATCCAAAAAGATATTGAGCACTCTGTTAGATTGTGTACTTTTTATTTAATTTTATAAATATTTATTTTCATATATGTATTTGGGTATAAATGAACAACAGAGAACAGCTGTTATGACCAATATAAGTATAAAATAATATGTGTCAATGTATATGTAGTGATGCAAATGACCAACAGAAAATGATAACTGTTTTACTGATGTGTCAGTATAGGTAGTGCTAGAATGATGAATGAACAACAGAGAACATACAATTTGATAAATCATATGCATAAAAAAAGATGAACAGCAAATATATTTTTTAACTTTCTTGTAATATCGGCCGATATATATTTCGGGTCATTTTCTTTTTTTTCATAATTATATGCATTTCTATGAAACCTACAAGATTTATCGTAATTTTTAGTGTAGATGAACAAGATCGTACTGGCGGTGGTGAAGAGACTTACAAGACTTTGGTGAAGCTTTACAAAAATGGAACATGTTTGTGGTCAAGTCCTGCTCTTTTCAAAGCAATTTGCACTATAGACGTGTCGTACTTTCCCCTTGATAAGCAAAGATGTATTCTCAAGTTCGGTTCTTGGACATACGATAGCAAAAAGCTCAAACTAATGACAACAAGTAACGGGACTCGTCCCACAAATGATTACATCAAGAATGGTGAATGGGAAATCTATAGAGTGATGAGAGAAAACTGTACTTTAAAGCGCGAAAACGACACTTGGATGGTAGTTCAAATGACGATCGAAATGAAGCGTCAGAATTTGGATTACTTCATCAATCTGGTGATACCTTGTTTAATGATCTCTTGCATGACATTTCTTGGTGAGATAATTATAAGTAAAAAAAATTGTATTTCAGCATCACTTTGTCAAAGTTTTCTTTTGCAGGCTTCATCCTACCTCCAGAATCTGGCGAGCGTATCGGTCTTAGCATCACAGTGTTGTTGGCGATGACGGTATTTCAACAACTGACCTCAGAAATCATGCCTTCATATGGCTTTCCGTTACTGGGGCAGTACTATTTTGCAACAATATTGGAAATTGGAGCTGCACTTCTTGCAACGACGATAATTCTCAACTTTTATCATCGCACTAATCGTAAAATGCCTCGTTGGATGCGTGTCGTTCTGCTACAGTGGATGTCTAGGGTCGTGTTTCTTCGTGAGTCTGCTCAAAAGTGCATCAAAGTTGACAGAAAAACAATCAATCGTGGAATTCGTGAAAACGTTGATGCGATCATTAATAACGGATACGTTTTAGGTGAATATCAACGTGGCCCTACTTCTGCAGGCACAACTCGTAACCAGTATCATGAAACAGGATGCGAAATTGACGAGAGTCGCGCAAAACCTACAACTGATCACAATGTTCTCAAAGTCACTCTTGGCTCAATTGGAAGCGAACTGGCGTCACAAAATGTTCAAAACGACAAAGCGTATTTCACCGACGAGACTGGGGAGACTGTAAGCGAAGATGTGATGCGAATACGTCACCAGCAATGGACGTTGGCCGCTAAAATACTGGATCGTCTTTTTCTGTGGAGCTCAATCTTCATCGGTGGTGCAACGATGCTTGGAATTTTTTTAAGAACGCAAAGAAATTGGGATGGCAGTGGTAGACGCTCGTTCTGTGAGGTTTTTTGATGCAGCCTTAGTATCATTCAAAACTAACACCGACAAAACTATCACAGATAACTACACGATCCCATTTAGTCTTCAACGTCCACCTTACAATAATCAAATGATTTCTACTTCTAGAATGTATTGCGTAAGGTTATATTTATTATTTATGGTTACAGAAAGCTAGAAACTATGAAAATATTGTGGCGATTGCACATAAGTATCCCTAAAAATAGTTATTTTGATTTAATTATTCGCATTTAATGTTGACGACGAGTTTTTTGAGAAATGTTTCGGCATCTCATGATGCCATGATTCACTAATGAGAGGAAGAGTTGAACGCATGTTTGAGAAGATTTCCTTTGAAAGACTGATCATTCATTGGCAAGAATATATGAAATATTTATCATTTGCTTGTAAATTATTCAAATTCATCAGTAGAATCAGAGAAGCCCGATAGGAAACAAATTATATATTGTTGAATTAATACATGACTTTACAATTATCTTGTGTCATATTATAAAGACTTTTATGTCTTGAGAAAAATGGTTTCAAGACCATATAGGTGTCATCTCGGCATTAATTTACGATATTTTAAGTTTTTGAGGCAAGGCAAGCTTTTTGAAATTGAAAATGCAGAATTACATAATTTCATTATTGCAGAACGGCAATTCTTTCTCCTACCAAAAGTATCAGAAATGCCTCGGTTACTAGTTTTATCTTTACATTTTTGTAAGGGACAAGAGAAACTTTACACTCTTTTGGTCTGATTTCTACTTTCTCATGCTTCAATCGTACATACATGCAATGAAAAATAAAACTCTTTTAAATAAAAGTATTTCATAAATGATGGTATTGATTTACAATTTTGCATGTATGTGTATGTGTCAAATAATGTACTGGTCTGCTATTTTGCTATTGAAGCATTATGCCTGAACTATAATATTACAGTTTATATTACAGTTCACTGTATTGAAATAAACATCGAGTAATTAATGGGTACTGCTTAATTTTGGTTAAGAAATATATTATAGTTTTACCAAATTCTTCCAAGTTCAGTTTTGTAAAAGGCGCAATAAAGTTTAATTGGTCTTCAAGCAACAAATTTTTATGTCAGCTCCTGGCACTTTGCAAAACTACCATTCAGAAATGTCTTATTTTGGTCATGTAAGTCCGCAAAATGAATTAGCACCTTCTGCGCCTTCAATCAGCCAATCAATAAATAGGCAAAATGAATAAGCAAATTATTTGTGACGTCACTGCAGTAGATCCCCCCTGAAACACAGAGTGAAAAATTGAATAAACATCTATTTCCTCTTCCACCATCGAAGCGTTTCTTTTTCTCGAAGATTTGAGCAAGCGTTGAGAAGGAGCAACTACTGTAAATTGCAAGTCACTAAGTGAGTTTTAAGAAATGCCTAACTTTGTTCGTTCGTCTAAATTTCGACATGTGTTCGGCACTGGGTCAAAGAAGGATCATTCCTACGAAGGTATGCGAGTGACCAGAAATTCATGGGAAGCGCCGTATTGTGCTGTAAATCCAAAATTTATCGCCATCGTCTTGGAGTCGGCAGGCGGTGGAAGTTTTCTTGTTCTGCCTTTGGAAAAGGTATTACTAAATCTCAGCTTAATTGAAATATTTGTGTAGTGGTGTTTCGTGTGTGTTTGTTCGCGTTTAGCCAGTTATGTGCATCAATGTTGCTTCACTGGGCGTTCACACATGTGTTTTTTCTTTCTCTTTCTGTTACTACAGTCGTTTGTTGAAAATTTATAGTCGTTGGTGCTCCAAAATATTTCTGAAATGCCTGTTGTAAGGGTGTGCAACTTCTTTATTTTACGCCAGATGTGTCTGTAATTTATATGTACATAAATCGTTGATTGTTCGCCTTGTCATTCTTGGTCTGGGGATTATGACCTTTTAAATTAATTTAAAAACTTACTGTGTAAAGGGGCAAGTTTATTTTTGCAATAGAAATTTCATGTTCCCGGTAAGTCATCAATTTACAGGCAAATAAAAGTTAGGGGGGCATACATTGAAATTGTTGAACTTTTTGCACAAATTTGCCCTCATATTTGACATATTTAAAGTTGCATAACTATCTCTTATTTGTGTTAAAGTTAGGGTAAGAAAGCAGCTTCCCCACTGCTCAAGAACAAATGTGTTGAGCTTATTTTTCCAATTGTTTTTTTTTGTGTAAAATTGCATATTGTCTTTTTAAATGAAAACAACTTTCCATGTCAAAACTATTTTTATGCCTTGTATTTTGTGTTGCAACATTTCTCCATCCGCAATGACACATCTCTAGGTTGGCCGAGTGGACCTTAATGCTCCCAAAGTTGCTGGGCACAAGCAAGATGTTTTGGATATAGCCTGGAGCCCATTTAATGATAATCTAATTGCCTCATCTTCTGAAGATACAACAGTTAAAATCTGGCAGATTCCTGATGGTGGACTTTTGGACAACATCACCGAGCCATTGTTAACACTTGAAGGTGTTCACCAGCGACGGTTGGGCTACTGGCTTGGAACCCAGTAGCTGAGAATATCTTGCTTAGTGCTAGTCATGATAATGTTATGGCCGTGTGGAATTTGGAGACAGGAGAAGCTATTAATGTTATTGATTGTCATCCAGATTTAATTTACAGCATATCGTGGAATCATACTGGTAGTCTTGTTGCCACAACATGCAAAGACAAAAAATTACGTATAATTGACCCACGTAGTGGTGATGTCAAACAGGTATTTTTCACTTGGAGATGTATAGCTATCGAATGAATTTCATTGGATTGTGTTTTTTAATTTATTGAAGTATGTATTTTGATTTTTGTTTATTTACGTTTTAGGAGGGTAAATGTCATGAAGGTGCAAAACCCCAAAGAGTAGTGTTTTGTAGTAACTTGGGTTTTCTTTTCACTACTGGATTTACAAGAATGAGCAAAAGGGAATGGGCTGTTTGGGATCAGGTATGAAATTATTCTCCCAGACATTACATTGGCACATTAGAAGTGTCAACTTTATGGGCATTTTATGGTTTCATATTTAGATTTCATTCTATAGCCTTAATATCAGATTGAAAAAATTTAACCTTACATGGAGTTGCTTCCAATCTTGGCTCATGAAAGTTTGAGTTTGAATCTTGTCGAAGCCACATCTTTTTCTTGTGGATACAACTATATTTATATTTAATTATTATCATAATTTATTCATGGTTATATATTTATATTGTTGTTATTGTATCATATTACCTTTATAAACTTTCTATCATACATGTAATTATTCACTGATACCGAAGATGGCATCATGAGATGTCAAAACTTGTCTATTTTCAAAAAACTTGTTGTTTACATTAAGTGCTCGTTAATAATAGTGCGTCTACGCAATCATGAAAACATATCAGAAAAGCTTTTTTTCATGTCTTGGTATGTGGATTTCAATGCCAGCTTCAAATTACAAATCACACCAGCTTGGATAATGAATTTTTGATCTCAGTAGAGCTTGATTTTACAGGAAATCTGTAGTTTTGGAACTCCCTAGCGGAAGCATCTCTCTTCAAAATTCCTTTTATTAATTCATAATTTCTAATTAGCAGCAATTTTAAAAAACACTTGAGAAAAACGACGATTTTTTTGAGAGCAAACATGTTTCGATATTATCAGAATGCCATCTTCAGTGCAGAGTGGTTAGTGTTAAGTAATATGATACGTAATATGATATGAATAAATTAATTACAATGAATAAGATTATGATTCAGTTACTAAATATAAAATATTTAAAGACCCACTTCCCGAACTTTCCAAATCTATGGTAGTTTATCAATTTTCATGTGCGGGATGTAATTTCCGCTATATTGGTGAAACTTCTCGCCAATTATCTACCAGGATAAAGGAACATACTCACACAGACAAAAACTCCACTATCTACAAACATCTTCAAGCCTCTCCTTCATGTAAAAACAAATTCTCACCTTCCAGTTTTAAAATCATCGACACTGATCAATCCACTTTCTCACTCAAAATCAAGGAAGCTCTACACATTAATAAAACTAATCCCGATTTAAATATTCAAGTTCACCACTACAACACTATATTTACTTTATAATAATATTTTTTGTTATAAGTTCTTAATACTTATTTTTCTTTTCCTTTTTTGTAAATATTTTATATTTAGTAACTGAATCATAATCCTATTCATTGTAATTAATTTATTCATATCATATTACGTATCATATTACTTAACACTAACCACTCTGCACTGAAGTTGGCATTCTGATAATGTCGAAACATGTTTGCTCTCAAAAAAATCGTCGTTTTTCTCAAGTGTTTTTTTTTTTTTTATTAATTCATTGAACATTCTCACACATCAGTTTTTTCCTTTGACAGAAAAATTTGGAGAAACCTTTGGAGTTGAATGAGCTTGACAACAGTAATGGTGTAAACTTTCCATATTATGATCCAGATACGAAGATGGTATATCTTGTTGGAAAGGTATTAAAATTATCTTCTATCATAACATCGTAACACCACATCATTTGTTATAATCAACATTCTCATAGAAACAAGATCATTTTAAGGTTAACTGTTGATAATTAATTTGCTAAAATAAAATAGTTATGGTCGTAACCAGTTAATTTTCCACTTGATGAAACACAATCATTTAAACTCAGGGTGACAGCGTCATTCGATACTATGAGTTGGTACAAGATGCACCCTATTGCCACTACCTCAGCACATATCAAAGCTCTGACCCTCAAAAGGGGTGTGCTTTTATGCCAAAACGAGGCTGTAATGTAAACCATAATGAAGTTGTTCGAGTATTCAAACTTCATAGTACGAAAGCGATCTGTGAGCCAATCAGCTTCACCGTTCCACGAAAGGTATGTTGTGTTTGTGCACATGATTTTTACAAGGCACTGCTTCAGTAACAGACGTTAAAATCTCTACACTCACTTACTGTCAGATTTACGTGGCTAAAATATTAGTATGTGATTACTTGCTCGTGTTATGTTTCTTTGATTGTTTATTGAATATTTAGATATTTTCCATTATGTTTAAAAGTTATCTTGTCGTATTCACCATCATCAATTCTTCAACATTTACACTAGTCGGAGCTGTTTCAAGATGATATTTTTCCTGATACTGCCTCTGATGAGCCAGCGTTAACGTCTGACGAGTGGATTGCTGGAAAAAATAGCGAACCGAAAACAATTTCATTGAAGGAAGGTTTTAAACCAAAGGAGAAAAGTTCTTCGTCAATTGGAAAGAAAAATGTCCTAGCTGGCTTGAGTTCGTCAAGAGTTTCCAAATCTGATAGCAGTACTGATGTAGGTGTTTAGGTTTATGTGTTTTTTATGCTTAAAGTACATTACAACTTTTTGGAGGAATACGAAAAAATTTATGTCTGGAATTGGTAAAGATTCTTAAAAATTATTTATAATATTCAAGAATTACAAGTCAGTATAGGAAGTGATAATCTGTACAATACACTAGCTATATAAGAAATAAGATAACATTTGTCTGTTTTGGCTGTGGGAAATGAACAATAGACAATGAGAACAGTCTTTGAAATGTACAAACTGTACAAGAAATAAGATAGCTTGTGCCAGTGTGGGTAGCGATTAATGAACAACGGAGAACGAGAACAGTCTTTACACTACGCAAACTATATCAGAAATAAGATAACATGTGTCAGTGCTGTTAGGGTTGAATGAACAACAGTCAATGAAAACAATATGTACATCACATAGATCTGTCCTAGTAGCATATTTTAAAGTAAATGAAAGAATGTGCATTGAAACAATTATTTGTTTGCAGAACGCTGACGTAAAAAGCCTGGTTGCTGAAGTTGCCTCGTTGAAGAAACGCGTTGCAGAAAATGAAAAAGAAATTGCTCAATTGAAATCAGACGTAAAAGAGCTCAAAGGGCGATAATTTACCATCGTCACGCTGATGTTACATGGCCATTTTAAATTGAAATTCAAGTAAATACAAACAACATGAGGACAGTTTTTGATAAATATCGAACGTAAACTGAGTAACGCTTGTCAGAAAACTGAGTCAAAGTGATGTTAATTAATTATGTAAAATTTCTGAAATAAATAACTGTTTTCGTAGAATTGTTATAAAAACACTTTGTCGACCATTTTAATATCAGTTCTTCAATAATATTTTGATGAATACTCCTATAATTAACCGATATAAATAATTTTATTGCGATAAAATTGTTCTTATTATATCTCGTATAAGATTTGGCTGCTTAGGAATGGTGTGACTATCTATTTTAATTGCTTAACTAAACTTTGCAATTTGAATTTTAATGGAGCATGGACAATGGGCATATATTTTAATTGTTGGGGGACAAAAGAATATTTCCTGTGGCTTCCCCCCTCACCAATCCTTGTATCCCTTATTGAGTTGTGCGCGTGCGCAGAGTTGTTGTCATCCGCCATTTTCTTCGAAAGAAGAGGTTAGAAGAGATTCTACTGTATACGATACTAAAACTGCAAATAAATGTGACATATTCTGAACAAACATTCTTCATTTAATTCGCATATTGTATATGGGGTAATTCAGTTCAAGGATTGAAATAAATTCCTCTTGGATGGTTTGTTCTTGGTATGTTTTTTTTCAATTTATTATGACGCTTGTAAGCAGTCGAGTAATGGGTAAAATCCATCATGGCGGCTCTGATGTGGTTTGGCTACTTTTTAGTTCCCTGTTTGTTTCTCATTGCTAGTTTTTTTGTTTTAAGTTTAGAGATAGCTGAATCACTTTGGCAGCTTGTCGAAATGCAGTGTTAAAACGTTGTGGTTTCGTGAATCATGTTAGAATCACTTGATATGTCTTTGGGAGAAAGTATAAAATTATATTCAAGATATCGTACTCCATATTTCTCAACGTATGTGAAACAAGAAAAAGTATCTATTCAACTGGGAAGCAACTTTTTTTAATTATCTTCTCTTGAAAAGCCATCATTGCAGATGGCACATCAGTCAGGTATGGGACGTGGTGTCACCTCGCCAGGTGCAACCATCTATAGTCTGGGTGATCAACACATTCAACCACACATGCAGTCACCTCTTCCTCCAACCAGCCCAATCTTCACAGGTCCAGTTTCAATGGCTGGACCAGTCACTCCTTCTTGTACAACACCACCATTGGGCTCTACTAACATCCCTCGTTTTCCTTTGCCATCTTCTTCTCATTCCATTTATCCCACAGATCAACACCTTGTGTCTCCTGTGAGAAATGTGATGGACCCTGGTATGCCATTACACTACCAATATCCACCATATTACAGCAGACGACCCAGATATTCTGATGAGTCCCCATTGTCCTCATCACCTGGAAGTACACATCATGTCCCTGGCTACCCTACAGGTGTACAAACATCATCAAACATTTCATCTTTTCCAAATAAAAATATCCCAAAACGAACAGCACCTGTCAAAAGTGGCATAAGAAGAAATCCAGGCCTTCAAATTGACTTCTCTCCTCAAAAGCAAGGGGAAAAGTGTCATGAGGAGGGTTATCCTCCCCTCAACACCCAATATGGACAAAAAATGCTAAGGTCCCCAGGTTATACCAATATATCTCCTTCCATCCCTGCAAATGTAAGTGAAGAAATAAAGCAATTACGAGTAAAAGTTGTTGAATACTTTTATCAAAATATTGAGTTAATTCGAAAGAGATACCAAGACAATTTGAAGGAGCTGTTTTTCTTGCAACATGGAGGAAACCTGATAGATTTTCCTGTATGGTGTCGAAGGCCAAATCCACATTGGTTTAATTATCAAGAAACACATAAACTTGAAGATGATATTGACTTCTATGTTACTTCAAACCCAATGGAAAACATGCAAGTTCAAAACATAGGGCAAGATTACGTAGCAACCCAACAAAATTTCTACCAGAGTAGTTTTGGAAACATGCAGCCAGAAAAGCTGCATGGAAATGCTGGGGCTGTTATCATGGGTACTTCACAACAATCTGGTAGCCTTCGTCTGCCATACATCCACCCTAGAAATTCTATTGAGGGCCATATTGATCTTGCTAGCTCAAAGATCTATATGTCAAAGGATTCAACTTTTGGTACACTGTTACCAACACAACATGCTAAGCATGGTTTAAATTGTGAGCCAGAAAATTTAGCTGCTGCCCGAGCTTTTGCTATCAATCAGTCAAAGGAAGATATTATGGTTGAAGCTAAACGTGAAGCAGATATCCTTAAAAGGGTTGCAGAATTAAGAAAGGAAGGTCTTTGGTCAACCAAGAGGTTGCCAAAGGTGCAAGAATCAAGTCGAAATAAGACACATTGGGATTATGTCTTAGAAGAAATGGCCTGGTTATCTACAGATTTTGCTCAAGAGAGACGGTGGAAGAAAAATGTTGCTAAGAAGGTGATGCCATTAGTGTATGATACATAAATATGGTAAAAAATGTTAATGTTTTTTGTTTATTTTGTAGCTTAGCAAGGCTGTCCTCAGATATTATCAAGAAATCAAGACGAAAGAGATAAAAGCTGAAAAAGAAACCACTGTGAAACTTCAGAAGATAGCCAGCAGTATAGGAAAGGAAGTTAGACAGTTTTGGTTAAATATTGAGAAGGTGGGGATTAGTTGACAAAGATGCCATACTTATTTAAGAATTATGCTCATGTTTTCATAAAACAACAATATATTTTATGTAAGTTATTATACAATGTATATATGCATTTGATTTATTGCACAGCTATATTGTGCTCCTTTTTTCATTGCTGGAAAGAATTATATGAAAACACTCTAGTCACAAATGTTATTTGTACATCCATTGTTTTTTTTTGTATAGAAGATATTCCTTTTTCTCTTTCAGGTTGTCCAATACAAACTTCAAAGTAGAATTGAAGAGAAGCGAAAGAAGGCACTTGATGTCCATTTAAACTTCATTGTTGGTCAAACTGAGAAATATTCCTCCTGGCTTGCTGAGAGTTTGAAAGATACTAAACCATCCAGTAGTGTTGCTAGTTCAGTAACATCATCAACTGCTGATTCATCACCAGTCTCCTCACGACAAGATGATGATACAGGTAGATCTAAATATTGCTGAAACATTTTGGGAAGTAAATTTGGAGATTTTGTTAGTGATCTCAAATTATATATACCAACATATTAGACAAGCTATAACTTGATCGTATTTTATAGATACCATCTTAGTCATAGCAGTACATACATCAAAGATCTTAATCATTGAAAGGCTGCTTTAATCCAAGTCTTTATGTCATTTTGCACTTTGGCATTTAGACATTTCAATCAGCCTAAAGAAAAAAGCTTGTTTGAGATTTATTTAATCATCTAAATTTTTGCAATGAATCTTGTGTTGAGCAACAGTTTTTTGTAATTAAATTCCAATTTCCTCACTGGAGAATTCCTTCAATGTTGGCAATTATCCCAGTGTTAGTTTTTGTGTTAGGTTATTGTCCTTTTTCCTGCTTAACATGTACCTAATCTTAGCTCAACCATCGTGCCTTGCAAATATTTCATTTTAAAATTTGCATTTGCATCATTTAAATTGATTATCTTTGATTAAAAAAATAAATGAAATATTTTGCTCATGAATGATGACTTGTGTTGAAATATATTGTTCATGAATGATGGCTCGTGCTTTATGAATCATGTTATGTAGATGATGAGAGTGAAATTAGTCTTCATGAAGAAAGTGAGGACGATGAAGGGACTATAGATGTTGAAGAATCTTATGACAACAAGGTAAATACATGCTTATTTATTATTTATAGTTATATTATGTTGAAACATGATGCATTTACTATTTTACCCACTTCCTAAGTTAGTAATGTTACGTATATGTTAGTAATTTGTTTCATCAGTTTTTCAAGTTGATATGTATAGTATTTTGTGAAGGCTTAATATAAACATTCCTATACTGACATGAAGCCTGCCACATTCTACCTCAAGACATATGTATCAGGAGGAAAAATCCTGCATTATAACTTACTGTGGTAGCTAATGATTGTTCTTTTGTCATTTGTTGAAGTATTGGGACTAGTTGAATTGCTGAAATAGTTATATTTAGCTCAATGGTGTAGGGATATCATCTTACCCAAATTATAACATTTTCAGGAGCTTATGAGTGCAGAAGACGAAATTTCCGCATTGCAACGTGAAAGTGAGATTCCAATAGATGATCTTTTAGAAAGTTTACCGTTGGAGATGTTTACAGAACATTCAGCACAAAGTAATGTGATAAAAGATGATGATGATGGTGATGTTGTAGATGAAACAAAAATGTAAGTTGAACGACACAATCTGACAGAAAGTTTCAAACTAACTAAAGTAGAACTCTCCTCTGTTGTGGCCATTTTTTAAGTAAATAATGTAATGGATTTTCTTTTAATATTAACAGTATTATCTGATTGTTCTGTTATTGGCTTGCAATGTGAAATTCTCAAGAAATCACGATTTTAAAAATATTTTTGTTTAGTGTTTTTATTTCCATTTTTTGAAGCATTCCAATGTTGATCTGTTTGCATAGTCAGCTAATATTTATTTGCATATTTTGGACATGTTACAGTTTTTGTAATTATTTGTTTTTTTTGCTCTTAAGCTGTGCTATTCCCGAGAAATTGCCATCTACGTCGACTGACGGAAAGGAAGAGGAAGAGATGTGTATAGACCATGAAACAAAGTAAGATATAGTAAAATAGTTCTCCTTCATTAGTCAAACTTTCAAAAGATTAAAATACACATCAATTCTTTTACGATCTTTGAGTACTGGATCTACTCTTCAACGTCAACGTAACTGCCATGATGATTTGCTTTCGGTCCGTGTTTCCGATATATATATATATATATATGACGAGTTGAAAGCTCTGAGCAGTATTACATCTTGCAACCTTAGTGTTTCTTGGAAATACGCATCATTCCTGTATTTTAGCACGGAGATTTATTTAATGTTGCTAACATTTAGCGATGGTGATCATGAATTTGTCCTGAGGGATACCATGGTTGATGTGGATGATGAGGGAACATTGGAGGAAGAGGAAAAACTTGAGGAAAAGGAGGATCACACTGCTGAGATATCATTATTGGAACAAGAAGGTGCATTTTTTTGTTGACAAGTTTGTATGGCGAGAAGTTTGTCTACTTACGATAACATAACGCAAAGGAGGTCATTCTCACATGTAATGCATTAAAAAAAATTTTTGAAAATTGATGAATGTTCTTGCAAAATCTCTATGTTGTTATTTGAGGGCTGTGCGTTATTTCAAACAAATTTGACATCAATGTTCAGAAAATGATGGCTCTCATCGACAAGCAAGTCTTTTTCAAATCGTTTTCACGTGTACGAATTTTGCCTCTTAGGTGAATTATCAATTGAGGAACTTCTACAAAAGTACAATGTTGACGATGAGTATGATGCTGATGAAGTGTTAAGAAGTGACGATGATGAGGAGAGTATTGATGAAGGTCAGTTAAGTGCTTTTGCTAAGTATAAAGTCAATCATTGAACAATTGCTTAGTGTACACATTTGACCAACAATGATACACATTTTTAAGTTGTTGCGAAAGAGAGATACATGAAAAAGCAGGTTTGAAGTTAGGGTTGGTTTAAAATACGAAGACATTGTGTTATTGTAGAGTCCAGTGAAGAAGAAGACGGTACAGAAGCTCTTCTCGTGAGTCACTCAACTCAAGAGGCGACTCCGAAACCAACTACTGTTGTAAGTACAGGTTTACGAGCATATCACAATCGCTGAGTAAAAGCACTATGTTTGTGATCTTTGTTTTTCAATTATCACTGAAATTTGTTCAAATACACAATCTGTAGTCTGATAGTCCAAATCAAGAACTGAATGATGCAGCAGCAACTGCTGAAAGTTTACAGCCAACTGGTTACACGTTGGAGACAACAAAGGTTTGTTTTTCATTTATCATATGCTAAAATGTTTCATGGTTCAAATATACATCTCGAATTCTATCATTTTATTTGGCGATCGACGAGTATTACGTAAACTCAAAAATGAGCAACACCAATCATAATAATGATGGATCATGTAAAAATTGAGTTGTGCTTTCGTGCTAATTATAAATCACTCAATATTTTGATATACGTATATTCAAATGATTAGAAAAAGCGCTTGTGTAGATATTCATGTAAAATACAAGCATCCACAAGTAATTATTATAAATCACTCAATATTGTGATATGCGTATATTCAAATGATTAGAAAAGCGCTTGTGTAGATATTCGTGTAAAACACAAGCATCCACAAATAATTATTATAAATCACTCAATATTGTGATATACGTATATTCAAATGATTAGAAAAAGCGCTTGTGTAGATATTCATGTAAAATACAAGCATCCACAAGTAATTATTATAAATCACTCAATATTGTGATATGCGTATATTCAAATGATTAGAAAAAGCGCTTGTGTAGATATTCGTGTAAAACACAAGCATCCACAAATAATTATTATAAATCACTCAATATTGTGATATACGTATATTCAAATGATTAGAAAAAGCGCTTGTGTAGATATTCATGTATAACACAAGCATCCACAAATAATTATCTACACAAAAACATGAACCTTACCGTTTAAACCGCGCAATTTTGGGAACTTCTTTTGTTTACAAACTGTAGGTGAAAACACCTATACCATTCTTGCTTCGTGGTGGTACCTTACGAGAGTACCAACATATTGGTCTTGATTGGTTAGTCACCATGTATGAGAAATGTCTTAATGGTATTCTTGCTGATGAGATGGGTCTTGGAAAGACGATCATGACAATCGCTGTTCTCGCTCACCTGGCATGTGAACGTGGGAGTTGGGGCCCACATCTTATTGTTGTACCCACAAGTGTTATGTTGAACTGGGAAATGGAGTTCAAGAAATGGTGTCCTGGTTTCAAAATTCTCACTTACTACGGTAACCAGAAGGAACGAAAAATGAAGAGGACGGTATGGAACTTATAATGATATTGTGAAAATTACGTATGTTGAAATTTGTTTTATTCTTTTTTCATGACTTAAATTTATTTTGTAGGGTTGGACAAAACCAAATGCATTTCATGTTTGTATTACATCGTACAAACTTGTCGTACAAGATCATCAGTCATTTCGACGCAAGAAATGGAATTACCTTATCTTGGACGAAGTGTGTTTTATGTATATTTGTTGAACACATTCACCGTTTTAATGATTCTTGAAGATGGACTTTTATTCTTAACTGCACTTATATTTCAGGCGCAAAATATCAAAAATTTCAAATCACAACGCTGGCAATATTTGCTCAATTTTAATACGGAACGTCGACTTTTACTCACTGGCACCCCACTTCAGAATAATCTCATGGAGCTTTGGTCCCTTATGCATTTTCTTATGCCTCATCTGTTCGAGTCTCATAAAGATTTCAAAGATTGGTTCTCAAACCCTTTATCGGGTATGATAGAAGGAAGCAGCGAATATAACGAAAATCTTATCAAACGACTCCATAAAGTAAGCACTTTCATGATTTTCGTAATTTGCGATTTCATGTGTTGAAACTTAAGCTCCTATATGCTCCATTGTAGTATCTTTGTCAGGAATTATATGTTGTTCAAAGTTAAGGCTATCATCAGGAATATTTTTGTGTTGAAACTTATATACTTGTACAATCCGTTTTTACCGTTCTTTTATTAAAACATTAGGTATTAAGGCCTTTTCTCCTTCGTCGTTTGAAGTCAGAAGTCGAGAAACAAATGCCTCAAAAATACGAGCACGTGATTAGATGCAGACTTTCAAAACGTCAACGCGTGCTTTACGATGACTTCATGTCTCGAACAAGGTACACATTTTATAAATGAATGTTTTATATGTACTAGAAAATAAAGTTTTCTCTTGGCTATGAAATGAGGCAAGATTGAAATGATTTTATTCTTTCAAATCTTTAAATGATAGCCAAAGATTAAATTTACTCTTTAAAAACCCGTTTGGAACTTTGACATGTTTCTTGCGGATCCTGTCAAGAGCAACATACAACGAAAAAACAAAGAAATAAAAGGAATAGGGAAACAGTTTTTACTTTACAAGTATATAACTAGCTGATTTGTGTTTTAACATATATCATTGGTGTATTTATCATCAGTGCTTACTTAGTTCTTTTCAACCTGAATAACCTTCTCAAAACATGGAAATGTGTTTCATAGAGAAATGGCCGTCAATTTTAATAAAGTAAATATTTTTAATTGTTGTTTGTAAAGGACAAAAGAAACGCTGGAAAGTGGCCATCTACTTAGCGTCATTAATATATTGATGCAATTAAGAAAGGTGGGTTTTCATACCGCAAATTTTCTTGAATAATTTTATATTCGTCATGAATAGATTTATTGATTATAGAACTCAAGGTTTGAAATAATGTATTTATCCGATTATATGCTCGTGGTGAACCTACAAAGAGGATTCCACCACAATCCAGTATACGTAACTCTTTCATTTTCTTATTATGTAATGTAGGTCTGTAACCATCCTGATTTATTCGAACCTCGTCCCACGATAACTTCTCTCAAAATGACTGGTATCGTTTACACTACGGCTTCTCTAGTTCTCACAGTTATGGAACATGATCCATTACAATCTATCAACTTGTTTACAATGAACTTGCTGCTTACGCAACTCGAGTTTAGTTTAAGCGCATTCGCGAGTCACCGTGTCCGCCTGCTGCAAACACCGTCTGCTCTTATAACGGAAATTGATAATTACACACCGTCTCAAACGCCAATCTTACTCCCAGTGAAAACAAAATTCTCACAACCTCCAAACGGCGAGCATTTTAAAGATGTTAAATCAAATTCATATGAACAATCTGTGTGGAGTGAGATGAACATGTATCCTGATGCACTCTACCCTGGATATGGGGGCAAAACGTATACCCTACCCTCTGAACAAGATTACTACAATGCTCTTGAAGCGGCGAACAACATCACTGGATCATATTCCATGATTGGCGACAGACATGAAGATACTCCTCGAAGTGATATTAAGTGTGAAGGTAGTTTGCCATATGGTAGTGACGAAATGAAGATCTCCAAAATTTTGCATACCAATGAGAGTCGAGTCGTTAATGGTCATGTTGGGACACTAGAGTCTGCTGCTGTTATATTAGACCAGAAGTCTGCTTTGACAGAGAAGGCATCACAGATAGAGTCTAGTGAAGATGTTAATTTTTGTCGTTTATCACCGTTTGTAATGGTATGTGTTATTTATATTGTGTTCTCCCACGTATTTTAGATCACGAAGACGAAAGGTGTGTTATATGCTATTGCCTGCCAAGAGAAGACATTATATGTGATAGCTAGCATGAATTGTCTTTACCCCTTCGTGTTTAGTGCTTTTGTAAAGCAAATATGTGTGACATATGATCAGGGCGTTCACATGCTATGTGTTACCTGGAAAGTGTTTTTGTTAGTGTGCACAATGATGAAAGAACAACAGAAAACGGGAAAAATCTTCTCGCTACATAAATTATTAGAGACATAAGATAACGTGTGTCAGTGTAGATAGTGATAAATGAGCAAGAAAGAACGAAAACCGTCTTTACACTGACTAAAACATGACATAGGTGTCTACTAAAAATGTATTTCTTTCTAGCCTCGTTTAGAAGAGAAGCGTTTCGTTGCTCGGCAACAGAAGCTTCGTTTTCTCAACATTGAACACCAGAAGATGTGCAGCCCAACCAATCTACGGTAAAGATCTCGTGGAATCCGTTACTATTCTTCGAAGTCCACTAGAATTAACTTGGTATAGAACGTCCATTCATAAACCAGCTATTTGTGAAACGCTACAAACCTGTACTAAGTCATCACAGGAACGCGTTGACGAGATGCAAGAAATTATCAAGAGGTGAAACTTACTTCGTTTATCGTAGTTTCTTACGTAGACAGTGTTTCTAGTTAGTTGTTATCGTGTTTTTGTGATTATTTATTATTTTATTGGAGTTATTGTATGATATTGGAATTAATCCGATATTTTGTATTTAATTTATACATCAGGTTTGTGTTCGCTGTTCCAGCCGTACGAACCCAACCCATTCAAATGCATGCATGTCATCCTCCACCGTCACACGTCACTATGCAGCAAAATCTCGAAGAAGGATTGATACATGAAGTATCGCACAAGCTAAACATACTTCATCCAATTGTTAGAGGGCAGCTCTTACAGTTTCCTGAAGTTCGTCTCATACAATACGACTGCGGTATGTCACAACATTATAGACTGTTGAGGATGTTTGAAAAGATTGACACAGTGGTTAAAATTTGGATGTAATTTCAGTCATCATTCCTTTTGTGACTTATTTCACTACTATTTGTGTTTGTCTTGAACTGTTTATTTCTCCTTTTTGGAAGTTAACGTCGTGACCACACAATGATGAGTTGCTTTCGGTCCGTGTTTCTGATATTCTTATGACGACAATTAGAAAGCTCTGAGTGTTTGAGAAACATCTTTACTTGCCATGAATTATCGTTGCTTCTCATGTATTTATTTATTTGTCGTGTAACGTCTTTCCTTTTCATGTACATAGCATATTTACTTTTCATGTAATTTATTTATTTGTCATGTAACATCTTTGCTTTTTTTGTAACTTATTTACTTTTCATGTAACATCTTTGCTTTTTTTGTAACTTATTTACTTGTCATGTAACATCTTTGCTTTTTTTTGTAACTTATTTACTTGTCATGTAACATCTTTCTGTCTCAATTTTTCACTGTAGGAAAGCTTCAAACTTTAGATGTTTTATTACGAAGATTGAGAGCAGAAAAGCACAGGTTAGGAATAGCCGATCTTATTGTCTCCTATTTCTTTTTCCGGTTTTATCGTTACCAGCCTGTCCTTCTTCATTTCAAATATCTTATTATAATATGTTTATCGGCAAAGCTCAAAACAAAAATTAAAATATTGCCTCAACTTATTTGTTTGTGGTTTTGGGCTAATCGTGTTTTTTCTCACCCTTATATAGAGCTCTCATCTTTACTCAAATGACCAAAATGTTGAATGTTTTGGAACGTTTTCTTAACTATCACGGCTATCTTTATCTTCGTCTTGATGGAACAACACGCGTAGAGCAAAGACAGGTAAGCATTCATTTCAAACATTACTTAGACGCAGTGTGATGATTTAGATAAATGGAATCATCAGTGTGATTTTAGTGCTAAGGTAACTTGCAGTATTGTTTGTAAACAAAAAGACAAATTTCGAAGGCAAAAAATCCTGTTTTCGGTCCATGCCTCCCGATACCCTGAGATAGTTTAGCACTAGTGCGTCGAATGCTATATAAGGGAAACAGATAATCCTTGTTTGCCATGAAGCCCATGGATGGTTTTCTCGTGATATACGAGAAACAGTAAGCGAGAGAGTTAAAGATATAAAGCAATAAAAATTTTATAGAACATATTTAAGGTTGTCTTAAATTATAAAGAAGAGTACAGTGTCAGAAGAAGTTAATTGAAACATTGCTGGGTTTATTTTATGAGAACTCTTGTAAATAAAAGATAAAATTCGAAAGCAAAAACCCGTTTTCGGGCCATGCTTCCTGATACCTTCTTAAGCGCAAGGCACTAGAACGCCGCATGTTAACGTTTCGGTAGGAGATTTCGGCCCCTCCACGCTATCCTACTTGGGAGATGCAATAGCAAGCTTCCGCCCATCAGACCCCGAGATCACCTGCGATAGGCTTTACTCGGGGTACGCAGGGAGAGTGCGGTCGCCACCGAAGTGCTCGAGCGCATGCGCAGATGATTTCTCTCTTAAATTGTTACTAATCTTGCTATTTACTTCAAAATTGGTGCTAGTAGATGCAGTTGGTTGTTGCCATGAGCATGAACTTGGGCAGTTGATCAGGTCGACTGCGCATGCTCAAGAAAACTGCGCATGCGCAGATGATTTCTCCTTTAAATTTTTGCTAAGCATGCTATTTACGTCAAAATCTGTGTTAGTAGATGCAGTTGGTTGCTGCCATGAGCATGAACGTGGGCGGTTGGTCAGGTCGACATCGCATGTTCAAGCAAACTGCGCATGCGCAGATGATTTATATGAAAATTTGTGACTGAGCGAGCTATTTATTCCAACATTGGTGCTGTCAGTAAATCCAGAGGAGATTAGCGAAAAATCCTGTGCTGTGACAATTGACATGTCTAACATGACTATCATCATTTTGGGTTGAGTGGATGGCGCTGCATAAGCCATGCGCAGAGCTTTTCACTTATAATTTGTGAGTTATGGTTGATTCAAGTCAAAAAGCATTGTTTTCTTTAAACTTTGCAAGAACCTTGATTCTTTTTGCTAACATTGTTTTCAATGATTTGCAGTTTGTTTGATTTGGGAAAAGATTAAGTTTTCTAATTTGAAAAAATTTATATAGCTACTTTCAAAGACAAACGATATTTATGTAGCAAATGATCGCCACCACAGTGATATACTTTGTACTTAGATACTTTGTACTTTGTACTTGTTTTGAATTCTCTGTTCAAACTATTAATATGTTTGACTGCTCATAATAAACTTAATGTGTTCTTTTGCGCACTTTTATCTAATGCGAATTGAATAGTTACTTTATCAATTTATAACTTAATGCTTAATTGTTAACACAAAGCGTACATCAATTTTCCCGCCAGGTACTTATGGAGCGTTTCAACAACGATCGAAAAATCTTTTGTTTCATCCTTTCCACTCGAAGTGGTGGCGTGGGAGTTAACCTAACGGGGGCAGACACAGTTATATTCTACGACAGTGACTGGAATCCGACCATGGATGCTCAAGCACAAGACCGCTGTCACAGGATTGGTCAAACGCGTGACGTGCATATTTATAGATTGATAAGTGAAAAGACAATAGAGGAAAATATACTTAAGAAAGCTCATCAGAAACGTTTGCTAGGGGAGATCGCTATCGAGGGCGGTAACTTTAACACAACTGTCTTGAGGGAAGTAAGTACTTCATGTAAAATTTGTGATTACTAATAGCACTATCGCGTTGAGTGATTTGAGCATTTAAGGTAGTAAGACCAAATAGGCGGAGTACAAAATAAGGAAGATACAATTGCCCCTGTGAAAATGTATAACTTGTAAGAACCGTTTTTCCATTTCTCTACAGACTACCGTACGAGATCTGTTTTCTATCAACGAAAATGATACAGATTTGCAAGAGATGGGAACAGCTAAAGAGAATAGTTTGACACAACAAACTTCAAACGATCAAGTTTCAAAGAAGAATCCGAAATCACAGAATGCATTTGAGGAGGTTAAGTCTATGAGTTTATGTTTGAGACCGCAAAAAATTATTATTTTTGAGAAATTAAAACGAATTCCATTTTTAAAATGAATGAGAATATTTGCAGACAGAGAATTTAGTTTGAATTATGTAATTTAAAGAAATACGCTCATTCCTTATCCTTTGTTATGTTGTTAAATGTATCCTTAATTTGGTTTTTATCTACTCAGTTTCATTGCTCACTATTGTTTAAATTCTCTAGGCGTTAATGAAGGCTGAAGATGAGCAAGATGTACGAGCAGCTTCATTAGTGAAAGCAGAACAGGATGCTGAACTTGCTGAATTCAATGAAAATATCCCTCTTGACGATGATACAGCCGTAAGTAAATTCCCTTAACTTTATTTGATTTTAATTTAAACATTTGAAGTATCTATGTTTGTGTGGTATTTGAAATAACTAGTCGCTCCTGGCTAATTAATATATATAAGAATAATGCTATTGGTTTCTTTACTAGTAATGTTGCAAGTGGTTGGGCTACTTTATGCTTTAGTTTTATTATTTTGTCTAGTTGGGGCAATGTCTTTCAAAGGTTGAAGAAGAGCTACGTGAACTAGAGAGTCAGGTTTCATGAAATACTTTGTTTATTTTGCCGTGTTTGCTCCATGTTTTCCTTTCTCCCATGTCCCCCTTTCCATGTTTTCCTTTCCTCCTTCCGGATCGACCTCCGAACGGATCCGGATTTCATCCATGATTCCTTTCTTCCAACGGATCATCTCCGGATCGAAGCCCGGACGAATGCCGGATCGATCCATGCTCTGATGCATCCATGATCCATTTCCGGATCCATGATCCGCGGATCTTCCATGTTTTCTCTCATGATGGATCACCTATCCATGCTTGTCCATGTTTTCCTTTCCTTTCCATGCCTTTCATGCTTTCCTGTTTTTTCACTCTTTTTATCTAAACACCACCAAGCAAGGTTTTCTAAATCAGAATTTTCTATGTATACATGGAATGGATTTTTGTCCAAGAAAACATTCTGTGGTCTCAGACACAGACAGTTGGTCGAGCGCTTAAGAAAATTGAATATTCAAATCAAATATTTAGATGTGAAGAAGTAGAAATTTTATTACACATCTCCAAGTAAAATATCTTTTGTAGCTGTCTGGTGTTGAACGCTATGCTGTAAAGTTCGTCGAAGCCACTCAGATCTTTGCAACTAACGAAGAGCTTGAAGTTGACGAGGTAGAAATTTACACAACACTTGCTCCTGTTATTAACCATAAATTTCCATAATTAAGTCATGGTATTGACGTAAAAATGCTATTTTATGATAAAGTATTTTTTTATCGAAAACTGTAAAATCGTTAGCTCATGAAATAAAACAGACAAATAAAAGTATAGCTATTAAAATATCAGAAGAACCTATTTTAAATAATTAAAATATTTCCTTTTTATGAAATCATTTCTTGATAATTTTGATATATGAATCTGGATTTGCCAACTTGAGACATTTTCAATTTGTAGAAAAAACTTGAGTTGTCTAAGAAAGACTGGGAACTACGTCATATCCAGTCCCTAAAGGAGGAGGAAGAGAAGCATTCTAATACTGGGAACTGTGGCGAACAGCTCGAGGTCACATATACAACTGAGGAATCTAAGCAGGTTAAAAAATCTAAGAATAAATCTAACAAAAGTGAAAAAACTTATACCGGAAAGAAACCTTCGGCAAATTCTAGCACGATCTTCTCAAAACCTACCACTTTAAAAGGGCAGGCCAAACTGCCATCGGCATCAACGTCTTCCGATCTCGCTGAGATGAATGTCGAGGGAGGTCCTGCCAGTTCATTTCGATCTGTTCGAAGTACTAGCAAGCGTAGTACTCGTCAAAATGCCCGGTGATCTATATATGTGTGAGAATAACGTGGATTATGAGGCATCCTTGTGGCTAGTGGATTCTCTATATAAACATAGGTCATGGAGAATGGATCTTTGAGGTTGTAGTCATTTATAATTACATGCAGTCAAATTTTTAAGCAAAGCTTTTTCATTTGCTTGAGTCTGAGATTTGAAATAGAAATTCGCGATTAATGTTGATGGTCATGCTGAACATTCTTGGAATGACGCGTTCAGAGCGTTGAATTATGGGATTCATCAAGTTTGCCGTTGGCTGCCATCACTGTCATTTATAGGTGTTGTATATAATTCTGTGAATTCATAAGTTTAACTGCAAAGAAGTTTTCATAAAGAAGAAAATATATTTTTGCAAAGCTACCCGTGTGTGCGTCTTCTTGTCTACATTGTTCTAGCCTGTCTCGATGGATAGTACGACAATCTTTGTGTGATTTGCGTTTGTTTATTGAACTAACTCACAACGATTGTTTTGTAAATTAATTCAAGGCTGTTGGTGTCCAAAATGCGTGAATGGCTTGTTTGGTCTGTGTTAACGACGATTTCATTTTAAAAAACTTGCGATACAAACTTGTACACAGGAAAGTGTTGAATTTGAATTTTTTAAAGTACAATTGTTCATTCCTGTTACGACTTTGTTGGGAATTAAATTTTCTATGATTCCCCCCGTGAAAATTTACTTTACGTTATCTAAATGTTGAGTTACAACAGCATTTTTTACAATTTTAACAAAAAGCTCTCGTTGTTTGGCACCAGCACACCTTGTTGAAATTTTCATTGTCGAGGCCACTCTAGAATAATGACAAGACCTACAAGCCACACTCAGGTGTTTTGGATCCACTAGCCATGAGCGGCATTGCTTTAGTCTTAACGAAATTCTACTTGCGATAAAAATCACCTCATTGGGCAAGGGGGGTGGTGGACAAAAGTCGTTCTGCTTGGGGGTGCGTGTTTATTTTCTTTACGCTAATTTTTCATCTTCCCAAACCATCACATTTAATGCGTGTATACTTGCAACAAACTTTTTCGACAGCTTGATTATCATAAATTCACAGCTGAAATTTTTCTTATTGTCAACGAAAAGGCGTTTGTTTAAACGAGGATAACAAAACTGTGGTCGAAATACCTACGAAATAACACTTTTTTGAAAACGAATCGTCAAGCTATCAACTCTTGTGTTAAATTTTTCGTGATTACTTTTTGATTTTTCGACAATTACGTTCCATGGATCGTCTCTTGGGAGTGATCTACGAAAGTGGACATTGATGGTATGCTTTAGATTGAATGGTACATTTATGTACACGTGTCTTTACCTAAAGGGACATTTTTGTGACACTTCCAAATCCACATGTAGTACATGCATGAATTAATTTAATATATTTATGCCTCATCTTTTCATTTTTGCAACGTATTTTTTAAAGGAGTTTGTCGATGAAGTTACTGGTGAAGAAATGCCTGTAAGATGTATATTGATTTTTTTATCTAAAGGCGTAATTTGTGTTTTTAGTGGAAAGTTTTGTTGAGTTTCGAAACATTTGGGGGTTTATTCTTTGTGAAAGTACACCTTTTTTGTACATCCTGTAGTCGAAGTTATTGATTGTTTTTAGAATGTAAAAAAAAATCTAAGAATTCTAATTTGTGATGGTAAATATTTATGTCCGGGTAGTGTATTATCCAGATCATTCTGAAAGACATTCCTGTTTGTTTGTAAACGATCTTCGCCGTTTTTTACATGTTATTTTGCCTTCTGTTTTAGTTATGGCGACCGCTTACCCCTCCAAGTGAAGGCAAAGACGATATTTATGTTGATCACTCGCAAAATTACATGTACGAGTCGAAACCTCTTCCTGAAGTACTATTGCCTAGAATAACACGTACAAGGTACATATGTGTATTTGTTTTTTTGCTGCTTGATCCTCTTTTTTTATATATGTGTGTTCTTTTAGACGTTATCTTGGGGACTATAAGAAACACGGTCGACGAAGTGCTTTCGCATTTAAACATCCTTATAAGGAGGCAGTAAGGTAGTCACTCCATGTGTTAAAATCGATGTGCGACATAAGACGTCTTAGATCTCATTGTCTAGTAGTTTATGTTTGGAGTGAAGACGTCTCATGTCCCATTGTTAAGTGGTTTATGTTGAACAGAAAACGTCTCATGTCCCCATTGTCTAGTAGTTTATGTTGAACAGAAAACGTCTCATGTCCCCCATTGTTTGGTGGTTTATGTTGAACAGAAAACGTCTCATGTCCCATTGTTAAGTGGCTTATGTTGAACAGAAAACGTCTCATGTCCCCATTGTCTAGTAGTTTATGTTTGGAGTGAAGACGTCTCATGTCCCATTGTTAAGTGGTTTATGTTGAACAGAAAACGTCTCATGTCCCCTATTGTTTGGTGGTTTATGTTGAACAGAAAACGTCTCATGTCCCATTGTTAAGTGGTTTATGTTGAACAGAAAACGTCTCATGTCCCATTGTTAAGTGGTTTATGTTGAACAGAAAACGTCTCATGTCCCATTGTTAAGTGGTTTATGTTGAACAGAAAACGTCTCATGTCCCTCATTGTCTAGTAGTTTATGTTTGGAGTGAAGACGTCTCATGTCCCCCATTGTTTGGTGGTTTATGTTGAACAGAAAACGTCTCATGTCCCATTGTTAAGTGGTTTATGTTGAACAGAAAACGTCTCATGTCCCCCATTGTTTGGTGGTTTATGTTCAACAGAAAACGTCTCATGTCCCATTGTTAAGTGGTTTATGTGGGATGGAAGACATCCCCTATACCATTTCATCAAAGTTAATTACGAATGTCACCGTATATTCCATTCTCCCTAGACGGGGTCTTCGTAAACCTCATTCAATATTCGATCGTCGTGCACTGGAAGCGTTCTTTAAAATCGTCGCAATGCGTTAAGTAATGCAAAGAAGGCGAAGATGAAAATGACTAAACAACCTTCCCAAACTTCACAACAAGCGCAACAACAAGCGCAACAACAGCATTCTGTAAGACAACAAGGCGACTTACAAATGGTAAGGAGTTTTCACCATTGCTTGATTTTCTTTTTTTGTGTTGCCATATCTTTGTCGTCATGTTTGCTTTGTCATTTTCTTTCAAAAATAATTTACTGCATTAAAACATTTTTTAAAGATTGATACAGGTCCCGAATGGTTTGTACACGAAGATTGGGCATTATTGCAGGTAATAGCCATCAAAAATCTTTGTTTAATGTCGTAGGGGGACTGCATAGACGTTATTGAGTTATTTTAAGTCTTGGTATTGAGTTAGGGTTAGGGTTAGGGTTAGGGTTAGGGTTAGGGTATTGAGTTATTTTAAGTCTTGGTATTGAGTTAGGTTAGGGTTAGGGTTAGGTTAGGTATTGAGTTATTTTAAGTCTTGGTATTGAGTTAGGGTTAGGGTTAGGGTTAGGGTTAGGGTATTGAGTTATTTTAAGTCTCGTTAAAGGTATTTAACGGTTTCACACAAATGAGATCGTTGAGAACATCATCCAAGGAAAGCCATGCATATTTGTAAACAGTTCTTGAAACTTTTGCATTCAGGGGTTGTGTTTTTAGCTCTTTAAATCTTGATGTAATAATTGGAAGAATTTTTTGACGAAATACTGGATTGAAATTTTGAAAGTATTTAGTGCAAGAATAAATGACACTTCATCGTAAAAGATTTTTAAAATTTAATCTATTGCTGCTGCTTTAAAACTTGTTGTGCTTCTTCTAATGCAGGCAGTCCATTATCTTCAAGAAATGCCTATTGATCTTACTGTTGTTAATCTTGGTCATACACCAAACTGGCTTTTGGTCAGCGATATAGTTAACACCAGCAGTCGTACATATAGAACTGCGCGACAGGTGAGGTTGTTGAACGGGGGGGTGTAGTACTAGAAAGATGACAAGTTGAACTTCCTTGCACTGAGGTTTATGACAGATGTCCATAAGCGTTTGCTTTCAATCTGTTCTTATGTAAAATTTTTCTACTGTGTATAGTGTCGAGATCGCTATGTCAATGTTGTAATGCCTAGAGAAGACGGAAAAGCTCCGGTAGGAAATATTTCTACGATTAATAACGCCCTTGTTATGTATCCAGTCAGTCACATTGTAGAAAATTTTGCGTTGGTTTTCTGTTCTGTTGACAATTTAAACGGCATCAATCCATGTTGTTGTATCTACTGTTGAATAGAATTAGAGTTAATGATTTTAGTTGATTGAGGAGAGGGAAAAGAAAATGAAGACAAAACTTAAAGCACCATATGCACCCCCGGAATACTCAGCATTCGTTGGAAATCAACCTTTACCCAAAGTATGTATGTTTGGCAGTTGGGGGGGGGGAGGGTGTATCATAGTTCGTAAAACGACACTATAGTATACATTATACTTAGTTTTTGTAACGTGTTAATTTATCATTAGCCAAAAGATGGTCACGGTACAAGATTACACGCTCTGCATGCTCATGACAATGGTCGTTCCAGTACCATTCATCATTCGTCTTTATTTGAACTGGTGAAAAAAACATCCGTCAAACGTAAACCAAATGTGAAACATAGGTCGGTGAAAAATTTTTCCATAGCAATTAAAGCTGTTTCTTTAAAGTTACTTTCATATTTTTGATTCTAGTATAAACACTGAACCTTATCAAAAGCCAGGAAATGGACAGGGGAATTCTGTTACTGGGTATCTTGATTTTTTTCGATTTTATTATTTTCCAGTTGCAAATAGTGAAACCCGTGTTTCCTTATTTTTATGGATATTTTCATTAGCGTTAATGTTGAAGATGTCTACCTTGATCCTGCAAAAATTGCTGCTATGAAAGTAGAAAGGATTCAACGTGAGAAAGCTGAGGCTGTAGTAAGTCACAGGGGTGTAAATTTCTAACAAATAAATCACACCTCGAGCAGAAGTTGTGAAATAAACATGAGAAGATATGCACGACATAAACAACAAATTTCTTCTTCATATAGCGTCAACAACAGCAGCAGCAGCAACAACAACAGCAACAACAACAACAACAACAACACACAAGTAAAGAACACCAGCAACAATTGCAAACACAACCAGTTGTTCATGCTTTGTCTCAGCTTCCTACATCTTCTATTGCGACAAAAATTACTGTAACGGCTCAACAACCTGTACAATTAGCTTCTGCTGGTCAACAGCAGGCTCAAGTGATGCCGACCTACCAAAATCAGAGACTTGCTAACGCACAGTCTCAAATATTAACGTCGACAAGTCAGAAAATTACTACTGCTCGAATGGTATGTCTTTAAATTTCTACTGTTCCTTTCCAATGCGACTCTTCTTACCTAGTTAAGTTTGTGCCAGCCCTAAGGTGTAGTGGCCAATGGTTAAGTATGGTTAAGATTGCGTACGAAGGATGTACATTTCAGGTAGGGTCAGATAACCGCCTTGGTTGGTGATCTTATTGCGGCTTTTCTGTTATTAATGTCTAAGTGTGTTTGAAAACTGCTCTTTATCATACGTTGATCTTCAGTTGCTTTTTTTTGCAGTAAGTTTGTTTATTTTTCTGTTTTTAGGCTGCCACTTTGAGCAGTAAACAAGTTGCAAATTTGCAAGGCGTCGCCTCAATCCCGGGTACGCTGGTCAAGACAGCTGCAGGCTCTAATATTGTTGTTAAAGCACCCGGTAACGTAGTCGGTCCGCTGACCATGAGCAAAAGACTGGCAACGCAAACTGGTAATCCAACAGCGCCGACCCTTACCACTATGGTGAGTAAATTATGTTTATTTTGCATTAGGAAACATATTTCAATTACGACTAGAAATAATCTTATTCTTTGTTTTTTGTCAAGTTCATGACAAATTGTCTTAGTGACTTGTATTATTCAATGTGTGAAATAAAAATGATCTTCTCAAAATCATGATACAACTTGATTGCAACTTTAATGATCAAGTACAAAAATGCATTTTTTATCATTTTAAGTATGACTCGTCTAACTGTTGGTCATTCGTCTATATTTATGCTTGATTCGAAATTTTACAAGTTTTTTAGTCATACCTGCATGAACTGTACTTTGGATGGTAAGATATCATGTTAAAAACAAAAAAATAATTATCAGGAAAACCGTCAGTGTCAACTTTGTAATGATTTTCATTCAGAAAACAGGTGTATCTAGTGAAAATCGTCCTTTGGCCAATAGAGATTCTGCTGTCCAGTTTCTAGCGTCAGCTGCTAACGGCAATATTCGTTTATCAACAACCACTTTATCTCCTTCCAATACACTTGTTGTTTCCCAAACACAGGTACTATAGGAAAGTTGAGATGTGTTGTATATAGCGCTGTTTGAATTGTTAATGTTTAAATTTCTTGTGATGTCCGTTTTTCTTTTCAGACTGGACAAAGACTTCAAGATCCATTACACGCAGGTATATGTGTTGAATACGAAACCAGACTTCAGTAGGAAGATCTTTACCACCAAACTATAGGTTTGGTAGTTAGTTTTACTTGTTTATAAGTCTAGTGTTTCTTTTGTTCAAAAGTATTTCTTCTTCAGGCAAATTCATGGCTCCAAAAACGTTTATGCAAACTGGTACGAAGCAATTAACACAGCAGCAATTCAACCTATTACAGAAACGCCTGGAACAGCACCAGCAACGTTGTCAGCAGCAAGCAGTTGTACAACCTTCACTACCCATCAAACAAGTTGTGCAACAACCAGGTAGTATTCGAAAGATTGCTCCTCCAACCACGCAGAAACTTCTATCAGTAGGAGCGAAGGTTGAGCAACAACGTCTACCGCAGACAATGACTATCACACGACCAATGCAACAAACAGTGCAACAGCCTGCAACACAGGTGCAACAAGCTACGCAACAGCAGCTTCAACAACTGGTGCAACAGCAACACTTAAAACAATTACAGGTTCAACAGAAGCAACAGCAAGATAAAACAACACCAATCCATCTTGTAACAACGCAACAGCAACATCTTCCAGTCACATCACAACAAATTAAACGAGTGCAACTTCCTACTGCACAACAAGTCACTACTGGCTTAGCCCAGACAGGTGTGTGCAACAACAGCATTTGTTGAGAGAAAGTTTTGTTTGAAGATGTCTAAACTTAGTTTTATTTTAGGTTTGGTAACAACGGCAGGTATGGGTGGTGCACCAACTAAACATGTTGTGAAACTTATTCCTGGACAACATACCTATCATCATGCTAGTCTTGTGAAACAACGTTTGCAACAACAAGCAAAACAAGTTGCTCATTCAAGGCAACAACAGCCAGTTCAAACTGGCCTATCACAGTCAAGCACAGAAAGCAATTCAACATCAGCTTCCTCAGTAACGGTATGATTATCTTTGTATTTTAGAAGATGGTGAGGATTTACTTTTCCTTTTGATAGTATCTTGTCACAGTTCGTGATATTTTTAATTTCTGGATAAATTATTCCAGGCTAAATTGTGTTGTAGACCCTCCACTCTATAGTGTCACTCATTAATGAATTTGCCACTTGTTAAGCTTTAACAAACAGTTGAAGTATCATTAACACAATATGAAATGAAATAAGTGTGGGGGGGGGTTCACTCTTCGTGGGACTCTCATCTGAATTTTAACTATTTTCTGATAATTTTCTAATAATGCTCGATTCATTTTGTATTACAGAATGTACAAACACTTTTGCAAACATCGTTAACAACTCATTCAAGTCCACAGATACAACAACAGTCTATGGACAAGCCTTTACAGCCAAAGCTGCCACTAAACAAACCAATTACTGCAAGCATAGCTGGTCAAGCTATAACATCACTACAGGGCGTAGTAAGTACCATGACTGTTTCAAGTACAGTTGTGTCTACCACAACTTCCTCTACACAAGGAATTCAAAGCATTAACACAAACAATCAGCATCAATCGCCATATGCAATGAGATCAAGAAGTCAATCAAAATGAAATGTTCTTAAACTTAATAATATGCATAAACTTTTACTGCATGCACTGTTTTGTTTATTTGCATTTTTACACGATATTCATAATGAAAATAGAATGTTTCTCTGAAGATTGACTATGCACGTGCATTAACTAGCAGTTTAGACTTTATGAAAATTACAAGCTGTAAATTAATAATAGTAAATGAAGACACAATTTTTCCTATCATCAACTCTCCTACAACATGTCTGGCTACTTGCACAGACATTCAAGTGAAACACTTCAGTTTTTCAATGATATATGAATGGTATAATGCTATGGTACAAACATGCTAAACATAGTTTTTTCATTTCTTAAATTATGTAAACTTCAAGTATGAAGGTGTTGTTACTCTCCAGCACCACTCTTGTGCCTACGGACAGGTCCATCTTCATCATCATCAACACCTAGCGTTGTTCCTAATGCCCTTAAAAGTTCTGCATCTGGTTGACTGTTTCCTATTTTTTCATAAAGCAAAACATTTAATGTCTCCTCATAAATTCTTGCTTCAGGAAACTCAACCTTAGTGTGCTTTCGTTCAGTTGCATAGACTATGGAAGTACAACAAATTTCTGCAACTTTCTTTCCATTACCATAAAATGTCCAACAACAGATTTCCCCACTTCCAATGACATTCTTTATGAACAAGATTCGTTCATGAAAACGCAGGGAGAGTTTATCGAAGAGTTCAATGTTTTTAAGTAAGTTATCATCAGAATGACTAAAAAATGAAAATTGTATGAAAAGTTTGTTTATTGAGTTTTCAACAAGACATGCATTTTCTAACACTTGTGCTCAAAAATAAAGCAATCACTAGCCATGAAAAAACTATTTGACGTTGAAAATTATTGCATAACCTAAAATAGTACAAATTTGACATACAAATAGTACATAGCTTTGACATTTCTAATATTTGCACCGCATTACCTCGTATAGGAATATTTGTTGTTTGATCTGTTGTATAAAAACTTCACCACAGGCTAAAAGAAAGCATGTTCAATAAAGATAATTTACTTGAAATAAAGTAATATTGGAGCAACATGAATTCATGCGGGTAGAGAAATTTTATCCAATAAAAATATGTGCAAAATTTCACAACCTTGTCACTTTGGTTGACAAGTATTTTTTCCTGTTTGGCAGATGTAGCCAGTCGAACAATGCAACACTGTAAAAGACTATCTCCTTTCTTTCTTAAGGCTTCTTCACATTGTTTAACAAGTTCTTCAATTAAATAAAATTTTGCTTCTGCTAAAAGTTCCTCTAGCTCTTGACGACTATCTGGTAGACATGATGTACCATCACGTAAAAAGTTCAAAATACATCCAAAGTGTTTTCCAGCACGATCTATCAAGATCCAACCTGAAATGAATGTTGTTGGAAATTAAGATAAAGAAATGTCTATTATTTAGTGGGAAATTTTTATAAATTTGCATACAAATTCTCATTTCAACAGCAAAAAGCAAATATATATACTTCACCATAACATAGGATTGAATCACACATATCACAAGAAACTTAAGGAAAGACAGCTTTAACAGATGTCATCTGACTCTCAAAACATTAGCCACCCAAAATCCAACACCGCCCACACAAATCTTTCTAAATGACATCAATTCTTTGTATTTTTGGTCAATGTCAGACCAAGTCAACGAGTTAAAACGTAGTTGTAACTCCTCTTTCGCAATAGTGGTATGTGTTTATTAAATGTGAATTAAGTCGATATAATATACCTTCTGTGTCCGTTAAAACTTCCATGCGTCCGCTAAACATCGCCCTTAACATATTATCTTGTTTAGTTAAAGTGCCGAGAGTGACATAATGAAGAGATCCTCCAACATTCAATTTTACGTATTTTGTTGGTGCACCTTTAATGACTGTCGCAGTTTGGGTTGTGTCAGAAGACATTTTGTCTTGTGAAAATAATCGTCCAAACTATGAATATGCTTTCATTCTATAACAAACGTAGATCGTCGACTATTCTTCTAAAGTCTGACAAAAAAGAGGGAAAAAATTTGTTTGGATGTTAAGTAACCTTCAAGATAATATAAACGTAAGCACAAGTGTACAACAGAAAAATTTGGTCTCAGAATGAGCTAACAAAATAATACTGACCTTAGCGGGATAGTCATGCTGTTTTACAGCAGTTTTTTTCAAGCGAACTAAGAAAATTCTTTGTTTTGATTGTCAATTTTCTGTGAACAATTGAATTGTGTCTGTTTTATCTTAAGTAAAAGGAATCCAACATTATTTCTATCTAACCATTAGTCTTTATAGTAAATACTGTTATACTTCGTCAACGAAACCATTCACCTAAACATTGCATCATGGACGTGTACATCAATGACGTCATTGAGTAACTTTACACCTGTCTATGCTCGTCCTTGAAAATAAAAGTTTGTAATTTCTATTTATTGCATAATTTTCATTTCTACACGAAAGTGATTGTTGGAACTTTCTATTAAAAACGAAATGAAAAGCAAAGTTGATGGAAACGTGACCTCGGTAACACTGTTATGTAACAAATTAGTAGAGGCATTTAAAAATTTCTATTGTTTCTGTAGTTTGATTCTACTCTTTCTTTGCAATAACTCCCCAAACTTGGAAAACGAGGTAATTTCTATTTATATTGAATGTAATTAATACATCACCTACTAAGAGACTACTACAAGTTGATGATGATCATTTAGATGGTCATTAACCATTGAATAACAAACATTGATTGTAGTAGCCTAGCTTTTTTCCTACAATTTATTGTGAAACCCAACATGGTGAAACCGAACAATGAACCGAACCCTCATTTCCCTTGCCGGGTTGCCCGCATGAAGTAGACAACCCGAATATCTGCGTTTGTCCCCCGTAATTTAAACAAGTTCAAGTCTCTGGTTCAAGTTGAAGTGCACCAAAAAACAAAATGGCACAGTGGAAGTAACATAGTACGAAGACTTCCTAAACGTATTTTATAATGGTATAAGTTACCAAAGTTTGTCGTAAACATATAAAACACAATTTATCAAACTCTATACTGAACAAAAATGGCATCTAGAGCAGTGGGACTTTCTCAGAATCAATCACGTTCGAGACAACTCGATTTTAGCAAAGCAATGAATGATTTTAAAGTGATGTTTCCGACGTTTGATTACGAAGTTATCGAGATGATTTTGCGCGCGAATAATGGCCTTGTCGATGCCACCGTCGACCAACTTTTGGCAATGCAAACGGAAGATAGCCAAACAACAAAAAATAAACATTTAGACCCTGAACTTAACGTTCGATTACCGAGTTATATTGATGAAGGAGCAAAGACTTCTGAGCCGCCTCCTGCCTACACACCACGAGTGGAGGAAGATCCAAATTTTCGATACGACTCAACGTATTTAAAACAACACTTTAGTCCATGTTATCATTCTCCCACGACTGCGACACTAAACGCAAAAAAACCTTCATTTTCTAATGGCGAAAGTTCCCGATATCGTTCACCGATGATCGGTACGTTGCCCAACGACTTTTTACGACTTAATTTTGATTCTCATGAAAACACCAAGCCCGTTAAGCGCGTTACATGCAATAGAGAAGCAATATTCACCAACAATCCATTTTACGACGTTCGAACATTGGAAATGCCAAAAATTCAAGCAGAGAATATACGTCACGCCAAAGTCAAGGTATGTTGTCTTTTTGTGGTCGGGTATCGAAGTCAGACAGTGAAATTGTTCAGCAGATCAAACTTCCTTATGTTTGTGTCCGTTATGTTTGCCTAATTGAAAAAGATTATTTAAAAGTATGTCCCAATGAGAACTTTATTAAAAGATGGTCTAATTATCAATAATTAAACTAGTTGTGGCATTTTTGTAGAAACAATTGCAACTCAATCCAGATCTGTGTCGAGGTCATCGGCAAAAGGAAATGATCCTGAATTCCATGAGATTCCGAAGAACAACGAAGATGATGGAAGTGGTATGAAAAAAGGTATAATGTTTTGCTTGATGCTTTGAATTCTGTGTAAAATGTATGAAAACTTGCCCATGGGATGCTGTTTCTTGTAGTGTAGAAATGGGTGTGAAGAATCAGGTTGGGAAGACAGGCAAGCCAATATGCAATGAATTTCTAAGATTTTACTACTTTTCTTTTATTAAAAAAAGGCAAGAAATTTGGCCAGATGTCAAGAAAGTTCAAGCGAAAAAAGACCAAAAATGCCAAAGGGTGCGAATTTCTTTCTTTCAATGTTATGCAACTCAATGCACGGACATCTTTTCTCAACTAAAACTGAAGTACTTTAGTTGCATTTTTTATTTAGCTTGATGTATTTATTTTTATCTGTATTCATTTTATTAGGGCAACTTACCAAGAGATACCAGGCTCAAATTTAATAGATGATGATAGTGGCAATGACAGTTGGCCCAAAGGTATGGGACTTGGTCTCTTTAATTATTTGGGTTATTTAATGACAACTTTTATCAATTTACATGTAAAACAGGTTGTAAAAATATTTAATTATTTTGTAGAAACACAGAGGAGATTATGAAAAGCTTAAAACAGTAAAAATTGTTTTTATCATTGCAACTTGCAAAAGTTGGACGTTATGTTTTTTAAAATAATGCAACTACACAAAATATAATTTAAAAATAATTTTTACAAGAAAATGTAATAATTAAGAGAAAATGTATAATGTTTGTTATGTAGACTTTTACGTGTATTTACCAGAAAATGAGTAAAAGTGCACTTTTAAAGTTTTTCATTTACTTGGTTATTGGATGTAATACGTCTGTTTTTCACCAAGTTGTTTCACAAAAACAGAAACTTCTAAACTTCACTTTGTGTTATAATTTGTGTTTGGATAGTTCTAAATAAAAATGCTCGACTTATTCATAAATGATACATTGTCCATTCCTTGCATTGTCTGATTTTTCTTTTCTTTTTAAGTAATATGTAATGTAAAGTGTATGTCAAATGTCAAGTCTTTATAATGAAATAATGAAACAGTTGTAAACAGTTGTAAATCAGCAGAATTTACCGTCTTTTATGTATATATATAGCTGTAGTTTCATGTGCTTACCTAGTTAGTTGCAGTTGCTTGTCATGTAATAGAACTCTTGCTTTAAATCTAATAAATATACATGTTAAAAGCAACATGAGATAAGCCTCAAACCTAACCAAACAGGTCGTCCATTTTATTAATCACCCCCTTCCCTGTCCGCCTTTTTCTCTCTCCTCTTTTCTCTATAATGACGTCCGCGAAGCAAGTATTTTGAATTGCACAGCCCGGTGCGTGTCACTCATGACTGGCTCATAACTATAAACAATAAATATGACTTGAAAGGCACTTGAAATTTTATTGCATATTGTTAGGGTCGCTAACCACATCACCTTATCATGTTCAACTTTAAAAGGAAGAGTGAAAAGGGGGATAAAGATGCTAAAGAAAGTAAAAAAGAGGAGAAACGAAAACGAGAAAAGGACCGAAAGGCAAGAAACGAAAGGACTCTATCGGGTCGAGAAATGGCTGGGTTTATTGCCCACTCCAGAGGTATCGAGACTAACAACGTAAAGCCAGAGAAACATGGAATTTTTCGTTCTTCAAAGACAAAGTTTGGAAAGAATTTGGATTTTTCTGAGAGTAATGAGAACAGCTACCGTAATGGGCAAACCATAGCAGAAAATGAGCAGGAAAATGGCGCCCCATCTGTGTTATCTCGAGTTAGTGCATTTGAAAACTTACAATCTAGTCAAGCAGGTTTCGTTAGGCAGTCTTCCGAAAATTATCAAAATGCTTCTGAATCGAGGTCAAGTCGTGGTAAAAGTGGCTCACTTAGTCGCAGTGAGGACTTTCAAAGAGTACAAACAAAAATATCATTTGACCAAGTAGATGGGCATTCCGAAGGGCATTTGTTTAACAACAATAGCTACAACAAACTCGTTATTGAACCCTCCGAAATCGAATCCTCACAAGTTGTCTTGTCTGAAAATACAGACGACAGTTATGTACCGGCAAACGAACCTTCTCGCGTTGTTAAGCCACCTATACCACCGAAAATTCGCCAACACAACGCCAAAAGTTCGTTATCTACAACGCATCACTCGTCTCTTGTCGTCAACCCTAGTCGAAATACAAGTGTAAAAACAAAGCGAGCCGTAGATGTATTGCCTCCAAGCGAAAGAACGCTGGAAAACAACGGCGTCTCCCTTGTTTTGCCTGCCGTTAAACCGGTTGGAGAAGAAATGTCTAGGTATATAAAACTGAAACGTCAAACAAATGGAGGTTTTGGTTTTGCCTTGCGTCGTTCTACAACAAATGATAATAAAGAAATATATCTTGCTGAACCTGTGGCTGAAGCTTACGCAACCTGCCTTCTACCAGGAGATAAATTACTCGAGGTGAATGGGCATAACGTGGAAAATTTAAGCCGTGAAAAAATAGTTAACCTTGTAGCATCATCAGGTAGTGAAGTCGAACTAAAAGTTGTTCCTATCCCAGAACTAGCTGAATTAACTGTGAGAAGTGGTCTCGATGGCGGCAGACTGCAGGTTGACGAAACTTTCATACGCTCAGGCTCTTTAGCTAGAAGTGGCAGCAAGAGAATCAAGAAGAAGGCGAGTGAAAACACTAATTGTATTGTATTTCTCTTTTGTTTTGTTGAAACGAAAATTCTGGAAAGCCAAATTCACGAATGTCAAGCAGAAATAATGATAATTTTAATACAACAAAGCTTTGTCTAGCATCTAAATATGACTGTTTTTGTAGATTTTTATCACTTGCTATGTACTTTTAACCAAAACTTTAAATTTTGTCAATTAAAAAAAAAGCGCACAAGCTTATCCCTTTTAAAATATTTCACACCGCAATTTTAAATATTTGCAAGGATTTCAAACAAAATAAAATGTGCAACTCGTTGTTGTACATCAATTTAGTATAATTGTTGGAGTTATTACATAAAAAAATGTGTGAATTTTAATTGTGGATGAAACGTTATGATTGTTGATTATAACTAAAATATATTAATTAAACACTTGCCAGTGGGAAGATTTCAATTTACTATGTGAGTAATTATTTCAACATTGATTGTGGGTGTGAATAAGTAAGATTTTATTTAGCATACCATGAATTTCATAATGGAATTAAGTCATGGTAACAAAAACAATTATCATATTATTCATTTGTATTATCACTTAATGATTAATAAAACCGGTAAAACAATTTTTCATTTTAATTTTGTGAATAATTTCAGACAAAAACGGAAGCTGAAGTTGCATCTGAAAAAGAATGGCTTGAGGCAGAAAAGGTATGGGTTGTCCACAAAGGTGGGTTTTCTGGTGGTCGTATGCTTAAGTCAACTAAAAGCAACGAAGTGGAAACAACTAGAAAGGTGAAACTTGAACATGGAGGAGAAATTATGGATATTGAAGAAGAATGCATTGAAAAGGTGATGTATATAACTATTTTGTTAAGGTGGTAAATAGTGGAAGATGCTAGCCTTATTTAGTCTTGCTGCGTATTGCCTTTTTGCTTATTGACTTGAAAACCAACTCATGAAATTGATTTTTTATGAAACAAACAATAATTTGGGTGAAAAATTCGCAAATAAGTCAGTAAATAGTAAAAGTTTTGAAACTTGTTTTGCTGTAAGTATAAGTAATTTTGTTTTTGAAATAATGTTATTTGTTTTTATAAAACATTTTTACAGGATGTACACCATGCAATGTTTTGCAAAGGAAGTCGAACATTGTTTCTATGACTCTGTGAAATTATTTTTAACAGGCTAATCCACCTTGGTTTGATCGTGCTGAGGATCTTTCTGCCTTGAATCATCTTAATGAACCAAGCTGTCTACACACATTAAGACAGCGTTATGGTAGCAGTTTGATTCACACATATGCTGGACAAATATTGCTAATCATTAATCCTTTGAAGAGCCTCTCGATATACACAGACAAGGTGGGGATAGCACTAGAGTATACTTTAATTTATTAGCAACGGTTTCTTTCAAAAATACCCCATTGTTTCTTCTGTTTTAAAAAAGGGCATCTTTGATTGACACTTTAACCCCCATCACAATAAAGATATTTTTGTGAAACAAATGTAAAAAAAGTTTCAACAGTTTCTTATTGTAAACAACATATTTACATAGGTGATACAAATGTTTCGTGGTTGTAAACAACATATTTACATAGGTGATACAAATGTTTCGTGGTTGTAAACAACATATTTACATAGGTGATACAAATGTTTCGTGGTTGTAAACAACATATTTACATAGGTGATACAAATGTTTCGTGGTTGTAAACAACATATTTACATAGGTGATACAAATGTTTCGTGGATGTAAACAAGAAGATATGCCTCCTCATATTTATGCTTCAGCTCAAACTACATATCGAAACATGCTTGCCATGAATGCTGACCAATCCATTGTGTTGATGGGTGGAAGTGGTTCAGGAAAATCTGTCAATTGTTCACATTTATTACATTATTTTTGCTCGACATCTGTGTCCCAACAATCCTCGTTGACAGGTACCAAGAAACTTTATTTTCCACAACCAATTCTTAAATATGACTCGCCTTCGTGTCAATTCACCCACTCTAAGTTTGCAAGGAAGCTGAAAGATGTTGTTCGTGAATATATATGTACAATGGAAAAGATTCTATGTTTTAGCACAGCAAGTATTTCTCCTTAGGTTTTAGTTAAACATGGAAAGATATTAAAAATTTTAGTCCAACTTTTTCTAGACGCCAAAGCTGTTGCTATGTTATCGTTGCTTCAAGCGTTTGGCAGCTGTTCTACAAGGCTAAACAACAACGCAAGTCGATTTACCATGTTATTCACACTTGATTATGATTCTTCTGGCATGTTGACCAGTGGCTCACTTGAGGTACACCATTTCAAAGCTACATAACTGCAGTGTTTCGCTCGCAGTGTCATCATTGTCGATAATTATTTCACAGCTCTTTGTAATGCGCAAAAAGAACTTACTTAGGGAAAATATCTGAATTACTATCATTACCTTTTGCAAGTTTTCGCTTTAGCAACAGGTTTACATTTGGATATTTGATTATTTAAATTGCTATAACATTTTGCTTGTATTTGCCTAGCGCGAATTGACGTGTAAATATATCACATTTTTCATTGCACTAGAGGAAAAATTTCGTTGTTGTTTTTCAGACATTTTTACTGCAAAAGATAAGAGTTGTTCGGACACCTGAAGACGAGAGCAACTTTAAAATCTTTCAATATTTTCTCGCTGGTTGTAACAAGAAGCTGAGGTAATGGAGCTCATTCAATTAGTGTATTATTAGCACTTTGTTGGTCGCACAGTTTTCGTTGCAAAATGAACTAACTTTCACAACTCTAGTGTTGAAAGGAAGGGTTTAACGAATAACAACTGTCTGTTCCTCAGTTAGATTTTTATGAAACATACACGTTTACGATTCCTTTATTATTCACGTTACTCAAATTTTTGAGCAGCACTTATACACACGATGAAAATAATTGGGAAAGGGGGAAGAGAAAGTGTTATTTACAAACTATGTTTTAACGTAGTTTTCTTGTAGACAAGAATTCTTTCTCGACGTCGCTCAACAAGACCCAAATTCCTTCATAAAATACAAGCAAAAGGTAACTTGGATTTTGTTGAAAACCTAATTCCATGAAAACACAAGATTTCACCACAGCTAATTACCCACAGCTTTCTACCGTCAACTGTTGCTATTTGTACAAAAGCTTATTGTCAGAGAAAACGTGAAAAGTGAGCATTTTGTTTATTTCTTATGTTAATGATTTTTTCAAACTATCTAACGTAGGACACAAATCAACAACGTGATCTGAATAAATGGAATGAGTTGCAAAATGCTCTGGAAATCCTTGGTGCAAGTGTTGGTGAATCAAAATGCCTGTGGTCCATCATTGCTGCTGTATATCACCTTGGGACAGCTGGTATTTCGATGGGTGAGTTATCAAAAACTATTGGTCCATAGTATATGATGACGTATATTCAATTTCATTTTCTATTATTTGAATAGGCAACGAGAATAAACCAAGATTCAAAAATCCCGCTGGTGTACAACGTGCGGCCGCAGTTCTTGGGATCAGCGTCGATGAGATTACCGAACTTGTTCTATCTCCACCGATGGTTAGTCAAATTGTCATTCGAGCTCCACGACGCAAAAATCCAAGTCGTTTATCGTCACAGTCATCGGAAACTTCGTCATCTAGTGTGCAATCAATGGATAATCAGAGATTACGTCAGTGTACGGCAGCTCTGGAAGGTCTAGCGATGGGATTGTACCAGCAAGCCTTTGGTATAATGATTTACTTGATCAACAGGTTATGAATGTTTTTGCATATTTTCCTTCATTACAATATACACTGACAAGGTATTTTAAATCTTATGCAGGTCAATCCAAGAAGGCGATCCCAGACGTATAGCATCGATAAACATTTTAGATTCGGCTGGATTCTCTAGCTCCGTCTCTGATGGTTCAGGAGCTCATTTTGAAGAATTTTGTCACAATTATCAATCAGAACGTTTACAGAGGTTCTTCCACAACATGACGTTCACGCAACAACTTGATCGTTATAATATGGAAAATGTTGACTGTACCTTTAACAGTGTTTCGGGTTCACCCGATACTGTTGTGACAGCAATTGATAAAGCTGTACAGGTGAGGATACCGTGGGTTCTATGGGGATGAGATATGTACGTACCTTGGGAATATGCTTTTTTATAATTTCCAATTTTGAAATTTTAATATATATTTGTAGGGTGGAAGTGTTAGCATGGATTTAAGGAATGAGAAAAAAGGTCTTCTTTGGTTGCTAGATGAAGAGTCTATATTTCCGGGATCCACCGAACAAACATTCTTAAATCGGCTACTTGAGCGACAAAGTACGTTGAAATAATGATGCTTGCTTTTATCATTTAAACGCTGATATAACATTGTATGACCGTGCGCTCAAGTCGTATTGCTATACATATTCTTGGCACAGATCTGTGCTCAAAGGAAATTCAGTAAATAAAGCTTTTGATGAGCTTTTACTCCGTACAGTACTCAGTCGATGTCGTTTAATGAAATAAGTTATGAGTGCAGAAAAAATTACAATTTTAAAATAAAATAAAATTTGGCCAGGTATCCCTTCTGAAGGCATTGTCATGACGTTTTTAGATTTGAAATAAGTTTTTAATGTTTTGCCAACATATATGGTATTTATTTATTTATTTTAATTTAGATGTCGATATTTTTCAACCGGGTCCCTATGAAACGAGTTTTTATCTAAAACATTTCCAAGCACGACAAATGACTCTCTATAATGTCAAGGGTTGGCTCAGCTTGGCACGAGAGCATCCCGCTGTAAAACAAGCTCATACCTTGCTGGTTCAGTCTTCTAAGTAAGTGAGGCGATTGATACAATTGTGATGATAAATACCATCATATTTTGAAATGCAGCGATATGTCAAATATGCTTGATTTAGGATTTTATGATTATGGTGGTGTGCAACCATTTCCCTTGGACTGAGAGAACAATGGAATGTTCGCCATGTTGGATGACATTTGCAGTGTAAATAAGGAAACTCCTTTGTTAAAACAATCCAACATGGCGGACATGACGTAGCTTGCACACCAACAATTGGATTTCCAGTACTGTTGCTTAATATAAAGTAGATGTTCATGGTATATAAATGAATTCATGTGTATGTGAAACTTATGTATATTGTATACTTTAGGGATGATCTGGTTACGATGGCGTTGAAGCATTCAGATGGTTTAAGTCGAACGAGAAGCTTTTATCGTAAACAATCTCCATCTACAATGTCAGTGAAAAAAGATTCACTATGCCTGCAGCTCATTTATCAAGTTGTAAGTTGTTTTTTTTTTCACTTGTGGATACAAGACCGTCCTGAGTTTTATAAAGGGTGCATTAGGGTGACTTCAGCATGTGCACCTTCCGTTAAGTAAACTTTTTGAAACTCGTTGATAATCAGCTTTCTCAAGATAAACATATAGATGGTAAAATATACGTAGTTTATTGGTGTAACTTGCCAAAACTCATGACTTCATCTTAGAAATAGTGTTAATGTATGAATGAAAACACTATTGCCATAAAAATGAATTACTTAGCAATCAAAATCCAATACAAGATCAAAAATGACACTTCTTTACACCTTTACATCCATTTCCCCTCCAGTTAATTCATCGCTGTTTTCTTTTGTGAATGTATTGTTGTTTTTGTCACCTATATCACCATTTTTTCTGCAACTGTTTCATCTTGATAATCGTTCTTAGGATAACGTGTTGGATTGTATTCGAAAGACTCACATTTCTTTCATACAATGCATGTTGCCTGTCTCTGGGGCGGGAAAGTATGATCCTTTAGTCAGCGAAAAATCAGCAAATATCGACGTTCCACTACTTCGTGCTCAGTTAAAAAGAGCTCAAGTATTGGACGCTGTTCGTCTTCACAGACAAGGTGTGTGAACGTTAAGTAATGAGCTGTTTAGTTATTCATTGTTTCTCATTACATTATTTAATGTGGAGTGATCTGATGTTTAAGAGTAATCCTTATATATTTTTTTACTTTTTCAGGTTATCCTGAACATATGACATTTGGTGAATTTCAACATCGATTCAGTATTTTGGCGCCCACGGAGAATCGACAAGCCCAGCCGGTTTTGGATGAGAAGAAAGTACGTAATCATACACCATTTTGCTTTGGGGTTAATGAGTTATTTTATGCTCCTGTTCACACTTGTTTAGGTAGCACAAACTTTACTAAATGCCCTGGATTTGAATGAAAGTAGCTACAGACTTGGTTTGTCTCAGGTATGTATCCTTTGAAAACATTTCTTTTTTACTTTACTCAAGTCTATAATTTAGACGAGCAAACGTGACTTATTCAATTCTAAACAAAAATTATGTCATCTGATATGATGTTTACTTTAGTACTTTAGATTTTATGTTTTTGTTTAATCAAGCAACATTTTTATTTGTCTTGTCTTGAAAGAGAGTCAAAACGAATTTTTTCGGTGCGATAAACAGTTACCTAGCAGTCATAATAGTGTAGTTTACGGTTACGATACGATTTAGCTTGTCAAAAATATGTTTTTAGTAAAGTTTGCATTTGCTGACAAAGAGCTAGCTAAAGCATTCTTCATGATTATGAGTCATGGCTGGGTTAGCGCATACATAGCTGCCACAGCGATGATTATGAGTCATGGCTGGGTTAGCGCATACATAGCTGCCACAGCGATGAGTATGAGTCATGGCTGGTTTAGCGCATACATAGCTGCCACAGCGATGATTATGAGTCATGGCTGGGTTAGCGCATACATAGCTGCCACAGGGATGATTATGAGTCATGGCTGGTTTAGCGCATACATAGCTGCCACAGCGATGATTATGAGTCATGGCTGGGTTAGCGCATACATAGCTGCCACAGCGATGATTATGAGTCATGGCTGGTTTAGCGCATACATAGCTGCCACAGCGATGATTATGAGTCATGGCTGGGTTAGCGCATACATAGCTGCCACAGCGATGATTATGAGTCATGGCTGGGTTAGCGCATACATAGCTGCCACAGCGATGATTATGAGTCATGGCTGGGTTAGCGCATACATAGCTGCCACAGCGATGATTATGAGTCATGGCTGGGTTAGCGCATACATAGCTGCCACAGGGATGATTATGAGTCATGGCTGGTTTAGCGCATACATAGCTGCCACAGCGATGATTATGAGTCATGGCTGGTTTAGCGCATACATAGCTGCCACAGCGATGATTATGAGTCATGGCTGGTTTAGCGCATACATAGCTGCCACAGCGATGATTATGAGTCATGGCTGGTTTAGCGCATACATAGCTGCCACAGCGATGATTATGAGTCATGGCTGGTTTAGCGCATACATAGCTGCCACAGCGATGATTATGAGTCATGGCTGGGTTAGCGCATACATAGCTGCCACAGCGATGATTACGAGTCATGGCTGGGTTAGCGCATACATAGCTGCCACAGCGATGATTATGAATCATGGCTGGGTTAGCGCATACATAGCTGCCACAGCGATGATTATGAGTCATGGCTGGGTTAGCGTATACATAGCTGCCACAGCGATGATTATGAGTCATGGCTGGGTTAGCGCATACATAGCTGCCACAGCGATGATTATGAATCATGGCTGGGTTAGCGCATACATAGCTGCCACAGCGATGATTATGAGTCATGGCTGGGTTAGCGCATACATAGCTGCCACAGCGATGATTATGAGTCATGGCTGGGCTAGCGCATACATAGCTGCCACAGCGCTTAAGAAATGCCTACACAACCTTATTTTTTGGTAATTTATTATATCTTCTTCATAGATATTCATGCGAGCAGGCACTCTAGCCCAACTTGAAGATTTGAGAGATGAGACGATCACGGATAATCTAATTGAACTGCAGGCATTCTGCCGAGGTTTTCTTTCCAGAAAGAAGTTTGCCAAGCTCAAGGTAAGTGTATTTAAATTGCTATGTAGTGATACAGCACTGAGCAATTTTATTTTGTTGTTGATATTCATTGTCTATGAGAGAATTTTGGACTTTTTAAAATCTTTTTTACCTTGATATATCTGTCCTTTTAGTTTAAATATTTATCTGGTTACAAGTAATATTGATTTCAGTTCTTTAGGAATATTGCATGGAGTGAAGATAAAGTTGAAAAAATACCCATTTTCCTATGATCTTACAGGTTCAACAAAAAGCGATCAAGTGCATTCAAAGCAATGTGAGGCAGTTTTTAGAAATTCGTGATTGGCAATGGTGGCGTTTGTACACCAAGGTACACCATGAAATTTCTTGTGATGGAACTGTTTCACAAACTAATGTCTAGTTTTGCAAAAGTGCATAAAGATTATTTTCTTCATGTAGATCGTTCCTTTGTTGGATATTCATCGAAGCGATAAAGAACTCAAAGATAAAATGGTGCGTTATAACATAATAAAATGAAAGCACTTACTATTTGGCAAGATACAATTTGACCTGAAATATTCCTTTCCATTAATAAGCGTTGGAAACACATACACCAAAGTTGGCCGTGTACAATTCAATTTGCTACGATTTTATTTAATTAAATTTTATTGCCTGGGTCTATGACCTTCCTTGACTACCTAAAAATAATCTCCATTTGAAATCAGGTTTTTCGAATTAAAACTGTTCACATTTTCTCATGCAAATATTTGTTCATATAATATGTGACTGCTTTAAATTAAATTTTGGTCTTTTTTGTTTAGGATGAAGTGGCTTCGCTAAACGCTAAGATCTCAAAACTTGAGAAAGAAAAGATTTCAATGCAAGAAGATAATCAGCGCTTACAACAAAAGGTATTGCAGACAAGAGAGAATTCTGAGAGAGAGATAGAAGAACCTAATGGGACAAGCGTGAAGCAGTGAAAAGTTTTGGGTTGACTCTGTTCATGTATTGCTCTTTTAGCCGTTGTACAAATTCATTGTAAATAGTTTTATTTTATATTTTGAAGGTTTCGGAGTTATCAGAGTTACTTGACGATGAACGTGAATCTGGTCATGGTAAAACGGCCTTGCTACAAGAGGAACAAAGTTTACGAATCAGAGCTGAGAAAGAAATCGAAACTTTAAACGTAAGTTAAAGAGGGATGTAATGAATTAGTTTTATTTACAGAAGTATTAGAGACAACCTATCACTATGGTTAGGAAGCAACTTCATAATGTAAACTCTTTTCTGTAAACTTCAATGTAACTTTATCTTTTTACATTCGCTCAAAATTACATAAAATACGAATGTTTTCATTTCACTCGTCTTCAGGCTCAACTTTTGAGGTCACGAAAAAATTCAACTGTTCAAGCAGAAAATATCCAAGCGGAGATAGTAACTATGACAGAAAGTGTCATGCATGAGAATGAGCCTCCCCGGGAAGAAAAATCAGGTAGATCACGTGGCTATTTCGAAGCATGTAGTTTACTAGACGATTACGTTGTCTGCATTTACTGTATGCTCACATGTGTATGCTCGTTATTTCTTAAGCACATTGAGCCAGCGATTTGCCTTTACATTGCCAAAATTGTGGCGAAAGGAATTTGCTTGAGCTGACTGTTAACCTTTTTTTTTAAACAAAACTGAACTCAAATCATGTTTTGGGTTACTCTAAATGTAGAAAATAGTGCACCAAACTGAACTGAAATTATGTATTGCAATATATTAAATGAAAAAAGTGGTAAACCACAAATCATGTTGCATTTCAACAAAATACGAAAACTGGGCTCTAGTTTTTATCAATTAATTTTGATTCCAGTGGTAAACCCTGAATATGAAATCGAGAAGCCATCAAAATGGAGTTCAGACAAACAGAATGTTGAAAAAATGGTGAGTTTTTTACTATATAGATGTAATAAATTGATAATATGAAAGATAATAACAAATAAAACTGAACTAAAAAGAATCATCAAAAGGGCATGGAAACAAAAATGGGGTCTTAGCTATATAGGTGTATTGTTCTCGTGACTTGAAACAAATTTTGACAACTTTGCAAAAAAAAATCGCTGGTAAAAGCTATTCTTTGTTCGTGTTAATGATTTCACCGAGTGTTTAATGGCATTTAGAAACACAAATATGTTTCATTTACATACTTGTGATTTTGCTTACAAGACTGGGACACAGTGATTTTTTTAAGTCTAGTTGAATTTTATTGAAGAACGTCGTTACGTAAGATTACCGTGGACTGGAGCTTTACTATAGTCTGTCATTGTTTGAGAAAATGAATATTTTTACCGTGTTTAGATTTTTATTCCTTATAGTATTGATGTGTGTGTTGTCACAACGTATAAAATATACTTTCTTGTTTATTGTTAGCTTTCCGACAAGGAAGCTGAAAACGAGGAACTTTCGAGGGATATCAGTAATCTAAAACGTAAAATCACACGAACGAGTGCCGAAATGAACGACATGAAATTATTGTTAGAAAAATCGCAGGCGAGGAATTCTGACCTCGAAAAGAAACAAAGACGGTATGCGTGTGTGCTCGCTTAATTCATATCTTGCTGCGTAATTTTCATTACAGAAACTATAAAGAACATTTTCTGAATATTTGCTTAGCGTGATTTTAACGCTCCACTTTGGCCATTGCGCTCAGACGGCATAACTTATGATTATAATCTTCGCAGTTGACATTATGTCATCAATAGAATTGGACGTAAATAACAAAAAAAGTCTTCGTAAATTCTTCCCATGATGATACAATTATCTGACAGTATTTGTTGCCACGTCCGTAAACAGATCTTGTCCTTTTTTGTCCTTTTCCTTTAATTTCTTGTCCTGTTTCCTTTGCGTCAATCTTATGACATTTTATTTGAAATATTTCAGATAATCTCTTTAAAAACTTTTATTGAATAACATAGATTCGGTGTTTGTTTTCTATATTGACCGTGTAAGCACTTGCGTTGTATTTCAATCATGTTTTCAACTGAGTATCATCTGTCACAGTGATATTGACCGCTTCCACATAATATATTGTTGTTTTTGTTCGTTTGGGCTAAAAGTATGCATTGTGTGCTTGTCAGATTTGATGCAGACATCGCTCGAGTGCAAGAAGAAGTGAAACAAGAACGATCACTTAAGGAGAAAGCAATTCGCGATAAAGATATGGCCTTCTCAGAACGTGTTCAACTTGAACAAGAGATAGAGGTTTGGTATTTTTATAATATTCGTCGTTATCTCCTTGTCATTATGTATGTAACATTAGGAGAATTTTGTCGGTAATTGAAAATAACGTCAACGTTTAATGCTTATTCTTTATGGTCACTTGCCTTCGTCGTATGAATGATAATAGTACATGCTTTTGTAATACCATATTTTAAACATGCATACATTGACATTAGTAATTAATGAAGTAAATTTAAGTGTGTGTATTACATTCAAGAGTTTTTCTCATATTGTCAATAGCATTTTTCCTAGTTACTTTATAATGCTAGGATAAGATATGAATAATTTTATTGTCTTTTATTAAATGTACCCTTTGATTTATTAGACATGAATTAGTTTAGTTTATTTGGTTTAGGTATAGGAACTCTTACACTGCATACATCTTTCAAAAATTTGCATTCGTCAACTCATCAACCTTGTATCAAGAACCATGATTAGTGATTTTAGTTGTATTCTAATATATATCATGACCGTGGTTTATAAATAAATTTGTAATGGCTTAAAAATTAACAATTTTCTGTGACGTTTTATCTAAGCATTCTTCGAACTTTGACCAACTGACCCCTGTTGCTATTCACTTATACGACGTCGATTGTATAATCATTTACAATGCGAATGCAGTTTTAATAATGAAGTTCTGTTTTGGCCTTTTAATTGCGCGGTGAATAACACACTTTTGCACTAACTTAAGGAAGCTCTTGAAAGCGAACTTTAAAAAAATGTTCTTTACTTGTTACATGAGTAAATGGATTGTGAAAAAACATGTTTTTCTGTACGTGCCTGTTCACAGTTGATCCAACCTCCATTCGCACACCATATTTGTACCATTGATCTCTGTTTGATCTCTTTATTTGGTCTGGGTGTGGCAATGCATTGCCAAGTTACGGATTTTATCGCGCGATTTTTCAAACAGTTATTTTTAATATTCAATATTCATTTGGTTGTTGGGTTAAGTCACAATCGAAGAAATCGGTCAATTTTTTAAACATTCAGATGTAGTTCGTTTATAATGTGCATATGTTGGCATTCATTACTCAGCCATACTCAAATCATAGAGGGAAACTCCGGACCACTCGCCATTTATGCAACTATTAAGTAATTCTTAGTTTTTTATGACGTAACCATATAACTGTGAGGAAAAGAGAATTCATTTAACGAGATGTGGCTTGCGAAGATATGAGTTTTGGTGGAATTTTGGGATATTTTAGGAGCATGCTTGGTAGTCTTTGAAGTTACAGCAAGGACTTTAAAGGACAACTTTATTGATATTGTACTTATTTTTGTGTATAGCGTTACAAACAGAAAGTGTCAGATATCAGAAATGAAAAAGAGCGTGTAGAAAACGATCTCCGTGATCTGGGAAAGAACAAAGGTGATAACAAGGTATGGTACTCTCTAGAACTTTGCTTCTATTGTTTTTGTGTTCGTTTTCATATATATCTAGTTAGATGTTACCATAACTGTGCATGTCAAAGTTTCTAGTCGTATATTGGTGTATTGTCTGTCTTCTTCAGCTTTGTTCAAACATGTTTCTCAATGATCCCTGCCATCTTGGTGTGTCCCTATTCACTACCATGTTTCTCAATGATCCTTGCCATCTTTGTGTGTACCCACAGTCAATACCATGTTTCTCAATGATCCTTCTTGTCATTCACTACCATGTTTCTCAATGATCGTGTACCCACTCACTACCATGTTTCTCAATGATCCCTGCCATCTTGGTGTGTCCCATTCACTACCATGTTTCTCAATGATCCTTGTCATCTTTGCTCACTATTGATCCTTGTCATCTTTGTGTGTACCCACAGTCACTACCATGTTTCTCAATGATCCTTGCCATCTTTGTGTGTCCCCACAGTCACTACCATGTTTCTCAATGATCCCTGCCATCTTGGTGTGTCCCTATTCACTACCATGTTTCTCAATGATCCTTGCCATCTTGGTGTACCCACAGTCACTACCATGTTTCTCAATGATCCTTGTCATCTTGGTGTGTCCCTATTCACTACCATGTTTCTCAATGATCCTTGCCATCTTGGTGTGTACCCACAGTCACTACCATGTTTCTCAATGTTCCTTGTCATCTTGGTGTGTACCCACTCACTACCATGTTTCTCAATGATCCTTGCCATCTTTGAGTGTACCAGCTTTGAGTGTACCCACTCACTAAAACACGCTCGTAAAAGTAAGGAGGATAACTTCTATAATACATATTTTTCTAAAAGGGAAAAATTCAACTTCAAGAGATTTTGTGTTGTGCCCATTTTCGATTTAAAGTTTCTTGTGAAATGTTAGGCTGTTGAAATGGCGAGCAATAAACGAGAACTTGAGAAAAGAATTGAGGAACTAGACGACGAAGTTGAAGAGCAGGCAGATCAGATTCAGTTGCTGGAGCACGTAAGTTACCTTTTGTGAAGGTAGATGTAGAACTTTAAATTTCCATCAGCTTATATGTATTTTGATCATTTATGTTTTCACTTTTGTAAGATAATACTGATTGTGACCAAAACTTTAATTTAGATTTTTCTTTTGGAAAGCTTATGTTTGCTTTTAGTTTTGAACATGTAATAGTAGAATTATAGGACATATTATACAAGTTACGATATTTCTAAGTAAACTAGTGTGTTTTTATCAAAACGTGCCATCTAGTAGTTTTAATAAAAAGCAAAACTTCATGTAATGTCATTTATTATTTAAGGCCAAATTAAAGCTGGAAATGGATTTAGAACAAACAAAGAAACGCGTTCAGAAAGAATTGGAGAGAAAAGATGAAGATATGGAGGAATTAAAATCTAATTATATTAGAAAGGTAGCAAAATATGAGTCGTAGGAATCTACAGTTTTGACTTAAAATAAAGTATTCGACTTTTTTCTTGCTTCCCGCAGGTCAAGACACTTGAGGCTCAGTTGGAGGAAGAACATCACGAAGTTTCGCAGGCGGTAAAGGCGAGAAACGAATCTGACCGCAAATTGATGGATCTGCGACGGGAAGTGGAGCATTTGAAGGAGCACGACAGCTCGGGAAAGCGATATAAACAAGATCTGAAGAATACGAAAGCGTTATTACGCGATGCTCAACAAGCTATTGAACAGTTGGTAAGATATTCTCTGACAAATATTTTAATACTATTGCTTAATATTGTGGTTAGGCATAATAAACCAGAAAAAGGTTTTGATTTAAAAGACGTCGTCAAAGTTTGCATTTGTTGTGCTTTCTCATACAGTGATTTTACACAAAACTTTGGTATCAAAGATTTTAATTCCTCGTCATTTCCGTTCATCTCAATTTACGAAACGTTGCATTTTGTTTTGTTGTCTTTCTGAACTTATTTAAATTCACATTGTTTATTTTTGTGAACAGAGCCAACAAAGCAAAAAAGATAAAACACAAATAAAACAATTAAAACATCAGTTAGAAGATCAATTGCAAGCAACTCAAATGGCACTGAAATCAAAGAAACAACAAGAAATGGACGCACAAGACATTCAAACTCAATACGATACGCTGGCGCGCACGAAAATTGAGGTATGAAAGTCAAGGTTTTTTATCTTTTAGCTCCCCCGTTGGGATATTTTAATAATTATATTGTATGAGGTAAGTGTCGTAGATAATTTTTCTCTTTTATTGTTTAAGCTGGAGGAGAGATGTTCCGGTTTGGCTCGTGAAAACAACGAACTTAGAAGTCATGTAGAAGAAGACGAGGAAGAAATGAAGACTTTGCTACAGAAAAATAAGGCGCTCGTTGCCCAGGTGACTATTTGCCTTTTTTGCAAGCCAAATATACTTGTTTGCTTTGCATTTGAATATTTTTTCTTTTGTTAAGAGTTATTTAAAAACGATACAAATCATCGTATGTCTACTTTATATTTTTCCACTTCGTCGTTTTCATGTTAAACTGATGTGATATCAATTCAGTGTTGTTCTTCAACAGGAGATAAACATTCATTTATAGTTTGGATTCATTTCATATTACTTCTTTCTTCACGATTCTTTGTGATTGAGTAGATTGGGATTGTTTTCAAAATTTCTCACTGTGAATAATGGAGATTTTACCACGAACTCATGAGATGATGGGGTGTTGTGTTCAATTTCCATTTAACTTTTCCTGACGATTTCTTTTCATTTTTTGAGCACGTCTACTACTTATCTTATTTGAAGAATATACTTCAGTTGTTTAAATTCGTCAATTTGATATTATAATATCATTATAAATTTATTGAACACAACTATCATCAGTTATATTATCCAGGCAAAAGTAAACTATATGTGTTTTGAACTAAAGCAAACGACTTCAAATGTTTATAGAATGCCAATGTTCAAGCTGAAAACGCAGAGCTAAACGATGTGAAACACAATCTTGAAAACGAAGTTAAAACTCTTCAATCGGAGGTAGTAAGCTGCTACAAAATGTTAAATTTTAAAGAGAATAATTTAGAATGATGTATGAAATTTAGTAAAGGTTCGTTCTTTGTAGGATGGATTGAATTTCTACAATTTTTTTTATGATTTAAAGTTGATAATTGAAAAACTTTCAACTTCTTTCTATTGTAAAGGTTTCAAATTTTACCCATCGACTTTCTTATTTCGAAGAAACATCTGTTGAGAAGAATATCCATGACAAGATAGGAAATAAGGTGAGAGAAACGTTTATTTACCATTTTTTTTTACTTATTTCACTCCTTAACTTATGAAACTTCAGTGTCTGCCTGAGATGGGAATGTATGAAAGTTTGTAAAGTCATGTTTATATGTAGGTGAGAGATTTAGAACAAAAGTTGGAATCTGCTCTCGCTACATGTAAACGTTTGGAAGTCACGAATGAACGGTTACGTGAACAGCTGGAAAAATCATCTGATGAACAAGCTATACTCACTGATAGAGAGTCGAAAGTTATTCACGAGAAAAACAAGTAATGCAATTGTTTTGTGTCATCATTGATTGGGATTACTGAAAGAAAAGTAGTTAATTTTTAGGAAAATAATGAATGTATTTTTTTTCTTGTGTGGTGATGTAGACTTGAAAAGAGGTTAATTGAAATGAAGGAAGAATTATTAAAGTTAGAAAAACAAGAAAATGATGAGAAAAAGCGACGAACGGAAAAGGTGATCCATACGTTTCATTAAAAGTGAAATATTTAATTTTCGTTTTAGAAAGACTCACATCTTTTACGTCTGCGATATAACAACAATTTCATTTCATTAAGAGTAATCATTTTTCACTGTCAATTTTTATCAGGAAGCAGAATTTGAAGAACTTGAGGTGACTCTTACTGCGACAAAGAGTGAACTTGTCATGACAAAGAAAAGATTAGCTGATCTACAGCAAGTGATGGAAGATAATATCAATGGTAACAGTGATATGACGTCAGACTCTGATGATGACGATGATGATTCTGTTACAAATAGTTCAATGTCGTCCTATCGACCTGTGAGCATATCACGTCTTCCTTCAGAACCGAGGTCCTATAAATCTTACGAAGATTTAGACGACATGCATGATATTAGTGATAGATTGATGCGAAAACTTGATGCATTGGATGACGTAAGCTCTCCGGCATCCTCGCGATCTCCAGTTGGCCAGCAATCGGTCTCCGATGAAGGATCGACAACTTCCGATCTTCAAATTCATAATGATGTCTGATCTTCAAATTCATAATGATCACGCATAAAATAGCAATCTTAATTTGTATTTCCGAAAATCACAGCGAACGAAGACATTTCTATGGACATAACGATAAGCAGGAAATTTCCAATTTCATTTTTTCTTTCATTGACAAAAGTCTCGTCAAAAATAGCAAACGTTAAGGATGGGGAAACCCCACTCTCTTCAATATGAAACACTTCCACAGACAAGGGAAAACGATTTTTATGCACGAGCAAAATAATGAGCAGTTTCATTTATTATTCTTCATAAATATTTATGCTTACGCATTTTACAAAAATTAAATTAAATGTGAGTAGTTATAATTTAATGAACATCTATCGATTCAAGGTATTTTTTGTATAGGTGAGTTATTGTACTTCTAGAAAACAATGTTTGTGTCGTTAATGCAAATTTTCATTGACTTCATGGCGTTACTATCCAAAATAGCGTTGAAAATGTGCATTGATATGACAGTATATGAAACATATGTTTTTGGTTATTCACTTTCAATGATTTATGGTGCAAAACCTGCTGAAAAGAGCGATCGACTGCATAGTTGAAATGTTATCAACACAAATTTGAGCGCTTTTGAATTGAATCATCATTCTTATGTGTAGTCCTATGTGAGCTCAGTACTTACCAAAGTTTTAAAAATACGCCCCCTTGTGCATTATTGGCGTTGCTTCAAACAAATTTCACTGAACTTGAAGAAAATCTTAGGTAAATTAATTTGCATTGAACGCGAATAGCAATATGCCCGGTCGGCTGAAGATTATTAAATATAGAAACCCAACGTTGTTGGTGCATTATCATTTGGCTCATCTGAAGTATTATGCTTAGGTGTTCATCAATATTTATAGCTGCATTGGATGAAGGATGTTTAGGATACAGTGTGAGATGGTGGATAGCCAAGATGGAGTTTCATGGCAAGGTACGAAGTATTAAATTAATCAACTGGATCGCTATCAATTTCATCTTACCTCAAAGTTGGAGTGATAGCTCAAAAGGTTAAAAAATGAAAATCAATTTAAGACTTCAACACGTGAGAATACCGAGCTTATATATATGTTATACAAGAACTTTAACGCTATGCTAACGGCTTGGTTTAATTATTTGACCACTTTTTACCTATGAGAAGGTTAATTAAAAACTCATTAAGAGCTATTATAAACGGCAGTAGATAGTTACGAGTTCCTTCTGTCGACAATAAATCGCTAAGTTGTCATGTTAGCTAAGAGTATATACTCCCTCTCCTATTACAAGTGACCATACTTGGAAAACATACTTGAGATTAATATCATTCGCTTCTTTCAGAGCTTCAATTTTGTCTTTTCATTCTTCCACAAATTAATTTTCGTCATTTCACTGTATAATTCATTCCGTTTTCTTTATTGAAGCTAAATAGTTAATCATTCAAGCGAAGCTGTGAGTTTGGACAAGAATATTCATTTTGTTCGTATGGTAAATTTATCTACCACAATTGACGGGACTAGGAAGGTCACAGTAAAGTTTAAAATGGTTAGTTGAATACCTTTCAAAGATCAGTTTTATTTTTATAATAAAGTACACTATAAGTGTAACAAATATTTCAGCTTTTACGCAAGTGCATTGAGTCGGTTGCAGCATACGAGCGGCTTGCTTTGTTGGTTTTATTAGCCATTAATTTAAATAGAAATAAAGGTTACTATTTTCCTCACAGATTACTCAAATCCCCGCCAGCTTAGTTTCAAGTATTTTAATTATTTCAAAGTTTTGACATTGACACTTCCTTGCATGTCACCAAAGAGCAATGTTTTATAAATATATTATAAATATATACGCAAATTCGCATGCAAACAAATTCAACCCCCACGCTGAAACAAACTTCGCAACAAAGTATGAATTTACTTTAAAAAATTGCCAAATGACAGCTGTTTGTGTTATTACACCTAGAAACATGACGTGAAGCGATCTTAATTTCTCAAGTTGTGAATGTTTCAAGTTTTTAAGGGATGTTCTTTCAAAGCATTTTTAGAATAGTTTATTTCTTGCTTTCCAGGAAGAAGCAAAGCAAACATCCCAGAATCCTTCAAAATCAGGCAGAAACTCCGCTGAATCACACGATGATCGCGCTTTTGATACAATGCTTCGTTTACTCATCATGATGGAGGGAGAGCTACAGACGAAAGAAACAATAATAGAAATTTTAATGGTTTGTCTTTGGAATTTAGGTCATGCACGACAAGTTTACTAATCTATTTTAGTTATTTAACAATTAAAACAAAGAAATTCTTCAATAAATGCGAATGTTCTCGCACAAACCTTGCCAAATAAGAGATGAATACATATTTATAAATCTTTTATCCCATAATCCTTTTCATTTCAATTTGGCATGTGTAGGAAGGTCAAGGTAAAAAGGATATGCTGTTTAACAAGCTGAACAAAATCTTGGCCGTTCGTGAAAATGATCCCTTCTCAGCTTTAAAAAGAGATGGTGTTTACAGTCAGAAGAAGTGGACTGAGTTATTCATGAAAGATAACGATAGCGATGAAGCATTTCTAGCAGACAGCTCTCGTTACCTTTCTGCATGTTCTTCACTTCGTGCCATTAGCATCGCAAGGCTACAAAATCAACGTTACACCGAAGCTTATGATATGCTGCAGAAAACTGCCAGAAATTATAGAAAGGTTTGGAGATTTAATGAGCTTTTATTGTTTCATCTATGAATATATATTGTATTTGCCTAATCAAAAAAGGACAGGCTAACCTCTACAAGACTTTGGGTCATGTTATTCATAAAAAAACCAAAGATACTTTGCATCATTTGAGTTGGAGAAATTCGTTTGATTCTCAAACCGTGCAAGTATATAATGTTAGTCCAATGAGAACTGAGGTTACACGAGTTTGGTTGCTTGAAGATGATAATAATATTATAGAAGATAACGATATGTTTGATAATGATAATTATAAGATGTAAACAGTCTTTTTTGTTCATGATGAATTTTTATTCATTTATTGTTCGTCTTGTCTCTTCCATCTTTTTGTTCTTTCTTCTGACTTCAATACTTATTAACTCTCTGGAAAAACCCTCTTATTTAGCTCAAAATAAAGTACACTAAAGAGAGACGCAAATCTGCGGAAGTACCATCTTCAGTTGGAGCCTCGTTATTACTTCCTCAAGCATCTACTGTAAGTGAGGTCGATAAAACAGCAAATACAAATACAGCCAACCTCATCAAAGACGATGAAAGGCTGATTCACGAACAAAAGCGTTGTAAGGGTCTGGAGGAGAGAATTGAAGCACTGACCAATGAGATGACAGAGGAACGACGTCAGAGGTTGTGCATTGAACGTAAGATGAGAGAAGAAATTCGCAGACTTCAAAATGAATTGAAACTGGAACGCGAGAGCAGCAAACGAGATCATTGTCTGCTTCACATTACAACCAAACAATTTCACAATACATCAGTAAATCTCAGATAGTTTAACGTTTGCTTTGCCTAGCCATTTTTTAACACACAGTCATGTCATACATTTCAATAAGCTTGTTATAACTGTCTACTCTGTGATCCAGAAGATGTTTCTTTTAATATATGAATTTTATAAATATTTATAACAATATTTCCTACCAAACACCGGCTTTAACTTCATTCGTGTTTGTTTTCATTGTAAATTTTCGTGATATTTTGTCGAGTTTGAAAGGGCTGAACGAAGGTTTGGTCGGTCGATACACTACTGAACTCAAACTTGAGTGTGTTTTTCGTCTTTAGATTGTTGATTAATATTTTTAAGCATTACATCGTATGAAGCATTTTAAAATTACCCAATAATTAATGAGCAATTATCTTAATTGTACATCATTAAATGATTACATAATTACCGTTATATCAGCTATATAATATAATTTATAAGAAGTTTACATTTTAGGAAACATTATATAGTTTGTACTTTTTGTAGGTTTTTCATTTGACATTTTTCACTTTCCCCGTGTTTTTTTTACGTAATTAATGTATTTGCTTTGTACGCTTCTTCCGACGTCTGTGTTTCTATTTTGCCTAATATATTTCCTCAGTCGATCTACCAATTCGGTAAACACAGTCTTTTCATTAGGCTCTCCACGGCTAGGCATTTTGCGATTCTGAAATATTTTTAAAGCAACATTTGATTATTGACTCTGTGTTTGAAATAAAGTCGTAAATTAATGACGCGGAGGTTGATAATCGTGCCAAAAATGACACATCTGGAAGTAATTTATGTCATTTTCCATGTATAATAGAAGACATTTATTGGTATTTTAAATTTCGAAGTTCGAACTTGTAATTGCCTTTTATAGCAAAGTTAGCGATGCAAGAATAGGGCAAAGTTGCAAATTATTGTAATTAGCATGTGTGACGTATGAAGGATTTGGAAAAGAAACATTTATTTGCAATTTCTAATTACTTATTAATATTATTAATTTCTAATTACTTATTAATTATGAAAGAGATGCCGCGTTCGTCAATTTGCTTCTCATATTTGTATTTCAACTTCATTCCGACAAGACCAGCTGGCTCCCAAGTAAGGTTTAAGCCACAGAAAATATGAAAATGGGGCATATCTTGTGATCATCGTCAAAGAATTGATTGTTGAACGGTTTGACAAACTTTCAACAAACAATTTAAAGTTAGATATTCTCTGCATTCCAGCCCATGACTTTGGTAATATTTTTTTTTCATTTATAAGTTATGCATAAGATTACTTCAAAGGAAACTGTTTGTATTTAAAAAGAGGTCTGAGTATCGTCATATCGATTGTCGCACTTGAAAACAATTCAGCTTTTTTGAACGCGTGATGCTCTTTTTCATAAAAAACTGTTTCTACAAAAAGGTCTCGGCCTTCTATCTCCGTATAACTGTTTCTGTCAACAAAGGCAGACAAAATATAACTAGTATCCGTTTTAAAGTGAATGGTTTGAACCCGGGAGTATCGTTACATGTTTGTAAATGTCGATCGTCCAGGTTGGTATAGTCCTGAGAAGGACTGTTTTTGTTGTTGTTGACTGACATTTCGACAACCTTAGCGGTAGTCATCTTCAGAGTCAAAAAAGACTCTGAAGATGACTACCGCTAAGGTTGTCGAAACGTCAGTCAATAACAACTAAAACAGTCCTTCTCAGGACTATACCAACCTGGACGATCGACATTTACAAACATGTAGTATCCGTTTATTGCAAATTCAACACGTTCCAAACACTCAATGGTTCCAAAGCAGTTAATATTTCTTCAATGATTGACTTTTTGTATTAACAATTACGTCATCTTTAGCCCACTCACGATAGTACAGTAGTTGTTTAACAAGGTTGGTTACTTAACAAGTTCACTAAAAAGTAAAAACTGTAGTCACTATTGTTATCGTCTTTACCTTTGAAATAAACTAACATGTTACTGCGTCAAAAGAAATTGGACGAAGATTAATTTCTAATGGCAAGTTGTAGCTGAAAATCACAAGTTAATAAATTAGCTTAGTCTTCTTTTATGATCGTTGAAATAACGATAACTTTCCACGAAAGCAAAATGACAGACTAAATTTTTCCCCAACATTTTCTTTCGTTGGAATCACACATCCCCTTGAAAACTTTCTCGTTCAAAATCAATTAACTTTTAAGTCAGTTTTACAAAAGACTAAGCAAATCCTTACCTTACTGCTTTGCTTCTTTTTGAAAAACGACAAACGTTATATGACACTGTCCAAAACCGGCACATAAACTGTAGCATCTGTTTTGATTTGTGACTTATAAATATATATCAAGAAATTTGTGGTTTTGACTTCATTCGTTTCTCTCAAACCGCAGCGCCAATAACGAAGCAATGTATAATTGACCGTGATGTTTTGGCTAAATTCATAAAAATCATTTCTTTCATCAATTTAGGTTTGCTGAGAGAGTGAAGATTTTCTACCTCTGCAAAAGCGAAAACAGCTATTTTTGAGCATATAATACAATACAAGTGTTGAATTACATTTGAATTAGTTGTATACGATCCAGGTTGGTCTGAAGTATTGAACTAGTTCTAACAGATACAAAGCAATACTCATTTATCTTTTAATTTTACAATGACGTATTACTATTTCTTATTAGTTCCCTCAATTTGTCCACTTTGGTGCGTTTAATGTGAACCATTTGTCTCTCTTCTCCATATTTTTCCAAGAAATCTTCAATTGCAACGTCTCCTTCGAGAAATTTTTCAGCTATCTCCTGATAAAATATGATTAAGAACATAAAATTGCAGAAACTTATTCTTTCCAAGTGTGATTACTGCTAATGAAATAATAATGTTACCTCAGAATGTTCTTCCAGCTGGGCAACTGATGTTTGAAGCAAGGCCAATAATGTATCCGGGTTATAGTGTTCAGACAGTGTCTCTAGAAATACAATTAATATGTTATTGACAATACATTCATTACACATGTGCAATAGCTTTTTTAGAGAGTGAATAAAGACATAAATTGGCACAAGACAAATATTTGATTGGAAAGATTCTCAAGATGTTGCAAAGGTGGGGAAGATTATGGGTAATCACAAATGACTGTGTGTGATTCCCTGTAATTCTTTACAGGAAATGTGGTTGTGGTCAGTTTTCAAATAATTCTTTATTTGAAAACTGACCACAACCAAAGTGTACATCGAAATAATCTCTGTAGTAAATAATAAAAATCTATTTGTGTAGTGATAAAAAAAAAGTATAAGCACCTAGGTTACTTTTATTTTCATCAAAAATTTTAGTTTGCTTATTGAGCTCCTCATATAAATGAACCAATCTTGACTTGCATTCAGCGAGACGTTCTCCCTGCCTAAGATTGTACTCAGCCAAACTACGATTGCTCATTGTGTTCATTTCACGTTCTGTTTGGATTTTCTTAACCTGTAGAATTGAAAAAAATTCATGTGAATGAATGGTCATGTTGGTTCTGATATCGTGATGAATGATGAACTAGGTTCAGAATGAATACACCAGAGCAAACATAAGTGGGAAGCAAAATTGTAACTTTTATTTTATATGTGACATACTGACCAAATGATGAAAGATAGTACGGGGGGGGGGTGTTATCAAAATCATTACGAATGACGCAATTTTTAAATGTGAAATTAAGTAATCAGACTCATCAACACAACCTCGTTATTTTCATTTAAAAATTGATGCAGTTTCTCCTCCTTGTCGTGTAACTCCTGTAATTCCGCCTGATCTAGTTGATCCAATTGATTACTAATCGCGTACATGACATTTTCCATTTGAGAACGGTTGTTAAAATTGCCAGTGCTATTCAAACCATTGAAGCCAACGTTGTAAGATTGACTGGCTGTTTGATTTCGATACGGCACTGGCATTCCGCCATAACTGTAGCCTTGATTCATCGGTATAAACTGTCTCCTTTCTGTCAAGAAATTCCTATGAAACGTCAACCCTTTTTCTTGATCAAAACTCGATTTACTTCCTATCTCGGTTCAAATGGTTTGTTTACAAATTGTACAATTATTCCCGATTCATAGCCGAGATAGAACCGATGATCCCACAGATCATTTTGGCGTATTGAAAACAACGAAAGTATGAAATAGGAATAAGGATATGTCGATATTCGTCTGTATCAAAAAGGATTTTAGAAAGCTTGAAAAGGTTATTTCATTCTCTCCATGTTTTACGTTTTATTATTTTGTTTTGACAAAGCGATGATCTAGTAATTTCACTAAAAAACGTGACCACTGCGAGTAATGAAATCGTATGTACAAGATGAAAAATGGAAACGGTCTTAAGCGGACTAAAGTTGTCCAAGATGAGAATGAGTCAAAACGCACATCTGAGAGCAAGGAGAAAAGCGACAAACAAAAGCGGAAAAGGGTGAAAAAGCGAAGAAGCTCGAGTTCTCCAGAAGAAGATATAATTGATGGCTTTGTGATCACATCCTTTTCTAGTCTGCAAAGTCTAGAGGTATTTTTGATAGTTGATTTCGGCAAATTGTATTCGCTGTTTTTTTCACATCACTTACGTAGAACATTTTAAGCTATGTTTTTGACTTGAACCATTGAATTAACATCATATAAGGGTGTGTGTTTGTTATTCTATGTAAGATAAAAGTATTCATATTATATTTTGTTTTTGTTATAAGTTTTGTTTTCTGCTGGGTTTCAGTACAGTGAAAAAATGTCCGACACAAATATGTTGACATTTTTAATTTTCATTTGCTTGCTACCTGTCCTTTGTCATCAGTAATGTAGGAAAATATTCATTTTTCAATAAAGGCAAGAAATAATTTAGTATATGCTCAATTTGAGAGCAGAAATTGTTTACATTTTGTCTTAACTTTACTTTAAACTAACACTTAACTTTATAATTTGGAGAGAAAAGAAATGAAAAACTGAATGGATTGAAGTTTACTTTATGTGTTTGATAAAAATCATTACCCACGCATGTAAACTTGTTAAACAGACTTTATTTGATTTTGTTTGTTTCATAAAAATAGACTGTGACATCAGATATTTCATGTGGCATTAATGGGAAACATGAGGAAGAAAACATCTCTAAGTCCATAGAAGCTCCTACCAAACCTGTTGTGGGTAAACCAAAAAAAAATATCACTTGCAATGTTGAAGCTTCTTCAGAAAAACTAAACCTTACAACATGCAAAGCTAATGTTACAGAAATAGAGAGTTTTGGTCAAAAATCAAATGGATCCAAGAGATTACCTGGGGAGTCGATTGGTCAGTTAACTGATGTGAGTATTGATGTGATGAACCTGTGTTTTTATGATAAGATAATAAAATATCAAATCTTTAAATACATGCGGATGTTGTATACTACACATCTGTTCATATACTTAACAAAACAGATCATATTATCATACATAAATTATCATAAACATACTTAACAAAACAGATCAAGCATGAATATGTGATTATCATACATAAATTATCATAAGTGTTTATTATTTACCGTTTCAACAAAGACATGTTATGATTATATGCCATTTTTATACCAAATTGTTATATAGGATAGTTCAGAGTCTGGAAATTCGGAGAAAGGCTACATTGTAAGTGTGTTAAGTATTTAGTTTACATAATTCTATTGATTAATTATCAACATTGCTCAAAAGAAGTGTTTAAATGCAAATTTTGTTGTTTCTAGTGTGATGAGGACAGTGAAGAAGAAAAGGTGTGTAATGAACTACAGTTGCTAATCTCTTCTACATTCATCATTCCACTTAACTTGTAAAATTGATTAACTTGTTCAAATTTTTACCAAAAACCATTTATTCATTTTAAAATTTTTATCAATACTGGAATGTTTGTCAATTTTATCATCATAGGTTTCAAAAGAAAAGAAAACAGATTCATGTAATGAGCCATCTCGTAAGAAAACATTCACTTTTCCTTTTTTAAAGCATTAACTCTTTTGTTTTTGATTTGGGTGAAATGCAAAAGAAAGAGTTTTGCCTTTGTGCATGATTGGAAAATTTTTAATATAAGGAGGATTTTCTTGCAACCAAGTGTCAGATGATTAAAACCAATTTTGGTTTTTGCGATTGATTAATTCAACCTTGAATCAATGACATTTTTTCTGTTGGCATTTGATTTTTGCCATATTCACCTTTTACCTAAGAACAGGTATGATTAACAAATAGTGTGCATTATTCATTTCAGATGTAGATACAAAAGTTGCTATGATCCCAGTTAAAGTGGATCTCTCGCAAGAAAATAACGAAGGCAAATCGCTAGACCTAAAGGACGCGATTCACACCAATTTTCACTCGTAATATTTTCATCAATACTTTTGATACCATCAACAGACAGTTTTTTTTTGTCTTAAATGTCTTCACATTTTTAACAGAACGTCCAAGGCAGCTCTCTCTCAAGTGTCTTCTATCTCAATGTCGTCTGCATCTCTAGCACAGTCTTCTCAAAGCTCTTGGCCACCGCGTTTGACTTCGTTTAAGAAACCGTTGTCTGTCGTTGAACCTAGTTATGGATCAACTTCATTTTCAGGTTTGAAAGAAAATGTGTTTGCAATTTTTGTGTACAACGTGTTTTTGTTTCATTATTATTTCTTCATTCAGGGACGGAGGTTTTGCATCAAGAGTTAAACAACCGTTTTCTACAGTCACACTCGGAGTTGGAGCGAAGCTCTCAAAATTCCAAATCCAGTAGTCAAGAGATGCATCAACATTCCCATCTCCATCATCATCAACATCAACACCAGCATACCCATTATTACCCCTCACCGCTCCTTAGCACTCCCTATTTTCCAACACCAACACCTATGGTAAAGAATTTAAAGTCAAATTTAACCCTACTTATCCACAATGTTTAGCATGAGATAAGTCGTATTTGCATGTTTTCAATGGATAAGCAGTTATAAATAAGTGAATGAATGAAATAATTCGAAAACATTACGGAAAGATTCATCTTTTACTTAGAGCGTTGCCTCTGTATTGCCCTAAGGCCAAGGTTAATTCGTTCAACTCTTGGTCTTTTCTGTTACAATGATTTTCTTTTCCATAGCATGGAGTATTGTCACCATTTTCGACAACAAAACAAGGCTATAGTTCTCGTGTCATACCTCCATACAGCAAGGTAAGTGGATATTTAGAGCAATAATTAACATTTTCAGTAATTTAAACGCTTACGGATCTTTCCAGGTCCCCATATAATTCGATAGCATTATATTGACTTTTGAGAATTTTGTGAAAAATATTTTGCGTAAATATATGTTTCTTCGATTATCTACTGTGAACAGGATACATAATAAAGCCTCAAGCAATGGTGAAAGCGTTTTATTTGGTTTGAATAGTTCACTCTCCTGTGTGAAACGTTCCTCAGTGTTCTGCGAATGAACATAAAAGTTTTGTTTATTTGATTGTCTAGAAACCTGGCAAATGGTGCGCAGCACATGTGCATGTTGCTTGGAAAATATATTGTCATCAACGTGTAAGTATTTTATGTTTTCCTTTCTCGTCATCTCTAGATATTTATTATCTTATAATTTGATTTTTTCGTAGGTACAAGGAGAATTATCGAAGGATGCTGTGACACACGAGGGGTTATCAGGGAATAAACCAAGAACAACTACAATAATCCCTCCGTGTTCATCACGTCATATGTCCTCTAATGACATTGGTTATCATTCTTCTCATTTACGAAGGCTTTCGGGTACGTTTGATTCATCTCTTTTTTTCAAACTTCTGTATTGTTATGGAAATATTTGTGCTAATAAAATATAATCTGTTTTAAACGGTCACTCTTGACCCTTTGTAATGGTTGTTGCTTAGTACAGGTGCTGTCAAATACCACAGAATTTTACGTACAGAAGGTCGTCTTTTTGTTTGACCTGACATGCTCCAAAGCAAGAAGGGAGGGGGAGGCTAGCGCAACAATAAAATAATGAAAAAAGCTGACGAGACCATTTGTAATATTTCTGCAGAAAAAGTTTGATAAGTGTAGCGTTTTATTTAGTAGAAAATGAACTTGATTTTATTGGATTGGATTGGATTATCGACATATAATTGATTTTTTATAGATTCTCCATTTGGTAAACCGCCTGTACTCATTCCATGTAATAGTCCTCCTACTTCCGTTGTTACGTCATCAGTATCTGCATTTTCATCTGTCTCTTCACCACCTCTATTAACCTTGCGACGTCCAAGCACACCAAATTCCTTTTCACGCTCCCTGTTAGAAACAAATCAACGACGTTCGCCAAACTCCGGAGCATCTACCCTCTATCCCTGGCTTAAACTAGAATCAAGAACTCCAGAATTAGATTCGATTCGAACAAGGGAGCATTTTAATAAACGAGAATCTCGTACTCATACCCCTCCAAGGCCAAGCAACTTTAGCATTCAGACCCTTGCTGGTGAGCGGACAGAAACGGTTCGACCCAATCCTTTAAGGGATACGTCTCGTATGCACTTCTCTCGAGAGTTAAGAGCATTTGATTCGCGATCGTTTGCAGACAATCCACTTGCTGCAACTTTTGGGGCATTAGATAAGAGACCTATAGATTGTCGCCCAACGTCAGGCTCAATTGATCTCAGTCGAAATTCTCTTTTTCCACGACTGGATCCAATGCATTCATTATATTCTCATCACGTGACTCCAATGTCATCTCACATACCATCCGGCTATGTGTATCCAAGTCTTGCTGATTATCATCATCCTCCACCTAGTCATTCAATGGTTTTAGGTACCAGGGATTATTTGGCATCTTTTTCCCGCCCAGCCGATATGCCTTTTTACTTCAGACGCGACATGGACGATCGCCTTGCTGGAGGGAGACGCTGACTTCTATCGTGCTGGATGTACATATTTGTAGTTGAGCAGTTTTGAGGGACACGAAAGTGAATGTTTTTGCCGTTTTTGACTTTCGCTGTTGTGTTTAACAGTGTACTTTTAGATTAAAGAAAGACATTTAACTTAAAAGATGTTAGAAATATAAAGATAATATAAAATGTAATATTGCAGTGTAAAGATAATGCATATATATAATGCTATTAAAGATACAAATTGTAAATTTTTCGCACAACTAGTTAAAAATTGTGCTTGATAAACTATAATGTTGTGTTAAAACTTGTGTTTCAGCGTATCTATTTTTCTGTTGATATATGATCACGTGGTGTCGATGCGTAAATATATTTAAAAAAAATAACTCACGTGACCCGAAGTGTGCTCTTTCGCGGACTTTTCAAGGGTCATTCATCAAGTACTTGCGATATTTCTGTACAATATTATGTAATGAACAGGTTTGTTTCAATGAAAAATGTCCATAAATGATGTTACCGTGGCAAAAGGTCACCAGATTTATCGTTTAGTTCTAACTGGAGGTAAAAATTTGTGCATATAATTTTAGTTTGAAATTAGAAATGGTTTAACTAACTTAACTTAGCCTGTGCGGCACGTTGACCATCGAAGCGTTTGTTGTTTATTGAGAATTGATGATTTAATGAGATTTATAATATTTTATTATATGAGATAAATGAAAAATGATTTTCAAAATAGATTTCGCTAGAAGAACGACAAAGTGTATGTAATTATAAATCCCATTCCTGACTTTTTAATGGTGAAACTTCAGCAAGGCGTGAAGATTGAAATTAAATTTAGAATTATGTAGATGTCATACATTTATGATGCCGTTTACATTGATGTTATCTCGAAATTATTCAGGCTGTTGTAAATTCATTGTTCAAAACTTCATTCAAATTATCCAACTTCATTTCAGGTCCATGTGCAGGAAAAACTACAGCTCAAGCTCGAATATCAATATTCTTTGAAAATCTAGGATGGAAGGTTTGATTTTTCAGTCTTTTTTTAACATCTACGTAATTTTGACTGTTACCAATTTTTGTTGATTGAAATTCCACATTTAAACTTAACTATGTAAATTCTCAGCCTTGAATCACCTTGGTGAAAAATGAATTGAAGAGTTTAATGTTTTTTTTGCTAGGTGTATCGTGTGCCAGAAGCAGCTACAATATTGCTTGGGTATGGGGATGCCTTTCTTGAAATTTTTTGGAACCCTTTGAATCAAGTAATTGAACTACTGTAGAGTGTCAAAAGTAGCCTCCCCCCCAAATTAATCACCCACTTGAAAATAGGGGCCAACATATACTAAAGAATTAAGAAAGTAACCCATCCTTGAAGGTGACCGTCCTCTTGAAAGTTAATGCTCTCTTTGTAGAACTTTTAAGAGCTTTACAATGTTTATACTTCAAGTGTAGATTAAGAATGTTTAGTCATTGGTGTTAATTGAAGCAGAAAATTACCATGAAAACTAAGCTCCCCCCTGAAATTAGCCACCCCTTAAGAGCACTAGTTTCAAAAATAGCTCAGGTGGCTATGCTTGAGACTCTTTGGTATGCTTTGTTTTTAGAGGTGGTGTAAAATTCAAAGATTTGACTGAGCAACAATGTAATTCTTTATTGAATTCAATATTTAGATTTTAATTGACACAGTAAATGCTATAAAATGTGCTTCTTCTATTCATTTTTAAGCTTTTGAATTTCAAGAAAATTTACTGAAAACCATCATTCAGCTGGAGAATACATTCTTTAATCTTGCTAAGAGTTGCTGTCAAAATTGTTTGGTAATATGTGATCGAGGAGTTATGGATCCCTCTGCATGTAGGTTATGACTTTTTGGTATAAAAATGTGTATCTTTTTTTTAATGTTCATATGGAGATTGGTGTTTGCAAGACAGTAAACCTTTAATAATGCCTTTTTATCTTTGAAAGATCCTGTTCTCTAAAGTTACTAAAGTCTTAACATCATATAAATATATTTGGTAGTTTAAGACTAAGTTAGTGTCTTTAGAAAACTGGATTTTCTAAAGATGAAATGGCATTTTCAAAGGGGTACTGTCTTGCAACCACCAAACTCTGTATAAACATTAGAAACATGTTCCTGTACAATAAATACGCTTCAGCCATGCAAGCAGCTATATTTCTTAGTGATTATAACTGATCTTGTGAATATAACTCATTGTTAAATTGTGTCATTTGTAGTTCTTAGTAAAGAAAAGTGGGAATACCTGTTGAAGAAAAATGGTTGGAACAATGTAAAACTACGGGATGAGCGTTACAATCAAGTTATACATCTAGTTAGAAAATGATGTAATTGTTTCTATCTCTTTCCTTTCTTGCAAATGTTTGTATTTTTCTTCAGGTTACAGCTGCAAAAGGTGCTGAAGAATTTTATCAATTAGAGAACAACAGCTCACGAAGTGAGGGATTGACTTTGGCCAGAGAGTTGGATACAAAAGCTTGTCAGGTTTGAGAGATTTCAAATAGTTTTTTTTTGTGATTGAATAATAGCGCGCTTGGTGCTTTTGAAAATATATTTTAAGAAAAAGAGACGGAAATTTTGCGATTGATCTTATGACATGAACACTTGGCTTAAATATTTCAGTTTATGATGATTTTCACAACTTGCTAAATTACATGGATTAAGACTCAAGGGACAACTAACGCATATTAAAATTAATTTGAATCCAGGCATGGCTTGGTCATCCGTACTTTGATGTTATTGGAAACTCGCAAGACTTTAGCGAAAAATTATCACGGGCTATTTCCGTAAGAACTCTCTTTCCGTAACTTTATTTTGTTACTTTTGTAACTGATTTGATTTGCGAACTTTGGAAACCTTTTTTGTATATCGAGAATTGTGTCATTTTCATTCATTTCTCAGGCAGTTTGCGCAAAGATGGGCGTTGATGTAAAAGATCGTTTTGAAAAGGACAGTAAAAAACGAAAATTTCTCGTATCCACACCTCCAAAGTACTCTGTAAGTTGAACAAACCGAAATTGTTTATATACAACGATCGGTTGACAACATTTGATTAACTCTGTTGTAAAACTTTGTTTAAACTTCATAAAATAATTTCATTAACTTTTGTCTTGAAGAAATTTCCGCCTCATCAAGATTTCGATGTTCAGCATGATTACTTGTTATGTACAGGAGGTTTGCAGGTACGAATACGAAAGCGTGGCCAGGAAGGTTAGTATCAATGTATCATAAATTGACCGTGTGACTATATTTCCAAACGAATTTTGTTCGTATAGTTTATTTGTGTATTTCCAGGCTATTATACGTTCAGTCACACAATGAGACTTGTTATTGATGAGCAAATTGTCGAGCGAAGAAAAATTATATCTTCAGAAGAATATGAGGTATGCTTACTAAAAACTTTATTCAATGTGTATCATGAAAATTTTTTTCATCTTTTGAGTCTGAGCTCGCTTTCTGTTTCTACTTCTTGTGTTAATGTGTCCTCTTGTCTTATACCATCTAATTTCATCTCCTTTTTCAATGAATTTCTTCTTCAAGGCCACTGTCCCTAATTATATTCGGTTGGTTTTCGTTCTTTTTTTCAAAAAGGAAGAACAATTACCATGTACTGCAGAAAATTCTTGGGCTCAATTTTTATTCCGAGGTAAATGCGTTTTCAAAGTCTTTGCCTCAATGACCGAGACGTCGTAAATTTGCACATTTCGGAGAATGCCAACTTGCGCATGTCTTGTTTGTGTTTTCATGGATCTGTGATATTAACGTGTGCTGCTCTCATTGCTTTCCTTCAAAAACAACGCACTGGAAGTGTAAACTTGTTTTTTGTCTTCTTGAAAAATTTCCAAATGGTAGCTGGTTTTGTGCAGAAAGAAGAAACTTAAGTATTTTGTTCTCTCGACTTATTAATATTTTTGAAATGTTTACGCCTGCAATCAAAAACCCAAACCGAAACTTTCAGTTTTTTAGCTTTATGAAATTTTTCGGTATATAAAAAGGGACTTAATGGACCAATTTTGATTAATTGCACAGCTCTTATTTTAATGAACTGAAATCTCCTAGCTTCTCTTTCTTTTCAGCTAATCTTCATCTCTATACCTTTTGGTCTTTTGTCATTCCTACAGCACACCTCATCGCTTTCGTAAGGCTTTCATACATATTTGTACCACTAAATATATCTTGTTCTCGGCCCCACCCGACTTCGCCATACACTGTCAAGGCTCATATCTTGGCACCTTTTAATATGCTTTCTCCAAATCAACAAAATCACAATACAGCTTGCTGTCTCGTCACGATTCTTTCTCAATCGACAACTTCAATGCAAATACTTATACTGTGTCGTTAGTACTCTTTGTTGGCATAAAACTATACTGTTGCTTACAAATGCTTACTTTAGCCTTTACGTAGCTCTTGTTACACGTCACACATCTTTATTGTATTGTATGACTCATCAACTTTATTCCTCTGTCATTACAACAACTCTGAACTTTATTTTCTTTGTTCAATTTCCATCATCGCCCTGCATGTGATGAAAATTGAATTGAGGTTTGTTGTTAATCCAAACCATAACCAATGTTTATGGAAGTCATAGCCAGGCTTCGGACAGCCTTCAGGGGGGAAGTTCAAACATTTATGCCATGACGGAAGTCATAGTCAGCCTTCGGACAGCCTTCAGGGGGGAAGTTCAAACATTTATGCGTCGTAGCCAGGCTTTTGACAGCCTTAAGGGGAGAAAGTTCAAGCATTTATGCCATGACATAGAGGGTCTTCCAAAAAGTGACACTATAAAAATAATCTCATTGTTCATAATTCGCTGTTTGTATAATATATTATTTTCATCAATTACACATGTTTAACAAAAGTTTGGGTACAACGAGATTATTTCTATAGAGAAAAATACTCTGCGTGTACTGGTTATTAGGCGTTTTATCAAATATAATATGAAGAAGCCATAATTTCCACTATTATTGTAAAATTTTTATTCCTTTTTTCTAAATATTTTACAACTTTCATGTTTTTAAAGTTACTCTTACAACAAAGAGATCCCTCTCGACATTCGCTTACAAAAAAAAGAACATGTTTTTTATGGCACAATCAATACTTTCAACTCGATGTTTTTTGCCAACCTACTAGTGAGAGGTAATCATTTTTATTTTATTGTCACTTATTTTATTATTTATTTATTATATTCAACTTTATCGCAACATTTCCACTCTTCACGTGAATTTTAGAATTTTTTCCAACAATTACAAGATATCTCTATTCTTAAGGTGCAAGGGTTTAATATTTTTGGAGACGTTCACAACAAAAAAAGGCGCCGATTTGCAGCTTCCAAATTTTTTGGAGATCGAAAAGGAAATAACCGACGATAAAGAATACTCGATGTACAATCTTTCTCTGAATGCCAAGTGAAGGTTACATAAAAAGTTTTTTAAAATTATATGCTGTTTTTTTACATAATGTTTAAAGTATATTTGAATGTAGTTTTATTCGTTTTTATTAGTGCAAAGTTTCCATGGGAACTTTGTAGTATTGTGGTGAGTTACGAAAATTCACACGAGTCAGTCAGTCAGTCAGTCAGTCAGTCAGTCAGTCAGTCAGTCAGTCAGTCAGTCAGTCAGTCAGTCAGTCAGTCAGTCAGTCAGTCAGTCAGTCAGTCAGTCAGTCAGTCAGTCAGTCAGTCAGTCAGTCAGTCAGTAGTATTGGTGAGTTGCGATTCAGAGTCAGTCAGTCAGTCAGTCTGTTAGTCAGTCAGTCAGTCAGTCAGTCAGTCAGTCAGTCAGTCCAGTCAGTCAGTCAGTCAGTCAGTCAGTCAGTCAGTCAGTCAGTCAGTCAGTCAGTTGTTAGTCAGTCAGTCTGTCATTCTGTTAGCAGTCAGTCAGTCACAGTCAGTCAGTCAGTCAGTCAGTCAGCCAGTCAGTTAGTCAGTCAGTCAGTCAGTAGTCAGTCAGTCAGTCAGTCAGCCAGTCAGCCCGAGATCACCTGCCATAGGCTTTGCTCGGGGCAGCAGGAGAGTTCACCGAAGTCGCCACTGCATACTAGCACCCAGCTTCCACTGCTAGTTGACATCTACATGAAGTTTAGCTTCATATATATATATATATATATATATATACACATTCATTAAGTCAGCATGCCCAGATCATTTCTTTGATAATTTGCGACTAAGTCAGCTAGTTGCCACAAATGTAGTGCATATAGTTAGTACATATAGTTAGTTGTTGCCATGACTATAAACAATTAGTTGAGTGGACTGCGCATGCTCGAGCGCATGCGCAGATGATTTTTCACTTAAATTGTTACTAAGCATGCTATTTACTTCAAAATCAAGCTAGTAGATGCAGTTGATCGTTGTCATTAGTATAAACTTGGGCAACTGGTCAAGTCGACGGCGCATGCTGCGCATGCAGATGATTTATCTAAAAATTTTTGACTGAGCGAGCTAATTATCCAATAATCTGTCCTAGTACATAGAGTTGGTTGTTGCCATAACCTTGGAGAGTTGGTGGAGTTGACTACAGGTTAATTTTCAATATGTGAGGGAATGAGCTCTGAAATTGGTGTTTGTGTATGCGCTTAGCAAATTTTCAATCATATATTTTTGGCAGAGGTATTGTTTGAACCTTTTCAGTATCATTGGATGTTCTAGTTTTTTTTTACGAGAAGAATTCTTGTAAAGAAAAAAGAGAAATTTTGAAAACAAAAAATCCCGTTTTCCGTCCATGCCTCCTGATACCCCGAGATAATTGAGCACCAGAGCGTCGTATGTTAATGAACCAGATAATCCTTGTTTGCCATGAAGCCCATGGATGATTTGCTCGTGATACATGAGAAACAGTAAATGAGAAAGATATAAAGTAATAAAAATTGTATAAAACGTATTAAAGGTTGTCTTAAATTATAAGTGTCAGAAAAAGGCACAGTGTCAGAAGAAGTTAATTGAAACATTGCTGGGTTTATTTCATGAGAAGTATCGATAATCCCGGGTTCAAACCAATAACCTTCCTTTGTTCAATAAAAGATCTGACCAATTATAAACGTCACCGTTTTTGAAAACCTGCGTTTTCCGTCCACGGGTAAACAAAAATAACGGGGGAAAACCTGTCTACACGCAAACAAGAAAGCGAAGGAAAGCATGTCCACGCGTAAACAAATAAGATCGTTTTCGAAAACCTCCATTTACTGTGGAAAAAATTTTACGTGTGAACATAACGTCAAAATGGATTTATGTTTGTTCATAAAAGAGGGTTTAAACAACATAAAAGAGGGGAAAAACCGCAAGAACTGGTTTTTCTAATCAAATCATTTTTACAAATAAAAAAGCTTAAATACTGTAAACTGAATATATTGTACAATGCTTCACTCACCAAAATGAGCAATGAAATCGAGCAGTTTTTTTAAGAAAATCTCTGTGATTTGCATATAAGTCACAATCTGCGCGAACCTCCATCCATTTGACATCGCCAGCGTCATCTCCAGCTTTTAACTGGAAGTTTTGAAGCACTTTGCCATGCTCATCGTGAAAGTTCATGGCGACTGTTTCTATCCACGCGTTATCCGTGTTTCTTGGATCATCGACGTAGCCACACGAAATCTAAGAAAAAGAAACCAAATGATTGCAATCCCTCCATGAAAGTATCGCCACAAAAGTGTTATAGTAGAGATGAGATGTCATCACTGCAGAAGACACTGAAGACATACAGGTTTTCACCAAAGAAGTGACGTAACCACTGATCTCAGTGAAGAAAGGTTCATTTGGTAAGGTATGACCAATGATGAGTCTATCTCTAAGAAAATATAAGCACCTAAGGTGTCAACCACAGATTAAATTTAAAGATGGATTTCAAAATAGCAAATACCATGGTGAATGGTGATAATAATGTAATAGTTCTTAAAACAGTTCTTTTAAGAACTATTACATTGTTATTATCACCATTCACCATGGTATTTGCTATTTTGAAATCCATCTTTAAGTTTGTCACCACGACAAAGTCTCTGTTTCATTATTTAAGATTGAATTTCATTATAGAAAATATGTCTGACGCAGAAGAGGTATGTCACCTCAGAAGGCACCAGACATCTCTAGATGCAGAAATTTATACCAGCAAAACTACTTTCTTGAAATTTGCATCAACATTGTTTTACCATGCTTCCATTTTGAAATAACTTTGTCAACGCTTCTTGCAATTCTTGTTGTTCATGTTGTGAAAGTTCAATGGAGTTGAATGCTTCTTCACCAAATTCCTTTTTTAAAGTTTTAGATACTGTATCACCAGGTTCTACCATACCCTTAGAAATATTAAAACAAACCAGTAAAGTTCATTGTAAACGACATTCTATTGTAGCAATAAGGCTTTATAATAAAAAATAGCTAGGAAATTGTGAAATAGTTTTCTATTCAAAGGTAAAATCAGGCAAAACAATTGCAAATTTAACAAATGAACTATAATGGTACTAAAAAACAAAATGATGATATGATAAAGATCTATACCCCAGGAATTGCCCACTGGCCATTATCGTTTCTTTTGATAGCAACAAACTCTAAGATTGGTTTTCCATTTTCCTGAACATGCTTACCATCACTGTTGACTTTCCATCTTAAATTGAACAATAAGGCAATGTTCAAATTTATACAAAAACTTATGCTCATATTTTTGAGCGATACGCATTTTGCATTATACCTGGTGACAATAGGATCTGCTGCATGATTTGGACCCCAACGTCCCAGAAGTCCTCTGCCTGTCATTCCTGTTCTACCAATAGGGTTCCTAGAAAATTATGACATTCCTAACATTGCTGCATTGAACTACTGCCAGACAACTGTTAGTTATGGCTAGTTAAAGTTGCTTCATCAAACTTTTTTTTTACCGTGGCCTGTATTCAATGATTTCATATTCACCAGTGAAACTTGTTCGATCAACATTGTAGTGACAGTCCTTGCTGTTGTATTGAAAGGGTGGGTCTGCTTTGCAGTGGCTGAAATGAATCAAACCATTACTTTAAAATGGCTTGGTTAAAGCCATTTCGCAACTCAATTGTCTACCTAACGTCAGGATCTGCCCATGAAGGTTTGTTTAGGACGTGTTCACTGGTATATTCTATTGGTTTGTATTCTTTGTACATGGTGCTCCATTTTACAGATTTATCTGGAACTTCAAATTTCTTTACGTTACAACCTGGGTAGGCAGGACCTCTTGCTTTCGTATGCATATTGCCGTGGCTTCTAGCACGTCTTTCTACAAATATAGAAATAAGTTTTACCTGCCGGTACATTGTACGTAAATGCTATCAATCATTTATATAGTAAGGACAAACAAATTCAACGTATCTTACTCTGTTTTTGCCTAGAGCTCGACCATAGCAAGCTCGTGGGAATAATATGTACTGAACAAGACTGAAGCGCCAGATGAGCGATTTTCTTCTCGGAAATTTGCATCCATAAAGAATTCAAGAAACGCACGGTGAAAGTGAAAATGAAAGATTCACATATAAATGGCTTGCCTTACGAAAGCGAAAACGAAAAATTGTAAACAAATACTTGCCAAGTCAGCATCACTGATCTATTTATGAAAGAATAACTGGAGTGAAGAACTTCTCCATGGCATGTTAGTATTGAATTATATAAACCAGACGTTTATATAAAATAATACACTGGATGAATTCATGTATTTTAATATTTTTGTCAAAGTACGGACATTAAAGTTCTGGTGAAAGGAGAAACCTGATCCATTTTTTACCTCTGAATCTAAAGAAGTAACCTGCTATGCTGAACACTTTCCTTTGGTTTTTGATTATTTACTTTAAAAAATTTCAACTTTTGAAAAGGTATTATAATGATAGCCAACAAAATAGTCTTCTGTATTTGCCGCGCGAATTGCATGTAACATTGTCTTTGCAAGGAGAAAGAATAAAAAGGATTATATTTATTGGAGATGTTCATGGTTGTTATGATGAGTTGTGCGAGTTGCTAAAAAAGGTAAATTATTATGAATCAAAGGACATCATAGCTGTATTTGTTGGAGACATTTGCAACAAAGGTCCAAAAAGCATTGAGACGTTGCAACACATAAGACAATTGGGTTCTAAGGCTTTTTCTGTGCGAGGGAACCATGAACAATCAGTTTTATGTCGATTGAAGGAGTTGGAAAACGGTGTTCAACCTACTAAGAAGTATATGTGGATATCTGAATTAACGGAGGAAGATTGCTTGTACTTAAAACAGTTACCTCTTACAATAACTATACCATTGGTAAATGTAATTGTTGTTCATGGTGGTTTGGTACCAGGGACACCATTGCTATTACAGAAACCAAAGCTAATGATCAGCATGCGAAATTTTGTACCTGAAAAGTTATCTGGCACAAGCAATATTGATGAAGGTGTTCCATGGGCTGGCCAATGGACTGGGCCTGAGTTTGTCATTTTTGGCCATGATGCAAGACGAAGACTACAGAAATATAGGTATGCTATTGGCTTGGACACAGGTTGTCTGTATGGATCAAGACTGACGGGATTTTAATAAACACTGATGATGGTGTTTCCTCTTTTAAAAATGGTAAATTTGTTCATGTGAATGCACACCATGCATATGCTTGGGATCAAATATTGTAAACTGGCACTAGCAGAATATTTAAATTGGTGAGTTGTTACAATATGTTATTTCCTCGTCACACTCCTTACCTTGCATCTCTATTATATCATTTATATGACATTTATTCTTTATCCCATAATCTAAAGGATGTATGGAACAACAAAATCATGCCATAAGTTAGTTATTAATGAATTGTCAATGGTATTTTTCATCTCAACTTAAATTTACCTAGTGAAATTAATATAGACATGCAAGTCCTTGTATAATAATCAAAACCTAATTAAATGTAATTGTTGTTTATGTTTAAAAGTCAATCATACTAGTTTGACAAAAATGTTCATTTTACACTTGACTTGGTGTGCTATTTAAAAGACTTGAAATCTTTCCAAATACAAGAATTGTGACACAGCTTTATCTATCTTTTGTGACATCTGCATTTTTACCATCTCCATCATTTCTATCATCTCCATCCATTTGACTTTGTCTTGCTTGGTCTTGTATCGACTTCCATATACGGTATTCTTTCTCTTCTTTTTTTTTGTTTCGATCCTCGTATGTCAAGCTAAATTTAACAGAAGATATCAGATTGCTATTAAATGTCTATTAATTGGTCTTGTATCTCACTTACCGGTTCATAATAATGTTTTGAATTATTTTCCCGTTGTCAAGTTGTTAATACTGTCGATGATCGTGAATATACCACGGGACTTTGGAATTGCATAAGGGTCATTACCATTAGCATCTGGTGCAATTGGAGTCATACCATGACAAAAATAATCAACCTGAAATGGCAGGAAAGGCTCAGAAATTATCTCCATATGGAATGACCTACACAATGCAAGAATTGAATTCATTTATAAATATGTACCTTGAATTGATCCAATAACTCTTCTGTGGCTATATAGGGAGCTCCAATGATAACCTGGTCAACATATCTGCAAGCCAAAACTGACAAGACTCTTTCATGAAGATTCATAACAGGGTAGTTGGCACCCTTGTAGCGATTTACTTCAACATCAGTGTGAAGACCAACAATAACATAGTCACCTTTTTTTTTACAATGCTCCAGAAAGTCAACATGGCCAGCATGGAATAAATCAAAACATCCTGGAGTGTACACAATCTTATCATCAGATTTTGGCTCTTTACCATCAGAAAATTGAACAATCTTATGGGTGGTTGGCATAAAATGAGAGACAGAGGTCCAAGGACTCCTTTTCCCAGATGGATCTGAACTACCAACACCTAGCATTTCCGCGTCCAGGCAACCAATAGGTGTTTTGGTTTGGAAGTGATCGCGAGTCAGAAGTAACATACGTCCAACAAGATTAGTTGTTGATATACCTTCTGTACGCTTGCATTCCTTGTAACGACCTGCTGCTTTGACATGTCTGTAGGAGTCAACTCCATTAACATCAGTTGTGATATCGTCTCCATGTACACAAAAATCACAATTATAACGATCCATCGTCTCCAAACTCGTCACGTATGGAGCATCCTCGACGACTTCGTCAACCCATTTTATAGCACGAACCATCTTGTAACGATCTTTCTCGTTCATGACAGGGCGTCCTTTATGTTTCGTTATTTCTGCATCGCTGTGCACACCAACAACTAGATAATCGCCCATCGCTTTTGCTTGCCGAAGAGAATTAGCATGGCCAAAATGAGCCATATCGTAACAGCCATCCGCCCAGACGCGTACCTGTTTTAGCTTTTTTGCTGGTACTTCTTCCCCGTTTGCCGCCATTTTATTCTCAATTGAATTGCTGACTTGTAAAATTACTTGCAAATATGTTTTTTGTACAAATTCAAAAGGACGCGTACGTCCAAGGTAGAATCACAATATAATGATGTCATATACCTCAATTTTAAATTCAAAACTGTTGTTTTGTCCAATGTTTTTCATATAGAGTTAAAATTCATATTTCAAAAGTATATTTCCATGTTGACGGAGCTTTACGGCAACGTATCTACAACATATTTTTCCTTGGAAATTAATTTATCGAGATTTGTTCTTTTGAAACTTCTACCATGACTAATGATGAACGCACTTTTAACAATAACAAATTGATCGACAAAAATATTTTGGATTTGAAGACCTTCATACTTGGTGCAGTTGCCAAAATTTGAAAATTTATTTAGCAAGTCCAAAATGGCAGCAACGCCAAAATGAACTTAAAAAAAATTTATATTGCAGCATCAAAAAACTAGCCTTACCTTGACAATGTATAAGTGAAGTTCTCTAATAGCGACACAATTCAAATGCAAATAATTAAAATTCAATGCGATGTGCAAGGATACCATAATAAAGCTGTGTGTGGGCGAAGAGATTGAATTATTAATAATATACATGAAAAATTTATCAATTCTGATTGGTTAAGAGCAGTGCAATTTATCGTAAACACCAGTGCAAAAAAGCGAAACACCAGTCACTTTTTTCACTGTGACACTCTAAACCATTGAAATGTTAGAGTGAGGTGTGATTGTTTGAACTTTAAAAGTTCAATCTAAATTTTTGAAGTTTTCGTGTATTCGGCTTTTATGAAGTGGGACGAATACATATTGCATAAACCATTTACTTAAAAGTTATAACTCACAATTTTTAAAAATAAATACTAATGTCCAACGCCCAAACTTTCCAAGATTTATGTTATTCAATTTTATGTCATTGTAATTGATCCAATTCATTTTTTCACATTTAGCCTGCGAACGGGATAGAATAAGAACATCGCACGCAACATGGCCGTCAAGTTATCTCGAGTTAGAGCAAATTCAGAAGTATTTTGTAAATTATTTCGAAAACGAATCCATTTTAGGGATTATTCCAGGTTCGACCGATAGCGAAAATTCTTGAGTCTTTGTTTTACTTAGCTCATAGGTAGTGTTTTCCTTTATAAATAATTTTATTTTCGTTCAGACTGGCCGAAGTTGGACGTTTTGAAATTCCGAAACTACAGGGAAAGTATTCCTCGGGACAGGTATGTTCATTGCTCATTGAAAAACTTTTACCATTATTCTGGATGAAAAAATACGTAATTCATCTATGTAGAAAAGAAATTATACGTAATACATTAGCCTATATAATTACAAACTCAAAGTTGTGCAGCTTGAGTTGTGCGATCACTGTTAAGACTTGACCAGTGAAAGTATTGGTTATGAAAGTAAATAAGATTAAGTGCTAGACTGCACTTTAGCTGACACCCGAAGCGCTTGTATGCGAAGCGCAGGCTCATTTATGGTAAGGGTTTGGGTCAGCGTCTAAGTTGTCCACCAAACTGCAGTCGTCCCAGATTAAGTAATGCTCATCAGTTTAATGTTTCATTTCCAGCCATTTCTTCATCGTATATTTGGCTACCGTGGAGTCATTTTATTTCCTTGGCTTGCTAGACTGTATGATCGTGATCTTGAAAAGCCTGCACTTTCTCAAAGGTTTTGGCTGATTTTTCTATAACCTGAATGTTTTTCCTCAAGTAATGATCAAAATATTATTTATAAGAATAGCTTCATTTTTGTATTTTTAGTGAAAATGAAGAAATAGAAGGATTGAAAGGTCAAACACAGATTTACTATCAGGTTTTGATGGACAACAGAGATTCCTATTTTACTGTAGGTATTTTAGGGGTTTTTTACGTTACACTGATCCACTCTTAGATAAGATATTTTACTGGATGCTTTGCAGAGAGCACAAGTTGAATCGGTCACATTTTTGGGTAATGAAAAAGATGGTTCACTCTATGCAATACCTGGTAATATATTTATCCATTGATTCCATTCCAGTACAGTTCAGATATATGCGATTATTTGGTTAATTATTCTCTTTATTTACTTGTTTTTAGGTTTAGATTATGTAAGCCATGAAGATATTCTTCCATACATGCCCAGTGAACCAAAGCCAATCAATCATGAATTATTTGATCGTTTCTTTACACCATCTTATGGCAAAGGTAAACATATAGGTTTGTAATAAAATGACATCATCCTGATAAACTGCCCTTGAGGAAGAGGGGGATATAATGATAAAAATCGGCAGGTGTTATTGTGGTAAACATCAGTATTGTTTGCTTGCAGCGAAAGCTCATTATCATGAATACATAATAGTTTGCAATTCAAACAGCTGTGTGGTTTGACTTTTTCTATCCCAGTTATATCCCTCAATCTGGCAAAATACATTCAAAAGTTCAAATATTTGTGCCCAATTTCGTCATGAAATACCATTAATATCATTAATAACATTAAATACTAAATAAACATTGGGAATGAACTATGGTATATTTCAGTTCTTACATATAACAGGAACTTCATCTGAATGTGTGTATTTGGTTTGTGGTCTCTTTTCCTCCACATAATTTATTTATCATCTCATTTTCAGGTCATATTGCTCTAGACACGTTAAGATTATGGCATGAAAAAAATCACAAGTGGCTGGAACTGTCTGATGTTCATCGAGAAACAACAGAAGACATCCGAGTGACTGCCATTCCATTTTACATGGGAACAAGGGTATGGTTTGTTCTTTAAAGAGTGTTGCTTCCACAAAATAAGATATTTGATAATACTTGTATTTTCTTTTGCTAATATCTGCAGGAAATGCAAGGTGTTCCTAATTATTGGGTAAGTCCTATATTATATTTTCTTCTACGAAAAAGTAATTCGAGATTATTAGACAGTACTTTATTGAAATAGCAATACATTTACAATCACATTTCCTATACTTGTATGTAGTTTGTAAAATCAATTTGATCAAATACTTTCACATTAATGTTCAAATCACCCTTTAGACACATATGCTTGCATATGAAATAATTGAAATGAAAACAACATATTTTTTCATGACATTAACTTAAATTATCACATTTTAGTGGCGTTATTGTATACGGTTGGAAAACCTTGGCACCAACCCAGCACAGTTGAGGGAAAGATTTTGGAAAATTTTTAGTCTGTCTGGAACATTAGAGACGGTGCGAGGACGAGGTGTTGTTGGGCAGGTCAGTATTGTTGACATTATGTATTATCAAAAAAAACAGGGTTTACTGAATCTAACAACTAAGAGACTAGCAAGCAATGTCATAAATCATTTGATGCAACCATACACTCTCCAAAAGTTTGAACAAGAGGTGAATGCATGATTTAACTGTTGTGTTTATTAAGTTTCATTTATTATAGGAACCAAAGCTAACTCCTCAACAAAGTGCTTTCCAATACAGCAGTCACGTATCACTTCATGCTCCTAGTGGCCATATGTGGTAAGGGAAACCTGTATGGGACTCAATTTTTCTGTTAAACAATAAATATTAAGTTTGAGATTTTGTTAGGGGAATTTTTCGATTTGAAAGACAGGATGGAACTATGTTTGATGTGAGGATACCGCCATTTTCTCTTGAGAGTAAGGATCATGTTGGTGAGCTTTAGTTTTGAGTTCAGTAATATGTTTGTGGTAGGTATTGCTAAACATGTAGCGGCTACCATGTCATGCAACGCTCCAGCAATATCTGCTCATGTATACATAGTACAAATAAAATACAACAATCTTATGTAGAAACTAAAGAGTTATGTCAAAATGCCTCAGTAAGTGGCATTTGTCATTCTATGATGAAATGCAGACGTTGTGCTAAATTATATCCAGTGACACAACACAATTTTGTTATTGAGTAATTTAATATTTGTGTTATAGTAATTTAGTTTTGATTTTCAAACATATTTTTTAATTTTATCAAAACAAGTATATAGCATTTAATATACAATTATATTCTGAAATCAGTAAGCAAGGCTTTAATATGAGTCCATAAAAACCAGAACTATAAGGAAAAAAATTGATGTTGATGAAAATGTATGAATCTGATCTGAACATAGCAATGGACCATGTACTGTAATGCACAAACACAAACCTCAACTAGACTGCAAGTTACACGACCTGATACTAGAACAATGGTTATGGCTGTAATCAATGAAGATGCAAGAAATTGATTGATTAAAGCCAGCATCTTCAAACTATACAACCATAAGGGTAAAACATGTAAGCCTGATATAGTGTAAACACCAATGGCAGTCTTGAAATCTGCAATAGCAAAAGATGAGTCAATCTCTTTTCAATATACTGAGACTTGAGCAGAAAATATTCCTTTAGATGTTACAGCAAGGAACAGTTTCCACTTAAATTATTTTTGCACAACAAATTATCAAAGAGTGTACACCATCTGTAAGATAATCTTTTACTTCACTCCATGGCTCATTTAGTTGCCAAAGTTTAATCACCTTGTAAATGATTATAAAGTAAACCATGGATCATTTTCAATCTACATTGAAGCACATACAGGAAAGACAAAATATATTTACTGTTTGCCATTACTGCTTTGACCAAAAAAGGAGGCGAATCACCCACTGGTTTTTTCCAAGATGGTCCATGGGTGTGGGTGCAGACAAACACAAGCCATTCAAGTACACTGACAAAATATCCCCACTAAATATAAGAACAGAAATATATCTCAATACAAACAACAGATCAGCAAAATTTACTAGAAAACTTTGGAATTTTAAGCATCTGGACACCAAAAGTTAAAAGTATTTGTGAGTTTGTGTTCTGAAATTGTCAGACAAGGCAAATGAACACAACATCCTCACATTTCTCAAAAATTTTGAAAACTAGGTTTCTTATTAACTAGTAAAATTACCTCAAATGTGTACGACCATATGATGCCTCTACCTATATTGTCAATCACTATATCAAACTATCATGGTAAAAAGAAAAAACATGAAACAATAATATATGAATACAACTGCCAAAGAGTGTGTTTTTGATAAAACACAAAAAATATTAGACAGTTTATAAATACAATGTTTACAATACCCATGCTCCAAAAGCAGATGTTTGATTTAGATACCTAGCTGCAATTCCATCAAATGCTATATATAAACAATATACGCGTAGTATGAAACTTTTGGGCAATTTAAAATTAATCCAACAATTTTACAAACCATCAAGTATAGCTGAAGTACCATATAGTGTTATAAATATTATTGGATTGTTAGTGATGTAGTACCATGAAGCAGCCAGTAGCATGAGTCGGACATATCCTATGTATGGTAGATGTTTTGTAATAAAGCAAATAGTCAATAACATAATGGTAAAAACATTTGTAGCAAGATGACGAGTTCTTGCTAGGCCTGTTTCGATAAATTGCTTGAACGTTGATGACGATTAGTTTAGAACAAAGATATATTTCTGGTCCAGTTTATCGTTTATAAATCATAAATGTTGACTGTGTGGAATGTATTTTAAGATTTTTCTCTAATACTTAATCTTGTGAAAAAATCTTACCAATGAGATTTGGTGCAAAATATAATATTTTATAATTCGGATATTCCATTATTTATCGAGAGATTTTACTTAACGATAATGAGACCAACTCCATAAAAAGTTAGAAATGGCGTCGACATGGTGCTTTGAAGATTAGGCTGATACTTCATGTATTTAAAATTAAAATGGTTATATAGATCATTGTGATGGCCTCGCACACAACATTGAAAATTTGAAATGTTTTTTAGTATTATTAATCAGCTTTCTCCCTCCTCGGTTGAATTATTTTTACTGTAATGTACGTATTTTCAAAGTACCATTTTTTCTGCTTGTTTCTTTAGATTATATGTATCACACATATGACTTTTTATAAAATTTGTAAATATCAAATCAGTCTATTTCAGTTTTGTAAATTAAATCAGAAAAAAGCGAACATTTTCTCTATCACCTACAACATTTACTCCCCCACCCCGATATTTATATGTTCGACGCGGTATTTAAGCATTCAAGTTTTTGTCATATTTAATTTCTCGTTTAAAATTCCAAGATTCGAATTAATAAAGTATTAAGTGTTGTTTGATTTTATAAAGTATTGTTTTATTTTCTCCTTAATTCTGTATATTTTATTGATTGTTGTATTTTATGAAAATCACCAAACATAGATTTAAGGAGAAAAATAAAAGAATACTTAATTACAAATATGTGACAAATTAATTCAGCTTCGTAGTTTGAGGAATACATAGTTTATATACAAATGACATTGTTCTCAAATTTTAAAGCAAAGTCTTGTGTTTTTTACCATAGTTTTTGATTTTGTGAGCAATTAAAGCTCCCAAATGGTTGAATTAAACATTAGGCAATCATTATATTACTATCAAAACTCTATTTGTCGAGGAGTAAATTTTGTTTTACGTCAAGAAGGAAGTTTCCATTTAATGCAATCTTAGAATTTGTGAACAAAAAAATTTTGAATATTAAGATGATACTTAATTGCTATCAAGACTTATTTCGTGCCAAAATATTTTCATTCCAAAGTATTCTTGCGTGCTAAGGTCTGTTTTGATATCACTTGACAAAAGTTAGTTTCAAAGACATGAAATATTGTTTGATAAAGACTTTGTCGTGGTGACAAATTTAAAAAATGTTTAAAAAGAGCAAATACCGTGGTGACTAGTCAAAATAATAACGCAATTGTTCTTAAAAGAACTTTTTAAAACCAAATATTGTTTAAATTGTTTAAAACTATCAAGCATGACTATACTTCGCTAGCTATGAAGGTTGACTGCAATCCCAATTTTTTGACCTTTAGTTCCCTACGAAGTTTGATTATTCTTAAAGAATTTGGGGCATTTCACATTACTTGAGTAATTGTTCTGTAGTAGCTTTGTAAATTGAAATTGTGATAGCGTGATTATACTTAAAATAAATAGTGAACTATGGCCATCTTTTATTATTTGGTTATTTTGCAAGTCTGCTTAGTGAGAAGTTTGCCTTTTATTATGTTCATTATCTGTCATTCCAAACTATTTTTTACATACTTGTTTAAATTTTGACTGTCTACATTTTTTGCCATATACAAAACTCTTATTTTATAAAAAAAATGTCTGTAGAAGCATAAAAAAGAAATTTCAGTAAATGAGAACTTTGTCAAATGTCAAACAAAAAAAGAGATGTTACGACGTTTGTCATTCTTTAAAATACAAGATTAATTGTATATTACTCTGTGGGCGGCTACTATTATTCAAAATACAAGAACCAGGCTTTCACATTTTTTGATTTGTTGTAGATCATAAAAACAAATTAACATTGCAGTCGCCAAATCGCTTGTAAAATGATGTCAAATAAATATTTGATGACCTGAGATACCATATGTGATTATGTTACGTGGAGCAAACTTGTCTTGTATGATTGTCTCGCTATCTCATATCATAATCTTTTGCGTTTCTATACTTGTCCCTTATCCAATGGAAATCTTTCTCGTGGTCACTGATTCTCTTACATCATTATTCAAATTCTTCATACTTATCCTTAGCAAACAACAACCAGTGCTATTGACATTGCTCTGTATCTTTCTTTATCGTTGTTCAAATCATAAATGTTGATACTTTCTCTTAATTTCATTTTTCGTTTCACAAATTTCTTTCACTAATATGTCCTTACTATATATATATATATGATAATATTAAGGATTCTCTGGATTTTTATTTTGAAATTTTTATAAAGCTTTCAACTCGGTGCTTCGAGCCTTCGTCAGAATGTAAGAATATATTATTTACAAAGACTTTGTAGGCGTTTGGAGCGTCTGATTGGTTGGTTAGTAGTTGAGTTGATATTATTGGATGGTATAATATGCGTTGTCATGGTTTCGGGTGTATGGATTGCGAATATATAGATCTATATAAATGCTGTCATCTAGTGTCAAATTATTTTCAATGCTTTGCAATTCGTCCTTCCAATATAGCTGCATCTTGTTATTCTTGTTCACCTATCTTCCTTCCATTTTTCTGTGTATCACTTTGTTCCATTTGCAACATTTCAATATCAATTTCCATTGCACTTCAAAGACTTGTAACTCCCTATATACATAGACTTCTTATGTAGTGTACTCTTACCAGCTTCTTGTACTCTACCTCAACAGATGGTGTACTGTCTTTTTGCAATCTCCACAAAGTTCTTTTACGCTCTTGTTTCGATCATCTGCTGCAGGAGTTCAAAAATACATGCAGTTTTTTGTGGTTGTTTGCATTTCAACCATTTATGATCGTCCCTTTTAAAATATGATGGTACTTTACTTTGCTTTTTTTAAGCTTTCTTTGATATCTTGTTTTCATAGCTTTCCTGAACTCGTTTTGCTATGAAACGCTATTCGCACTTCAGTGTCGTAAACTTCTTAAAAATTTTTCGATCCCCTTCTTTCTTTCTGTATACGTCAATTGCTTGCTTAGTATGGAATCCTTTTTTCCTGAATGCATTTTGACTTTCCATCCTAGTATTCTTTCCCCTGGCTGCACAAAATTAAGAATTTATCCTACTCTATGCATTCATGATTTTTCATTTTATTGCCTTCATAAGATCTCAATGGTCAATACCTGTTTCATCTTTGAGCTTTCACCTCAGGGTTGAAACATTCATGTCATCGCTCGCTGTAGTTAATGCCTGAGAAGATTTACTTGGTGACACGACTCGATTTTAAATTTTCTTGCTAGCATTCTACAATCGAATGACGTTCAAAATATTTTCGTTGATCTGCCTGGATTCAACAATTCCTCAATTATAACTGATGATGAGTATCGACATGACTTACTACTACCTAAAATAGTCGACGTTTTTCTATTCTGGAATTAACCTTGGGATATGAGTCTACTCTCAGGAAAAACTATCATTGCAAACATTCAAAATACACACAACTTATTTCCGAGCAAAAGTAACATTTGAATCGCATGAATAACTTGATGAAAAAATGTTAAAGTAAATGGTTTGACCCGAGAGTATCGGAGTAAAACAGTCCTTCTCAGGACTATACCAACTTGGACTATCTACATTTACAAACATGCAAAAAAATATTGATAATGCAAACAGATCAACTTATCAAATTTTTTGTTGCACGAAAGGTCTAATATTCATAATGAGTGATTTTGGGATTTATAGTGTTAGAAAAACATTAAAACTAATGGAATATTTTTACCTGTTATCTTAAATTTGTTATCCCAAGTAAAACACAAGACAATAGACGCTCCGTATAAAGCAAACATCGTTATTCACAAATAATGTTTACTTTGTACGGAATGTCTATTGTCTTGTGTTTTAGTAAAATACTCTTGTAGTCGTAATTTTAAATCCCAAGTGGCCAATTATTGTAAATTGCCTTTATTAGAGCAAGATTAGCAGTTGTAAGTTGCTAAATAAAAAAATATTCAATAAAGTTTTCGTTGTCATTATTTCTAAAATACATAATTAAAACATTATTTTCTTTTACAAAATATTTATAGTTGATGCAAAGAAATAACTGTTTTTCCTTTTAAATCTTTGTCTTTAATGTTAACTGACTTAAGTAATAGAAAACATTTTTTGGGTGAGTGTTTCCAAGTAATATCCGGTTCTGCCAAGCTTTCATTACCGCTCCTTTGACTCTAGAAATATGGGCTTTTTGAGTATTCAACCAATCAGCACCAATATTTCTAAAGTACTGTTTTATAGTAATGAATATTTAAAATCTAAATATTATCAATGTCATGAAAGATTTATTACAAATTTAAAAATACTTTTCAGTCTGTAAATTGTGAATAGATTGAACAGACGTTTTGAACCAATCGAGTTTCATCAATTACTTTACGTATAAGTCTTCATTCAAATAAATATCTCCTTGGTGTAAGCTTAGCCTGAAATTTTGTTTACTATATAGCACTAACATATATAGCATTAGCAAAATAATTGACAGTTGATCAAGACAATTTTCATCACGACTCTTTCATGTGCTTCCAACGTGTGTCTTCCCTTCGTTCATACATTCCCCCGTTGTGCTAACATGTTCTCTACACGTGATTGAAAATGTAAATACTTTTGTGTTGTAAGATGTAGCATCTGTATATCACGCCATGGAAATATTATAAATTTTAGAGATATTTGTTGAAGGAAAACAATTTTAATCACGACTCTTTCATGTGCTCCCAACGTGTGTCTTCTATTCCTTCATGCATCCCCCGCTGTTGTAACATGTTTCCTACACGTGATTGAAAATGTAAATACTTTTGTGTTTTTAGGCGTAGCATTCGTATGTCTGGTTTTTAAAATATTATACATTTTAGAGATATTTGTCAAATGATTAAACAATTTTAATCACGACTATTTCATGTGCTCAAAACGTGAGCCTTCTCTTCCTTCATGCATTTCCTCGCAGTGCTAACATGTTCTCTACACGTGATTAAAATTGTAAATACCTCTGTGTTTTAGGTGAAGCATATGTATGTCAGACTTTGAAAGTATTATAAATTTTTAGAGATATTTTTTAAAGGAAAAGAAGAAAATAATCTCATCAAAATGTGAGCAACAAGGTTAAATTCAATGATCCAGTAAAATATAACATATATCGAGTCGGCATGGTCTGTGTAACGGAAGGATAAATGGTTTTGGGAAGTGGTGAAGACGTGCTTCGTAGCTGTGGTGAATAACCGTTCAACTAAAATGCAAACTCGATATTTGCTGCTATCAATCATGTTAAGGTAATGTAGCTACAAATACAATTTATTCAATATGATTTTTAACATTCTTAATTCTCACAAACTCTTCTCTGGCGCCGTAAATGAATGAACAAATGCTAAATATTTCGACTTAAGTAGCACGATGTGTGCTTTGCTTTTCCTCATAACCGTGGAAAATGAAGAAGAAATAACGAAACAAGCACAAACGATTTTAATGTTGCTTCTCTGTCAGATCAAGCCGGGCTTTGTTATAGTCAACTATCGTCTCGGTTGTCTAATTCGTCAGTCGTGCAAATTTTGCATTTTCAGTCGTTCTGTCCACATGGTTGACATGTATCGTGGGGAAACGACTCAGTTAACTATATAGCCGAGAAGGTTGTGACTTAGAAAATGCTTTTGCCATAAAATAAACATAGAAATCAAACATCGGTAATTTCGTGAAGATGTTACTTTGCATTTGATAGTGTATTGCAAATCTATATATGTAATAAACTTGCACGCATTGCAGGAGTATTATCGTATTTCAAGTAAATATTAGAATGGCAAGACTCATCAATAACAACCATGTTCACGTGAAGCACAACTGACTATCGGTAATGGGCTAACCTGTATCCCTGTGAAATGTGCCATTTATCATATATTGTTGGTTCGACTTTTAGTAAGCCAAAGATCAAGTACTGTCATAGGCGTAATTTTCCTTTGATTTAAAACCTATTACACTGTGTAGCTACTTTCCAGATTCTATGAATCAATAAAATATGACAATATCATTATATAAATTGGCATCCACTTCATAAAAATATAGCAAAATATATTAAAGGACAATGTTAAGTGCTAAGTTCTTATACTTTGAGTGTAAATCGATCTAAATATAGTTTTCTTTTCTATTTTTACCGGGTTGTCCACACGCAGCCGAAATGGATTACACTTTTATAAAATAAAATTAGATGTTTTCCCAGTCTTTCAAAGTGAAAGCGTGCATGAAAAGTGTAATCGCCTTAGTCAGTGTAGTTTTGCTCTTTTATCTCAATTCAGTGAACTGTATTTTTAATTGGAATGCTGTCTCTACCGGTATATTTTGAATCGAAATAGATGGTCGACGTCATTGATGTACATACCAAACATAAAAATTACCCCAAGTATGAAAATAACCTTTCTTTCATTCACGTGCACCATGTAGCAAAATATTGAATTGTGGGATACCACACTTGACCAATGAGTGCGCACGCCTTAGGATTAAATGATTGTGCTCGATAATTTGATAAGACAGTTAAGAAAGCCAGTCTCTCAGCGAGTACCTTCTGTTACATAATTGTGAAAAAAACTTCCAAAGAAAACCTACTGCAAATTGAACATGGATAATCCGGATGAAAAAGCAAATGAGGCATATGTAAGTAGAATTTGAAGTGGTTGAAAAGGTGGTTGAAAAGCTTTGCTAGAATAATTTTATCGTAAGGTGGTTTAATGAGTTATTAAGTTGATTTATTAACCGATAATGTTCAGACTAAATCCAATCGTCATTTAAACTATGTCATTCATTTTTCAAACATTGACTTAGTAGTGTTTTCAACGGTAATGTTTTACGGAAAAAGTTAACATTTGATAGCTCCAACGTGGTTAAATGTATCTGCCAGATCAGTTAAATCGTTGTATGATGTACCTATTTCTTATAGAACGACAAAAATGGTGTAATGTGTAGTCTAGTTGAGTTTCCGCAGGAGATGATCCGATGTGAATTCTTTGTATATATTGATGAAACATGCCTACGTGGAATTTTTGATTATATAAATCAGCATAGTTGAGATTATAATTTTTTTGTTGTAAAATTCATTAATTTCATTTTAACTTTTTTTTTACAGAAACATGGCTTTAACAACGGAAACGCAAGTTACGATATCAAGGGAAAAGACGTAGAATCTCAGGACGACGATCCGTGGAGTTTACCGGAGTTGACTGACAACGGAAAACCATGGAGCGGTATGTTCCAAAATAAATTTTCGCTAGGCGTTCTTTAGTTAACTTTTAATTGACAATTTTCCTTTTTGAACGGCGATAATCATGTGTAAAAAGAAACTTTTCGATTGTTTTTACTTTTGTCACGCAAACACAACGTAATAAAATATGACAACATACACTCTTCTACCGTTCAAGGAAATACTTGACTGTAAAAAGATCAGTTTTTAGTGCATTTCTTTGGCCTCGAATGATTGCTTCGGGGGGTCGTATCATAGCGGCCGTTTGCAACAAAGTCATTCAAGCATCAAATTCTTAGCATTGTGATGTCTCCAAAATTTTTGCATTTATGAAACTATGAAAGAACTGATCCAAGACTAATGATCTTCATATATTAGAAAACTATATTGTTTCAGTATAACCGTAAGGACCATTAACGTCTTCTTTAAACACTTATGACTAGTACATTAAAAACGGCCAAAGTAGTCGAATTGTCATAAACAAAATTTAGTTTTTATTTTCCAAATCTTCGTTTTCGAATTAACACAAAGTAATACATTGGAATATTATAATTCAAAAACATTGAAGTTGCACTTTTGCAGGTAATTTATTACAAAAGTTGCGTAACTGTACTGACACACACAGCCACTATAAATACACCCACGATTTATCCATTATGTGAAATTGCATAAGAAGGAATGTTCCATTGCTCAATGTTGCAAATTATCATACAGGAAAGAAGAACGCCTACAATTCAGCTCAACTTGCCTCATATAGCGCTAAATTTTTTCAATGCTTAAGGAGTCAGCGTTTTTGTTGACAATTTGTGTTTTTTTAAAAATAGTTGACCGAGTTCCAAAAAAAAACAACACTTTACGTTACTCGTAATCTTGTGAGAAAAATTGTTGGCTACTTTTATGAAATTCAACTATGCAAGAACGTTCCAACGAATTGGTGATGCATAGAATCATGTCGAAATGCATTCTCGGAATCATTTGCTCAGTTTTGGCAAAGAATTTCGACAATTTAATTGTTTCAATTTATAAATAATTCATTCCCTGTCAGTTAATACCACTGAATTTTTTATGTACGAATATTTTGCCATCGTCTTCAAAGAACAAGTTGTTATGTTGTGGTTAAATCTAATTACTTTTTTATTCCCACCGACTAGCCATCGAATAACGTATTTTTTTCTGTAGATATGACAACAAAGGAAAGAATACTTCGAGTTGCGTTGCTTATTTTGAAGATAGCTTTTTTGCTTGGATTCTTGTATCTCTTCATTTGTTCTTTGAGTTTTCTAAGTTCAGCGTTTCGTTTGTTGGGAGGCAAAGAAGCTGGCAAGGTATTTCAGGATAATGAAGTAATCAAAAATCCTGTGGCTGGTGTTGTCATTGGTCTCTTGGCAACCGTCCTGGTACAAAGCTCATCTACATCAACGTCAATCGTTGTTGCCATGGTAGCTACAGGAAGTGAGTAAATTCTTTAAGTGAAATACTTAAAGTCATTTCGTCTTTTGATGCCAATGTAGTTATACAATGTTGTTTGAATTATTCATCGTGGAAAATTTAGCTAATAAACTATTCAGCTATCTTATGACAAAGCCAGCCTGATTTTTAATCTTTCTGTGCCAATATTTTAGCATTCACTCACTGAAAACTGTAATTTTAAAACGAAAAATATACCTCTAATAAGAGAGGAGTAAAACTCACAAACTTTGTTCGTGTGTCGTTGTCATACAACTGTCGTAAAAACTTGTCGTTTTAGTTAATCGTTAATAAATACTGATATTCCAATAACCTTATAATAAAAAAATTTTATCAAGAAGTATTTTATGCAGCAGAGCCATCAAATTATTAAGACGTCATCACGGCCTACGCGGTCTTTGAAGTGATGTGTACCGTGCCCCGTAGGGTGAATGTGCCCCGTAGGGTGAATGTGTGGGGTTTTTGCCCGGGGGTGGGTGAGTGGCCAACTGCTGTGCCACGTAGATTAAACTGTTTCAGTGCTACTGGATTTAATTTTATTTGGCTTTATTTTATGGCGCTTAAGATTTTTATGTATATACGAAAAATCATTCATAAAAGTGGTCGTGTCTTAACTTCAACAAGCAGCTTTGTTTTATTATGTTTGATCGTTATCTTACTAAAAAAAATTTTCAAGAATCCCAATAACAATCGTTTGAATGTGAAAATATTTTAAATCCTTAATGTAAAACAACATTATAAGTTTACAACATCTTAAACTTAATTGAGTGCTTTTTGGTGCATGCTTTGGTGGATTCTAAGTTGATTATACTTGTTAAAATCGCTTTAGTTCTTAAAGTGGAGAGAGCAATTCCGATTGTAATGGGAGCAAATATTGGTACATCTGTAACGAACACCATCGTGTCGGCTGGCCACGCGGGCGATCGTGATCAGTTTCGTAGAGCATTCGCTGGAGCGACCGTTCACGATGTCTTCAATTGGCTGAGCGTCATCATTTTACTCCCGTTAGAATCTGCGAGCCAATATTTGTTTCATTTGAGTGAAGCAATCGTAGATTCTCTTGGTCTTGAAAAAGGAAACCGTGAAAAGCTGGAGCTGTTGAGCAAGATAACGAAACCTTTCACTGATAAGATTATCAAGATTGACAAGAAACTGATTGAGGAGATTGCAAAAGGAAATGATATTGGTAAAAAAATATTAGAGTGATGTTAGCTATAGGCACGGTTACTGTCTTGGGTTGAAAGGAAGACCCAGAACAGAATATCTAATATCGACTTTCGTGATTCTGATGTTTCGTTATTTAGAATTGAAAAAACTTTCATTCTTACATTGAACGGAACAACTTTCAACTACAAGCTAATACAATGACAAAAACTGATGTTGGCTGCTTTGCAAATTGTAATTTATTTTTTTCTGTGGTACAATTTCTGATGTAGCTAGAATAACATAAATCTCTACAGTTTACTAAAAATGATATTCTTTAAACAATACTATAATAGACTGTAGAATACAAGCAATACACTTAAACAGCAAACTATATGACAGCAAAAAAGCAAATACAGAGTTTTTTCCAGGAAGCCATTATAGATCTAACCATTTAAAAATATATTACCAAATTACATGTTATTTGTTTTCATTCATTCACAAACTATATGCTTGAAATCATGGCTTTTTTAAACAGTACGATCTTTTCTATAGTTTTGGATTTTTCTTTGTATTCTTTTGTATTTATTACAATCTCTGTTTTTTTTGCAGGTAATAAGAGTTTGATTAAAAGTTGTTCATCGGATTGCTTTCTTTTCCATGATACTGGAATGTCCGATTCAGAAGTTGGAACAATTCTCTTGTTTCTTTCATTATTCATTCTTTGTGTGTGTCTTGCAGCTATCGTGAAATTGCTTCATTCAATGCTTAAAGGATCAATTGCGAAGGTAGAATAGAAAAATGTTTTAAAAAATTCCATTTGTGCAGTTGAATAAGGACATTGAAGTTTCAACCTACAACAGGCTTTTACACATGTGTCTAAACAAGCATGACATGTCACTGTTATCATCGTAATACTGTGCTCATACAACTTGTTTTTCATTGTCACAGACTATCAAGAAAGTTATCAACTCAGATTTGCCCTATCCATTTGCATGGGTACCTGGTTATATTGCTATTCTAGTGGGCGCTGGACTAACAATTCTTGTGCAGTCCAGTTCTATATTTACGTCAGCCTTAACTCCTTTGGTTGGCATTGGCGTAGTAACAATTGAACGTACTTATCCACTTACCTTGGGTGCAAATATTGGCACAACAGTAACCTCTGTTTTGGCTGCACTTGCTGTGAATAAAGCTGATAAGTTTAGAGAAGCTCTTCAAATCGCATTCTGTCATCTTTTCTTCAATATATCTGGCATCGTAATTTGGTACCCAATCCCTTTCATGAGAAACATCCCCATCAAAGGCGCCAAATTTCTTGGCAACACAACTGCAAAATATCGTTGGTTTGCATTCATGTATTTGATTTTGGTGTTTTTCCTTTTCCCTCTTCTCGTTTTTGGGCTCTCTGTTGCCGGATGGGAGGTTCTCCTCGGGATCGGACTTCCGGTAAGTACTACATCTATAAACTAAAAGATTACAGTGAGTGACAAAAAAGATTAGTTGAGAAGTAAAATTTAAAAATGAATATAAAACAATATTCATGCGATACAATGTTTACTTTCGTTTTTTTTGACGAAATTGAACATTCAATTGATGTTGTTGAAATCTGAAAAACTTTACTCGTACTGTGTTAACATAGTAGATAGTGACTACTTTACTTTCTCCTGTTTTAGGTTCTTCTGGTTGTAATTGCAATCATTGTCATCAACATTCTTCAAAACAAAAAACCTGATATACTACCCGAGAAGTTGCAAACTTGGGAATGGGCACCAATATGGTGTCGTTCTTTGGAGCCCTACGATAAAGTCGTCACAAAAGTCATGGATCCTATTCGTGAGAGACTCTGTTGCAAATGCGCAAAAAAATCAGAAAACACAACGTCAGCATGGGATAATCGCCATACATCGATGGATCCAGTGATATCTCCAGGTTATGACACCGGTTTTAAAAACCAAGGCTACGACAATACTCGTTTTTAAACATAATCGTTCACATCGTACGTATTCTCACATAAGTTATCAGTTTGCCAAAGCATTATGTAACAGAAAACATTTAATCCCATGCAACAACAACACAATTTAATTATTGAGCACTATATTATTCCATGATTTCAATAACTAAACTAGATATATCTTGTGTCATGAATTTCATACAATCGTACACAGTTCATACGATTGTTTTGACTTGTTGCCTTATCGTTTCATTTTACTTTGTGGTCGATAACCATTTTTGTCTATTTATATTATTTATATAATGTATGATGTATTTATAATTTATTTAGCGATTAGTAAATAAAGTCCAGTAAATTTGATGTTTTAACTTTTTTTATTTTTGAAAATTAGTTAGTTAAGAACAGGAGGTAGGAATTGGCAGAATTACAAGTCTCTGACGGACAACGTACTTTGCAACGTTAGTTTTGAAAATTGTCTTTCGTTTCTGCGTTTTCTTATGGTTTTATTTTTTGCCTATTTCCATAAGTATTTTCACTTAAGTATTATTTCCAAGAGGTTTTAAAAAGACATGTTTTAGAGTCGAGACCTTGCAGAATTCTTATGAGCTGTCATGTCATATCCACTGAGAGAGGAGGTTAAGGTAACAAATCATTTTTAGCGGGACGAAACTAAATGACCCAATTGTCCTCGAGTCGGACTCTTGTTGACTAAAATTTAATTTTTTTGGTGAAAATCCTGAGATTGTGTTTTTTGATAAAATACGTCACAAGACGATGCGACTGAATAGAGTAATTCTTGACGTACACATGAGTAGGATAAAATAGAAAATGAAGCGACGAAATTACATCTCTCCTCATCCACACAGCTATACCATTATATCTTTCAGGTAACGTTTTAAATTTGTAACTTTGGTCACCATTTCTCACTAGACTAGTTCCAGTCTCTTAGCGTAAGCGCGCCATTGGCGGGACAAATAAAAATATACAAAGCAACCAAAGCTTGGTGGTTGAAGAAATTTGTCCAAAAATAAACATTAAACAAATTCAGTCGTGGCTATCGTAACGATGCGTTTTACGTTAAAAAAACATGTCCGGAAGTTTGAAAGATAAGTTGAAAAGGAATAGAGTTTTTTACGTGAGAAAACTGCTGAATACTGTCATTGATGTTTGTGTTTTGAGTTAAATGATCGTTAAAATTATCCCTGTAAAATATGGAAAGAGCGGAATCACTGAATTATGGTACGAACTTGTTATTTTTGAAAAGGTTTCATTTTATAATTGTTTCTCTTTTACTATTACACATTTTAATTCAAGAAAATATAAAACGTATTTTAAATTCTTGTTCAATAATTAAATGATGTGTCTATATAAAGTGCTGAAATACTTTATTTTGAAATTCATTATTCAGATGAGAATCTCTTACTTCGTCAAACTCAAACTGAACTTCTTGAGAAACTAAATCGACTTCAACAATGGCGTCAAAAACAAGAAGAATGTTTGTTATTGGACAAGGAAAAGCAGTTGAATCTCCTTCGTGATAAGGAAAGAAGACTGCATGCCGTACAAACGTATCAAAGAAAAATACTGCAAAATAATAATTTTATGTTAAGAAAAACTAATGAATCTTCTTCAATCATAAATATTCCCACCATTCCAAGTCAGTTGGTGCCATCACCACAGATTAGATCTCCAACAGATGGTCTTAGTAAGGATTCTGTTTACATTGAAATGGCAAATTCACCAACTAAAAATGTATTGTTGCCTCCTCAACTCTTTGATAAGGTTAACAATGCTCATATTTCATTTCTTTTTCACATTTTTTTGCTTATTTTATTGCTTAAATCAATTACTTGTGTTTATTTGGATTTTATTATGGTAGTCATCTCCTGTCTGGCCCAAAAATCAGATGTTACTCACTCAGAAAGAACTGTTGCAACCAGCTAGTGATGATGACCTATCACAGTGTACAGAGTCTGAGGTTGGCAGTGTTGGTAAAATAGAGGGTGTACACCCTATTTCGGACACAGCATCAGATGCGTCTGATGGCAATGATGTTGAAGACTGGCAAAGACCTATACTTCATTACAATATTAGTAATCGCTACAATAATGATGAAGTTATTGGCAATAATAATCAATCCATTGGTGAAGATAGTGGGTCAATTGGAGATTCAACTCATTCTGTAGATGATGACAATCAATGTGCTGGTGATATCATTTTATTAAATGGTGATAAAGATCAAATTACTCGCAGTCATATACAATGTGCTGGTGATGATCAATCTAAACCATTTGTTAATGGATCTCTTGGTGATAATTTTGATGTCATGGAGGTGGATGATGAAAAATGTTATTCTGTTGGCACTAATAGTCATAATGACAATAATCATGGTATCAGTTACAATTACAATACCAATTTTGAGGTACTTTCTCTTGTTTATACGGCTCATCATAGTTGTTGTAACATCTGCATGGTCTGTATCAAGGATTCTGATATATGTTTTTTTACAATTACTCATTTTAGATGTTGCAAAACCATTCTATTCAAATGAAACATACTCCTTTTGATGACATCCCTATTAAACCAGGGTTAGGTATGTTATGTTCTTGTACTGCACTGAGTTAGACGAACATTAAAATAGGTCTTTTACATAACTAGGTATGTTGAACTTTTTTACAACTTGCATTATTTATTCACACATCAGTGTCCATTACTTTTGTTTACAAATTCATCCAAGTTGAGGCTATTTTTCCATTTGTCAGCTAACATTACCGAATATTGTAATTTTTGCATGGAAACTTTTCAAGGAGAGTGTCATACGCTACATCAAGTGTTAAAATGTGTGGAACAGAAAATTTGTAAAACAATGTTTAATTTCAAGCTACAGAGTACAATTGCAATGGATTGTACATAAATTGTGAATAATTCAATTATGGCTTTGATTGGTATGCATTCAAAAAATTTAGGTGAACAAGTCAAGACATTTGAAGAGCTATTGAGTCAAAAGCTAGTGCTAGAGGTATTCTTACTTTAACATGTTTCATACTGGTATTTATGTTCGTGCTTGATTTTAAACACGTGAAATTTCTGTCTCTTCAAATGAAACGAAAGAATAAAGAATTATTTCTTTGTGTTGATTTCATTTGATTGATTTTAAAGAAAAATTTACACGTTAAACACCGAGTTTCGTTTTATTTTCTCGAAGAAAGAAGACGTGGTGGAGACGGAATCGACACGGTGCGTTGAAGCTTCAAGCGTTCCGGCAAAACGATCATTTCTTAAAAAGGGGGAAGGAATTGCAAGATTTGGAATGAAACCTAAACAAACACTAAATCAAAAGAAAGGAAAAGAATTACAGAGGAAAAATAAGAAACGTAAAATTTGTCACGCTCTCCCTGAACAAAATCAACAACAAGAAGTCTTCCAACAACAACAACAACAACAACAACAACAAAACAACAACAAACAACAACAACAACAACAACAACAACAACAAAACAACAAAAAACAACAAACAACAAATAAACAATAAATAAATAAATAACAACAAATAAATAAATAACAAAAAACAACAACAAACAACAATAAACAACAACAACAACAACAAACAAATAAATAACAACAACAACAACAAACAACAACAACAACAACAACAACAAAAAACAACAACAACAACAACAACAACAACAACAACTACAACAACAACAACAACAACGACAACAACTACGACAACAACAACAACAGCAACATGGCATATCACAAGATGTTCACCAAAATGGCCCATTACAACATCAGGAACACGATATTCATCAATGTATACGACAAAATTCCCTCCTACATCAGCTACAACACAATATTCAACTACAGCCATATCAAAAACGTCAACATTTCCACGTAAAACATGAGGGGACATCAAACGGTTACCGTGAAAGTAAAAGATACATAAATCATGTGGATGAAGGAAATGATGAGGATGGTGAAAATGAAGTGATGATCAAAGATTCTTTTCAAGAGATGATGAAAAATTGGGAAGAAACAAAAGTGGTGAGTGTATTTTTATTGTTTTTACTACGCATTATCAGGTATAGATCCACGATGATTTTGTACGGAGTGCGATTGGTGCTTTAGTTCAGAACAGATTTTGGTGGCTACTTGGTAATTTAGTATTTTTTAGAGAAATTAGCACATCTTCTGCAAGCTCTCTAGCCAAGGCTAGAAGAAGTGCACATCCCTACGCACCACCCATTCCTAAGTTCATCACTGGATAATGTACGTTAACATTTATCTTAAGAACACCCACTAGCAGGTTTCTTTGCGAAAAATTTACATGTTGCGAAAATTGCTCCTTTTATTTTTCATTTATCCCTACTTATTAATGATGCGCGTTATTTTAGATTTTGGGCAGTGTAAAAAGGCCCGTAAAAAGGGTGAACAGCAGTACTTTATCATTTCGCTAAAATATGATTTGACAATTATAAAAAGGTTGAAAAACAAGAACTGAACGAGTTTGAACTTTTGGAAGAAGCTGCGGCTGCTAATTGTTCACTTTCGTCCAACTCATCCACGGTGCTCCGATTTTTGGGTAAAAAAGTCATTAAACAAGGAAATCCTGATGTAAACAATAACGACGACTTCACAAAGTCAACAAAAATACAAACACAATCTATAAAAGGTAACGTATTTTTCATGCATAAACTTTAAAACTATCATGTCTCAATTTTAATGAAGCAATGAAGGAAATGATCACCCAGATGTAGTTTTCTGTAGGGCTCAGGGGAAGAGCTAGCGGAACATAGGCACAATTTCTCTTTGTGGGATTTTAGATGAAGGGATTAGCATTGATAGCATAGCATTTTCAACAACTGATTCTTTGTTAATTGTATTGTTTTGTTGGAAATCAGGAAATAGGTCATTGATAAACTACATGAACTTGAGCTTACTCTAATTTTGTTCGGGGCCTTTTTTGTGAATGAGCAGAAAATGAAATGTAGCTAGTCAATCCCCTAGATTCATGTCTGAAACTGAAGGTATATATTTAATGAACAAAGATATTTATGATGTTTTTATCCAAGAAAATGGCTTTCATTGTACTTTGATGACATGTGTATAAAATTTATATAGAAAATGATGGAAACCATACATTGACTGAAGAAGATCAGTTTGATAAAGACGAAACGTTAAAACAACTAGAAGGTATTGTTCTACTTTATTAAATTACATCTGCCTTTACTCATTCAAAATAATATCTTATTTGAGTTGCTTCATTTTATCTCTGACAAAATATTCCTAGTTTTCTAAACTTTGTGCTTTTAACTAATGTCGCCCCACCGACCAAACGCACATTTTTTTTATCCATCCAGTTGTTAGCCTTCGTTCATCGCTTGCTCTTTCTGACGATTTTGACGACACAAAGACCTGGGACGAGAACGATGTTTTGAACGTGAGTGACGTTGCTGATAATGTTTTGCATTCATTGAACACGTCAACGCCTGACGATAAGAAACATCATGTGAATGCGCTTTCTCAGACTGTGGAAGAGAGATTAGTGACCAGGTCTACAACACCACCAACCTCATCGCTTGTAACAAAATTTTTTCCTTCAGTGAAGGTACTGTTGGCAACGATTTAATGATTCGTTTGCACATTTCTAGTTATGTCCCTGTTAAAGTTGTTTCAATTTACAGTGAAAATGATTTGATTGGCTGGTGAGAATGGGTTTAACTTTTTACCTTAGTGAGAATGGGTTTTACTTTTTACCTTAGTGAGAATGGGTTTTACTTTTTGCCTTAGTGAGAAAGGGTTTTACTTTTTACCTTAGTGAGAATGGGTTTTACTTTTTACCTTAGTGAGACTGGGTTTTACTTTTTACCTTAGTGAGACTGGGTTTTACTTTTTACCTTAGTGAGACTGGGTTTTACTTTTTACCTTAGTGAGAATGGGTTTTACTTTTACCTTAGTGAGACTGGGTTTTACTTTTTACCTTAGTGAGAATGGGTTTTACTTTTTACCTTAGTGAGAAAGGGTTTTACTTTTTACCTTAGTGAGACTGGGTTTTACTTTTTACCTTAGTGAGAATGGGTTTTACTTTTTGCCTTAGTGAGAATGGGTTTTACTTTTTGCCTTAGTGAGAATGGGTTTTACTTTTTGCCTTAGTGAGAATGGGTTTTACTTTTCACTTTATTTTCTTAACACAAAACTAACGAATTCCACAACTATTTGTAGTCCATATGGAATGAATAACAGTCATTGAAAACATGTCGTATTTACGCTTGCCAACGTCATGTCCTTTTTGAATTTTATGATTTGTGCATGATAAACGTTGATCGGCCATATAGAGTGTGTGCATGTAATTGTAATTTGTATTTTTAAGCAGTTCGCAGTATTCGCTGTGAGACCGCGAGAGGATTGACAAATTCTTCGGAATTAATACATGTTTTAGTTAAATGACAGTAGAAGTGCCTGATATTCATCACTAGACGTAGCAAAAAGTAGTTGTGTAGGAATTTGCTTTAAAATTCGTGATTTTTAATATTTGCAATTTATGGATTTCAGTTAACGAATGAGTTAACAATAGTAGCTAATGCAGCTTTTTAACCCCATAAATTATAGAACTTGTATTTCAACCATTACAGATTCATCCATTATTCGTAAGACTGTATAGACGGGAGCAGTCAGTATTTAACTGCAGAGGGGCATAGGCATAGTGTAATTATTGCGATAAAAATTTTGTTGAGTGTGAGACAGTTTGTTGAAAATGTGTTAGAGAAATTAGTGCTCGTACTCAATACGTCGATTTTTTATTTGTTCGTAGTCTGGAAAACAACATGTTTCACAAAAGCTGCAGGACACATGTCTGCAATCAAAGACCATGGTACGAACAGTTGAGCCAGTTACGAGGGAGAACAGCATCCCAAATGTAGAAGAAAATACCGACCCGCAATCAGGAATGAGCTATGCCGTTCGTAAAAAACTTCAGGAACTGGAAAAAGAGATTGAAAAATTTCGCGAGGAAAACATCGCACTTCATAAATTGCGAGAAGAAAGAGAGAAAGTGAGTTTTTCGTAATTTTTACTTTTGAACCATTTATACAGCATTTATTTAAACATACAGACGAATTCATTGGGTTAACTTTAAACCATAAATATACCTCACCCCCCTTCTCAAACAATCATAGGTTAACTTTAAGCTACAAATATATCCCCAAACAATCATAAGTTAACTTTAACCTACAAATATATCCCCAAACAATCATAAGTTGAAATGGGTGGAAACGAGATGTACGGAGAAATGTACAAGCATCTTGCATTACTGTACATCTTTACATTTATAAATACAGTAAAAACTCCGTTATCAGCTAATATGATGTGTGCAAATAATACACTTTGGGTACAAACGAATTTTCTGTTTGATGATTTTTCTCTCACAAGAAATAATTCTTTCTTAGTATTGAGGCACAGAGCATTGGAGTTTAAGCCTGCTCAGTTAAATAGTTTTGATCTTGAACGCTAACACGATCATCAACGCCTGTGTAAAAAGACAAAAGAAAACTTTGAAGTGCTATTTAGACTTGTATAAAAACAATTATAGCTTTTCGTCTCTAACCTCAGAGCTTTTATTGAAATTGTTACTCATGTTGATTAGTTTCAACACCAACGTATGATTTGAGTAAAGTCGTTTTTTGCATTTAGGATTTTCAAAACTTACAAAAAGAACGCTCATCTTTTGAGAAATACAAAACACAGGAACTTGAAAGACTGGAAAAGTTTAAAACAGAGGAAGAGAAACGATTGAGGTATATTTTTTCAGTGATATTTCTAGCAAATTACAAATTTATACGTAGTTTTTAGTTGATACAGCAAAGATTTTCGCAGTGTTTTCTTTACATCCCTGATCTTCACAATCCTTTCTTTATACCTTCGATCTTCACAATCCTTTTTCACACCTTTTATCTTCACATTGCTCCTTGTCCTTGTCCACCTTTTTCGTTGTTTTCTAAGTGTCTTTAATTTGTGGTTTGCTGGATTTCGTCTTAAGCATTTTCAATTTTAAATTAGAACAGATAATTTAGAATAGATGGATTCAAAGGAATTCAGTATTTGTGGGCGAAGGCAATAATATAATTCCTAAAATTGCTATCAAAGTCATCCCGATGTTGTATACAATACTGCGTGCAAGAAATTGTTGAAAATATGTCTCAAAAAGGAATGGTCCTGACATCATTCCTACACGGCTAAAGGAAGCACACACGCCAAGTCCCAAGGCTCTAGTTTCTGTCGGATATAGCAGAGGAATGAAAATGACACAGAGGGCTGAAGCTGTCATCGCTAAACTTCGTGTGATCATCGTCATCAAGAAAAAAGCGGTTCTCTTGTTAAGGAAGAAAGATTCCACGATTTGAGTCGCAATTATGCAAATCAATGAAAGAAGTAGGGAGTTCTTTACCGTCATTATCCAACACATTGATGCAAATATGCAAAGGATCGTAACTTCCGGTAAATGCATCCACACCATCAAGTTATATAGATCAGATTCTTGCGTTATTGCCATCTGATGTTTTGGCACTTGAGTAAAGTTTAATGGTGCTGCTATTTCAGAAGCCATGTAGATGACATTGTAATAAAAGCACATGATGGAAAAGAAAGCAATAGCACAGCATGTTGTGATTTTCCAATAACCGTTCAGGAAAACTTCTTTTAAGTTTGCTCGTTTAGTGACTACATTACACTTTTGAAGACGAACATTTGTAAAGTCCATTTCCGGTGCGAACTTTTGCAAGGTGTCGAGAGCTTTTTGTTCGTTGCCCTCTGTCAGATAGTAATGCGGTGTTTCGGGAAGAAAAATTACGCTAGCGAGAAATAGACCAGTTGGAATGCATACAAATGCGAGACTTTGGTTTCCAGGAATCGTTTTAATGTGCGCTGAAGTGATTGCCGACACAAAAAATCCTAGACTCCAAAACGTCGACAAGAGAACGCCGACAATACAACGATATTTCGGTGGGGAAACCTCCAGAATTACAACTGATGTCTCATATACATTTGCTATTCCAAAGCCAGTAAGACATAGAGTTATCCAAAAGCAATAATAGTTTGTTATAAAAGCACTTGCAAAGCCAAATGTCATAATGAAACAGGCGGAACCAATAAAACCAATTTTTCTACCGTATCTGTCTGAAATCCAGCCCCAAAAAGAGCAACCAATTGTTATCCCAATAGCAAGGGAACATGTCAGCACTCCAGCTTGCAACGAAGATAAACTCCAGTCAGTTCTAATACGAGGTAACAATATGGAAAATATCGAGACCTCAAGGGAGTCCGTCATATTTAGAAGACCGATTATAAATAAAATTTTTAAATGAATAAAACGAAATCCGATGTCAGTCAAAATGTCATCGATCCTGCGTAGTTCATGGTTAAAAACAGTCGTATTATCAATGCTCGTTTCTGTGTTAGAGACTTGTTTATATTCCACGCGTTCTTTCGGATGTTTCTCAAACGGTTGATTTGAATTTCCTCCAAAGAAACTCTTAATCTTCCTCCACATTTTCACTGGCGTCTATTTCACGATATCTGCTTTGTTGGAGAGAAAGGCAAGATTGAATATGAAGTCTATCATTTTATGTTGAAGATATTTTGTAGTAAAGACTATTGTTACACTTCGTTGGTAATGCGATACACTTTCATGTAAAATAATGCACATTGTGGCTATAATTTACATACATAAATTAGATATCGTGTTTCCTATAATGTATTTCTTTGTTCTTGATCAATGAAGGCAAAATAAAAAAACTCATTTACTGTTCAGGAATATCTTCGTTTGGTTTCAAGGAGAAACAACCACCAGCAATGAGTTTTACAAAGTTTGCATGCTATTGAAAACCTTACTGAATTCAAATGCTCTTATTAGAACAGTACGTGTTTTGTAATTACCTTCGGCAACCCCTGTTGAAATCAATAGAATCACGTCTCAATACACGCAAGAATCTGTTTTGCAACTTTCAACGTTTTGTTAACAGTGACTGTGATTCCAGCCTTAGAAAATGGCACGCGGCCACTTTTCTTTGTTTTGTAAACATTCTTATTCATTTGATGCAAAAACAATATATATTTTATGAAAAGAAAATAAATAATGATGACGTAATATAATTGAAATTTCAATTAAATTTCTGCTTTACTGTTAAAGTTATTTTCCATTTTTAGTCTGCAAACGGTATGCAGGAGAAAATACCTTTATATGCTTTATAGCGATATTCAAATTGTTTGATTCTGCTGGAAGATAAAAAATTGCTTCCTTATCTGTAAATACTCATGTTTACAATACATTTTTTCACTTAGGAGAGACAAACGAATTTTTGAACAATACCAAAAGGCCTCGCGAGCTCTACCTGATAAAAAAGAACGCGAGGAGATCACAGTGTTGAAGTCAAAGGTGAGTTATGTTTTTAGGGATATAAAATATCTTTTATACTTCACGTTCAACACCAGATCCGTCGTCATGAAGACAATAGACTCAGACTGAGTATGTAAGGACTCAAGATTTAAGATCAGATCAGATTTAAACAATACACTGGAGCATATAAGGACACAAGATTTGAGATCAGATCAGATTTAAGACAATACACTGGAGCATATAAGGACTCAAGATTTAAGATCAGATCAGATTTAAACAATACACTGGAGCATATAAGTACACAAGATTTGAGATCAGATGACTTAAGTAGACTGGAGTACACGAAGACTTAACATTCAACATTAGATCACTCTAGATAAAAGCACAAGCTTGCCGTACATAGAACTCAAATTTCAACTTAAAGATTACTCTTTACGCAGACACTAGACTGAGTATGTAAGGAATCATGGTTCAACCTCAGATCACTCCCTGATTAAGACACTACATTACAGTGTACAATTTCCTTTGACATCGAATTACGTTTCGCCCTCTCTATTTGACAACTTGGTAACTAGGCGTTTACTTTCTTTTAGATTACTGAATTACAGGAAGAGCTGAAACTTCGGGAAACACGTTGGTCAGCGGCCATTACCCGATACAAGGATCGAATCAGCGCACTCGAAAACGAAGTTCGTGAAATACGAAACGAAGCAAAATTATTAGAGAAACAAAACTTTGACCTGCAGAAAAAGGAACAACAGAAAGTAGGTTTTTTGAAGCTATGTTTACACGTATGATGATAATCTTATACGTGTGCTATCAGTTGCTTACTGGGATCACCTTGACCAAATATTTACGCAGTCATTTTATGTTATGGTGAATGAGTTAAACAACTTATGGTTGAGTAACCTTATGAGCAACACATAGCTAAAAAGTTGATAAGTTGTGGTAGATGTGCTTTAATTATTTATTGCAATGGTATCATCATCGTTAATCAATAAATGTTATTAGAGTCGTGAGAGACAAGAGTTTAAGGGCTTTGAAAAACAGAAGAGTGAAATACCATCAAGCTTTAAGGTTCATTCTCCCGAGGGTAGGAATTTATTAGAGAACTACAAATGGCTTTGCACTTATTTTTACATTATAACCAGTTCACTCACTACTATTTTTTTCTTTTGCAATAGAAATTCAATCAAAGAAAACCCTAGCTGTCATTTCTGACGATGAACCCGTTTGTGCTGTCCGTAATAAAAGCTTCAACACCCATGAAACTGAAAACTATTCGCTTGTTGAGTCGAAAAGTACTAGTGATTATAACAATAAAATACAATTTGAAGAAAATATTGATTCAATACTGAAGCAAAACAATGCAACACAGTCACCACTGACAATGAAAAACGCTCAGAAACACACGTCACCGTCGACAGAAAACGCTCAGAAACACACGTCACCGTCGACAGAAAACGCTCGAAAACACTCGTCACCGTCGACAGAAAACGCTCGAAAACACTCGTCACCTACAAAGCAAAGTAGTTCCCAAGCAAAGAGTGTTAGATTTAAAGAGGACACAAGAAGTCATCATAAAATTACACCACATAAACAATTTTCTAGTGATGGAAAGGTAAGAAGGGCATATCTTATTTTGTGTTTCTTTTTTTTCTGTAGACTTCTTTACATCCGAGATTTTATTTCAGCGCGAGACCATTAACCCAGACGGGTCACGTGTTGTGACGTTTGCGAATGGAACACGAAAGGAGATCAGTGATGATGGTCTTTCGGTTGTAGTGACGTTTTTCAATGGAGATATCAAACAGATTTTTCCTGATAAGAGAGTAGTAAGTTATTTGAATTTTTCTAACGTTCTTCATCCTGTAAAAGAATGATCCAAAGATCTTCATTCTTTTGCTTTTAAATGAAATTATATGTCTGACGTCACTAATGATAATGTCGAATATGTGTTATTCATTAAGTAAAAAATTGCCTTTGACTATCCTCCTTTAAATACTCCCCATTAAACAATTTCATATTATATGAAGTTTTGTCTACTACAGGAGCAACCTATCCTTTTACTTAAACAAACGATCTCATATGAGGTTTGACTTTGATCATTTACTACCCCAGGACTAATCACCTTTTTATCAACAATTATTTGTTACTTGAGGCTTAGTGTACTACTGAAAGAACAAAGTGGTGTTAGTGTTATCACATGAAGTATTTCAACAGTTTGGTGCATTGGCTAATTTTAAGATCCATTTTTATCAAGGAATATTTCTACGCTGAAGTTAAAACAACTCACACGACATATCCTGATGGACTAGAAGTATTACATTTTCCAAGGTTGGTAAAGTCATTGCGCGTGCGTTTTAAAATATCACAAACCGTTATACATTTTTATCATCCTCCAGTGGCCAGATAGAAAAGCATTACCCAGATGGTACAAAGGAAATTATCTTTCCTGATGCAACTGTAAAGTATTTTTATACATCTGGTGATGAAGAATGCGTCTTTACAGACGGTACAGTAGAAAGGATAAATAGAAATGGAGAGAGACTTGTCGAATTTCCAAATGGACAACGTGAGATTTATACTGAACTATTTAAGGTATCTTCTATCGTGACTTAATGTTTAGATTAGTTGCTCTGAAGTGTCAATTGTCGTTTCTAAGGACAACTGACGTTTCTAAGGACAACTGACGTTTCTAAGGACAACTGACGTTTCTAAGGACAACTGTCGTTTCTAAGGACAACTGACGTGTGCGTTTCTAAGGACAACTGACGTGTGCGTTTCTAAGGACAACTGACGTGTGCGTTTCTAAGGACAACTGACGTGTGCGTTACTAAGGACAACTGACGTGTGCGTTTCTAAGGACAACTGACGTGTACGTTAGGTAGGGCAGATAAGATCACTGAGTTCCAAATGAGTTGAAGGTAAAGATGTTTTGAGTATCTCAAGCCAAATTTTTATACTTTTGGCTATACTGCAGTTTAGCGGACACCCGAAGAGCTTATATGTGGAGCGCGGGCTCGATTTTGGTTAGGATTTTAGGGTTTGGGTCAACGTCTAAGGTGTCCATTAAACTGCAGTAGTCCCATACTTTTTTCTTAAGTAAATTATTTCCTTTTGAAATCAACATATTTTGATAAGTAATGGTTAGGTCAATTGGAAATGGTTTTTCATTCATATTTCTCGTGTAGAAACGGGAATTTCCAGATGGAACCGTGAAAACCGTGTACTTTGATGGACGTCAGGAAACGCGCTATGCCTCTGGCAGGCTGAGAGTAAAAGATAGTGAAGGTAGAATTTTGGTAGATACTGCTGAGAAAAATTCACCTTTCAATTCTCAAATTGTGTCAACATAGTTTGAGTTGTGTCGCATTGGGTAAGTCAAAAATTGAAAGAAAGCAAAGAAATTTCAAACTTGCATTTGTAGTAAATGAATTTCCCATAGTCTCCTTGCAGTATTGATAAAACCTGTTGATTTCAACAAACATGTTTCACAAGATGCCACATTGAAGATAAAAATGTTTGCTACAGCTTCTGGTGACAAATTATTGTTGTACATACAAAGATAAAAATTCCAGAGAAATTCGAGATATTTATTACTGAATTAACTCCTCAAAAACTGAACAAATACAACACTTGATCATTATTACATGAATAGCATACCATGGTTCTCAAATTCTGGTATAGTTTTAACTTGAACCAATTTTACTTTGACATGATCATATCATACCTATAAAAAGAACAAACATATTCAAAAATATTCAAGTTTTACTAAAAACACATGTCTGGAACATTTTACCATGATCTGCCTTGCACTGCTTCAAAACTTCATTAAACCCTTTACAGTATGATATGTCACTCTGGTTTTGGGCACATTGAACAAATTGTTCAAATTCAAACTGGCATGGGTTGTGTGATGCTTGAATGCCATTGGCTTGTTGCTGGCTAGTGGGTACGGCATCATGGTTCCCATGGAGACCACCAGTTAATGCACCACCCACCACATGGCCCTATTTTAAATTGAAAGTAGTGGTTGGGTTACATTTATTTATATGGCAAATTTTTATACTAAAAATATTGATCTATAGACAAGCCAAAACATTTGTTGTATTTTAAAATGATGCTAATGTAAGTTAAACTAATGACTCTAAATGTCGTCTGCCATTTCAACTCAACGTTCCATGAAATGGAATGGAGTATGTATTTTTGTCTTAACACAAAATTCACATTCTAAAAGAATGTGAATTTTGTGTTAAGACAAAAATACATACTTTCAAAATAAAGTGTGCGGAAAACTTAAGTCTTATGAGTAGATTTTACAGACTATTAAAATTTAGTTTCACATTCTTTTAAACAATTAAAGTTCATTGCATTATTGACCAAAAAATTACAAAAGTCATTGAAAAAAGGAATCAACTGTCAGGTTATTATGACGTCATGCGATAATTTTTATTACATAAGCGTTTTTAATCAAACTGATTTTAAAGAAAAATTACTGCTTAAAAGTTTATAATCAACATACAACTGTTGAGCCCACGGCGACCCCTGCAGCAGTGGATGCCATTTGGCTAAACAAACCCGGTCCGCGCTGTGCTTGAGTACTTTGTGGAATGGTCACATTGTTTGACGATCTGGTTGCTGGTTGTGTAGAACGCGAAGATAAACCACCAAGTGGGCTAGAACTGGACCTTGACCTTCCACGAGGCATGTTTTATTTTGAAACGAAATTATTGATTCTTTGGTATTTGACAAAATTCACGATGATTTATTTATTTTTTAATACAAGACTTCTTTCTCGAAGTATCTTGAGCCCGCGCAGTAATTTAATGAAATACTTTATGTAGTATAGAAACAATTTATTACAAATGGTTACTTAGTAGCTTAGCAGGTCAATAAAATCTTGTTACCATGAAAACATTAGGACAATGAGGACTTAAAGACGATTGCGAAGCTCATCATTATTTCTAAGCATGTTTGGAAAATGAGTGAGGAAAGACTGTCAACTCCCATTCGCTTTCCTACGAGTGCTGATGAAAAGCCTCTCAGTCGTTGCTCTTCTGCAGAAATTGCCAAAAAGGTTTGTAACTATGAGTGGTGTCATGGACTTGTGGTGCACGTACGTATACTGTAATAATTAGAGCTACCACACGAGGTGGTAGGAGCTCGGTGGCTGAAACTTTTGTATAATTTCCATAAAGTGTCATAATAGTGTAAATTTAGGTTTTTTGTCTGCTCAAGTTTTCACATTTCATATGAAATGAAAATGTGTACTGGAACTTTAGACTCAAAAAGAGTAAATTTTGTTTTTATGTATTAAATCTCTGCTAGAAATTTCCCAATTCACCATCAGGAAATAGTCAGTCACGTCATAAGCGATCCAGTATTCTTAGCAGGAATGATACCATCATGGAAGATGATGGTGATTGGGATACAGACTTGGAATGTGAAGGTAGCAATTGTTAATACTTAAATTTTACTTTGACTTCATTGATATGAGAAAGTCAGTTCATCAAAATGCCTTACTTGATGACTTGCTTTTAGTCTTTATAAAACTATTATTTAGTTGTTAAATTTTTTAATTTCTATTTTTGTAGAAAAAAAAGAGGAGTTTGACATCACTGGAGGAACAACATATATCCAAGCTTGTCAAAGAAATGGTGTTATTCCAGTTTCATACTTTCTTCGAAATTTACAAAATCGTGAAGTGGATATGAAACATCATGGGATTGGAGCTCATGGGTGCAAAGCTATTGCAATAGCACTTGTGGTAAAGTTTGGTAATCTTGAAAGTTTTTGAATAAAATATATACTATACGTTTTTGTTAGATCAATTATTTTTTTCTGGTTTCTTAGAATATAAGAGGACTATAAACCTGCTTAGTTTAATCTGTGGTTTAATCAATGCCTTTCTCAATAAAATTCAATGTATACCAGGGGGATAATGCCACGTGAATTATATTTGTTGACATTCACTAAGTGTACGGACATCCTCTTTTATTTTTTGCTATAGACAAACACATATGTCATATCACTAAAGCTTGCTGATAACTCCCTTGGTGCTGAAGGTGCTGGTTATATAGCTGAAATGTTGAAAGAAAACTGTTACATTTCAACTCTTGTAAGTATGTCACAAAGAGTGGTGATGTCATAATACTCAGTATAGTCAAAAACATTGACATGCATTTACCAAATATGATTCAGTAATCTGTTGTGACATCTTTTTGAGTGCTCAGCACTATATCCATAATACAGTACCATAAGCCTACTAGATCCAACCAAATAGAATATTGATATTTTCTTCATCTAGTAGTTTGTATCTAAGGAAATTTTTTGGAAAATCCAACATTGTTATTAATCGTGGAATTTATATCAATTCATGGATAGAGAATGTTTATTTATAAAAACATGAATATTCAAAAACCATTATGGATTTATTACATGAAGTTTAGGATAATTAAATTCGTATGAGTGAGTGCAATTGGCATTTTCTATGATAGGATTTGTCCCAAAATCAACTTGGAAGTGAGGGAGCAAAGTGTATTGTTGATATTTTGTTAAAGAATTCTGTCGTATCATCTTTAACGCTCAAAGGTAATTGATCGTCTATTCTTGATGTAATTCATATATTGATGAATGACAACTACTCCATATTTGAAAAACGTTTTATGTCAGATTGCCTGGTTTTGTATCTTTTGTAGTATCATTCTTTTCCATAGCCACCATTCAGATTCTATGGTTATATTATTTTTCTCCAAGAGAAGTTTTTAGTTGTTTAAGTGGTGATTTTAATTTTCCTACCTGAATCACTGTTATGTTTTGATTTAGCTAATGATTTTGATGACAAATCGGCTGGTATTTTGTCTGAAGCCATTAAGGTGAAAGCTCTGTCAACACATCTTTATTTACTTGTACCTTAAGGAGGATTAGGAAATATATATATATTTTTTTTGCACTAGGAAACGACTGCATTGAGATATCTTGACCTCAGCAAGAATCTATTTAGTGAGACTGGAGGACAATGTCTTGCTGCTGCTATTGGTACTATGTATTTCTTTATCTCATTTGCATTTTCTTCTGTACTGTAAAAAGTCAAATATAGAAAAAATTGGGCGAATTGTTTCAAAACTCAAACACTTCACTTTGAAAATTTTTTAGGACTGTGCATATATGATTATTGATGAGTGAATGTTTTCTTCTGTTTTGTGTTGAAATATCACTGTCACTATAGATATGATCATTTTTGGTTTTCAGGATCTAACGTCAATTTGAATTACCTCAACCTATCGTGGAATCACCTCCGACGCAAAGGAGCACACTCCATTGCTAACGCTTTGAAGGTAGAGTGGCTAGTTAGAGGCCTAATTGAACGTATGAAGTGGAAAATTCAGTTGGACAAAGTTTCGAAGCAAATATGTGAGCTCGGACGTACAAAGCGTTTCCTTTTCTGTTTTTCCAGGAAAATGCATATTTAAAAGTTCTCGATCTTTCTTGGAATGGTTTCGGTGATGACGGTTGTTTTGCTATCAGTGAGGCGTTAAAGGTCAACTGCACTTTAGAAGAACTTGATTTAACGTAAGTTGACGTATCACGTAGTGAAGACGTTTCAGTTGGTTTTGGAATCAAATCCATTGCCATTCCAATGTGAAGGCTGCATTAATCCGTCTCAGAATCAAAAGTAATAACTTCATCGGAAGAGCAATGAAACTTTAAATGGGAAAGGCCTTGTTATATACGTTCAAGTGAAGGAGAAAAATGCTGTTGAAATGTTTCATTTATGCTATATTTCTAGTAATAATCGGATATCATATCCCGGTGCTGTTTGTCTTGCCAAAGCTCTTGCCGTTAATACGACGCTGAGAATTCTGAAGGTCTACTGTGAGCTTTCTCTTAAGTTCTCTACTTTTTTCTGCGCATTGTCTGCTTGTTCAATCTTTGTGTGAAGAGATTTATTTTTTGTTTTAGGTGGGAAAAAATGGAATTCAAAGCACCGGGGCAAAAGCTTTGCTTCTTTCTGTGAAAAACAATGTCAGCTCTAGCATTATAGAGTTGGATTTGATGGTAATACCTCTTTGATGATTTGGAAATTGCTGGGATCGTCTCTTTACATGGTCAGCCTAAATTTACCGAATATTAGCTAAATTAATTTTGGTGGTTGTGTGAAATGCTGGAGGAATGTTGTTTTTAATGAAAACTTTGTTTTTATAAATATTGGTGTGAAACTCAACTTCACTTATTTCTATCAATTGCTTTAAGGATATTACCATACACGAAGAGTTCCTTAAACTTTCAAAAGAGCTCGAAGAAACTCGGCCTGGCATAAAAATAATTCACGGTGGAAGCGGTGGTTTCAACGAGAAAAGCAAGGAACGACCGACTCCAATGAAGATCTTGAAAAATTACATTGAAAACAACCAGATGAGATTGTACGACTTCTTCTCAATGATGGATAAAGACAAGAGTATGAGTCTCACCATAGATGAATTTGTCAATGGACTTCAGGTCAGTAACTAGTTCCCCTTTTTAAATATTTCGGTATTCATTATCTCTAAATGGGACTAAATGCGTCATGATATGTTGAAATCTACATAGTTGGATTATAGATATGACCTAGCTACTGTATATATGTTGCATGGTTTTATTTCTTGGGAGTTGGTTGTATTACTGGTTAGTGTAATATAGTAATGTTTTACAGCTTGCGTTTTTTTTGAAGATACTGGTTTTAGTAGGTATCATTGCTTCAACTGCTGCTGGTTATCAATGATTTGAATAGTATGAAAATCGTACAGTTCTATTTGAAATTGAGATGTATGACGAGGTTTATGTTTGTAGGAAACTGGTATACAGATGAATGATAAGGAATTGTTGGCGTTAGTGCAATCACTCGATAAAAATAATGACGGTGAAATCAATTACAGGTAGAATGATTTCAATGCCTGACAAATAGAGTTAATGATTTCGTTGATTCTTCTAAAGAACACTGTCGTTTTTTTTAATACCCATTACATTTAGTGGAGATCTCTCCTCCCTTACCCGTGTGAAACTGATTTTTATGGATAAATGATTTGTAAAGGATTAACGTCGGATTAAACTGTGATAAAAGTTAAAGCAAAATTTGATTTAATTTTAGTGAACTTGTTCTTGGTTCTGTTGAACAGAAGAAAGAAGATCGTAAACAATTTTTTAAAGATCGTGCAGAGAAAGAAAGACTTCGGAAAATATTGACCTCGTAACGACATCTGACTGAATGACTTGAATAAATGCTTTCAGATAAGTTCATTTTGGGCTGCTTGCGTAGGTAGCTAATGTGGTTTTTTGAGTTGCAGACTCAGATTTTACCCTCATATAAAACGCAAAACGTATTCCAATTTGGGAAAACAAGAAAACGAAATTCAAATTAAAAAAAGCACGAAACGTTTCTCTGAAGGAAATTTCGGTAATTTAAATGAATTTTCATTTAAGAGGACTTTATACATTTTCTGATTTTCAAAGGCAATAACAATATATTACGTAGTATACAGTATTTGAAATATATTTTTGATGTGTATTATATTTCATAAAATAGTCGAAAAAGGTACGTATGTATTCAAAAAGTTAAAACCTTCATTCAGTCAAGCAAACCACGTTATGAGATGATAACCATATGAACTCATTCTTTTCTTGGGTTGTAAATACGGATTACTTTATCTTCACTTTCTTTACTGATTTCTGATCGTCAATTGCCTTTCTTTTATCTTGCAATTTCTTCACCTAAAGCAAAACAAGCATTACAGTGTTATAAAATTCAGAGTTTAATACAAAATGCAAAATGTCATACCATAGAAGATTTTTTCCTCTTGGAATATTCGATTTTCTCGAGTAGTCTTTTATTCTTCTTTGGCATCACCATTTTTGCAAGGTTTCGTTCTTCTTTGGTGAGAGTTGGCGTCTGTGATATCTTATCGATGTTTTCTATAGAAAATTCAAATGTTTAATTGTTGCAGTAGGAGATGCGTACATGAATTATCCAGTGCAATATTCGTTTTAAGCATCAACCAAATGTCTTTCAACCTATCGATAGAGATACCTTCTTTTTCAGGCGCCACCTTTTCTTTCATTTCATCCAACATTGCTTGTCTTTCCGGTGGGATGTAGTCTCCTTCCTCTTCTTTAACAAAAGGCGAAAGATGTGCAGGGAGGTCAACTTCAGGAAAATAATCCTCGACTGGTAGCAATTTCTGGTAGTTTACACTGTCCGCAATCCATTGAGGCTGTACATAATATCTGAATCATTTGTTGAAAAAGTCAGGAAGGAATTTATCAAGAAAAATCTCTTACAACCCTGCACAAGTGCAAATTGTCCACTAGGTTTTCTTTACCTGGACAAAAATTTGCGCCCCTGTAAAGGTCGGTCGACTATCTGATGTGTTATTTCTTCATCTGTTTCGTCAAAAGTTGAACCCAGAGCGAGGGAACTTGACCAGGAAACCTTCCCGCCAAAACTCCTAATGAAGAAAACAAAGGAAAGTATGTTACGTATACGTCATCACATGTCTGCCACCGATTAAATATACCTTATAATAAAGACCAAACAATCCCTGGGAACTTCACGAGATAAAAATATTTTACAATTAGAAAAAAGGTTTTGTAATCTTCCGATATTTTCCTGTTCCTTTCTTGCTTTTTGCAACTGTTCATCATCCTGTAAAGTAAATGAAATTTCACAATTTTATTCGTTTGAGTTTAAAGAACGATAGTTCGACATGACGTGAATCGCCTCTTCAACAAACGGGAAGAAATACCTCTGTCTCCAATGGGAACTGATCCAGTTCAACTTCATCATTTGATTCTTGATAATAAAAAAATGTATGGATGAACCTTATGTCAACATGAAAACATATTGTCAGTCAAAAATTATCTCACTCAAACATACCTTGTGGGAGTTTCAACAAAGATTGACTTAATGCAGCGATACCCTAAAAGTTAAGTACAGTACACCAATTTATTACCATTGAAGTTTGAGAATTGTGCACTTGTTCATACTTCTTCTTCCATTTCAGAATCTCCACAAACAGAATGTTTTGAATTCATCTCTACATTGGTTAGCTATGAGAAAATGTAAAGCCAAATAAGAAACTTTACAAAGCAAAGAGGCTATGTATATCAAATTTCTTCCCCATATTTCACCTTTGGAGGGTAAAATAAGCCAACAGAGTTAAACAGTTTGAAATTGATGAATCCTAACAATGTTTTATAAAACTCAATGAAAGTTAGCATTATTCGAAAGTCAACATCAGCAGGCATCTACACAACATAAAAAGAACACCATTAATAAAATATACGTATCTCTTCAGTATAAGAAAAACATGGCATAAAATTTTGGAATTGGATAATTCCAAAGATAAATACTCACAGCTTGACAAAATGTGTATGGCATAATCCATGTAACTGGATGATCAAAGATCTCAGCTTGAAAATAGATTCCTTTGATTGAGAAAAACACCTGGAAATAATCAAGTCAAGAAATCGTATTAATTTCTTTGACACTTATGACAAAATAATGTACCTTCCGCAATGACTTTGATGCAATTACGTAGTGTTGAAATTCCACTGAAAACAATAAAATTCTTCAAGTGTGATTAAATGTAAAGAGAACATGTATGAATGACATGAGGAAAAGTTATATTACCTACCGTACAATTTTTTACATTCTTTAACAACTTTTCCCTAGTGAATGAATGGGACTTTTTACTGAAAACGTATTTTATTATGATCATTATTATCTATTGCAAATATAAATGTTAAAAAAACTAAATCAAAGATGACTAAAATCAGTGTTTAAAAATATCCATGATAAAGGGACAGTCAAATGTAAAGACAACTTTCCCAATAACCTAGGTCAATATTTAAAGTATGTGGGACTTTTTAACTTATAATTTAGTACATTACTACAGAGCCTAACATATTGACAGAGGAAATCTTTTAGAAACAAGAACATATTCACACTCCATTATGGAAAAAAAGCCAACAAAGTTGTACTTAATATCAAAGAGTTTTTGATACTAGTTACATCAAAATGCAAAATGATCCTCTACAATTATACAAATAGCCACATAGGGAATGTTTGAAACTAACTTCAATTTTATCTGTTTGTGGTAAACTTGAAAATAAGACAACCATTGATAAAGCATCATCAAGATCTCTGACAGCATCAATAAATGTTGGATACCTTAATAAGTGGAATTATATTTTAATAATACAAAATACTACACAGTGTATATAAACAACACATGTTCCACTATCATGCACCTTTAGATTGATTTTAACACCACAAATCAATTTACCACACATTCAGTTTTACCTTTCTTTCACAATGTGATCAAGAGTATAAACTGGTTTGTTTTCCTCAAGGCGCTCTGCAGTCCCTGGTTCTTCTTTCCCTATGGCTCGTTTTAGCTTTTTCAAAAATGATTTGAATTCTCTAAACTTGTTCAACACAGGTTCATGTGCAAGCCACTGAATATCTTTAACATAGTAATATGTTCTGTTGGCACTACTGCCTTTATTAACTTTTTTTTTGTTCTTTGGTTCAACTGGATATATTCCTTTCAGAATACATAGACGCCTATAGGAATTTTTAGTCATTGATTACATTCTTGACAAGCAATGTCATTAAGGAAACAATAATTTGTTTTTTCATTTACCTGAAGTCTGGTAAACTAAGTTGCAACTTGTTTAAAGCCTGATTTCTGGCAATGTAAAGAGTTGCTGCACCACTTTCTCCCTGAAAAAATGAAACAAACACCTGAAGAGACTTGTGTCTATTCTATATAACCTTTTACAGCACATGCTATCCTATGATATCATGCAATTGTTATAATTATCCCTCTTGGTCTTAGATGATTCTAACTTTAAATGTAAAAATATTCAGGTAAAGTTATGGGATTATTAAATGATGGTATGCTCAGATCTATGAGCATGATGATCTAACTACGGAGTACCAGTGAGTGGTAAATATTTTTATCATAATGTGAAAATCATTCCCACAATCATTACACTGAGTAACCACATTTAAAGCGTTAATATTCAGGGCTGTATACGATTTGCGACACAAAACGACATTTACCTTTTTACGAAGTTTTCCCATTGTCTTTGAATTGATTTATTTAATACGATATTGTATATAAACTGTTATCTAGGACTTCACGTGTCTTGTACTTGAACTATGAAAATTCAAGACTATAAGTTCCTTCTAATACTTCAACATTAAATTTTTCCTTGCATTTCTGTTCAGTTATTTTGAGTGAACTCTGAGGGGAAGATGAAATAAGAAAAGCTATTTATTTTATACTGTCCTTTCTCCAGCTCGTGCTTACTCCAGCTCCAGGGCTCCAGCTAAAATATATAGTTCAGCAAATAGGATAATTAAGCAAAGATCAATATGGCGGGTCGTTTGAATTATGAAAAGAAATATCTTACACCTTCCGATTTCACTTTGAAAGAAAATATTCAACAAAAGATGGTCAAAGATAGCAAAAAAACTTACTTATTACCTCCTTCAACTTATGAAACGGTCATAAAGAGCAAGGAAAGACAAAAATGTGATGAAAAGAATGTTGAAGATTTTACTGTGAAAGATGATAGCGCAGGACATAAAGACAATGGAAATAATGACACTTACGCCAAAGAAGAGCTTTTCAATAAGGAATTTAAGAGAGTTGAAGGAAGGATTGATTTTTTGGAAAAAGAAAAGGCGAAAATGCGTGAAGATTTAAATATTCTACGGGTCGAAACAAAAAATGTTGGTGAACTTAATAATAAGCAATCAGAAAAATATAGTGAAGCGTTTAAATCAAAAGAAGAAAGTGAACCAGATGAAAATAAAGAGTATTTAGATGTCATGAAAAGTTTAAGGTAATACACAGTATAGTAATATCCTGTAGGGCCACTTTGCTGTGCAACTGGCTGCCATTTGCCATATCGTCAATCGTATTGGTCACAAAATGCAATTTACTGGCTGCCAGTATTGTAATCACATGCATAATAAGATATGCATGGAACAAAAAAATTCAATGGAGTGGCCGATAGTAGCTTTTATGGGAAATAACAAATCATTGCAACTGATTTTAAACATTTTTCAGGAATGAATTAGTTGAAGCAGAGAGAAGAAATATTGCTTTAATGAAAAATAACTCCAAGTTGATTGAAGAAGGCCACCATTTAGAGGAAACCAACTCTCTTTTACATAAAAAACTTGAAATAAATGATTTACATTATGAATACACAATTCAGGAGAAAGAGCAAGAGATAGAAGAGACTATCCTAAGGATGGAAAAAGTGACTAAAGACATGGCAATGAAAGATCTTATTATTAAACAAAATGAAAAGAAATTCAAAGAATTTGAAGATAGTAAAAAAAAGGTATGATACAACACTAAACCATTTCTAGTTCATACTTTATCAGTCAGTAAGTTGGAATGCCTGTTTGATTATTTATAATTTTTCCAAAAAAATTATTAAATTAAGATTTAAGATACTACTAGACTGCAAATTCTGTTTTCTCTGCTCTGACAATAGTCTACTCTCATCCATAGTTTTGAACTTTGTCTCTGACTTCAGCCGACTGGTTCACAAACTATGTTTGTTTTTGGATAATGCATTTCTCTGTTGTACTGTGAACTTATAGTTAGGCTGTTTTAAAAAAGAAAACGAACTCGAAATTGCGAAGTGCATTGTCAATGATTTGAAAATCTTACCAATGACTGAGATTTAATGAAAGGCTAAACAATCGCCACTGCCTGGTGGAAGTGCGGTTTTTTTCTTTGAAACGTAAAGATACGATATATTTATAAACTTCAAGAAAGGAATAGCAGAAGGACGGTAATGATCTTGTTTAAAGCTGGTCATTTTTTATGTTGCATTTCTTCCCCATTTTAAGACTTCTGCTGCAGATTTTATTAAAATGAACGAAGGTATAACATATAAGGAGTTACACATATAAAAAAATTCAACTACACGTACTTGTTATTTGCAAAAATGCGACAAAACATAGTAAACAGTTCCGTAAAAACCTTCGAGGAAGAGGATATGTTCTAGCAACTTCCGTACTCCGTTACTCAACGTTATATGACAAAGTAAATTTGCCAAAAAACTTTTTTAACAACTGCTGGGATTGGGAAAATTAACTATTATCTGTGTTATTTTACTTTGTGCCCAAGGCTGCCGATGAATACGAAATGTTATTGGTTGATAAAACAAGTGTGGAAAAGAAATTGGAATGTTTAAAGGTTTGCAAGGAAAAAGCAGACAATGAAATGCGTATCTTACAAGATAAGAACCAAAAATTGCTTTCCGAATTGGATAAAGTTAAGAATGAGGTATGTGTGATGAAAGACGATAATGCAAGAATGCAAAAAGAGATGCGCGAGATGAAAGAAGATAGAACAAGGACAGAGGAAGAGAAATTTAGGATTGAAGAAGATGTTAGAAAAGCGATGAAAAATAGAATGTTGGACATGGAAGCCGAAAGTAAGACGAAAATAAAAGATCTTGAAAGATGTTTTTACAAAGAACAAGCAAAATGTTTGACACTACTGAAGGAAATGGAGCAAAAAGATTTAAACTCAGCTGCATTGAGAGATGATGCTGTTGCAAAACAGAAAGAATTTTCTACTTTACAAAGAGAGTGGAATAGTTTTCAACAAAATATGGAAAAAGAACACAAACTGAAAATAAATCAAATGGAGAATGAACTTCAAGCGAAAGAAAAAATTATTGAGTCGGAGAAAGGAAAGTATTTAGGTAAGTAAGAATTACATAACAAATTTAGTGCTCTTACCCTTTGTAACAGAAATTTTGTGTGGTATTGTTTGTTTTGCATTGAGGATTTGTCCCTAAATTATTTAATGTCTCTTAGAAACATTGATGAAGAAAGACAAAGAAATTGAAAAACTTTCAAAATCTGTCGAACAGTTACGATTGTATATTGGAGAAGTAAAACCAAACGATGATGAAGAAAAACTCAAAAATGATATTTTAAAACTAACGAACGACTTGAAGACTTTAATTGAAGAGAATAATACTCTTCATTCAACGGTTGAACTACTTAATGTAAGACTTGCTGCCATATCAGAGATTGTATCCATCCAAGAAGCTGAAATCACCCGACACGATAGTAATGGAAGGCATCTAGCATGTTGTGTTGAGGATAAAGGACTGCTGAGTACTTGGCGAGGGAAAGTTTTTGCTCTTATGGTACAGTTAAGGACACAGAGGATTGTGGATGAAGAGACGAAACGGAAAGAAGCTGCCAAGGTTTGTTTTGATTTGAATGAAATGATATTGTGTAGCAAACCTTTCCTGCCTTAACTAATCCTCTTATTCTTTATTATTGTACGTCACTAGTCAATCCTTTCCTAATTAATCCATTCTCTATTCCTTGGTTGTTGTATACAGCTACGTAATCCTGTCCCCACTCATTCATTCAATACTCAATTTTTTACTTATTTTATTTTTCTCTCCGTAGATTATATGATCTTTTGTCTCATCTTGGGAATGTACAAAAAATCGTATCTGTTTATTGTTTTAGTTCAGTCGATTAAATGATGAACTTGAAGATTTAAATCGTCAGAACACCATTCTTAATAACAAGTTGTTCGACAAAGAAGCTCTTGTCGAACTTAAGACGAACGAACATACAAAACTACAACATGAAGTAGAGGAAATTCGAAAAAGGAATATTGCCTTAAAACTGCGGCAAGAGAATTTGTCGGCGAGTTTTTTAAATTTGCAAAAGTCTGCCAAACCAGTAGAGAACTCTTTTCTAAAGTCGCTTGAGGATGTCAACAAGAGTATTCGTATTTTGTCAACGTTTGACCAGCGGTTAAAATTTGCTGCTTGCAGGATTGAATTTTTATCAGGTATGATGTTATATAATTTATTTTTTGTAAAATTGAATTGAGTTAACAGTGAGTAACATTTACCAGTGCTTGTTACGAAGAATGTTATAGTTAGTGTGTGTTTGTTTGTTTACATTCAAAGTGTATGTTTAAACAATATTTTTCAGCATTTCTAGCAAGAGAGTCATCTCAGCAAGATTGTAAAAAATGTGAAAACGAGGATCACGATTTTCATACTTCAAGTAAGCAAATCTCTTTTTTTTGCATATTTAGAAAAGATGAAAAAAATTCTCAACTTTGAAAAATATTTTTCTTTGTCAAATGATTGTACAGATGAGATCTGTAATGAGAACGTGGATCATTTGATGTTAGAGGTGAAGAGACTTCAGAATGAAAGAAGTTTATTATTAAAGGAGTCGACAAAACACCAGGAAACATTGCAGGAAAAAATTTCAACTTTACACGAAGAATATGAGCTGACACTCAAAGACAAGATTGAAAAAATTGAAAAGGTATGGCCACTTTTTTCTATCACAAAATTCTACATTAATTTTTATCCTTTAATATCCATTCATATCCATTTACACGTCTTTTAAGGGATGTTTTTTTGACGAGATGTTAATATGTCCTCACTCGTCTTGCTTCTTCTTGTCGTTATTGTCTCTGATTTTTTTCAGCTTGAAATGTCTGAACGTGACTACAAAGAAAACATGACATCATTACGCAATGCAGTAGAAGCAAAATCATTTGAATTGAAAGAAGCCTCGGAAACAATAGAGGAACTGAAATTATTCTTGTCAAAAGAGAAAAGCAACTTGGAAAAAGGTTAGCATATTTAAAGTATATTGGCACTCTTAAGGCTCTTTTCCACTCGTCGCAAAACGTACTCGCAAGCTCGCTGCGAGTGCCTGCGAGTTACTCGCAGCGAGCTTACCATGACTTGCAGCATAGTTAAATTAATTGAACAAAATTTTTTGATCGTGCGAGCAGACTCGCAAGCTCGCAACGAGAGCATTTTGCGATGAGTGGAAAAGAGCCTTTACTCCGTTTCATGTTTTGGTTTTTTAGAAAGTTGTCTATTATCTTAAACTTTGTTGGTCCAAACCAACTCTACCACTTAAACAACGTCGTATTTACGAACCTTCATTTATTTTTTAGTGTTCAATTAAATTTCCTCCAGTTGCTTCCTTCCTATAATTTTTTTTTTGATTTTAGATTTGATTTTTGTTTGTCAGTTTCAATTCGCTAATAAGATGAAGTACGTGACTTAGGAATGTAATTTAAATCTTTAAGAACATCGTGAGAAAATTGAAAGAGAAAGGCTCAAACATACGGAGGAAATGGCTGAGATGGAAACAAAATTGAACGACATACGTCGTGAACACGCTAAGGCCGTGGCAGCTGCAAACAGCTGTGAGAGACGAGTGACTAGAGAAAAAGAACTAGCTGAAGAAATGGTTAAAAATATTGAACGAGAATATAGCGAAAAGCTTGAGAAATGTGAAAAAAAATTGAAAAATGTCGAGAAAGAGCGAAATCTTTTGATGGTCAGGATACGCGAGGATAAACGTAACAGTTTGAGGTGTCGACCAGCTTCAGGTAAATTATGACGTCATAACGTCTCGATTGACTCCAGGTAAATTGAGATCAAAACTAGTTTGTGTCTGTGTAAATGATCATTAAGTTGTGAGAGAAATAAAGGTTTGGTTTTTTAAATTTAATCACGTTCTGCCTTTTCACATTTAGGAGTTTCAACGAACCCTGATGTGAACCCAAATGAAATTCACACTTTTTCAGGAGTTAAAGATCAAGCCAAAATAACTGAGATGGGTGGCTACCGTGACAATTATGATGCTGATGAGGCATTGTCTGCCCTAAAAGAGATCAAGATATTGTCTCAACAGATCGTTAAATTACATGATAAAGATCATGATAAAATTGCCAATTCAGACTCTGAGCTTTAAGGTTTTAAATATAGCTTTAATAAAAACACCCATTTATCAAAACTAGACACTCAATTGTTGGGGACGAATGAAAATACTTTAGTTTTGCCCAACGTTTTTGACAATTTAAGCAACGGCATACTGTCGCACCCACAGGCAGGATCCAACAATAAGTTTTGGTAACAATAAGCTTTCACAACAGACTAAATTTTCAACCAGACAAACTATTTGCATATAGTGTCTATATGCAAAATGTGTTCTTCCTTTTGAAGACATTGTTAAAGTAATTTGTCTGATTTTTTTCACATTAATCCTACGTTGAAAGGTCTTTTCAATCAAGGGTAAAAAGGAAGACATATTTTTTTGTGCATTATTAAGATATCCAAAACTTCAGATCAGATTATATAAGATATGACATCTAAAATATGATACATAGATTTTTCTAAATGATTGTACAAATATTTTTTTCATGATTTTCAACGAAACCGTATGTAGTTGCATTTAGTCATAAGTTTCTATAGTGACGTATACATGGAATAATTAAACCGAAACTTGGCGAAACATAAGACATAACCGATTATATTTATGTCTTTAAAAGATAAGCATAAAACCTTTTGAACCTTAATTGAACGTAAGTGTTCTGTCTTTAATAATTTGAACAACAAATCTTATCGATGCAATTGAACAACAATTGCATGTTTGGTATATTTTAATGTAAATTTAATGTCAACTGAGAACAGCTACTAAGGACTGCCTTGGTATAGTAATGTTTTAAAATGTCTATGTTTGCTTTTAACGCATTTTGCTCGGCGTGGGCATAACTAGACTTGATTGTCTTCTACACGCAATTACTGTTTACTATAAGCCAAACGAAGCATAATTAGACTTCACTTGTACATTTTTTGAATTTGATTTGTCCTAAAAATGAAAACTCAACAACATAGTAAAGATTCAATGACATATAAGGCTCATTGTTCATTGTTAAGCTTTTGTTCAGTGGCTTTGGAAGCTTTTAAAAGTTGTGGGGTGTTCCAAATTCAATACCTAACGTACAATAGTTGATCTAGTAATGCAACTGCTCGATATTAGTCAGTTTTATTTGGCTTTGTTTCAGAGTGAAAGATCTTCGCTTTGAAAAATTTGGCTCATCTGTAAAAACGTGGCATTCAATAAGTATCATATACGTTATTGCATCAAGCTAAATTTGTGGGTGTCCTTTCCTTTAAGGTAAACCCACACTCCAAAAGTCGTGTGTGTCCAGATACCCACGGCTTCCGTAGCCCCTGTTTTCATTAATTAACATTTTAGAAAATCAATTATTTGCTTTTTGTCTGTTTATAGACCTTATCTAATCACACGCTGACATAACATTGTTTCACCTGTTTCATATTATTTTCCTAACATTTTCTCTATACCTAATATTTTTTGAAAAGATTCAGGGATGTGAAAGTTCTTCATTTTGAAAACAAATCTTCAATGTCTAAGTTGGAGGAACTTTGAACTTACCTCATAATTTTTTGTTTGAAAATATAGATGTTAAATTTTGTAAGTATGCCACATAAATGTAGCACAATTGTTTTCACATAAACTCTTTAATTTTGTCTCTCGTCACATATACGTGATAATTATTTTTAGCAACATGTCAAAAGAAAGATCTTCAAATACGATAGATTTAAAGTTCCAACACACCTCCTTACTTAGATAAACTTTAAACGACTCGTAGTTTATTGTTTTTTACAAGTATGGAACTCAAATATATCTAATCTTATTGACAAGTAGGTGAAATAATATTTAAACCTTGAATGTCAATACTAAAAAATGAAATTCGTCGAGCTCGGTTTAGGAAAATTTGCAATGATTATGTGACCGGCCCCACCAATCATCGACCTTCATACGCCTTTGTACACCGAGGTTTCTTGGAAAGAAATTGTGAACATTACGTAATGACTATGTTCATAGCTAGCAAATACGCTTGCAGTGAGAGCTACAACTGATCATGTCAATTATAGTGAGAATTATAAATGATTTCATGTGGGCAGATGTCTCGTTTTTTGTGTATTTTTTCCACGTTCAGATTTTTAAATATTAAATTATATTCGGCCAGAGCTCTGATACACTACTTAATCATGTGGAAGCGACAATTATAATTTTTCATTTAAAGTATAACGTTATGTATGCATATATATACAATGCTTATGACACTTTTGTTTTCTTTTTTTTGATAACGTTTTCACAACACTTATATATGGTTACAATGTATAAATAAACAACTCGTTGCAGGCATGCTGGTAATAGTTTATACTGTACTCTCTTCCTGTGAGCCTATTGACGCTTTTTCCGTTATCTTGGTGATGGAAGTTTGATTAGACGATATGCCTCTTGCTGGACTCATTTGTGTCCACGTATGACTCATCGGTTGGTGGAGACGACGACGACAACGAAGTATTGCTTTCAAAGCAAGACGAAACTTTGGACTTACGTAGCCATAGAGAAAAGGATTTATGGCTGAGTTAAGGTAGCTCAAATTTTTGATGCAATCTTTGATGAAACTGCTGACTTTGGGTGTGGTAAAAGCGTAAACGGTTCCCATCGAAAATTGTCCAACCCAACAGACGAGGAAAGAGACAATGATAAGTAAGGTGTATTTTGCCATCTTTAGGTCTTGTTTGGAACGGTGTCGGGTGGAAATTTCCTGACTCGCAAGTTCCATTCTCGATTTGTTCTGCGAGATAAATATGGTAACATATGCTGTAATAATGATCACCATAGGGATATAGAAAGATGCACAAGATATTATGACACCTCGTTTTTTCCATTTTATCCAGTCTGTAATAAAAAGGACGATAAAACAAGAGTACACCCATACTATAGCCAAGGCACACTTAGTGCGAAACGGAGTGAACCAACTTCGATGTACGAATGGCCACGCAATTGCAAGACAACGATCTATGCTTATAGCACATAGGTTGCAAACTGACGCTGTACAGAACATAAGATCAGCGCTAATCCATGTCTTTAACAAACCCATGCTGAATGGCCAACGATTATAAATTTTGAAGTTTAACCACAATGGCATTGGAAATAAAGCAGTCATTAGATCTGCTAAGGCTAAAGATGCAAGAAAATAATTTACATGTGTTTGAAGTTCTTTTGTCACGACGAATATGATGAGAATAATAGAATTTCCTAAAAATGCGACAATGATAAAAACGCACACCGTTATGATGGTAGAAACATAGTAAAAATTTACTGAAATGTCATCAGTTTTAGTTGAATTCTTCATTGTTTAGGTGTTTACGTCGTGACGATTGTTTTGTCTTTCTTTCGCCAACTTTTCTTTTTTCTCTTTGGAAAATCTAAATGGATTGGTAATCTGAAGAGATAAAATTCCACATGCAGCTATGTCCTTGGCTTATTGGCAACTGTCTGTACAACCTTGCCTTCTGATTTTCAAATTTCTATGCGAAAGCTGCCAGTGCAATTGCGTTGTGTTTTTCCATGTTGGTTCTTTTATGTTACGATCTCATGTTCTTGCATCAAGTTTAATTTTAAATCCGCCATCGTAATCCGTCGCAGTAATTCACTTTAATGAAACAAACAATCTTCCTTTAATTAAACAAAAGTTTAACACAATATAGATAATTCTTTCCCTTGCTGGCTTCTAAATCTTCCGCTGGATTTTCTTCTTTTCTAATAATAGGAGAAAAAACTGTCCTAGGTTGTTTGCACTTTCTGTGCGTCAGTTTTTTACACTTTCACACTAACTGTTGACAATTTGGGCTTCGATTGATCTAGTCCAGCAATGGTATTTTGCTCTTTTACATTTAAGGAGCCGCCACGATGCTAATTTTGATTGATCTCTGACCAAATTGATGCGTACCGCAGTGAATATGAATTGTTGAAAGCAGCTAGTTGTTGATTTGAAATTAAAATGTTTCACATTCTTTCCGTCATTAGAACGCCGTTCTTTGTATGCATTTAGCAAAGTTTTAGTGGAAGAAGTCTGCTGTCCACTATTTACTCAGCTAATGAGGTTTTGCGTCTCGTTCTTTGCCTTTATTCTACTCCCACAGCACGAAGAAATTAGTCAAATTATCTGCGTGCGTTCTATATTACATTTGCTTTTTCACAAATAAATTATTTTATCTCGTCGGGGAGTAAGTATTTAATAAATTCTTCATTACAAGCAGCTGGTCCTATATATTCCTTGTGTGTAGATTTTTTGATCGATAATTGAAGATGAAGAAGTTCTCGTGTACTAAATTTTTAGAAATTCTCAACAAATTACTCGTTTCAAGCTCCCATCAGCTAGCTGTAATAAAAGTGGAAATTACGTTAGTTCTCATTGATCAAACAACAACTAAAACAATATATCTTTGCAAACTTTTTGTCTAAACCTGCTGGGCCTTTTATACTAAGTGGTCTGCACATATTTGTATTATCGTTTTGGTTACCTTATTAAGAAACTTCGTCAGCTAGATCATTAGATCAAAGAACAGATAAGGCTACTGCCTGTTACATATCTTAGTTTACACTCCATTTAAGTCGGCAATATCCTACTGTCTGATTTTAATAACAAGCTAAACATAAATAGAAATATTGCATTGCAGTTATGGAATTATTTTAAAACTTAGTTGTTCAGATAACTCAACATTTATAGTCTAGACTACCGTGCAGGAGCTAGACCATGCAACAAATATAAATAGTAGCTTAATCCATTTTGTAGCAATAAAAAACATGGTTGTGTTATTTTATTGGGTAAGTAATAAATCTTTTTTATACCTTGACTATCAAGCAAAATGGTTGAATCTGGAGAATTGGTTTTTTAATTTCTGAGAAACTTAGAAAATTGGAAATTTAGTCAATTTTGCGTGGTAAATTTTTAAGGCGAATTTCAGTTGTTTTTTATCTTCCAGTAATCTTGAGAACTTTTTATCTTCACCTGTTAGGTTCCTCGCTATAGGACATACATGAGATACCCTTAAGAGTCTGCAAAAATGTCCTTCAGTAATTAAGAGGACTTAAACACTGATGAGACAGAAAACGTATGTTTTTTCGATTCAGGCATGTCAGTTTCATCGTAGTAAGCATTGAAGATCTATCTTCAAACAAAAGAACTTAGGATAGTTTTGGATACATGTAATGATATAAATTTGTATGCTACCTGTCTTTAACGTCAAAATTTTCATGTGCTGAATGTAGAAACAACATCGTATTTTATGTCCATTAAAGATAATTTTTTTAATGTCTTTGGCGTATGAAAGCTTTTTGACGTTTGAAACAGCTCTTGTTTACTTAAAACCTGACCGAAAATCACCTTGTCCTCATTAAAGACAATTTACTCAAAACAAGCTCGTGCATTTTATATTGTTGTATCAATTTTCCTAAAAATAGCTCTACTGTCTAGTTATAACAATTTATGTAACATCAATAACTTCCTAAACAATTTTCTCGTTAATCGACGTCTTCATTGTTGAAATTTTCATCTTCCTTTTGATGCTTGTGTTTACTACTAGCCATGAAGACATCGCGTTCTCATGAACTCATACCTCTGTATTTAAGGTTAGATTTTAGGACAGATGTAATTATCGGCTCTGTATGGGTTCTTCTTTACACACACAATACAATTTCATGAATTGTTTTTGAGCTAGCTTAGCATGAGGGCATTCGATGGCAATTTTTCAATCCTCAATGGAGGCCAGTCAAGGGTGTGGCTTTGCTTCATGCATACTTGGGTAGGCTCATTTTTTTAAAGCAAAGACTTGTTTAAATCACGAAAAGTAATTGCCGGATCAAATTTGATCTGATTCTACTCTGCAAACAAGAGAATTTGAATGACTGTAGTTTTTAATCACTTCCTCGCGTTCATACAAAGATCAATGTTGTAAAATGTAACAATAAAGGTGGTTTCTTTGTTTTTTTCAAAGTATCACAGCATGACATTGCCATCGAATGTGAACCACTAAAAATGATTCAAAAATGTAAACATCCGATTTTTTCATATTTGCCGAATTTCAAAATTTATTTGTGCTTGAAGTCTCTAGTAATTCATAAATTTGTATGTTCAATCATGTGTATTTTTATTCATTTTGTATATGAGTATTATCCCATTCTTGGCCACTCCCCCGTTTTGAGTTGCAAAAATTTAAAATTGTTACCCATCCCCCCTGATAGTGTTGTAAAAGTAAAATTCAAATTCTAAACATTTTACATTCATAGTAATGTGTCTAACATTTACAATTTATGTGTACTTTTCCCGCCAATTTGCTCAATCTTTTCGTTGTTGTGTGGAAAACTTAGACTTCCACTGACTATGCGTTGTTTTGAAAATATTCCCCAAAGAATATTATTTGAAATTCGACAAGAAAATGCGACTTCTAAAACCGGCATGGGTATCACACGAAGGTAAGTTTTATGTACATGTAATCCTTATACTTAAATTTTACTTAGAATCATTAAAACGTATTCACTACTTTACAAGCTCAGATAGTTTGACATTTTTATGCACTTGATCGCATGTGACTGACTAGTTTTTATAGGCAAGCCAATATACTCAGTTGACATTCATCCTGATGGCTCAAGATTTGTTACTGGTGGACAAGGTATTATCAATTTCCTGATTTGAATTGATTCGTACCAGTTGAATTACTGGCTTGATTTTCGTTCAGTCTTACATTCTCCCTTCTCCTCTATTCTCTTATTTACATGTATTCTTATACTCTCTTCTCCCCCTTAGTCTTATTGCTTCCCTTCTTCCAATTTGTCTTTTATTCTTTCTTCTCCTGTCCGTGTCTTAAACTTCCTCTTCTCCCATTTCTGTCAGGAGGTAGCCAGTTACATTCAGTTTGAGGGTTTTTGTTGACTTAATGTGCATGTTACATTAAGGAGATGATGCTGGAAAGGTTGTTATATGGAACATGGCTCCTGTTCGGTCCGAGGCTGACGAAAACAATAAAGAAATACCAAAATTACTTTGCCAAATGGATAATCACCTAGGTAATAGTTTGTGTAATTCAGTCTTTTGAGATTGCATACATTGCTCTTGATGTTGAAACGTGCTTGTTTGGTGTGAAAATATGTGTAAATCAAACTGCAATGAATGAAAGATTGAAAACAAGAACAGTCATTACACTACCTAAAATTTATAATTATTATGATAACCTGTGTCAGTATAGATGTAATGAATGGATGATGATTGTGCGTGGCTAGTTGTAAATATGTTGTCTGTTTTTATATGTCATAAAGCTCTTGGGTTATTTGAACATTGCAGCTTGTGTAAATAGTGTGAGATGGTCATGGAATGGAACATATTTGGCATCTGGTGGTGATGATAAACTCATAATGATTTGGCAAACTGGAAGGTTAGTATATAAATACTAGTAATGTTGGCAAGTATATAGCTTGGTCACGTTGCTAGGACGAGAGTAGAGAAGCCAGCCTGCAAGTTTAGTCTTGCTTTGTAAATAGGGAAAGATTACATTAATTATTTCTTAAGAATTTTATTCTTCTTATGGTCGGTGAACACTAAAATATTGGCTTAGCAGAAATTAAAATGTGGGCTGATTACGGTAGTGTACATGGTGACATTAGCAGGTTGAAAAATCTAGTGACGTTTGTAAGGTCCGTAAACTGGTCGCTTTGTTAGGCTGAAAACCTGGTGATGTTGGTAAGTCAATAATTTGGTGACGTTTCTAGTCAATAACGTAATGTCGTTGGCAGACCAATGTTATCTGGTCAAATATCATTTTACTAAAACCATCCCACATTGTTATGTGCATGTGTTGTGATGCAGTTTTGTTTTATCTTGTAGATATTTAGGTATTTCATCAAGTTTTGGTGATAAAAATGTAAATGTAGAACAATGGAGATGTGTTCATATTCTTCGTGGTCATTCTGGGGATGTTCTTGATGTATGTTGGTCACCAGATGATTCCATGTTAGCGTCATCCAGTGTTGATAACAATGTCTATGTATGGAATGCCAAGAAATTCCCAGGTTTGTTAAAATTAAAGTTTGCATGGGTGATTAAGACCAGGTTGAGATCTAATGTAGCTATAAGCCTCTGAGTTAAAATAGTACGCTATGATTATTTTCCATGGCATTAATTCAATGTTGTTACACTCAACCTGAATGACGAAATCAGCCAGCAATTGGCATTAAACCTGTCAAGTAGGTTTACTTAACATCGACTTTACTTTCTTCGTCATGTAAGGAATTGCTCGACAAGTCATGAGGTTGCTGTGTCCATTTGGCAATTTTGATGTCTTATTTCAAAATTATAATGTTTTATTTCAAAGGGAAATTGGGTATTTTCGTTGAGGAAAGATATACAAATGCGTTTTTCTTTTCGTATAACTAAATGTGAATTTGAAATTTTTATATTTTTCATTGATTTTTTTTCACTAAGAAATCGCGACGGTGCTAAAGCAACATACGGGGATGGTAAAAGGGGTTACATGGGATCCCATAGGGAAATATATGGCATCACAATCAGATGACAGACATTTGAACGTTTGGAGAACATCTGATTGGCAGTTAGAGGCACAAATAACCGAGCCATTTGAAGAGTGCAGCGGAACTACTCATGTTTTAAGGTAAATACTTCATATTGAGAACTTTGTCAAAAGATATATTTCCGACAAGTATAAAAAGTACTTTAGAAAGTCACTTCCGGATTGACATTCCCGTAAAACCTTTTCTTCTTAAACTCACTATTGTATCCTATTCGTGTGATGTACACATGCGCAGTGATTAATCTTGTTTACCCAGGGGGGAGGTCTTGTTTACTACAAGCATTCATAAATTTAGAGCAATAAAGCATTCAAGTTCAAACATGTATTTTAGGGAAATTTATTTAGTTCGCAATGCAGAGAAAAATGATATAATAAATATTTAATGCTAGAACAAGCGATGGGTAATGGTATGATTTAAATGAGAAAATTTCACCCATACTGAAGATGGCATCATGAGATGTCGAAACATGTCTATTTTCAAAAAAGTTGTCGTTTATATGAAATGTGTATTGGCAATAGTGCTTTTACGAAATTAAAGAAAATTTAAATAATGGAGAACGAAACAAACTAAATTTGTGAAATTTAACGTAAATAAGTTGATGGAGAAATGGAAGTTATCGGTAATATCACTGCTTGTCAATGATTCTGACATTCTGTTATCAAGCTTTCAAACATAGATATGTATTCTCTTTGTCATCTTTTCTGTACTTCATTTAATCATCATCTTACAGGTTAGGATGGTCCCCGGATGGTCATTATGTCGTTTCAGCGCATGCAATGAATAATCGCGGACCTGTAGCTAAAATTGTCGAGCGTGATGGATGGAAATGTCGGATGGATTTTGCCGGACATCGTAAAGCTGTAACTGTTGTGGTAAGATAAGCAAGTTTGATATTTTTAATGGTTTTAATAAAGAATACGTAAGCATCAAGAATACCAACTGTGTTTATAAGTGTCCCTATGATAGAGTGATGGTACTTATGTATAACATATGTGTACCTATGATAGAGTGATGGTACTTATGTATAACATAAGTGTCCCTATGATAGAGTGATGGTACTTATGTATAACTTTGTCTAGCAATTAATGAAAGCTTCTGGTGTTTTTGATAAATAGTGAACACTATTGGTGTTTTTGTACTTAATTCTTGTTTTTTGTTTTCATTTTTTTGTTTTTTTTTTCAGCGTTGGAATCCTCGTCTATTTACAAGAGCTTCCAATAAGGATGCCACCAAGCTCAAAGTTTGTTATTTCTAACATGTATTACAAGTACAGACACACAATTCATAACTAATGCTTTCAATACTACTGATTTTTTAGCAATTTTGCTGTTGCGCCATCGGCAGTCGTGACAGATCTGTATCTATATGGGTACGTAAGGACGAATAGGAACGTTTGATATGTTTATATTGAGTATTAAGTAATGTTGGTATAATTTCAAGATGACGACACTTAAAAGACCCATGGTGGTAATACATGATTTGTTTGATCATTCTGTCATGGATATTTCTTGGTATGTAAAAGATAGACATAAGTATTTTTCACACGAAATTAACATTGGTTATTTAGTTTTTATTTACTATATTGTTTGCTCAAACATTCTCATATGACTATCGTTAAAATAATCGCGTTCCCCACTTCACTGGCATCAATATCATTTTTGTTATAATGTCCCGAAAAATTCTCGGTGGAATTTATATTGTTTATATTTTATTGTTTTTTTAATGGTGATTGCATCCACTCGATTCATAATTATATCGACTGAACTTATAATTATATCGACTATACTCATAATTATATCGACTCAACTCATAATTATATCGATTAAACTTATATAATTATATCGACTGAACTCATAATTATATTGACTGAACTTATAACATTTTTACAGTATTTTAGCTAATGCTTGCTATGAACATTTTCCAGGAGTTACTCTGGCTATGAAATGCTTGTCTGCTCATCGGATGGCAGTGTAGCGTTCTTTCAGTTTGAAAAAAACGAAATGGGTGATCCTATGTCTGTCGAGGAAAAGGTTGGCAACATTTTGAAATTTGTTTTAAGCAGCTCATTGTAGCAGTTTTATGTGCAATGATTTTACTGTTTATCAATGAACAAGTGCAAGAACAACGTTTATGATTTCACATCCTGTTAATTTCTTACCTCAAAATAAAGTTAACCTTCAACATGTTGATGCATTTTTAATAAGTTGATATCTTTACAAATAAACTCTCTTATTTAATGCATCATGTATCATGAACAAATCATCCATGGGTTTCATGGTAAACAAGGATTATCTGCTTTTCTTCTCTCGTTCAATGTTGAAATAATTAATTGAGTCCAAGATTTTTTACATTGATAACAGTTAATGAACTAAGCCATTTATAAACTGGGCAACAACCTATGACAGTTCTGTGAATGCTAGAGATCATTCTTGACTTTGAGTAATGAATCGTCAAGCGTGCTTTGATTGCACTTTTAACCATTGACAATTATACATTTTTCTCTCACATTTCTGATTTTATCTCTTTCATGTTGATCTAGTTCTAACACAAACGAGGTCACTCTGAACTGAAGTTTGATAAATCAAATATTTAAAAGTACTGATTTTTTTTCACTGTGATGTTTTTCTTATCAGGAACAACTTCACAGAAAGATCTATGGTACATCAATATCTACTGTGAACCGCAACGTTGCAACGTCAATCATAGAAAATCCTGAAATGTTAAAGATACAACAACAACATCAGATGAAGAAAGCATTGGAACAAAAATCCGCTGAGAAACCCCCTCCTCCACCTCTTGTACGAAAGGATGCTGTCATTGATACAACGGATAACGTAAATTGCGAACACTCTGTTGATGTTGGAACCGTTCGAAATGAACCAAACAAATTGGTATGTGGAATTTTAATATTAGATGATTAATGCCTTACTTTAGTAAATACTTGTTTTCTTCATTATAAGTATTTATATATTCTCGAGTCCGGTGCTCTTATCTGATGTCAAAACTTAGTTCATTTTGAAGTTTTGCGTTGTCGTCTGAAATGACGTCTGAATATTTTTCAATGCAGGACGTCCTTAAACAACAAGTTGAGACCAGAACTAAAGACGGACGTCGTAGAATCACACCTTTGTTTGTTGCAGCACAAGTTGATATTGGGTTGAACATGCATATGTTGATTAAAGATAATATTGTTTTCATTTTTCATATATGTTTTTTATGATTTGATCATTTAGGGGCCCACCAGTACCTTTTGGAAGTTCGCCCTTGAAACCTGTCGCTTCTGGACAGTCTCTGGTATGGTGTGTGTTTTTGTGCCGGAAATTTTGTACATTTTTGCTGTGTAATTTTAATGTATTTCGTTTTTGTACGATCGTCTTTCAGCAAACGTTTGACAGCAGAACTGTTGAAACAAATGCGACGACAGGATTTAATATGTAAGTAATCTATTTATGGAGTTAAACGTTTTAAATATTTTTGTACGTATTTTTAATTTCTTTTTCCAATTAAAAACTACAAAATCGTAGCATTTTTTTGAATAAAATTCAAAGCAATTTTATCTCAATAGATTTTCTTTTAGTTGACTTGGTCGTCGCTACAATTATCGTGTAATATCGTATTTTCAATTCATATTCGTTATTAGGTCTCCTGTAAACAAATCAAACAATACGGCAACTCTTTCTAAAGTGACGTCACTTTCGTCCCCAGGACGACCGAGTCAGTCCAGTCAAGCTTCTAGTCAGTCAACGACTAAAGGCGAGTCGACGACATCAAGTCCTGCTACAGTGTCTGTGAAGCGTAAATTGGAAAGCTCTTCGTCACAGTCAAAACGATCTAAAAAAGAAAAGGATACAGGTTAGTGTTTCCATTTAACAGTGACACTTTTCCTTATGTTTGTTGATAGTATGTAACTACAGTTAGTACGCTTCTGCAATATTTCTCGTCGTGCTTTATATTAAATTTTATTGAATGTTCCTGTTTTGGAATTTTGGGTTTTTATGCCAACATTCTCTTTTGTTGTACATTATTTTAGCACTCAAGACTGCTGTTTCATCTTCATCTTCAGTATGTAGTTATTACGAAACAGTTTTCTACTGTCCGATGATCTATTTACCTTACTAAACAGTGTAATTGCTATCAAAACTTTATCAGAACTTTTAACTTTGGCAATTTGTTAATCGAAAAAGCTTGAAATGTCTGTTTTGTCAGAAAAAAATCATTGTTTTGTCATCAAACGATTCAATTCAGACTTCTTTTAAATTTCTTTATTTAGTCAAAACAGAAAGCAGACGACAAATTGGAACGAAGTGATGGTGACGTACCTTTGTATTTGTCTCAATCAATTTCTCTACCTTACCCTTCACCTCAAAAGATTTTATCACTAAAGGTATTTAAAAACTTATTGTTTCTTTAAATATTTGCCTGTTGTGTGAGTTTTCTTACTTGAATTACCGTTGTTTAGATTGCTGGGGGAACCGCTGGCAGTTCAATCACGCTCCTTTTAGAAAATAATGTAAACGAAACAGGTATTTTTGTTATATTTTACACATTTTTTTAAAGTTTATAATGTTGAATATCTATGATGTATGTGTGTATGTATATATATTTATATGTTATCATGAATTTATTCACTGTTGATGACTGTTATTAATATTGTTTTCACTTCTTTTTCATTCACTTAATGATTGCCGTAAGGCGTGAAACACAGTGTTGTGAATAATTTCATGATAACATTATTATTTTTTATGATTTAGTATATTGTTCTATCTAATTAGATATTGAGTACTTTTTTATCTTGAGTACTTTTTATTCAAATTTCTACTTAAATTTGTATTTATATTTATATTCTTATTTTATGCTTAGTGGTGTTGAGAAAATACACAAAAACTACAGATTCATCCCGACAAGCCTGTTTCGTGATTGCTCACTTTTCAGGGGATTTTTTTAAAAACAGGCTTGTCGGGATGAATCTGTAGTTTTGTGATTTTTTCTCAACACCACTACACATATTTACGCTCTGCTCTCGGGCATCGAGAACTGTTTTATACGGAGAATCATCAAATATAAACTTCCTATATTCTTATTTTATGTATATAGGTGCGAGTCTTAATGTACTCAAGTGTAGTCAAATGTCAAAACTAGTTTGGGAAACCTGTATTACCAGTCCTGGGATTGCTTTGGCTGGAAACAGGCAATAACATTCAAGATGATTTTGATTTATGTTTTGTAACTAGTTCATCTTTGAATATTTTTAATTTCTTCTTTTAGATGCATATCTTGTGTAGCTTGTAAAAACAAAACACTCAGTATTTTTTCTTCTTCTGGTCGAAGGTCGGTCAAACTATCATTGAACATTTGCATATTATAAATGGTTAAAATGACATAAGAATGATGCTCAACGAAATGATCCCATGTCTTTACTGAAGTTTTAATTCATTTTATCCTTTTCTATCCAGATTTTAACTACTCTTAGTCTTGGCTTCTTTTATAAATATTTTATAAATCACACCACCTACAATTTTCTATTTATTTTCTTCTTTAGTTTCTAAATCTTCCATATTTTCTTTGCAGGCTTCTTCCGAGCCTTGCATTAGATTCTTCAGTCTCCATATTGCAATGTAATGGTTACTTTGTCATGGTTGTGACGTCACGGGGTGGTGTTTATGTTTGGTGAGTCAGTATAAAAATGTTTGAGGATTGTGCTTGAGTGAAGTGTAAGTTTGTTCCATCATTGATTAAGTCGGTAGTCAGTCAGTTTTTCTACACAAAACCTATCAAATTTTACACTGTAACTATTTCGTTTTTAGTAAAGCATTTATTAACGTTTAGGGATGTTCAAAAGAGAACTGTTATAGTAAAGAATGAGTCTGTTGTGCCGATTTTAAAAGGTATTGTTCGTTTTGTAAGCATTCTCAAGATTGGAGATTGTACAAACGGATCGTCATCTAATGAATATTGTTATAGTTATTTGTACTTTTCTATATTGTGTGACGATTATTTCTTTATCTTACGAAAAACATGTTTATAATGCTGTTAGTAAATACAGCGTACAAAGACGAGCAGTATACTAGTCATAGCTGGTTTACTGTTTGTCTTTATACATTGTTCATGGAACAAGCTTCTTTAGGATGCGTCTTCTCATATTGTGTCATATATAGTTGCGTGATTGTAAAAACAATTCTTTTAATACGTTCATACGTCCGTTCATGTTGTAGGCGTGCTCAAACTGTTGAAAGCAGAAAGTGCTGCCCCTAAGGGACTAACTCCCTCGGCACTAAAACCCTCGGCACTAACACCCTCGGCACTAATACCCTCGGCACTAACACCCTCGACACTAACACCCTCGGCACTAACACCCTCGGCACTAACACCCTCGGCACTAACACTTCACAAGAATATTGATGAATGTTTTTCTTGTTTTTTAGACTCCGATGTTACAATATCTCGAGTGACAATATCAGAGAAAGGATTTCCTGTAATCTCGCTTTCAACTGAAGCGTCATTCACATTTGATGTCGATTTAGGAACATGGTAAGATAAGAGTGAAATGTGTTTCACTCTTTCTCTTAGCATGATAGGTATTACAGTAGAAATTTAGTTTTATTTGTCATGTTATCATCACAATATTTGTGTTTTTTGTGTATTTAGTGTAAACTTAATTTTTAGGGTTCTATTATCGAGTCCAGAAGATCCTTTACAAGTGAATTCTGATTTTAAGGCTTGCTATAATGCACACGAATTAAGCAAGGCACACGGACTTTTAGCGAATTTACAAGGTCAAAATACAAGGTAATGTTGTTATAATGATCATAAAAGTTTTGACCAAATGCAGCACTTTCATGTTTAGAAAAACATAGAGAATACACAGAACGCTCCGTAATATTTATTTATACCTTCGTTACATTTTCTCTTTTTTTTATTTTGCACAGATTTAATCGTCCAGTCGGACGTCTTTTACGTTCTATATCCACGAGACCACAATCGATTACGGTATCTTATTTAGAGGTAATCGTGTCAACACTATTAAAGCTAAAAATATTTTTAAAACTTTGCTTGTGCTCTGGTAAGGGTAATTCAAAGGATCCTTATTCTACAACGATATGAACGTTGAAAATGGAGAGAAAATGTTTGATTTGTTCTAATGTTATACTTACTTAGAAATTGTTTTTTATGAAGAGTCGAAGTTTCCATTCTTAGTCTGTTCAATTTTACAAACGAAAAAAGCTAAGACTTCCTTCGAAGGTAGTTTTCAACACTAATCTTTATCTTGCTTTAGAATCAAGTGTCATCGTCTTTCACGCTTGGTTCGGAAAAAGAATACTACTTTTGGTTCATTACATATGTTCGTTATCTTGTTCAGGAAGGTACTGTACCAATAATAGCGTGTTTAAATAGTATTGTCCGTCCCAATGATCAAACTGGAACACTTTACCATGTTGCCATCTTTGAAGTCGAGAGGGTCTTCTAGTGGAAATTATATTATTTTTTAAACTTTTATTGCTAGAATGGTTTGATCTTTGATTATAAAGCATTGTTTTTCTTGAACCAAATGAATTTGAAGATTATTTTCTAAAGTCATGTACCATTCAAAGGCAGTACTGTTATCACTCCAAATGAAATTAAATATCTTTTGCAGGTATTGAAGGTAGACTCCGTGAAATATGTAACCAATTATTGGGACCAAGTTTCAGGTTTGTATTTTTCGATAGGCGATTTTACATGTTTTATATAGCATTATTCACAGAACGTGCAATGAAAACGCCTCAGTTATATTATTGCATTGACGAAATACGTAGTTTGTGAAAAGTATAATGTGAAGTAAAACAAATGATTATAAAGTGTGTCGTATAATATTAAAGTTTCTCTTGTAAAATAAAGATTCTTTAACTTTGATGTATGGAAAAAATTTGAACTTTGTGTATAATTAATGAACTAGCAGCATTTTTCTGTATTTTTTATAGATCCTTGTCTTGGAAACCATACATTTTGGTATGTTGAATGTATTTTGTAGATCCTTAACTGGGTAATTTATATTATACAAGCGCCTTCGTAATACATACGATATTGTCTTGTGTTACTCTTAGGGTTTCCAAAAGCGAGAGCTCTTGAGAGAGATTCTTCAAATAATCGGTGAGCTTTACTTCTTGTGTAATTATATGTATTTCAATAGATATTATAATTTATTATAAAAATTACATATTACATCAGGGTAATGACGTAAATTGAAAAAATGCTTAAAAATTCAGTTATTGCTCAATAAATAGTGATTTGCGTTCTTCATAATGTATGGTTTTTAAGACTTTTTCGTGTGCTTTTTTTCGGTACAACAAACTCGGTACGACCGACGTAGGCTTAGCTAAGTTAAGTAGATAGTGAATGAATGTCTATAGGGTTAGTTGGCGATTGTACCTTCAATCATACCCGAAAAACGGTATCGAGGGTTGTAAGTGAACGTTGCGCCAGTCAACAACCAGCATGTCAATCACACAATTTAAATCTCTCTTATTGTATTATTATTTACCTTGTTTTAGGAACAAATATGCATCTACAAAGACTGTTTACTGAATACAAAGAACAATTATGAATGGGGCATGTGAATTTAATTATGATTCAACTTGAGATACTCAAGAAAATATAAATATGTACAGTCGATTCAATACATGGAATAAACGCACCATAAAACTGTGCTTTTGATCACTATTTCTAAACATGCTAAAGTTGTACAATTACCAGGATGTATACATTTTTTTCTTAATTTCAAAAAAAATAAAACTTTTATTTGTCAATTTGACATTAAATCTTTGTATTAATGAATATTGCATCGACTTTGAATATGATCTGCTTGATGTGTTCTTGGACAACAATGAAGTTAAGGTTACCGCTAAGGTTGTCGAAACGTCAGTCAACAACAACAAAAACAGTCCTTCTCAGGACTATACCAACCTGAACGATCTACATTTACAAACATGTAACGATACTCCCGGGTTCAAACCATTTACTTTATTGAATCTACTTCCCATATCTCTTGTCTACTATTCAACTGTCAGTGAAAACCCGCATCTTACCAATTTTTACACCAAAGACTATAATTCACGCATTTTACAAATTTTCACACCAAACACTATAATTCACACATTTCACCAATTTTCACACCAAAGACTATAATTCACGTATTTTACCAATTTTCACACCAAAGCAGGGGCGGATCTAGACCGATGCAACCGATGCGAATGCATCGGTCAAAATATTTAGATTTTAAAATCTGCGAGTTTGCATTTTAATGAAATAAATAGCAAATATTATTTTCGAATTATTTAAAACGCACATTTGACAGTGATATATTGTTTAGTTAACTTATAGATTTAGCAGTTTTAAGCTAAAATTTGTTCTAGAAATAACATTTGTGTTCTCCGATAATTTTGTCGTATTCCATGACACAAATAGCGAAAGAAAAGTCGATAAAATTTAGCGAAATTTTGTCGTGAATACATAATTAGTAAGTAATTTAATAGTATTCTGCCAGCACGTCAGGGTAGATGGAAGAGGCATCGCTGCATCACAGTAGATTTGCGATGCATCGGTCGATGCATCGGTCCCGAGTCCTTTTCCGCGTGAAATCTACTGTGACATCAGCAAAACCATTGTTTTAGGGCCTCACGTCACGGTAGATTTTGCCGCTGAGCGATGCATTTTTCATAATTTTGTGATTGTGGGCACATGGCACCGATGCATTCAACTTTGAACTTCAAAGTTGAATGCATTGTTATTTGATCACTTGATATAACTCGCAATCATCGATCGAAGTCATGGCTGTCGAGAATATCAAACACGATCTGTGTACTCTGCTTCGAGAAGAGAAGTCATTTGATATTAATGGAGTGCGTCGAAACTATGAAACGAGAGCTGCTACTTTTATTTCAAAATCCTCTCCTTGGAATCCCTTTTCAAAGGGTAAAAATGGGAGAGATATGTCAAGTGAAATGTTAATACCTAAGCACTTGACAATTCATTGGCAAAGTGGAGAACTAAGAGCTTTGAAGTAAGTAAATTTACCTTTATGCTTGCATGTTTTGGAGCGATTATAGAATACCCGTCCATTTTTAAAGGCACCCATACAGGCTTAAGCCTTCAACAAGGCATATTATATAAGTAGATAGTGAGTGGACGGGTATTCTATAATCTAGCACATGTTTTAAATGTAAATAGTGTACTCATTTCAGAACGACGAACAATCATCATAAAATATACACGATGTCATACTACTTATGCAGCACTTATACTTGTATTCATATGTAATATAATACAATCGCTGGAAAATGCTTCTCGGATAGTGAAAATTCAAAAATTTTCTGGGGGAGCATGCCCCCAGACCCCCCTAGCGGAGGCTCGCGCCTTCGGCGCTCGCAATACATCGGTCAGCTAAGGAGCTGGATCTGCGCCTGCACCAAAGACTTAATTCACGCATTACACCAATTTTCACACCAAAAACTATAATTCACGCATATCAACAATTTTCATATCAAAGACTATAATTCAGGCATATCAACAATTTTCACACCAAACACTATAATTCACGCATATCAACAGTTTTTACACCAAAGACTATAATTCACGCATATAAACAATTTTTACACCAAAGACTATAATTCACGCTTATCAACAATTTTCACACCAAAGACTATAATTCACGCATTTTCATAAATTTTCATAATTTTTCACACAAAGGCTATAATTCACGCATTTTCACAAGTTTTCATATTTTTTCACACATAGACTATAATTCATGCATTTTCACAAATTTTCATATTTTTTCGCACAAAGACTATAATTTATGCATTTTAACAAATTTTCATATTTTTTTCACAGAAAGACTATAATTCATGCATTTTCACAAATTTTCATATTTTTCACACATTAATTCATGCATTTTCAAATTTTCATATTTTTTACACAAAGACTATAATGCATTTTCACAAGTTTTCATATTTTCTCACACAAAGACTATAATTCATGCATTTTCACAATTTTTCATATTTTTTCACACAAAGACTATAATTCATGCATTTTCACAAGTTTTCATATTTTTTCACACAAAGACTATAATTCATACATTTTCACAAATTTTCATATTTTTTCATACAAAGACTATAATTCATGCATTTTCACAAATTTTCATATTTTCACACAACAGAGATATAATTCATTTATTTTCAAAATTTTCATATTTTTCACACAAAGACTATAATTCATGCATTTTCACAAATTTTCATAATTTTCACACAAAGACTATAATTCACATTTTCACAATTTTCTATATTCATGCATTTTCATAAATTTTCATTTTCACAAATTTTCATAATTTTTTTAACACAAAGACTATAATTCATGCATTTTCACAAGTTTTCATATTTTTTCACACAAAGACTATAATTCAATTTCACAATTTCATTTTTCAAAAGATTCATGATTTTCATAATTTTCATATTTTTTCACACAAAGACTATAATTCATGCATTTTCACAAATTTTCAAAGACTATCATGCATTTTCATTTTCAATTTTCATTTTTTCAAAGACTATAATTCATGCATTTTCACAAATTTTCATATTTTTCACACAAAGACTATAATTCATGCATTTTCACAAATTTTCATATTTTTTCACACAAAGACTATAATTCATGCATTTTCACAAGTTTTCATACGACTAAGACTATACATTCATTTTTCACCATTTTTCACACAAAGATTATAATTCACATATTTCACAAATTTTCATAATTTCACATTAAGACTATAATTCATGCATTTTCACAATTTTCATATTTTTCACACAAAGACTATAATTCATGTTTTCATTAAATTTTCACATAAAAGACTATATTCATGCATTTTCACAATTATTTTTTCACACAAAGATTATCATTATTTTCACAAATTTTCATTCACAAAGACTATAATCATGCATTTTCAAATTTTCATAATTTTCACACAAAATCATTCATTTTCACAAATTTTCATTCAAAGACTATAATTCATGCATTTTCACAATTTTCATATTTTTTCACAAAGACTATAATTCATGCATTTTCAAAAATTTTCATTTTTTCATATTCAAAGACTATAATTCATGCATTTTCACAAATTTTCATATTTTTCATACAAAGACTATAATTCATGCATTTTCACAATTTTCATACAACAAAGACTATAATTCATGCATTTTCAAAATTTTTCACACAAAGACTATAATTCATGCATTTTCACAAATTTTCATATTTTCACACAAAGACTATAATTCATGCATTTCATTTTTCATATTTTTTCACACATTGCATTTTCACATTACATTTTCACAAAGACTTCATCATGCATTTCATTACACACTATAATTCACATATTTTCACCAAATTTTATACCATGACATTATAATTTTCACAATTTTCACATTTTTTCACACAAAGACTATAATTCATTCCATTTTTCACAAAGACTATAATTCATTCATTTTCACAAATTTTCATATTTATTCACACATTTTCAAAATTTTCATATTTTCACACAAAAGACTATAATCATTCACAAATTTTCATATTTTTTCAGACTTAATTCATATTTTCACATTCATTCACACAAATTTTCATATTGCATTTTCACATTCATATTTCCATGCATTTTCAAAGATTTTCCATTTTTCACACAAAAGACTTTCATTCATTTTTTTCACAAAAGATTTTTTTTCACAAAGACTATAATTCATGCATTTTCACAAATTTTCATATTTTTTACAAAGACTATTTCATGCATTTTCACATATTTTTTCACAAAGACTATAATTCATGCATTTTCACAATTTTTTTAATTTCATTTCATTTTTTTTCAAAGACTATAATTCATGCATTTTCAAATTTTCATATTTTTCCACAAATATAATTCATTTCATCATTTTCATTTTTTCACACACAAAGACTATTTTCAATTCATGCATTTTCACAAATTTTCATATTTTTCACAAAGACTTCATGCATTTTCACATTTTCATTTTTTCACACAAAGACTATTTCATTTTCATTTTCACAAAGATTATTCATATTTCATTTCATATTTTTTCTGATTTTCACAATTTTTTACACAAAGACTATTCATGCATTTTCACAATTTTCATATTTTTCACACAAAGACTATAATTCATGCATTTTCATTTTTTCATTATTTTTCATTTTTTCACATTCATTTCATTTTTTTCATTTTCACCATGATTAATGCATTTTTTCACACAAAGACTTTTCATGCATTTTCACACATATTTCATTAAATTTGCATTTTCATTATTTTCACAAAGACTATAATTCATGCATTTTCACAAATTTTCATATTTTTTCACAAAGACTATAATTATTTTCATAAATTTTCATATTTTTCAACAAAGATTATATTCATGCATTTCAAATTTTCATTTTTTCAATAATAAAGACTATTATTTTCATAAATTTCACAAAGACTATAATTCATTAATTTTTCATATTTTCATTAAAGATATATTCATGCATTTTCCAAATTTTCTATTTCATTAAAGACATTTTCACAAATTTCATATTTTTTAACAAAGACTATAATTCATTTTCACTGATTTTCATATTTTTATTAAAGATTTTTTCCAATTTTTTTCACACAAAGCTATAATTATGCATTTTCATTTTCATTTTTTAATGACTATTCATGCATTTTCATTTTTTACATATTTTTCATTCAAAGACTATAATTCATGCATTTTCAAAGTTTCATATTTTTCACAAAGAC